TGGAACGTGATGCGGGCAAGCGTAGTTTGGATAGGCATCCCAGTTGTAACAATATATTTTGACAGTGTATGAATGATGTGTTCTTGTGGTAGGTCAATCCCTGGTGGGAAAGATGTTTCAAGCAAGGTAGCAATTTCACGAACACTGCTATCTCTGTCTTGCAAAAAACGAAAGTACACTGATGGGGGGGTGAGTTCCTGAGCACGTGCTGCTGCTGAGTGCAAGCGCTGCTGAAGTGCTTTGTAATTGAACGGGTGGTAATGGTTTCTGATTGGCGGCTGCCATGGTGTAAGTACGGATGTGTTGCTGTCGATATTGCGTTGAACAGCTGCTTCAAGTGGGTCGTCGGAGTGGTCTTGTGTTGTTGTTGGTGTCATTGCTAAGTTAGATGATGTTGCCGTTGCTGTAGTAGTGGATCCGTGCCTGGGTTGTGGCGCCGTACTGGCCGGTATGGCGTTGGAAGTGGCTGTTCGTGTTGCCACTCGTAGGACTTGGGCTGATAATGTCTGTGGTGGCACCGTTGTCGGTTGTGGCGCTGGTGGCGGTGGCGGAGGTGGTAGTGGTGGTGGTAATAGTGGTGGTGGTAGTGGTGGTGGCGGTAGTAGTGGTGGTGGTAGTGGTGGTGGCAGTAGCAGTGGTGGTGGCATTATTGTGTGTGCTGGTGTCTGCGGTGTTGGGCTTGCTATGTTCTCAGACTGCGTGGGTGCTTGGTGTTGCTGTCGTCGAGTGGATGAACGCTGATGATGGTGATGCTTAGCGTGTCTGGATCTGGGTCTGGACGATGTGCTGGGATTTCGTTCTGACCGTTTTGCCCTTGCTCTGCTGCGTGACTTGCGGTGATATTGTCGGCGATGTTGACGCCGTGTGCTTCGACTTCTTCTTCGGCTCCCACGCCTAGATCGTGGAGTATTTGAGCGCTTGCGTCGCCGGCTGGCGTGATGTGGTGAATGTTGTTCCACTCGTTGAGGTTGAGCGCATGTAGAATGAACAGGTGGCTGTGTGGCTAGTGATGGTAAGATATTGTCTGTGTGGCTGGGTTTTGCTGTGTGTTGATGTGCTGGCGATGTGTGCTGTCCATAGTCAAAAAGGGAGCCAGTCAGGAAGTCTGGATAGTTTTGGCTTGTTGTTCCAAACAATGTAGCAGGAGCTGCTGCTGGCAATGGTGGTTGGTAAGCTGGAAAAGGTGCTGGGGATGCTGTGGCTGGAATCATGTGCATATGTGCCGGGCTAGTAGGTGTTGGTGTATAGAGCTGCTGCTGTGCTGCTGGAACTGAAACTGGAAATGTTGAGTTTATGGCAAATGGCGCTGCTGTGGATGTTGTTGGCATGGTCAGCTGAGATGTTGTTGATAATGCTTGCTGAGGAGTTGGGTATGAATTTGTTGGTGGTGTCTGTGTGTTTGGTGTCCACGGTGGTGTCCCAAACATGTGTCGATACATCCAGTCTGCTGACGACGGCATATGCTCCATGAGGTAAGCGCAAACGCGGCTACTTGCCCACTGGTGAAACTCAACTGCGGAATCAAATGAAACAATACTGTGGTTGAAGCTTGTTAGGGGGAATGACACGAGGAATTCTGAAATGAAAACTCTGAGGAGGAATCTGATGGAAAAATCTGGCTTCGAAGATCTGGTATCAAATCTGGTTCTGAAGAGTGAATCTGTGCAGTGGTTTGACGCATGGTGCGAGATCTACTTCTGTAGCATGATAAGGTGCGAACACCTTTGAACCGAATTCCGTTGGATCAACCGGCGCGGTGTAACTCTGAACAAAATCTGGTATCCCCAGCGGGCGCACCGCCAAGCTTCCCTGGCACTGTATCAGAAATCCAGGTGCGTGAAAAGCACTACACACTTAGAAACACCCCGAAGGGAGACGATGAAGTGAGATGAAATGAAAATTCATGTTTCCTCATGCTGGGTTTTTGGCTTTGCCCAGTTGCCATACTGAGATTACTGCAGGTACACACGGTTGATCAGACCGTGCATCCCACTCCAAGGCATAGCTTCATTGCATTGGGTTTGCCAAGGAGTGCCCAATGCCCCTGCTCGTTGGTATACTAATTCAAAACGAACGATCGAAACCCATGTGCTGCACGCCTGAAGATGCACAGATGTGTCGGATTGGAACTTATATGCAACATGGACTTCTTCGCGCTAGTTACCTTGAACATGTGGTCCCAACCGAACTAATCACCAGAACATTCTCTTTGATTCAGGGTTCAGCACATACACTCACTCACAAGACACGCAAATCCACGGATTGAGGAAGAAACATGCTGGTGGCGCGTGATAGGACAATCATCAAACTTACCAGGTCACCAAGGCAATGCTGGGCACTGACCTTTCGGATCTTATACTAACATACATGCAAAGACTGCTGCGAACTGGGTTGAACATGCTCAGCTGTTATGATGTTTTTCGATAGACTTGCAAGTTCGTAAATCTACGGTCGAACCACTCTCCGCGATTTCGCAAGATGCCTCACGGTGCAGTGGGTTTCTTCGTGCCAGCTATCTAGAACATGTAGTCCGAACTGAACTAATCAACATAACATTCCCTTTGATTCAGGGGTCGGCACACACACACACCAGAATTGACATTGAATAAACCACGAAATTTATGGAAATTAGGATGCAAAGGACATTGTGATATTTTGTTTGCAATGTTGGATTAAATACAGTAACCTGCCAGGAGCTTACCTCAGGGCACTGCAGCAAAGCCCAAAGCTGACAGCTGAAGGGAAGGACGCTGGCGGAACTTCATTGGCATTTTCTATGTCTTCAGCTTTCCAACAAATGGTATTCCCATATATTCCTATATATGGTTTTTGGATGTTTTTGGGGATTCCCATTTCAAGAACCCTCCTATCTCCTATGTTTCTTCCCGCAGAATTTCCTCTTGGAGATGGTGCGCCTGCATATGGAATGCTTCAGGAATAGCCTCCGGTAATCAAACATGGCTAGCTGTGTCTCATCCCCCAGAAATGATCAGAAAAATGAAGGTTTTATGGGAATTTGATCTATGGTTGGTGGTTGAGCCCTACCATTGTGGTCAATATACTGTTAATATATGATTAATGATGATGGTTATGATATGGTTAATGATGGTTAATAATAATCTGGTTTGTGATGAATGGGGGATTTTCATGGATTCTTCCATAGACTGAACACCCTGCGTGATTGCTTCGTTGGAGATTTTGTTTCACAAAGCCGCATGATACTTCATAAAGACAGTCGATAAAAGCATGACCTGCAAGTTTCGAGTGTTTATTAGGTTATATTGGACTATGAACAAATATGGAGGTTTCCTAAAATGGGTGTACCCCTTAATCATCCATTTATAGATGGATTTTTCATGAAATAAACCATCCAGCTATTGGGGTACCCCATTTCTTGTAGGAGTATCCATTCATCCCCTGCACGTGCTGTGAGCGCAAGTCGCCCATCCCCAGGACGGGACTGGTGAGGATTTTGGTCATTTTGGACAGCCATAAACCATGAATGAATCTTCCAGATTCATTCATGAACTCTCCATGTATGTCATATATATATATATACACAGTATATATGTCATATAGGTCGTATATGTCATATATCCATATAATAAACTATAATAAATTATCCATCTTCAAGATATTGTTCAACCACCGCTATGCACTTCTGGGTCCCGGGCATCTCGGGCCCAGCCAGGTTGAAGACAAAGCTTGGGCAGAAAGCCCAAGAAGCCATCGCACGCTATGTGCCTCGGGAGGCGTCTTTTATGTTGGCGGTTCAATCTATATATCAATCCCATCAAGATATATCAAGATGATTCATTATATATATAATTATATATATATACTGTATATATATATATACACGTATAATTATATATATATATATACGTATAGTCTATATTAGATATACAATGATATACATAATCATCAAAATTGAAGTGTCATGTCCTGTTTTCGGAATTTGTGTGGCCATCTTGAGTAAGCAGAGGGTTGAGCCCATAGATCAGTCGTGGACTTCAGCTCCTGACAAGGCTTGGCAGTGAGGCCAAAGAGCCGGGAAAGTTTGCTGCTTTCCCCAAGGGAATGCTGAGGAATGTGTCCGTTGGATCCCCTTGGTGCTTTAGTAAAAAAAAAAGGATCCCATATATGGTTTAGTGAGATCGAAAAAAGGCCCCCACACAATGAATCAGAATGAATCACAGAACGGATGTTTCAGCATCTCCAAGTCCTCAGTTCCTATCGACCGCTTAGGCTAGAAATATTGAGCCCTGGAAAGATTGAGGATGGGAATAGCCATGGGAATCCAAGCATCTGATTTCCGTCATGGGAATCCGCAGGGCCTTGGTGGGAAAAGCCAAGTCGTTGTGATCCTCCAGTGGAGTGATCAAAACACGCAATGATGGTTGATATTGGTTGATGATGGTTGATTGTCGGAGGTTCTTCATGGTTCTGGAACATCATTCTTGATAGATCTTGATCAAGTTTGCTGAAGTTCCTCTGGAAGTATTTATCTCAAGTGAGGAAAGCGGATATCAGGTTGGGTTGTCAGGCACCGGTTGAATTCTGCAGTGTAGTTAAATCTTGTAGACTGCACATGACTGGACATAGGCAGGCCTTTCACAACATGTCCTGGTCATGGGTTGCTCAAGCCTTTAACCTCGTTGACAGACCTGAGGCAAATTCATTCAAATTCCAGTTCCATCACCGCACATGGTCTGAAGTAGCCGTCCATTGAAGACTGGTTCCGATGGAAATCATGGCAAGCTACCCACTCCACTTTTAGCCGATTCACACGCAAAGGTGAAATCGTATCCACATTCAAACTAAATAGCCATAGTTATGCTAGTACACACCTCCCAAGTAGTGTGGAAAATGCAACAGGCGACTCTGATGGTAAGTACATCCAAAGGTCGAGATGTAGTGGAAGATTTTCTATTTACCTCCTGAAACACCCCCAATGACGCGTAAATTCTGCTATCATAGCATACTATAGCCGGTTGCCACCTCTGCCGTGTGCAAGATGGCAAGCCAGCATAGCCAGCATCCGTTGAGAGATGTCTGTGTTGTTTGGCAACTTGGAGAGTTTTAGTACTGGTGCAGCTGGGATAGCTGGGGTTGGGACATGCTTCAAGTTCCAATCGTTTAATACCAGGATCATCCAGGGGCATACCACATGTTTGGAAAAGCCATACCACATATACCACGCATGCTCAAAGATTGGCAGAATTTGATGGTGGGAGATCCTGAAAATTACATAAAATGACCCACCAAAGACAAGTCTCTTGGGATCACTTGGGATAATCCATGAAATCAAGATCTAACCCTTAGGTGGAAGCAGAAGGTGATGTCAATCAGCAAATATCTGGCATGTATAAATACAGTACTTTGGTAAACCCCATGATAAACCTACCAGTTGGAGATGGTTTTTACCACAGTTTTGAAATGTTTTGAACATATTTTCTCTAATGATGATTTTGAAGTCTTGGGTGTTGTTGAAATGACACAGCCATCGCCCTGAGAAAATCTTTGAGAGCAGGCAACCCTTTGGGTAGCGGGAGAGTTGAACGACACATTCAGAAAGGTACACTCCAAAAAGTTTTCCCCTAAACCTCTTAGTTTCGCCAAGATCATTTTCCATGAACATTTGCGGGTTTCTTCAAAATGGGGGCACCCTTTCAAATCTTCCATTTGAATGGGATTTTCCACGAAATAAACTCTCCAGCTATAGGGGTACCCCCATGACTATGGAAACCTCCATGACTCTTGAAACTTCAGATCCCAGGACCAGGCGACACCACGGGTTTATCGCCTGCGGAAGTCACTTTTGATGGAAGCACCTCCACAGTTTCTTGGCAGCTTGGGACCATCGAGCCACAGGGGGTCATTTTGAAGCTCAAAGTCTCAAACCATCCAAATTTGGGAGTACCCAATGTTGACCCATACCTGTTTCACAGCTGTTTTGGTGGGATCATACAAATCGGTCTACCGTGCGGGGTGATGTTGCAAAAGCTATTGTATGTTATATTTTTGGGATGATGTCTATACGAGCGATGGATTTTATTTGGATAATTAAATGGAGAATAGTATTGTGGCGTATCCCGCTTTGTCAAAAACATCACAATTAGGCTGTAAAACGACGTAGGAACACCCCGTCATATTCTAACCCTTACCCTCTTAACATAGACCCTGGCCACCGCCCATCCCAACGTCGGAAAGATGGCCTCTTCCAATCCAGGCTTGGTAAGTGTACCAACATACAGTCACACCCCGAGAACGAGGTAGGCATCGCACGCAAAGCATTTAGCTAGTAAAAACAAGTGAGGCATTGGGGAACGAGGTCAGACCCCAAAAAAGGGAACAGGATTGGAGAACAAGGTAGGAACACCCCGTCAATTGCGTTTTGTACAAAATAACTTCCGTGGCTCATATACATATAATATAATGTAAAATATACATACAAATATTTATATACAGTAATATACATATATATATATATGATAGCATATATGTGACAATGCATCCATATATAACAAATGATAATATATATGTGATACTAGTAGTGTGTGTGTGTGTGTATGTATGTACCTAGCGCATCAAGAACCCACAAATTTGTAGTTTTTTTTTTCCAAAAACCCGGTTTTTTCTTCAGTTATGAAAAAACCCCGGTTTTTCTCAGAAAATATGTTTTTTTCTTTACTAGGGAAAAAAACCTACTTTTTCTCACACTTGGTATCATGACATCTCATGATTCCTTCCCCTAGACGATTCAAACCCCTTTATTGATACCAGCCTTGGATCTATCCCTCTCAGTACCGTTCATGTTGATTATACTTCCACCCCGCTGGCTTTGGCTGGCAGTTCTCAAAAGAAAGGGCCCGATGCTCTTGGAACATGTCGGACAACATTAAGTGTGTTCACAGTCAATCTGGAGTCGTTGGATGATTTTTTCCGAAGAACCACCCCTAGAAGCATAAATTGAAACATGGCTTTATTGTTTTCATTGAGAAAAAATGATTGTGGATTGCCAAAGTCCAACAAACAGTCGAACGAAAGTATCGAACAAAATTACCAAAATCATGAAAAATCAATCGGCAATTTCAGTTTTTAATCATTTCGGATAACAATTTTAGGGTCTGTACCCAAAAAATGCCAAAAACCCATATTTAAGCCGTACTAAGCCGTACTAAACCCATATTTAACCCGTACTAAACCCATATTCTGATATAGTAAAAAAAAACACGTTTTTTTGGAACCCATATTTAAACCATATTAAACCATATTAAACCCATATTTAACCCATACTAACCCGTACTCAAAATATGAGTTTTTTGCTTCTGCGAATTGACGGCGCGATGTCGAGTTTTAAGGCTCCGCTTGTGGTTTTGCAAGATCGAACCGGTAGTTGCCCGATCCAGACAAAAAGAAAACAACGCAGATTACCGGAGCTATTGTCAATTTACTGGGTTCATATCTGAAAAGCTGACTTTTGAAATGCCATGCATATCCATTGTGACTTTTTGACTACCTCCAGCCCCGCTGAAGGGAAAGTTCGCAGCATAGGAGGCAATTGCAGCCGGTGGAGAATGCGCGCATCGTGTCTGATAACGCTTGCTTCGGTTTCCATCGCGCGTTCTGTCTGACAGATTTCACAAGTTGTCAGTATGAAATTGCTACATGTCATGAGGAGAAATTTGATACAGGTCCACCCGATTTGGACAAATTTGTGCAAATCCAACAAAAACGAAAATATGGGTTCTTTACAAAGACCCGTTTTTTCTCGAAAACACTCGGTTTTTTTCACTGGACCTACAATTTTTTGGGTCTTTGAAGCTCCTGGTATATATAAATATACCATGGGGTTCCAACGGGTGGCGCTATGATGCCAAAATCTAAGTTCTCTAAGGGTATGTCACCACGACACCCCGTAACTCAATCAAAACAAAACACTACGTTATAAGTATAACAAAGGTAATATATCACAAATTTGGTGGTTCCCATAGATTTTGGTGGTTCCCATAGATTCCCCATCAACCCAAACCCAGCCGCTCTCTCCACCGTGGCCACGTCGACGTGACTGGCGTTTTCACATCGGAGCTCACCAGGTGCCAAGTGGTTGGCTGGGAAAGGTAGTTGGTTGAGGGTCACCATGTTCAGCTGTTTCATTGGTGTTCCCATTTTTGGAGGTAAATGTTCAACTATCATTCCATTCTCCTCAACCAACGGACGCATATGTAAGATGCGTATCTACTAAGAACATATTCGCCCATGTTTTGGGGGCTGCTGGCCATCGCTAATTTTTTCAATTTTCCAACCGCGTCTTCGTCCATGTAGCAGCTGAGTTTGATGGGATTGGTCTGGGGAGCAACATCGTAGACCAGATGGTCTAGCCTTAGATAGAAAATGATCATACAACAAAAGAAATCTGGACAAATCATATTTAACAGGTGCAGTGTTGTGAATCATCATGGCTACTTCGGAGCCAAGTAACTTGTGGTGTTTTGGACGGGATTTCCAAAGTAGTTTGTTTGCTTCCAAGGATTCCATCGCAAGCCCTTGGCTGTAACATAGAATATTTGAACAAAAACTGCGAATGCACACATCAGTAACACATGTAAAGCACACACACACACGGCCAGTGAGTGTCAAGGGACGGTTGTGGGCTGAGTGGAACAAATAATTCGACTTCTGTAAAATCTCCAAATTGCATGGGGCCAGTTGCACATGGCCATTGCCACCATGGTCCATCACTTTGCGCATGGTCACAAGGTTGACAAAAACAGCAGCCCGCATCCTAAGCAGCTCAAAAACAAATGGGGAGGATTATCCGACTGACCGATAGAGAGAGAGAGAGAGAGATAGCCGACTAACTGGTATTATCGAAACAAACATGGCGTTGAGCCAAGTAGCTGTGCATGGGTATTGGCAGGATTTTCTGAAGCCACTTTCAGTGTGATCATCTCCAGCCACTGTGCCATAACAACAGCTTCCTCAGAGTCAACAACATGATGAGGAGACAAATCTTTGTTTCAGTGATTTCAACGAAGGCAAGCACACCTCAATTTGTTAGTCTAGAATCTGCTGCATTGAGTCGACCCCACTGGATCCAAAAGTTGCATTTTCTATGAAATGGGAAAACTAAAAAAAATCCTCGGGAAGTGCACTTTCCGACACGCGAATGACACGCAGACCCGGGGTGGGGGCACCCCCCGACACGCATTAAGGGGTGCCGTAGTGACACCCCTTAGGCTAAAGGGTGACGTAGTGATACCCATGACCATACCCCCCGACACGCAATGACACGCGAATGACACGCACCAAAAACGCGTGTCAGATCAAAATCGTGGCCAGGCCCAGGAATCAAGAACATGGAAACACTGGAAACACTTTTCCTCAGGGCTGGCTTTAAGGTGAATTTTACCTGGTACTATATATAAACTAAAATTGAGTTCATTCTCCAAAAAATTAGGCAAGCTTCTCTCTGGCAACCTTTTGTTTTTCTTTCGTAGCTGGAGATAGGAAGGTGACACCCTTGCGTTTGTTCTTCGCATGGTTTAACAGCACCTGGTGTCCTCGATGTGCCTCAGAATCACAACGATCCAACCTGGAAAAAAAACAACTGATGGGAGTTAGCAACCAAGTTGAATTATAAACTCATTAGGGAAAACAACATTAATAAAGACACTGGTCCCAAGTAACTTGCTGCATGACCCAGGTATCCAAGTCGTCATCGCTTCGACCAAAGCCTGTACTGTGTTATGAAAGAATATGATAAATTATATGTTGGAAATCCCACACAGCACAACATGGCACCAAACAAAACTAAGTTGAAGACGTAAACTTCTTTTTGCGGATGATCTCGTACAGGCTTTATCGAATCGAATTTTCCCGGGGTACTTTGGACAGGGAAGACTTGGTGAATGCAGCACGCAGCCATAAATTTCCAGATATTCTGATATCGCCACCTGGCCAGAATTCTCCAGTCTTGCGGATCCATTGTACACAATTGTCATCCATCCGATCCATCAAGGCTTTTGTGAAATACCTGATTGGTTGATTGGTAAAATACAGTTTCAGTAATATTCATCCCATATGTTTCAGGGAAGGACCCAACCCTAACTCCCACCCCCATAAAATATAGTGGTTCAAAGCGGTGACAAGCTTCACAGTCTCCCCATTGCTAGTCCGACGCTTGCGCTTCGGCATTGCTAGCACACCAAGGGGGTAGCAAAGATCCAGATTGGAAATTATCCTATGGCATCTATGGCTTTGTTAATGTTTATTCTTCAAGCGGCATACCAATAGCTGCACAGCTCATTCTAGTGGATCTGTATTAGATGCCATCATACCACTTGTCATCATCAACATGAGCCGTTGCCAGGCTGCGGATGGAAGTGAGCGACATACTATGACAGCTTTGATGGCCCCAGATGGGAAACATGAGGTATGAAGATGAAATAGCCAAAAATGGGATGATAACAACCATGAAATCAAACGGGTGCCGTAGCGAAGCCCCTGCCTAAGGGGCGCCGTTTTGGCACCCATCGGCATGTGCTGGTATGTATACATGACAATACACACGCACACATATTAATATGCATACACATGACATTATATATATATATACACATTATTTTGTAGTACAATGCGATATGTTTATATTGCCATATCTTGCTTATTTGTCGACCGTTTCGGGTACGGGATGAAGTGTTGACCCCCAGGTTGCCTGGCCCTCCAGCTCAAGTCACTTGGCCAGGCTGGCACTTGTTCTTGAGCCCCCAGTTCGGGATGGTTGTGATGAGTTTGGCGAGCACATTGAAATCATTGGTACCCCATAATACCCCTTTTTTTTAAGCCATACCCAGTTGGGAAGGGTGAGGCGCAAAAATGTTGACCCCCCAACTTGAAGGCATCGAAATGACCACATCCGCGGCTGGACCAAGGTCGGGCGGGCAGGCCAACGGCAGATGGAGGCGTAGCTAAGCTGCAGCAAGGCAATGGATTCATGAAACATGCTTGGAGTGCGGATGGGGACAAAAACCATCAAAAACCAACGGATTTCTACCCTTTGGGATCCTTTTGGGTAAATTTTGAAGCCGATTTCAGAAGGGATCTTTCTGGTCCGTGACTCAGGATGTTTGCATGCCTGCTGGCGTGGGGATGGCGACTGCTCTGAAAGATACTGGGCAGCTTGGATGCACATCCGACACATCGCCTGTGATCAGCTTGGATACCCCTCGATGACTGGCTAAGGTACTTTGGCAAATCGCGGGATCGAGAATCTGTGACTTGCTCGCATTCAAAGAAGACCGCATGACCGAATGACCGAATGGGACCAAAGCATACCGAAACCATTCCAGCTTTGTTGTTTCAAATGTTAATCCCCATACCTAGGAAGATTAAACAGATTAACCATACAAAACCATTTAACAAATATGTTTTTAATAGCTTTATAATATTGTTTATGTGTCCTTGGCCCTTGGTCACTCCTTGGCCACTCCTTGGCTCCAGGTGCGGGAACGATTCGCTCCCTCCGCTGGAGGCTCTCCGGTCTCTCCGACCTTCAGGCGGGGCGAAGTTTTCAGGGTGAGTTCTAAAAGGTCGACATGGCCCACGACGAAGAAACTTGGACATAAATTGGTGGCTAAATAACGTGTGTGTCATTTTGATTGTCATGTTGTTGTCATTTCTTGTAAACACGTTTTGTTGGCTGTTTTCAGTTGTCATGTTTGTTGTCATTTTGGCTGTCGTTGTTTGTGTTTTTGTCATTTCTCTTGTCATTTTTTTTGCAATTTATTTGTCATTTAAGAGAGCCATTCTTGTCAAAAACTGCCGAAAATTGCGAAACACATATTCAAAATCATGGAAAATAGATGCCATCATCGGTGAAACTAGTGCTAGAGCTGCTAGCCACTGGTGCCAGCTGCTTTCCTCATCAGGGGAGCTTCTGGTGGCCACTCCCTGCCAGATGCGAAGAATCAGCGTGGTCGGGGGTCCTGTGTTGGTCGTCATTTTGTATTTAGTATCTATGAAGTGGGTTTGGGGTTACCCCAATTTTGAATAATTTTTGAATATCATCCGATATCATCCAATATCATACTGTGTATATATATATGTCTGTGTATATGTATATTATGTCATATATATTATATAATAGATAATATATAGTATATAGTTATATATATATACATACATCTATTATAATATAATACAATATACATATATGATATTATATATATAGTATTATATATATATATATGATGTAATATATGTATATATATTATATTTTAATATATAATATATAATATATGTAATATATTATACATAATATATATTATATGATATATAATCTATAATATAAAATTTATAATATGATATATAATATATAATTTAAAATTTAAGATATATAATATATAATATATACTATATAATATATCATATATAATATTTATAATACATAATATATCATATATAACATATAATATATAAGATATAAGATATATATATATATGATATATAATATATAGATATTAATATACAATATAGAATATATAATATATACTATATACTCTATAATATTTCATATATAATATATACTATACAATATATAATATATCATATATAATACATAATATATAATATATAATATACAATATATAATATACAATATATAATATATAATATATGATATCATATATATAGTATATGATATACGATAAAATATATATATATATATTATATGATATAATATATATATAATGTAATATATAATATGTATATATATATAATACATCCTATATTTAATATTCATGATTCAATAGATATACATATATATATATATATACATATTACATATATATATATCATCACCAAAAAAACTTTAGTAATATCCTCAATCTTGATAAAATGCCGCACCTTTTTTTTTGAGCGCCAAACGGATCAGTTTAATTTGGGAGTTCCCTTGTAAAATTACCGCCTCTGGGAGTGCATTGAATTGCACCGTTTCTGGGTGGGTTTCTCATCGTGCAAGGGTGTTCTGAAATGGTAAGCGACGGTCCAAAGGTAAAACCAGCGGGGTGTCCGTTGAACTATCCATTTCATGCAAACTGACACTGCTTATTCATAGAAGGATGGTCAGTGATTTTATCGGGTCCCCTTAGGGTTGATGGCAAATCTTTCTGGACTTTGATATTCTTTGCACATGTAGATCCTGTGCATTACTAAAAATGAAAAACCCTTGATCCACATGTCTGTTACACTTCCTTGCGACACAGTCCAACAAAAACATACAAAAACACAGATGGTTGAGCCTTAATTCCATTCCCCTAAAATTCAATACCCCTGTAGAAACCCTGGTTTGTTCATTTTGGCGTCCTTCATTCGGGTTACTCAATATGATCGGGGGAATCCAATATACCGAGTGCCGGAGCAAAGAAAAGAATAACTATCCATAGCTATCCATAAACTAACATAACTATGGAAAATCACCATTTTTTCATTGGAAAATCCACTATTTCTATGGTCATTTTCAATAGCTATCCATAACTATCAACAAAAACCAGCATTTCTGGGCCGCTTCCCACCTGTTTGTGTCCAACACTTCCAGATCCGGAGCGTGCGTCTCCCCGCGGCCAGTTGGCCGCTTCGAGAGCGCAGGCGGAACAGTTCCTTGGAGACCCGGAAGTTCATTGATGAATATCATACATATATATATATAGTTATATACTGTAATGTTATATATCACATATATATGGTTATATATATATATACAATATGTGTATGTATTTATATATATATAACATATATATATATGTGATATATATATACATATGTATACATTATATATATGTATATAGATATGATATATACATATATATGATATATATATATATATATGATATGATTTATGATTGCATATGTGTAAACACATGCAACCATATACATTTACATGTACAGACTTACATGTGCACATCTATATATTCACTGTAAGCATAAGTGTCCGAATGTGGCTGTTGTAACATTCAGCAAAATTGTAACCACGAATGACATGATAGGAATTTGCTAAGTAATCACAAAAGATAAGCAGACACTCCTAAGAAACTCAAGGGACAAACTGCTGAACCATCCTCGAGATGATGGGATGATTGGCCACAACAAAATGATAAGATGTGGAGCAGGCTTACTGGTTGGTTGGAAGTGAAGCGTTCTGTTTCACTACGGATTGTGGAGTATTGATTCAGCAAATTTTCAGCCACGGATTTGGAACAATCCCCTGGAGGTTCATGGCAGCAATTATTCCCGAAACATTACTAAACATGACCTGCCTTTCTGAGTCCAGATTGTACCAAGTTGGTTATACATCCCATATTCATAGCAATTACTGTATATCCCATGATCTCCACATTTTCTGGGTAAATCCAAAATAAATGACCATTTGACGCTGGTTATATGGGACCGATTTTTAGCCCCGAAAAAAAACTTTAGCCTCGAAAATGGTTGTTTTTGAGCCACGTAAATAGGTTTAGCCACGAAAAATCAAGATTTTAGCCTTGAAAAAAAAGAAATTAAAAATAAAAATAGCGTACAATGGATACAATATAATATTTTGATATTTGGTACAATATGACGTTTTCTGGATAAATATTGATACAAGAATGATTTTTCGTTTTTTTTGGTTCCTTTGTCTTTTATATGATGTTTTTTCTTCTTTTTTTAAAAAATCTTTTTCGGTATGAAAGGATGATCACAAGGTACAAAACGATGATTTTGGATACGAAAGGATTTATTTTTGGCCCTATTATTATACAGATAGTGTTGCGCCGAACAGGTGCATGGTTGCGCCGCACAGGTGCATGATATTTATATTTTATCAAAGTATATACGGGACCCTTGTTTTTTTAGTTCCTCCCCTGAGGGTCCAGGGATTGAAATTTTCAATCCAGAATTTTTTCAATCCGGATTGAAACGTCTTGGTTATTGATTTTTTCAATAATATGATTGAAAAAAGTATTTTTTTGAAAAAAATCAATAATTATCGCTTTTTTTCTTGAACAATTTCAATAATTATTGAAAAATGAATTCTTAAGGATTTTTTTTGTAGATATATTATTTCGAGATACCTGCAGCATTTAGAAAAAGAGTGCTTGGCTGACTGAAGCTGTGTTGAAGGGGATGTGCATCCAGTTTCGAGTATGAAGATCTATGTATGGCAATTGGTTTCTGCAGCCCTTTCTTTGGCTCAATCATTTTTTTTTGCAAATTCTGAGGCTTGAAAAAAAGCCATGGAGAAAGACAGGAAAGCAGGTGGGCCAAGGAAAAGGCAAGGGCGGCTTGAAAAAGGGCCAGAAAGGTGACTGGGAAGAAAGCAAGAAAGAACAACGAAAGGACAAGGGCGGCTTGGACAAAGGCAATGACAAGGGTGGCTTGGAACAAAGCCAGCTGAAAGAGGTTCACCACAGCAGGATCCAACAGGAGATTGCTGCTGGCTTTGACCCCTCTCTGCAAGAGAGCAGAGGAAGACAGTCCAGGTGGGCGAGGCAGGAGCGAAGAAGGGCTGACCAGGCAGTCCAAGATAGAAAAACTCAGTTTGAGACAGCTGGCCCGAGGCTTGAGAAACAGCCAGTGCAGCAACCACAGGAAGGCAGCCAGAGGCACAAGGCCTGGCTGCTGCTGGCAGAGGAAGTCAGCGATGAAGAGAAGAAACCCTGCCAGCAGAAAGAAAAATGGGCTGCAGCCACAGAAGAGAAGAAAGAGCAAAGAAAAGAATTAGAAAGGCTGGAGCAAAAGTTGGCTTGGAGCACTGCCACTGGATCCCAAGGCCCATGAGAAGCTTGAATGGGAGGGGGAGCCTCTACATGAGAGGCTTGGAAGAAAGCCAGAAAGGGAGCAGGAGGGGCTTGAAACAAGGCCATAAAAAAAAAGAAACTGAGCAGAACTAGCTAGAAAGACCACGGAAGCCAGTTGGGAAAAAGGCCAGCCTGCATCTGAAGCCTCAAGCATCTCTAGTTTTCAGCACATGCACACACACGCAAACACACCAACCTGAAGCAGGCATGTTACACGAATTCTGCAGCCTTAAATAAGTTCAAAAAACCTGTGTGCATGTAAACAAAAATGGGCCACAGAAGCTGGTCTGGGGACTCCAGTAGAAAAAAAGAAAGAACGAGAGAAAAAAAGAGAAAGAGAGAAAAAAAAAGAAAGAGAGAACAAAAAAAAGAAAGAGATAAAGAAAAAGAGAAAAACAGAAAAAAAGAAAGAAAAAAAGAGAGAAAAAAAAGGACAGAAAAAAAGAGAGATTAAACAAGAGAAAAAAAAGGACAGAAAAAAAGAAAGAACCAAAAAAGAAAAAAACAGAAAAAAAGAGAGAACGATTTTTAGCCCGGAAAAAAAAAAAACTTTAGCCTCGAAAATGGTTGTTTTTGAGCCACGTAAATAGGTTTAGCCACGAAAAATCAATATTTTAGCCTTGAAAAAAAAGAAATTAAAAATAAAAATAGCGTACAATGGATACAATATAATATTTTGATATTTGGTACAATATGACGTTTTCTGGATAAATATTGATACAAGAATGTTTTTTCGGGTTTTTTTTTGTTTCTTTGTTTTTTATATTATGTATTTTCTTCTTTTTTTAAAAAATCTTTTTCGGTACGAAAGGATGATCACAAGGTACAAAACGATGATTTTGGATACGAAAGGATTTATTTTTGGCCCTATTATTATACAGATAGTGTTGCACCGAACAGGTGCATGGTTGCGCCGCACAGGTGCATGATATTTATATTTTATCAAAGTATATACGGGACCCTTGTTTTTGAGTTCCTCCCCTGAGGGTCCAGGGATTGAAATTTTCAATCCAGAATTTTTTCAATCCGGATTGAAACGTCTTGGTTATTGATTTTTTTCAATAATATGATTGAAAAAATATTTATTTTTGAAAAAAAAACGATAATTATTGCTTTTTTTCTTGAACAATTTCAATAATTATTGAAAAATGAATTCTTAAGGTTTTTTTGTAGATCTATGTATGGCAATTGGTTTCTGCAGCCCTTTCTTTGGCTCAATCAGTTTTTTTGCAAATTCTGAGGCTTGAAAAAAAGCCATGGAGAAAGACAGGAAAGCAGGTGGGCCAAGGAAAAGACAAGGGCGGCTTGGAAAAGGGCCAGACAGGTGACTGGGAAGAAAGCCAGAAAGAACAAGGAAAGGACAAGGGCGGCTTGGACAAAGGCAATGACAAGGGTGGCTTGGAACAAAGCCAGCTGAAAGAGGTTCACCACAGCAGGATCCAACAGGAGATTGCTGCTGGCTTTGACCCCTCTCTGCAAGAGAGCAGGGGAAGACAGTCCAGGTGGGCCAGGCAGGAGCGAAGAAGGGCTGACCAGGCAGTCCAAGATAGAAAAACTCAGTTTGAGACAGCTGGCCCGAGGCTTGAGAAAAAGCCAGTGCAGCAACCACAGGAAGGCAGCCAGAGACACAAGGCCTGGCAGCAAATGGGCTGCAGCCACAGAAGAGAAGAAAGAGCAAAGAAAAGAGTTAGAAAGGCTGGAGCAAAAGTTGGCTTGGAGCACTGCCACTGGATCCCAAGGCCCATGAGAAGCTTGAATGGGAGGGGGAGCCTCTACATGAGAGGCTTGGAAGAAAGCCAGAAAGGGAGCAGGAGGGGCTTGAAACAAGGCCATAAAAAAAAAGAAACTGAGCAGAACTAGCTAGAAAGACCACGGAAGCCAGTTGGGAAAAAGGCCAGCCTGCATCTGAAGCCTCAAGCATCTCTAGTTTTCAGCACATGCACACACACACACAAACACACCAACCTGAGCAGGCATGTTACACGAATTCTGCAGCCTTAAATAAGCTCAAAAAACCTGTGTGCATGTAAACAAAAATGGGCCACAGAAGCTGGTCTGGGGACTCCAGTAGAAAAAAAGAAAGAACGAGAGAAAAAAGAGAAAGAGAGAAAAAAAAGAAAGAGAGAACAAAAAAAAGAAAGAGATAAAGAAAAAGAGAAAAAAAACAGAAAAAAAGAAAGAAAAAAAGAGAGAAAAAAAAGGACAGAAAAAAAAAAAGAAAAAAAAGGACAGAAAAAAAGAGAGAAAAAAAAGAGAAAAAAAAGGACAGAAAAATGAGAGAAAAAAAGGACAGAAAAAAAAATGAAAAAAAAGAAAAACAAAAAAAAAGAGAAAAAAAAAGAAACGAGAAAAACAAAATACGTGAATTACGTGGGTAAAGCTCTTACGCAGCTAGTTTTTATTTCGTGGCAAAAAAAAAAATACGTGGCTAAGAAAGGCTGCCCTGGTTATATCACCATCTTCCCATCTTGAATTCCACTCAAACACATTAAATCCATTTAAATCCCATCAAATCCCCCTAAATCCCATGGCTGGTGAAGTCCCATTGTTCTCCCTATGAACCAACCAGTCGTGCCACGCGGCCAAGGCTTCGTGATGAAGTGGCGCAACTTCATCACCTCCTGCACCAAACCCGAGAGCTTCACGCCAGCGAGGCGGCGGTTAAAGAAGGGGGAAATTCACCAAGAAACAATGGGGAATCAATGGGTTTTTATGTGACTTTAATGGGATTTAAATGGTTTTAATGGGATTTAATGGGATATTTTCTGTGGGAAAATGGGATATAACCAGCACTCATGGGATCTGTGCGGTGAAATGATGAGATATTAACCAGCAGATGATACGTGCGTGGAAGAAGATGACGAACCAGGTGATTTGGGGATATTTGGGGATACCCTAAGTTCAGACACACCCAAATGTCCCATGTACTTCAGCCCAAAAGATCCAATTTTGGATATCCAGTCGTATCATATCATACATGTATCATTACACTCGTTGAATTTAAGTCTGTAGGTTGTGTTGCATAGAACTTGACCTGGAAGGTATCACCCCTAGCAGCCTCGTGATTGCTGAGTGTTGAGAGGCTTCCCGCTTGCATTTCCAGTTGCAGGACGCTCCGGCGTTTTCATCGTTAGATGTCAGGGGTGTTGCTTGTCGTGCTGTTACATACCCTTTGGTAATTTAACAATATTTAACATAGCTATTGAAAATGGCCATCTATAGTTGATTTTCCCATTAAAAATGATGATTTTCCATAGTGTTTTGTATGTTTACCAGAGGGTATCAAGCTTGGCTTCGAGCTGTCGTGGGTTTCAAATCGATGGAATCCTCTGAATCCCCAGGAGAGCAAGACTACGGCCCGGCGCGAGCAGGGCCTGCGCGAAGAAGCCGAGCTGCGCGAGCGACCTGGCAGGATAGGGAACCAAAATGAAGAAATGTGGGAAACCCAATGCCAAAAACCTATACAAACCTACCATTTGGTAATGACCTTAATGGTGATTTTGAGCATATGATTTATTATTGGATTTACCACATGAGGGATGTACAAGCCACCATATACTAAAGAAGCTGATTTTGGTAGTTGAGCCATCATGATCCATCATGATTCATAAATGTATATGTATATGTATATGTATATGTATACGTGTATAATATATATATATACGGCAAATGCCTGGGTTTTGCCCGGACCCGCAATGACGACGGGCGACACATCCTCATCATCATCAACATCATCAACATCATCAACATTATCATCATGATCATCAACATCAGCATCATAATAATAATAATCATCATCATCATTACGGGGGTGGGAGTTTAATATTCCCTAATATCTTTGTTGATCTTCCCAATTGCATGTAAAGTTTAACGGGGGTGGGAGTTTAATATTCCCTAATATCTTTGTTGATCTTCCCAATTGCATGTAAAGTTCAACGGGGGTGGGAGTTTAATATTCCCTAATACCGTTTTTGTTTTTCCCATAGGAATTTCGGGTGTTTTGACTTTGTTTATATAGTCCCTAGTACCTTTGTTGTTTTTCCCATAGGAATTTAAGGTTTAACGGGGGTGGGGGTTTAATATTCCCTAATATCTTTGTTGATCTTCCTAATTGAATTTTAATTTTCACGATTTGAGAGTTTAAAATTTGCTAGTACCTTTGTTGTTTTTTCCATAGGAATTGCAGGTGTTATGCCGTTTTTGTTTTTCCCATAGGAATTTCGGGTGTTTTGACCTTGTTTGTTTGATAGTCTCTAGTACCTGTGTTAATTTTCCCATAGGAATTACGGTAATTTGCAACATCATTTGTTCGTGAATGGAACATATATACGCTGCAACGCCTGGGCAGAACCCAGGCGTTGCGCGTATATATATATATATATATACACGTATGTATGTGTATATATATATATATATATCCATATTCAAATATTGATGTCATGTATAGTTATATGCATGATCATACATAGAATATTGATTTTTCAACCATATTCACGCATGGGTAAATCCCCCATGCGATAACATGATTCATGACCGTATATATATAAATATACACATACATACATATAACATTATATAACCACACAATGACAATTGTGATCTGGGTTTGCCCAGAAATGTGGTGCGCAGTATTAGTCACGAAAGCGAGGAACTACGTTCAGTTGAGCTTAGCGTGGTTCCAGGACGTTTGTGCGGAAGAAGAAACCATGATAACCCAAGGATTTTAAGGATCCACCCTTTTTTGGAAACAACCATATATATATATAATTATATATATAATTATATATATAATTATATATATATATAATTATATATATAATTATATATATAATACACTGCACATGATCTTATCTATATATCATCTAGAAAATAGGCATTTCCCTATATAACTATATCCAGATTGTCATTTCTGATTGACCACCATTTTCTATATTTTATGTATATACAGTAGATGAATCCCAAAATTGGGGGGTTACCCTAAAGCTATAACCAATGATACCCATGGCTGTGTCTTGGTGCACGGAATCCCCGCAGGGTCAGCTCGGCTCGGCCGAGGAAGGCCAAGAGTTCTCAGTGCGACCAGTTGCAGAAGGAGATTGGAGCATTGAAGCAACAACTGACCAAGCGTCACCCACCCAGAGATCTGCAGATTTGGGAGGAGTTTGTGAGCCAAATACTGTTAGTATCTGTGTGTTTTGTTTAGAGTTTTAAAGTTTTCTCTACCCATGACTGAATAGTGGCTTTGTTTTCGTTTGAAAAAGTGTGTTTATCATCCACAGTGACAAATCCCTCACAACTGAAAGTAACACTGGGCCATTGGTGAACTGGCCAGTGATCATATGAGGAAAACTGACTTTGAACATTTTAAGTCAATTCAAATGAATCGTTTTGGAACGCACATGACCAGCGTGGCCAGCATGGTTCAACTCTGTGGCTCAGGTCACATCCACATTGGCGGATCTTCCCAAGGAAATTCGCCGCTGAATTCTTTGAAGGGCAACTCGGATCTGAAAACAGCTCAAAAGCGTTTGGGTTTGTGTGAACACATGTGGTGGAAAATATATGAAAATATCCCAAACTGATGAAACATGCAATTTTTATTGCCCAAATTGTCATTTGGATTTCAGATCATGATCAATGACAACAGGATTTCGGGTTGCGTTTCCCGCAAGGCGAAGACTTGAGGCAGTTGGGCACGGAGCTCCAACAAATACGGCAAGACAGCCAGGACGAGCCTTTTCCATGGGAAGCATTCGTGTCATTAGTGGGGAGTTGACCAACGGATTATATCCCGTCATGACATCCTATGACTTAAAAACGACTGAGTCATGGCTTGCTTTGTGGGAATTCAAAGAAATTGGATGGGATGCTTTCATGGCATATATGGGGATATCCATGGGGATGTCATGGTATGATAGAACCTTTTCCACCACTATGTTTTGGGACAATCTATTGGTGGCAACATGTGGCAACCATGCAACCATGGGATTCCACTAGTTGATAGCCATCAAATAATCATTTGAAGGGTCACCGTTTTCACCATATTTTTCCACGGAGGAGCTGCGCGATTTAATGGCCAAGCAACACGACGAAGAACTCCAGAGACTCCGAGAAGATTTGGAGCAAACACAGCAGTCCTCTCGCAAAGCTCACCATGCAGTGTCAAAATTGGAGGAGCCAATGGAAGCTGCTGGGTGTTCACATATGGTATGCACAATATATTGTTCAGATACGTTCAGATTGTAGCGAAGGATTGCATTTTTTGTGTGCCAGCAAAGTGTGCCAGTAAAGTGGTAGATGTTCGTTCAGCGTAGCCCTTCTCCCGGGCGGGAAGAACAGTCAGTTTGAGGCTTGATCATTCCTTGCGAATGGATCGAAATGCTTTGTGCATTCCCCGAAAACAACGACATGTTAACTGAAGATTACCAAGTCTCACTGAAACATACTGAAACTTCCCAATTTCACATTGTGAGAATCGCCTTTGCTGAAACTCCGCCATTTTTTCTTTGCAACTCCCTCATTTTCCCAGAATCAGACTTGGTTGAAGGGAAATTTGGAGTAAAAACGCAGGTTTCCTGTAAAGTGTCCCTTGAATCCATTGACACCAACCACGGAGGCAGCTCAAAAACAACAGTCCATCACCGACCAAGCGGCCACGCGAAAGCTCGAAGACAGGTGGAAAACATGGGCGGGTGAAATGGACCAGGATTGGGATACTACATATGTTTAATATATATATATAGTTAAGGACATAGATCAAGGCACATTTATACAGGTAATATATATATATACATATATATATGCATATATATATATATACATATATATATATATACTGTATATACATATATTTGGAGGGTAACTAAAATCCAACAAATCTGGATAAATTTGACCACCTCTAACTTCAAATCCTTCAAACATTACTGTATCGGAAAATAGGGATTTAATTTTAAGCAAATTTTTCCAAATACCGGATTTTATTCAATTTTAATTTTCCTTGACTTCTGCCCGGCGGAACTGTTTGATTTCCAGTTTTTCCTGTATTGCCACCAAAAATGCGTACCTTTACCCCAAAAGGGTCCATTTTTTACAACAGATGCATCAGGACTTTAAGCAAAAACAAATATCTCTTGCTTTTTCCTGGAGATTATTTCTTTGAAATAGACTTAGAACACCATTTGGAAAACGCTAGTTCCAAAACGACGCAGGTAAACTGTTCTAAGTGTATGTTTAAGGAAATACACTTAGAACACGTGTTCTAACTGGCACTTAGAACAATTCCAAATGGTGTTCTAAGTGTATGTCCATGCAAGGATCTGCACAGCCTTCAGTGCAAATTTATGGATGTATAATGGTAGATATATATATATATATGATTATGTATACCGATGATTGATGTGGTAAACTCAACAATAAACCATCCCATTTACCAACCATTTGGTTCCAAAATAGAGGTCTACCCAATAACAAAACTCTTTTTGGGGCATAATTATACCCCATAATTTCCCATAAACCACCATCTTTGTTGAGTGCATCCGAAATTCCCCAGCTATATATATATACATCGGGGTACAATATTGCTGCATATCATATTACATATATATATATATGTTCTTGAATTATAGTGTGTGATTGCAATGTAAATTAAATACGGACATACACTTAGAACACATGTTGGAAAATGCGTGTTGGTATAAGATGTGTTCTCAGACGTGCCGGCTGCTGTTCTAAGTGTAGACTTAGAACGTGTGTTCTAAGCCAACACATAGAAAAGAGAGGGAGGGTAATAACACGCGTTCTAAGTGTAGGAAAAACTATTTTGGAAAACAATTTGTGTTCTAAGTGTATGTCCATTACTATACCTATGTATAGATAAGTGCACGTAATATCACATTATAACAATATAGCAACACAATATGATATAACATAAACATAACATAATATCAAAAAACAACATAATAACATAAAAATGTCATAACATCATGACATAGTAACATAACATCATGATAACATACTGTAACACCGTATCATATAATGATCTAATGTAATGTACAACAATAAGTTTGTATGATCTAATTTGATATAAGATAATATCATATGATATGATATGATAAAGTAGAACATAACATGATGTTGATATAGTAGTAGAATCTTGTATAACAATGTATACTATACTATTATATAGTATAGGGTAATTTAACATGATATAACATAGCATCACATGTAGTATATTATAATACAACATGATATAATATCATGTGTAAACACACGTATATACATGTACATATAAATGCACATGCAAATATAGAGTATGACTGTTTCTTTAAAAAGCAACAGCTGTCACAGAATTGGGGAAGCCGATATAAATTCGCAGCTCTCAATCAGATTAGCTCCACCTACGAGGTGCCTTCAGCTGGAGCATTATACGGAGATTGCGGAGGTTGGGTGCTGAGAACATCTGAGATACATCAACCAACAATGGTGACCGGTAAGCCCTAAACTATGACTAAGAATACTTCAGAAGCCTAAATGTTTTCGTGGTATGCAAAAGACACTCAAGCGATAAAGATATATATATATATATATACATAAATGAGGTATGGTTTATCAGTTTGTTTTGCGCAGTAATGTCACATTTTCCGACACAATCAGGGAAAGAAGCTGAACAAACCAATAAAGCATATCAATGGATCTCCTGGGTGTCAAGTTTATGGTGGGCTGCCAACACGCGGAACCACAGTACAAGCTGGATCAAGAGAAAGGTCAGAAACGGGCTAAGGGCTTCAAACGTGGTCCAATGTTCTTTGTTTGCAGCGTACTGTATCTTTTTTTTCAATTTCTTATGCGGAGAGAATGGAGAACAACGTCACTCTTTTTCATATGCGATCCCTGATATAGTTTGCACATTGATTTGGGTTCCAGCAAAAATGTCAACTTCTCAAACCTTTGATCTAAAGATAATAATCCTTGTCACAAACCATGCATTTTAGATCCTTAAATCCGAAAGTGATCTAAAATGCATGACCAACGATGGTTTTGAGAAGGCATCTCTACCTGATCCTGCAGATGGTGGTCCTGTTCTCCTAAGCAAGGCATTCAACGCAAATCTCTGTGCCACAGAGCCCCCTCAAAGGAAAACATGAAAAAACATGACATCTTCTGAGTTTTTACATGTTCCAAGACATAGATATTACATTATATTACCAACATGGGTGGTTTTTCAGATGGTAAACATGTCCCTGTATAGATATATATTGCCAACATTACTAACATTTATTTCAGATATGTCAAGATCTATAGATCACATGCCACCCCAAATAGATCTGGTCGTAGCGAGGCCAAGCGGATGGCGGCGACAGAGGAGGTCAGAGCCATGGAGGCTACGTTTTTTTTTTGCGGCCAGAGCCGGTTTTTTTTTTAATACAAAAAACCCTCATAAATGATAGTAATGATAATTGAATGACAATCAATAGCAAAAAGAATTCAATTCAATTTATTGATAGTGATAAATTGAGTATTTATCCCATTAACCATCCCATCACTATTAATCACCATCCCATTACAATCACTATTTATAGTGAGTAGTGATTGATAGTGATCAATAGTGATGGGATGGTTAATGGGATGGTGATTCTGGATGAATTGTAATGGGGGTACCCCCTAATCATCCAAGTCATGGATGCCTATTTTATCCTATTTTTGTATTTAAATCTGTGGTGACTTGGGGATTCTCCATTTTAAGAAACCTCAATATAATATTTGGATGAATTACAATGACCTCACCGTGACGTCAAATGGACGTATGAGAACAGCTATGTTCAGGTTGCTGAATCATAATAATGCAGCCAGATAATATGATATATATATATATACATATATACCCGCTGGTTGTTTAACATAGCTGTGAAAGCCATGGCCCATTTGGTTCGAGAACTGATGTTGATTTACCTATATAGCCTAAAATGGTGATTTTCCATAGCTACAAACAGTCAATATATATATATACATAAAATCGTGAGCCTGTTCTATCTTTTTGAAGGTCGTCATGAAGTAGATAGAATATGGAATGTTCAAACGAACTCACTAAATTGGTAAGGTGATTGAAATTTACACATTATATCTACTTCAGGATGGTTATTGTTGTTAAATTTAACAATTCTTTATATTACATCATATAATATCATAGTCATATTATATGATATTTATTACATTATATGATATTATATTATTACATTATGTTATATTATAGTATGATACATTATATTATACTGTATCTTATATTTCATATATTATATATTGTATATTATATATATTATATGTTGTATACTAATTATTATTCTATATATTATTTATGTTATACATTACATATATATTATCCACATTATATATTATTCGTATTATATATATTATACCATATTATGTGTTTTATATCATATTTTCAATTTTATTATATTACAATATTATATAATGATATATTATTGTATTATGTTTTAATATTATATAGAATCATATCATATGTTTGATATAGTCAGTGAGTTCGGCCTCATATGTATACTAATATTTATGAGTTGGTTAATCTTTGAAATTGGTTACTTTATGAATAGGACAGTAGAAGTTGAACATACTGTTGTATCTAGTAATTCCGTTTCCAAAATCATAGTCAATTACCTTTCTACCATTGGGGATTGCTAGATTCATATATGGTGTGTCTTACATCTGTTGCATATATACACACACATTCATGGTTTCTGCTTATGAAGCAACAAAGACAAGCAAGAGAGAAAGAATCTGAAGGACAGAAATGAAAAAAGGATGGCTCTGACATGGTCATCTGAAATGTCGAGCCCAACCGATAAATGGGATGTTTGCTGATTCTCAGTATTAAAGGATCTACAGTCACAAATGGACAAAGGATATCAGCCAGCAACTATGGGGCCGTCCCCAATAGCTATCAACAATAATAGAAGAAATCGGCAATGTAACAAAGCAGACGGACGAAACAGGGAGCCCCCCAAAATGATCCAAAATGCATAGCCAGTAAGGCAGTCTCTATGAAAGAACGGTTTAGTTTAGAGATATATCCGTTAAGGTCCAGTGTTACGATTGGCTGCTAGCTGTGGGTAAAGAATACTGCATAAGGCCCAAAGACATCCCTTCATCAGGGAGCTTACCCAAGGTTCTTTGAATCATAGTATGTTTTGGTCCAGTCCAAAATCAAGACAGAAGAAAAACAAACTGCAGATTCTCTGTGTTTCATCCAGAGTTGAGGAATTCGATCCATTTTGATTCATCGAATGGGCACTCTCTTGAGAAGCTCACTCTTGGAGAGTCCCTTTGCAGGCAGCCCACCGGAAGCTCAACCAGGAAATGCATCAGGAACAGGCCGGAAACAACTGGTGACTGACTCCAGTCTGGTGTTATTTTTTGGTGATTGTTCACGACATGCGAGGATTGAACAGTCTACAATATGCGATTGTCTATAGTAGTCTACTTGGAGTTACTTGGATGAACATCCGGTGAGTAATTGAAATAATCATCCAAATATCATTCCAAATTGATTTGTCCATCCCAAATCATTCCAATTCATCCACATGTTGTGGATTATTAAGACATAGTTTAATCATGTTCAATCATATGAAAACGCGAGGCAGCTGCCAGACAAGCTCACACGCAGCTGGAGCGGCTTTCCCTGGAGCAGAAGAGCATGATTTTAGACCAGGCGCTACAGGTGCGCGCTGGAGACTTACCCGGGCCGCACACAGAAACCTTGATATTAGAGCTATAATATTACATATTAATACATATTATATATATATACATATATATTATCAAATTATTTATATATATATGTATATATTATCAAATTATATATATATAATATTATCAAATTATATATATGTCATATATGTCATATATATATATGTCAATTTAGGCGGGTTTTGAATGCAATTCCCTGTTGAGATCCCCATGGTCACCATGGTCCCAGAATGGGATGCAACAGGAGGAAGCTCAAGAACGAGCTTCGCAGCTGACGAAGCGATTCGCTGCCAGTGAAGTTCAAAGAGAAGATCTGGAGAGGCCTGGATGCCTGGATGGTGTTAACCTCCCGAAATCAACAGTGTTTTTGATTGTTTATTTGGGAAATTAGATAGAGGGACTTGAGCTGATTTGGGCGCACCATGTATTTGAACATCCTCCGACTCTTCGTGAGAATCGTTGTGATCACTTGGTGCTTCTGGGGACCAGGCAACTTCGACAAGAAAGACATCAGTTGCACTTGGTGCAGAAACAGTTGGATGCAACTGCACTTTACCATGCATCTCAGCTATTTTAGCAGCTGGCTTCAGCAGAGTTCATCACCGGTGTGGAAGACTGGGATACATGGTCACGTTGACTTCGTGAGAAAGACCATGTACCTGTCCTCAGTAAAATCACAGACGGGTCGAGATATCAGTACACAGAAAATATACGCATGTATTTTTAATATGTATATACAGTGTACAAATACATAATTGTAACTAGCTATATGATATTATATGTAGAATCTCCGTTCTGTCTCTTCTACCAGACGCAATATACTGTATCTGCTCAACATGTATGGGAGCATGGACCCAAAATTGATGTAAAGCCGTTCCGAGACATGTGAAGACCACAATACAGTTACAGTAATTGCATGATACATGTAATTACATGGTATGGCTCGAATTTTGCCCACTCGGCCCGCAGATTGGCTGTTCATCTTCAGTATCAGACCATCCCACTAAATGGAGTTGAAACAAGTACCTCTAATTTATATAGCTGTTCGAATGCCCCGTTTTCGTTGGTCCAACCATGCAATTCCTTTTTCCCACCTTCCTCTCATAGTAAGCTCCCGGACTCTGTGTGCCCCACGGGACCCCGTCAATGTAGCAGGCTATAGAATAACCCTATGTCAGAATATATATATATACGGTAACGACATTTAAATATGTGGAGGGCGGGCCAGACCACAGGCCTAGGAGGTAGTATAAAATACCAGTTCGTGTATTAAAAGTAGTTACCGTATGTTTTAAAAAATGGCCGGGTGGGCCAAGGAAAACCCTCCCGGAGGTAGTCTGAAATACCTGTTCGTATAATTTTAAAATCTGGACATCTAAATGTAGTTTTATATATGTATATACCATATATATATATCATTACATATCATGCAACTTGCCGGAGCAAAATGCTGGAATATATGTCAGAATACATGTCGGAGTTTGTGTCACATGAAATTTGCTAGGATCAATGTCAGATATGTCAGACCGTATGCCAGGAAGAAAGTCAGAATATGTCAGCATATATGTCAGACTACCGTACATGTCCGAGTATATGTCAGGAGAAAAGTCAGAGGACATGTCAAAATATTTGTCAGAATATATATATATAATATGATAATATAATACATATATAATATATATATACATTGTATCTCAAGATACATGTTCCAACGTCTGACGGAACGTATGTTAGAATAAATGTCATATGCAAATTTATTTTTTTGTCAGAATGTGTATGTTCCAAACTATTGTGGGGATCACCCGAAGTAGAGTGACTGTTTATTCTGGAGCCATTTTCTTGACCTATCACTTCAGTTTAAATATCGTTTTTAGGATATCCTCCAGACAATCATGGACATCCCCAACTCAAATATTTTAGATACTACCCCACAATACCTGACGATATACTAAACTATCTACATAAACCTGAACTTCTGTGGTCAAGCCAATAAATAAACCTACCAGTTTGGGATGGTTCATTGTTGGCTTTCCCACTTGATTTGGCTTTGCTTAGAAGTAGGCTACTCCGAAATCCGAAAAAAGAACACAAGGTCTTCATCCGCCCATGAAAATAGACTGGTTTTACATCATTTTACATCACTTTAGATCATTTTACCAACAATTTTCATCAATTTACATCATTTTACTACCAATTTTCATCAATTTACATCATTTTACCAGCAATTTTCATCAATTTACATCATTTTACTACCAATTTTCATCAATTTACATCATTTTACCAGCAATTTTCATCAATTTACATCATTTTACCAACAATTTTCATCAATTTACATCATTTTACCAGCAATTTTCATCAATTTACATCATTTTACCAGCAATTTTCATCAATTTACATCATTTTACCAGCAATTTTCATCAATTTACATCATTTTACCAACAATTTTCATCAATTTACATCATTTTACCAGCAATTTTCATCAATTTACATCATTTTACCAGCAATTTTCATCAATTTACATCATTTCACCAGCAAAATTCATCAATTTACATCATTTTACCAGCAATTTTCATCAATTTACATCATTTTACCAGCAATTTTCATCAATTTACATCATTTCACCAGCAATTTTCATCAATTTACATCATTTTACTAGCAATTTTCATCAATTTACATCATTTTACCAGCAATTTTCATCAATTTACATCATTTTACCAGCAATTTTCATCAATTTACATCATTTTACCAGCAATTTTCATGAATTTTCCCCAAGATCAGCCCATCCCCAGCCGCCTAGGACCGAGCCCAGGAGCGGATTTCCACCCTGGAGGCCTCGGCCAAATCTGCGGACCTGCAACAGGCCGTGGAGTGCGCGTCCTTTTGGACGGAGCTGGGGGACCCAAAGAGATCCAGTGGTGAATTTTGATGTTTATGTCAATGTTTATAAGCTAAAAAAAACGAAGATATACGAAGTATATTAGTGTATGTATAACTTATATATATATATGATTATATATGATTATATATGATTATATATGATTATATATGATTATATATGATCTCTATTTAAACAGAAGTCTAACTCGGGATATTCCATTCATGTAAGTGGGGTGTTTCATATGGTGAGTTTACCCTTACGATACCTGGGATGCACCCAGAAGCAGGACCCCACTGTGATTCAGTGATGATAAGACACCATTTAGTCATTTAGTTAGGGAACGTTCAGATAGATCGTCGGAAAATTAGGCTTTTTCAAGGGGCACTCCAACCCCAATGACCCTTAGCAATTTGTTTAAGATAAAACATACACTCAATGGATATTTTGATGGTGTTTTTTCCATTGCCAGCATGACTGGCCAGGCTTGCAATGACGATATCAGATGATCTCAGAAAGATGATATCACCAGACACGCGATATGAACTGCTGGTTGTGTGTTGGGATGAATGAGCAGGGAAGTCTATCACCAATCGGTAGAAGGGAGTGGCAAACAGGTTTTTCATGGTTTTACCAGATACCCACTGAGATCACAAATGCCACAGGGGAATTCATATGTTCAAGTGTCCTGAATGAAACATTGTTTGTAAGTGGCCATCAGCGGTGGATTTTCAGTTGCCAGGGTAGATTACCGGACCGGAAATTGGCCGAGAAAATGTGTGAATCGGCCCGCCCTGTGCTGAGGCAAGATGCCTTGAGAAGAAGTCAACGACAAACTGCTGTATCCGAGGAGCAATGGTATGTGTCACGCATGTCGCCGAGGTTTACTTGCTGAATCTTGCTGGTGGCCCCAAAAAGGCACTGTAAGTTGTGGGATCAAACGTGTTCCTAAATGTTAGGCCAGACCGGGCCAGATGAAGTAATTATATATTAATCTGGTCATGTGAGATTCGTGGCCAGGAACGCGCAAGACAGCTGCAATTCGAGGTAAAATCATTGGAGTACCAGCAGGACTGCAGATAATATTTTGGTCCTCAGCTTGGTTGTGCCACAGATTTTGTCGTACACGTCATCACAAAACATGCAAAGGATGCATGGATATTGCATGCAGCACATTAAGTATACTCATCCCCAATACCCATTTCGACTTCGGTAAACAACCGATCTGTTTTTCTCGGGTGCCAAGAAGTTTTGCCTCAGGAACATGCGAGGCAGCTACAACTCTCGGTGGAGCGATTGGAATCCAAGGAGGAGATCCTGCTGGGAGAAGTATCATGCAGCATTCCGTGGTATGACAAGCGGTTTGTGTTGTGAGGAGGCGGCAGAACAAGCGCAATTGGAACTGAAAGATCAGCCGCTTGGCTTTGGGACTCGATCCAGAGAGTTAGATGATGTTAAATGGGTACATCATGGTACATCCATAATTCTTGGACTATTCTTCAATCATTGAAGCATTGAACTTGTTCTCAATGACAGCCATGGACAGCCATTGGCGGAGAACCCATGGGCCCAGGCATTCGATGGCGGAGAGTAAGGCCTGACGCCCAGGGGTCCATCGATGGTCCGTCCCGATGGTCCTGGTTCCAAGCCACGGCGACTTCCAAGTTCCAAGCCTCCCGAGGTGAGCCAATTGCAAGATGCCGTGTCCTTTCTGCAGCAGCGATGCTTGGCGGGATTTCGATTGGATTTCTGATTACTGTAGAATCTGTAGATTCCCGTTGGATGTCTATATGGCTTATGGCTCGGTGTTTTGTTTGGTTTGTGGCACCACTTAACAGTCTTAACACCACTGAAGCCCTCCATGTACATCAACGGGTATGTTAATGATTGTGAATGCCACCAAACCGACCCTATCCGACGACAATTCCCAGCTGAGGAGTAACTCAGAACGCAGGGACGGATGCCAAACTGAGTGAAATTCAGATGATGTTCCGGAAGGTCATTGGAAGCGGAGTGTGGAGTTTCGTGATGAAATGTGGATGGGTCAAAAGCAGTGAGACCATGCGATGCCAGGCCATGGGATAAGTATAGGAAGAAATGGATAGAAATGGAACCCATAAATATATGTGTATACTATATGATCACCACCCCTTTAAGGCTACTTTTCAGGGGGGCCATACCAGAATGTAAGCTACATTTTTTGGGATCCGCACTTAAGTAAAATTTGGTCGCTGAACGTCCCCCAGGTGTCGTTTTTGTGGGGAGGGTCTTCAAAATGCCTTCAAAATGTAAGCTTACATTTTCAAGGCCCCCCTCAAAAACACCTTGAAAAATGTAGCGTACATTTTGGGTACGTGCCCCCTTTAAAAGGGTGTTGATACTATATGATGTCTAAATAGTCCTGGATTTGTGGATCTGGTTGGCAGGTCCTGAACCGCTACAAGAAGTTGCTGGCGAGCAGCGCAGACACTCACATCTCAACTGTCACATGCGAGCTGAAACCTTAGAAATCACTGGACAGAGCTTGGTGGTTGCAGTTGTCTGATCGGTTGGTGCTTCATAGTTCGTATGCACTATTGGAACATACATGAACCTACTGTATCCTACTGTATGAATCTCTGGCAGATGTATGATTTGAAATTATATATGTATATAATATACATGAATATACATAATCATTAATATACATTAATATACATTAATTATAATTTAATATACATGAATATACATTCATATACGTTAATATAATATACATTAATATACGTTAATATACATTAATATACATTAATATACATTAATATACATTAATATACCTTAATATACCTTAATATACGTTAATATGTGTTAATATACATTAATATACATTAATATACGTTAATATACGTTAATATACATTAATATACATTAATATACATTAATATACATTAATATACATTAATATACATTAATATACATTAATATATATATATATATATAATAGCTAATCTAATATTAATATACATCCAGTTTGGGTTTTCCCATCAGGTCCAAGCTCAGTGAGATGGAAATGTTGATGCGCGGTGTGGAGGAAGAACAGGATGCGTTGATCTCGCTACAGGCCGGGTGCCGCCCTTAAGGCAACAAGGTAATCTCTCTTTGGGCTATTGTGGAGAAGCAAGATATGTATGTATGTTTATATTATATATATATATATTAGTATTCATTTGTCTTCTGTGTTTAGGATTGGCAGGTTGCGGTGCACAAAGCTACACTTGTCTTCAGAATCAACCTGACTTTGTCTGAGTCTGGCTCTATCCAACTTATCAGCTTCTTCTCCCTGTCGGTTCAAGGCCCCTGACTTGAAATTGTCATTCTGGCCTCCCCCGATATCTAAAGTTCCAATGCTGTAATGTCACACAAACTCTGAAACTCTGAGCCATCTGCGAAGACAGGGGAATGACGTCTGGCTGCTGCATCCGTCACATATGTCCCCTCCATTTGGTTGTCTGCAAGCCACAGTGTATATATATATTATACAATAAACATGAACTGAGAAGCATAAAGCTACGTACACCAGTGATTGACCACTGCTAGGCATCTGTCCTGGCAGGAGCAGCAACAGCTGAATTTGGCCAGCGCAGAAGCTCGAGAAAAAGCCCTGCAGTCCGAGGTCCGGGTGCAAAGATGGGGTAATCAGTGGCTTGGAAACGTCCTCGACTTGGTGGGTCCAAAAACATCCAAAAACCCTTGGGATTTACATCTGATGATAATTGGATTTTGATGATTTTGGGAGATTTTGAGACCCAGATGGTTTGTTCTGACTACTTTGCTTTCTTTTTCGTTCTGGCTGATTGACTAGGAGTTAAGACAACCGGTGGGTATATGATAATAAAGGATGATAAAGGATGATAAATGATGATAAATGATTATTGCTGATGATTATATAATGATGATAACATGGTGACAAGATGTGACAAGTGATGACAAATGACGACAAATGATGATGGAAATCAGAATCTGCCAAGATCAGCGATTCCACGATATTCCATCCAGCTAGACCATAGTGGTGGTTTGTTGTTTTTCATGTTTCGCATAGAAAGACTCTGTGTCTTGAGCTCTAGGATCTGTTGAAATGGTGCTTGGAGATGATCCGGCCAGTGGAAATCCTATACTAAAAATATTGATGATAGGCCATTGTCCTAGGGTTACTGCTATCAACTTCATTGATTTGAATCAAACAATATATCCATACATACATACATGCACAATCATGCATATATCTGGATTGTATGTATATATATATGTTTATACGGTTTATAATTGCATGCTATATTGTATATGTGCAGGGTTTTCTCTGAAAATAGGATACCCAACTCCATCCACTCGCTAACCCGTTTGGGAAACCTTATCAGCTACAGCCAGAATCAGCATAAGTTGATGATATGAACATCTGGTGATCGATCTAAAGATCCTTGTAAAGACTTTTAATTGGGAAGACAGTTCATGTTATACTGGGAACCCTCGCGGTAGTTTTTTTTCGCATTTTTTTGCGAGTTCGCGCAAGTAATTTTTGATGCGTTTCAGGTCTCCAGAATTGTATGACCTTTTTCAACCAGGTCGAAATCCCCCCAGGCCGCTGAAGAGATGAGGGAAAGCATCGGCCTCCGCACCTTGCTTCGTTCAGCTGAGCTTCTCGGCGAAAAAAGGCGGAGTTCGAGTTCCAGCTGCGGTGCGGTAGTAAAGAAATAAAATAAACTACCATGGTCCATTATGATCCGCAAGGATATGTATATATAACTATATATATAAATATAAATTATACACATATATATATATATACATATCATTGGAAATAAGTATATGTACAACTATATATATAATTCTATCTCACAATATATATATATAGAGTTATATATGTAACTATAAACATATAACTGTATATACAACTACATATATATATATACATATACAACTACATATATATAACTACATTTTAAACTATGTATATATATAACTATGAACATAACTATATATATAACTATGTATCTAACAATATATATAACTATATAAATAACTATATATATAACTATATATATAACTATATATATAACTATATATATACAACTATATATATAACTATATATATACAACTATATATATATAACTATATATATAACTATATATATAACTATATATATATAACTATATATATATATACAACTATATATAACTGTATATAACTGTATATATAACTAGATATGTATAACTGTATATATATATATATAAGTATAGATTTAACTATAGATATATCTATATCTATATATAACTAAATATATATATATAACTCTATATATATACATAACTATATATACATAATTGTATGTATTTATTTAACACTATATATAGATACAGTTAATGATTAGATAATTTTATTTTATTATGTATATATATATATGTATCCTTATTTTTAAATAATTTTATTATATACAATTGATTATCAATAATTTTAATAATGATATAATGATACATATATATATATATATATGTAATTATGATATTTATATATATATACTGGTCACCAGGAGAATGGTGATATAACCACCAATAATAAGCAGTTATTGGGGATTTCTTCACGGGTGTATGATAGAGATATCATGCGGATTCAAGCCACATAGATTCGGAGATTTGTGAGTCATAATAATGGGAACATACTGAGGATTTATCAAAGGAAGTTGGGAAGCAATCTTCCGAGTTACGGACAAATAGAATTGTGAGACTCTACATCACATAACAATACATTGATGAAGGGCGGTGTGAGACTACATCACGTAACAATATATTGATGAGGGGCGGTGTGAGACTTTACATCACATAACAATACATTGATGAAGGGCGGTGTGAGGAAGCCGTAGCACGAAACCTTGTGTTTTTCCGTGTAAAGTGGCTGCAGGTGGCGATGAAAGGTACCTCCTGTGTGCGGCGGTTGCGGCTGGGGTCGTTCCAAGCGTAATCGGTTCCTCCTCTGTGTTCTGCAACGAGTGGTTCTTCCTGTGTGCGTAGTTCTATGCGTTTCTTGAATCTGTGGTTGCAGATCGCATTGGGATGGCGTTGCCATGCGCGTAGAGAGATGCAATTGCTACGTGATGCTGCAAAATGCATTTCAATGGCTGCATGAATTTTGCATGGGTCTTGTGTTGGGGAGGAACCCGGGGCACGAAACCTTGCGTCGTTCCGAGCGTAATCGGTTCCTCCTCTGTGTTCTGCAAGGAGTGGTTGTTCATGCGTGCGTTGTTCTATTGGTTTCTTGAAGCTGTGGTTGCAGATCGCAGTGTAATGGCTGCATCAAGGTTGCTGGGTGCCGCGGCAGCATGCGTAATACTGTTGTCTTCTGCAGCTGAAAGCCGTGCATCCAATTGGAGTGACTGCATCAAGGCTGCGATAGTCATTTGTCAGCAGATTTTCTCAATTTTGGCGTTGGTAATTTTCCTTTTAAAATTCCTTTTGTAAGTGCTTCAAAATCGTCTTTTTCCGCTTTGGCGTCGAGATCCGGTTTTGGAGCTGCAATGTTCGACGCCGTTGCGCGTAGCTCTAGTGTGTTTCGCAACTCAGTCTCTGCCGATCGCACTGTAATGGCTGCGTCAAGGTTGCGTGGCGCCGCGGCTGCGTGCGTAATACTCGTGTCTTTGGCAGCTGGGCATCGTAAATCATATTGGAGTGGCTGCATCAAGGCTGCGATAGTCATTTGTCAGCAGATTTTTCAATTTTGGCGCTGGCAATTTGGCTTTGAAAATTCCTTTCAAAAAGTGCTTCAAAATCGCGTCTTTTTTTTTGCTTTGGCGCCGAGATCCAGTTTTGGAGCTGCAATTCCTGTTGCGATTATGTGCAAAAAGCTTCTCTGTGCATTTGTTTTTGTAAAAGCTGTGTGTAAAAGATTTTGTGTGTAAAAGCTTGCTGTGTGTAAAAGCTTCTCTGTGTGTAAAAGCTTCTCTGTGTAAAAGGTTCTGTGCGTGTAAACGCTTGCCATGTGTAAAAGCACTGTGTAAGTGTTCTGTGTGTGAAAGCTTGCTGTGTGTAAAAGCTTCTCCGCGTAAAAGCTTGTTGTGTGTAAAAGCTTGTGTGTAAAAGCTTCTCTGTTTAAACCCTTGCTGTGTGAAAAGGCTTCTCTGCCAAAGAACTTGCTCTGTGTAAAAGCTTTCTTTGTGCAAGCTTTGTGTCCAAAGTTGTACTGGGACGTACTTTGTCCAAGGTTTCTAGTACAAAGAAGTACTGGGATGTACTTGCGCAAGCTTCGTAGTACAAAGTAGTACTGGGAAGTGCTTTGTGCAAGCTTTGTAGTACAAAATGTAGTACTGGGAACTGCTTTGTGTAAGCTTTGTGTAGCACAAAGATGTACAAAGTAGTACTGGGAAGTGCTTTGTGCAAGCTTTGTAGTACAAAGTAGTACTGGGACGTACGTGCGCAAGCTTCGTAGTACACAGTAGTACTGGGAAGTGCTTTGTGCAGGCTTTGTAGTACAAAGTAGTACTGGGAAGTGCTTTGCGCAAGCTTTGTAGTACAAAGTAGTACTGGAAAGTGCTTTGCGCAAGCTTTCTAGTACAAAGTAGTACTGGGAAGTGCTTTGTGCAAGCTTTGTAGTACAAAGTAGTACTGGGAAGTGCTTTGTGCAAGCTTTGTAGTACAAAGTAGTACTGGAACGTGCTTTGTGCAAGCTTTGTAGTACAAAGTAGTACTGGGAAGTGCTTTGTGCAAGCTTTGTGTAGTACAAAGTAGTACTGGGAAGTGCTTTGTGCAAGCTTTGTAGTACAAAGTAGTACTGGGAAGTAGTTTGTGCAAGCTTTGTAGTACAAAGTAGTACTGGGAAATGCTTTGCGCAAGCTTTGTAGTACAAAGCAGTACTGGGACGCACGTGCGCAAGCTTCGTAGTACACAGTAGTACTGGGAAGTGCTTTGTACAAGCTTTGTAGTACAAAGTAGTACTGGGAAGTGCTTTGTGCAAGCTTTGTAGTACAAAGTAGTACTGGGAAGTGCTTTGCGCAAGCTTTGTAATACAAAGTAGTATATACTGGGACGTGCTTTGTGCAAGCTTTGCAGTACAAAGTAGTACTGGGAAGTACCTATTTCATGGTGGGACAGGTCTAAGATCCCCGTTTGACCGTTTGAGATGGTCCGGTGATATTCCCATTACCAAGTGAGTACTGTTGCGGGAGAAGATTAACCGTTGGGAATAGTATTGGATTTATGTGATGAAGAATCATTTACTGATATATATTGATGTGATATTGTATAGGTATATAGATATAGATGTCGGTACATTCACATAACATATCTCCCGAAAAGCTATGCATATCCCAATTGCGGGGAACTATATACTTCTAGACAACTTCCTAACCGCACTCAACACTCAGCGGGTTCTGTGGTCTTCCAACATTGCCAAGGCGCTCACACGACACGATCCTTGCGCAGCTTCAGAACCAGGAAACCGAACGCGTTCGCCGCAGTGACTGGCTTCGCGAGGCCGTGGGTTTTATGAACCGATTGGGGCGGCCCAACATGCTGACTTTTATGAAATGATGATCAGCATTGATCAACCATTGAATTTTTGGTGGTACCAGAGAAGATCTGGCTGAAATCTTGATATCGACTGGAAAAAATGATCCAAAATGAGATTATAGCCAACAAAATGAGACTTACCAACAAGCTGGGGAACCGTCTCGCAGAATTGTGGTCCAGCTCTTGACAAATTTACATGGTTCTGCTTCTATTTGCTATTTGTTTGTGTTGAAATATCATGAAACACATTGAAATATTCCAAGCAGCAAAATGATAGGATAGGCGTCCCACAGGAGTTTTCAAAGATGAGTTCCCATGTTGAAATCGCCATTTTGAGACTAAATTTGTTCAATTTCAGGAGTCTTTGCATTTTTTCCACTGCATTCCAATGATCTCCAATGTTTCATAAGGTTTCTTGTTTTGTCACTTAAATTTCCATATGAGTTTATATGAGTTTATGGTTCCATCAGTTCCATCAGTTCCATCCGTTTCTGCGGTGATCTGCGCCCTATTCCCGCCACCTGTTTCAGGAATCAGAGGAACGTTTGGCAAGCGCCTTTCAGATGACGGAGAGGCTGCAGCAGTCCCTGGATTCGGCCAACGAAGCACTGAAGACTTCGGTTCAAAGCCAACATTCCAAAGATGAACTTTACACCAATTTGCTGATCCTTGGGGTGGAGAATGGCGTGGTTTCCAAGATGTTCCAAGGAACTCTGAAAATTTGGAGCTTTCTAGCAAAAGCGGTTTTCGGAATTTCGTAATTAATTCCTCTGGTCGTTGCAGGGTGATAAACATATGGAGGACCACAGGCAGTGAAAAATCACCAAGAACTTTGGTATGTGTTTTGTCTCCCATGGCGTGCGATTTGACGTATACAGTATCGCTGTTTGTGTGAATAGCATGCACCAACATGCTGGTGAGAAAGAAACGCACAGGCAAGACTTTACAGTGTTAAGATGGTTTAAGATGTTTTAAGATCAATGTTGATCGTGTGGCATACGCTGCGCCCAGGAAGGACTACCGGTCGCTGCAAGATGAGGAGCAGCGGCGGCAGCGGGCCCAGGACGAGATCCAGCAGCGGCTGATGGAAGAAGGGGCCCGAGTGAAGGCCCTTGAAGCACTGAAGCATCGAGAAGAAGAGACCATCGAACATGTGACCTGGCAATGGTTGAGCGGCAAGAATAGGAAGATAAGGTCATAGAGGCAGCACAAATATGCAAACTGTTGGATCTATTTGGGCTATTGCTGAATTGTGAGCGAGTCTGAGAATAGGTTGAGAATGTGCGACGTTTTCCCTAAAGAATTTTGGATGTCAAGTGGCAAGAATGGCGGGATGTAATGGACGCCAAAGTTGTGATCTATATTAATCTTCATTATATCATGAACTTTGGTGTGTATATATTTAATATGTGTGTATATATGATACGTGTATGTAAATATATATATATAGTAAATAGTTTTTTGTTATATATATATATTAATATAGATATGATATACATTATATATATATATATATAATTTTAAGATATATATGTATTATATACATACATATATAATCATCGAAGGAAGTATAGTATAGAAGTCAAACTTCCGCCAATATGGGCAGATGAAAGGCAGAGATGGGAAGAGTCAGAGAAGAGAAGGGAAGAAGAAAGAAGATCACAAAAGAGAAAGTCTCAGAAGAAAGAAGATCCAGGTGCGCGAAAAGGTAGGAAAGTCGCGAAAACACTGTGTTTTTCCAACGATGTGTGGCTCCGGAGGGTCGAAAAGTAGGCTCGCTAAAGCGGCGGGTGCGGAGCCAGCTGGCCAGATGAGAGATGAAAAAGTGCACGCCCTTGTGGCGCGAAGCACATATTTCGAAGGCAAAATGTACAAAGCACACCGTTCTCGGACCACTTTTCGAAGTTGAGATGTTGAAAAAGTGCACGCCTTTGTGGCGCGAAGGACATTTGGAAGTCAACATGTACAAAGCACACCATGCTCGGAGCGCTTTTGGAAGTTGAGATGTTGAAAAAGTGCACGCGGTTGTGGCCTGAAGGACGTTTCCAAGTCAAAATGTGCAAAGCACCTCAGCCTCGGAGCACTTTTGGAAGTTGAGATGTTCAAAAAGTGTACGCCGATGTGGCACGAAGCACATTTCCAAGTCAAAATGTACAAGACAGCACATGTTCGCGCCACTCTTGGACGTTGAAGCGTCGTTTTGTGTGGCAGGCACAAGTGGGACATTTGAAGAGGATCTGAAAAGATGGATTTCGCGTGGCAGGCGCAGTACAAGAGACATGTTGATCAGAGATGTTGGGAGGTCAGGCCGCTGGTTTCCTGAGAGGGGTTGCATTTTGGAGCATCAGAGCTTCAGGTTTGCTGAGATGATTCTGCGTGACAGGTGTAGCACTTCATATGACATGGCATCACTTTTTCGTGGCAGGCGCAGTACTTTAGACAGGTGGAGTGGAAACATGGCAAAACGCATTGGTACGAGGCCGGCTTTGCAGTCAACTTTCCATTTTTGAAGGACGTCTCGCAGAATTGCTTCGTTTTTGATGTTGTCAATTTCGAAAAATGAGGAAGTCTCGCAGAATTGTTTCGTTTTTGACGTTGTCAAGTTTTCAAAAAAAAATAGAAAGTCTCGCAGAATTCCTGCGTGTTTGAAGGTCAAGGTCAAAATCAAAGAACCTCGCAGAATAGCTTCGATTTCATGCTTGCAGATAGATAGTTAGATAGAAAGATAGATTGATTGATTGATTGATTGACTGATTGACAGCCACAACAACAACAACAACAACAACTACAACTACAACTACTACTACTACCACTACTACTACTACTACTACTACTACTACTACTACTACTACTGATGGATGCAGTTGTAGTTCTAGTTGAAGGTGTAGTTGTAGTGGTAGTGTTGTAGTTGTAATTTGTAGTCGTAATGTAGCGTAATTAGCGTAGTGTAGTTGCAGTTGTAGTTGTGGTGTGGTGTAATTAGTGTAGTGTAGTGTAGTGTACTGTAGTGGCGTAGTCTAGTGCATTGCAGTGAAAGGTAGTGTAGTTGTAGTTGTTGTGTAGTGTCGTGTAGTGCAATGTAGTGGTAGTTGCAGTTGTAGCGTAATGTAATGCAATTAGATGATGCAATTAGTGTAGTGTAGTGTTGTGTAGTGTAGTGTAGTTGTATTTGCATTTGTAGCTGTAAATAATGTACTGCAGTTTAATCAGCGTATTGAAGTGTAATGTAGTGTAGCTGTAATTGTAGTTGTAGCTGTGGTGGTGGTAGTAGTAATAGTAGTAGTAGTAGTAGTCGTAGTGGTAGTGGTAGTGGTAGTGGTAGTGGTAGTGGTAGTGGTGGTGGTAGTGGTAGTGGTGGTGGTGGTGGTGGTGGTAGTAGTAGTAGTAGTAGGGATTCGCAGTAGTAGGGATTCGCAGCAGTAGGGATTCGCACTCCCATCCGTGAGTCACAACAGCCAACCTCTCCGATAGGCTTCCTATTTCTGAAACTTCCGCCACCGCCTTTTGTGGTACTACTGGTATATATACATACATGTTGTGCATATATATATATATGTGTGTGTGTGTGTGTATTCGTGTAATCAACGATCGTGGGGATATTGACATAACATCAACCAACAAAACAAAAATAGCGGTTGACAAACGCTTTCCCAAAAACGTGGTTATTAACTCTTAATCGGCAGAATTGGGGATATTCAACAGCAAAACCAATGAACCCAGATCTGGGGATGGGTCATGGCGCCTATGAGCGCCTACGGGGCCATCGGTTGATGTGGGATGATGAGAATGTCCAGCTGTATCAGCTATGAGCCATGTTGGTGTCAAAGGGCCACATCCATGGGAGAGCTGGATATGTTGTGTTTGCGGTAAAGAGGCTTGAGCGAGCATCACTTTATAACAAACATGTCCTTGAGATAGGCAGTAATTAATTATGACCCATGTATTATATGAATGTGAAGACGCAAGTTTTCCATTCATCCAGGAGAGAGGACCCGGAAACCGCTAATCACGAAAGGTAGCTCCAGAGGGGCTACCTTGAGTTTTACTTTACGAAGTAAAGGGGAGGGCGGCCAGCCCCGTTACCTGATTCTTCAGGAGATTGCTAGTCATTTTAGTACCCCCCCCCTCCACACCTCCCACGCACCCTAAGAGCAGACTCAAAATACTGTAATTTACAGTATTTTTGTTCTTTTCGGATCAAGAAACCACATTTTGCTACATGGTGAAACCTCCGTAAATACCAGTGTTTTTGCTAGGTGCTGGCCAAAAAACACTGTAAATACCGTGCTTTTTACTACCAGAGGCAAAAAACATCGTAAATACCGTGGTTTTGGGCTTCCGACCCGCCAAAAACATTGGTATTTACGGTGTTTTTTGCTCCGAGCGATGCAAAAACACGCGAAAACACCACCGATTTGACGATTTTCGGCCACTACGGAACCGAGCAAAAACGCTGCAGGGGTAACACCAACACCGACAAGAACAACACCAACAGCAACAGCAACAACAACAACGACGACGACGACAACAACAACAACAACCAACGCACAACGCACAACGCACAAAGCACAACGCACAACGCACAACGCACATCACACAACACACAAAACACGCAAAACACACACAACACACACAACACACACAACACACACACACACACACAACACACACACACACACACAACACACACACACAACACACATACAACACACACACAACACACACACAACACACACAACACACACACAACACATAACACACACCACACACAACACACAACACACAACAACACACAACAACACACAACAATGACACACAATAACAACAACAACAACACACAACAACACACAACAACACACAACAACACAACAACAACAACACAAACAACACACAACAACACACAACAACACACAACAACACACAACAACACACACACACAACAACACAACAACACACACACAACAACACACAACAACACACACACAACAACACACACAACACACAACAACACACAAACACACACAACACAACAACACACAACAACACACACACAACAACAACAACAACAACACACAACAACACACAACAACACACAACAACACACACAACAACACAAACAACACACAACAACACACCACAACACACCACAACACACCACAACACACACACAACAACACAACAACAACACACACAACAACACACAACACACAACAACACACAACAACACACACAACACACAACAACACACAACAACACACAACAACACACAACAACACACAACAACACACAACAACACACAACAACAACAACAACAACAACAACAACAACAACAACAACAACAACAACAACATCACAACAACAACAACACCATCAGCAGCAGCAGCACAGCAACAACAGCAACAACAACAACAACAACAACACAAACACAAACAATACCAACACCAACAACACGACCAACAACACCAACACCACCAACAAACCCAACCACACCAACAACACTAACAACACTAACAACACCAGAAACACTACCACCACCAACAACACCAACAACACCAATACCAACAACACCAACAACACCAACACCACCAGCACCACCAACACCACCAACACCACAACCGCCACCAACCCCAACCACATCGCCGAAGCCTTTCAGTCGCTTTTACCAGACTCCCCTTCATATTTTTGGAAAGAAACTGGCCGCGTCGCTTTTACCAGACTCCACTTTATGTTTTTTTCCCTGCCCTCTCCCCTTCATTTTTTCTTCGGTTCCTTTCTTGCTTACCTACCTTTCGTGTTCCCCCTCTCAAGTCATTTTTTGGACTTGACCAAACTACTAGATGTCAACGTTCCAAATGTTGTCGTCATTCAATCACTGATTTCATATGCCATTCTTGATGGGTCAAAATCACGAACCAGACGGTAATGGTGTTGTTTTATGTTTCATTGGCTTAAGTATCCTAAAACATACCTGTTCTTGCTGTATATATCCCAGAATACTGATCACTTTGTTCGGGGCTGCATTTCCTCCGACAATCAAACGTGGCAATGGAAAATCCTCAAACTAAATGGAGGTTTATAGCTGGGAAACTCATCGAACCAAATGGGGTATTCTCCCGGCTTGCCACGGTTAAGTACCTGAGGGTAGCCTTAATCTCAGGTTTCACAAGTGCTGAAAGGAGCTTCAGAAGAACATCAAGCGAATTCCCTGAAATACCAGGCGAATGGCGCCCCAATGGGGTACCATGGGAGGACAACCACTGTTGAGTCATGATGGACATGTATTGCAAAGCAATAAGCATCACATTGAGATGTACTTTTCTTGTTTGAGGCTTGAGTCGTCTAAGTCCTTGAAGATGTAGCCGGATTTCTGAATCCAGGGGAAACTGCCTGCGCAGGCGCAGATACAGGAAATGAAGATGGGACAAGAGCAACTCCTAGAGCAAGTGAAGCAAGAGACCAATGAACAGCTTTCGCACTTGTAGCTTTGGCCGCAGATTTATGATGACTTATGAAGGCTGAACCATGATGAAATTCAAAATGCCAAGGGGTTCCAAAGTTTCAAGCGAAAGGCTTTTGAGGAGCTCGGCAAAGGAACATGTCCTAAACAAGAAGCTGTTCTGTTTTGGTGGTGCGGTCGATATGGTGAGGTTGGAGGATTGACGAAAGGAAGTTGGGAAGGAATCTTCCGAGTTACGGACAAATAGAATTGTGAGACTACAATGCACTGATGAAGGGCGGTGTGAGACTTTTCATCACATAACAATACGTTGATGAAGGGCGGTGTGAGGAAGCCGAAGCACGAAACCTTGTGTTTTTCCGTGTAAATGTGGCTGCAGGCGGCGATGAAAGGTACCTCCTGTGTGCGGCAGTTGCGGCTGGGGTCGTTCCGAGCGTAATCGGTTCCTCCTCTGTGTTCTGCAACGAGTGGTTCTTCCTGCGTGCGTCGTCCTATGCGTTTCTTGAATCTGTGTTTGCAGATCGCATTGGAATGGCTGCATGATTGTTGTCATCTGGTGTTGCCATGTGCGTAGAGAGATGCAGGTTTGCTACGTGATGCTGCAAAGTGCATTGTAATGGCTGCATGAATGTTGCATGGGGCTTGCTGGGGAGGAAGCCGGAGCACGAATCCTTGTGTTTTTCCGTGTAAATGTGGCTGCATGGCGATGAAAGTACCTCCTGTGTGCGGCGGCTGGGGTCGTTCCGAGCGTAATCGGTTCCTTCTCTGTGTTCTGCAAGGAGTGGTTGTTCATGCGTGCGTTGTTCTATTGGTTTCTTGAAGCTGTGGTTGCAGATCGCAGTGTAATGGCTGCGTCAAGGTTGCTGGGTGCCGCGGCTGCATGCGTAATACTTGTCTTTTGCAGCTGAAAGCTGTGCATCGAATTGGAGTGGGTGCATCAAGGCTGCGATAATCATTTGTCAGAAGATTTTCTCAATTTTGGCGCTGGTAATTGCCCTTTCAAAATTCCTTTTGTAAGTGCTCAAAAATCGTCTTTTTTTCGCTTTGGCGTCGAGATCCGGTTTTGGAGCTGCAATTTTCGACGCCGTTGCGCGTAGCTCTAGTGTGTTTCGCAACTCAGTCTCTGCCGATCGCATTGTAATGGCTGCGTCAAGGTTGCGTGGCGCCGCGGCTGAGTGCGTAATACTCGTGTCTTTGGCAGCTGGACATCGTAAATCGTATTGGAGTGGCTGCATCAAAGCTGCGACAGTGATGTCAGCATATTCTTCAATTTTGGTGCTGGCAATTTTCCCTTCAAATTTCCTTTTAAAAGGTGCTTCAAAATCATCTTTTTTCGCTTTGGCGTCGAGATCCGGTTTTGGAGCTGCAATTTCCGACGCCGTTGCGTGTAGTTCTATTGTGTTTAGCAACTTGGTCTCTGCAGATCGCATTGTAATGGCTGGCTACGTCAAGGTTGCGTGACGCCGCGGCTGCGTGCGTAATACTAGTGTCTTTGGCAGCTGGACATCGTAAATCGTATTGGAGTGGCTGCATCAAGGCTGCGACAGTGATTTGTCAGCAGATTTTCTCAATTTTGGCGCTGGCAATTGTCCTTTCAAAATTCCTTTTAAAAAATGCTTCAAAATCGCGTTTTTTTTGATTTGGCGCCGAGATCCAGTTTCGGAGCTGCAATTCCCGTTGCGATTATGTGCAAAAAGCTTCTCTGTGCATTTGTTTTTGTAAAAGCTGTGTGTAAAAGATTTTGTGTGTAAAAGCTTGCTGTGTGTAAAAGCTTCTCTGTGTGTAAAAGCTTCTCTGTGTAAAAGCTTCTGTGTGTGTAAACGCTTGCCATATGTAAAAGCACTGTGTGTAAGTGTTCTATGTGTAAACGCTTGCTGTGTGTGAAAGCTTGCTGTGTGTAAAAGTTTCCCTGTGTAAAAGCTTCTCTGTTTAAAAAGCTTGCTGTGTGTAAAAACTTCTAGCGCTACTTGAAACTTGCGGGGCCCAAAGACTCCCCGATCCAAGAACAAGTGGATCTCACGCACGAAATTTGAAGATTCTCCGTCAACTGGTGCCCGGGCCAGCAGAAACCGACCAGGACCACAAGGTGTAAGGTCCCCAGCGGGTGCCCAGGCCAGTGCGACACCAGCATGACTACGGTGTGACCTTAGGCCTTGCAACGACTTGACACAAGAATGTTTGAACCAGTATCCGCACAATTTCTCTAAATGAAACCGATGACCTCCTGTACGATACCCACGCCGGCGCTGCGCAATGCCACCACGACCACCTTATCTGTCGCTGCAAGACCATTGGGATGTTTTGAGTCTAGTCAAAGCACTATAAGCACTGCACTTGCAAGGTCTGAGAAGATTCCCCCGACGTATTGATATCACCAGTGAGCTTGAGCCAGCGCAACGCCAGCACTGTGCCCTGGGAACCAAAACATCTGGGCTGCTTTCCCTAACGTCGCACGGGTACTGAGAAAAGCACACGTGAGGCTCAAAGTCCTTCGATCCTGTGAGAGCACAATGAGACCTCACACATGAAAACCGTAAGATTCTCCAGCAACTTGGTGCCTGGGCCACCAGAAACTCACGAGGACCAACTGAACATTTTGCAAGCAAAAATTAGCGGATACAAAACGTGAAACCTAGCTGCAGGTGGCGGAAAAAGCAGAAGAAAACTGGAGATGGCTAATTCGGAAAACTTGCTTGCTCCGGAAGCCACCCAGACCCCCAAGATGCAGACACCGTGCCAGCTGCCAGATGCTGTCTGAGATCCCCGTTTGACCCTTTGAGATGGTATTGATATATATATATATATATACATATGTATTGATGTGATATTGTATAGATGGCGGTAAATTCACATAACATATCCCCCTAAAAACTATGAATATCCCAATTGTGGGGAATTATATGCCGCTATACCACTTCCTAACCGCACTCAACACTCAGCGGGTTCTGTGGTCTTCCAACATTGCCAAGGCGCTCACGCGACACGATCCTTGCGCAGCTTCAGAACCAGGAAACCGAACGCGCTCGCCGCAGTGACTGGCTTCGCGAGGCCGTGGGCTTTATGAACCAATTGGGGCGACCCAACATGCTGACTTCAATGAAATGATGGTCAACATTGATCAACCATTGAATTTTTGGTGGTACCAGAGAAGATCTGGCTGAAATCTTGATATCAACTGGAAAAAATGATCCAAAATGAGATTATAGCCCGCAAAAAGTTGGAGAGCCAACCAGAAAAAGACTTACCAACAAGCTGGGGAACTGTCTCGCAGAATTGTACCCCAGAAAGATTGGTCCAGCTCTTGACAAATTTACATGGTGCTGCTTCTATTTGCCATTTGTTTGTGTTGAAATATCATGAAACACATTGAAATACCCCAAGCAGCAAAATGATAGGCGTCCCACGGGGGTTTTCAAAGATGACTTCCCATTTTGAAATCGCCATTTTGAGACTAAATTTGTTCAATTTCAGGAGTCTTTGCATTTTTTCACTGCATTCCAATGATCTCCAATGTTTCATAACGTTTCTTGTTTTGTCACCCAAATTTCCATATGAGTTTATGGTTCCATCAATTCCATCAGCTTCTCCGATGATCTGTGCCCCATTCCTGCCACCTGTTTCAGGAATCCGAGGAACGTTTGGCAAGCGCCTTTCAGATGACGGAGAGGCTGCAGCAGTCCCTGGATTCGGCCAACGAAGCATTGAAGACTTCGGTTCAAAGCCAACATTCCAAAGATGAACTTTACACCAATTTGCTGATCCTTGGGGTGGAGAATGGCGTGGGTTCCAAGATGTTCCAAGGAACTCTGAAAATTTGGGGCTTTCTAGCAAAAGCGGTTTTCAGAATTTCGTAATTAATTCCTCTGGTCGTTGCAGGGCGATAAACTTTTGGAGGACCACAGGCAGTGAACAATCACCAAGAACTTTGGTATGTGTTTTGTGTCCCATGGCGTGCGATTTGACGTATACAGTATCGATGTTTGTACGAATAGCATGCACCAACATGCTGGTGAGAAAGAAATGCAGAGACTTTACAGTGTTAAGATGGTTTAAGATGTTTTATAAGATCAATGTTGATCGTGTGGCATACGCTGCGCCCAGGAAGGACTACCGGTCGCTGCAAGATGAGGAGCAGCGGCGGCAGCGGGCCCAGGACGAGATCCAGCAGCGGCTGATGGAAGAAGGGGCCCGAGTGAAGGCCCTTGAAGCACTGAAGCATCGAGAAGAAGAGACCATCGAACATGTGACCTGGCAATGGTTGAGATGCCGGACATGTGCAGCGGCAAGAATAGGAATATAAGGTCATAGAGACAGCACAAATATGCAAACAGTTGGACCTATTTGGGCTCTTGGTGAATTGTGAGCGATTCTGAGAATAGGTTGAGAATGTGTGATGCTTTCCTAAAGAATTTTGGATGTCAAGTGGCAAGAATGGCGGGATGTAATGAACCAGCAAGACCAGCGGACGGCAACCCGCCAAACTTGTTATATATATATACTATATCATGAACTTTGGTGAGTTTTGATATTGTGTATTTGTATATAGTATATGTGTGTATATGATCCGTGTATGTATATATATATAGTAAATAATTAGTTAGACAGATTAGATTATATATTATATATATATGATATACATAATACTATTCTTAATATTTATATATATATATAGATTATATACATACATCACTGTTCGCAATTTGGGGTGTAGATCCGTCAGGTTTAGATCCGATACCTTTGAAATAAAAAAACGAAAAACCCAGACGTTCATGTCTGATTGTGGTATCACCAAGAGGCAGTAATGAAACAAAAGAAACTGCGGGCATGAACGGTTTTTCCTATCAAGGCAATGACGATTTTGCGGGATAGGCCGTTAATTGAAACTCTGGCAGCCACTCTAATGACAAGTGATCCCTGTCAGTTGAAACTGATGATTGAGGGGTCTGAACGTAGCAGCAAGGATGACCTCGGCGCAATTGACATTGACCTTAAGCCCATGCAACAATAGACACCGGCAACAGCAATGCCAAGTAATGACAACTTTCGCACCTGCATATGCAAGCACATCACGCCTTTAGACACTTGTTGACCATTTTGAGACATGTCGGGCAAGCTTGGGTCATGCCGAGCAATTTTGAACAGTTTTTGGAAACACGATATGGCATTGTCGACCTTGGACAGTGTTCAAAATGTCTCAATTGAGGCTGCTTTGAGACATCTTACTTTGGCTGAAAAAGGTGGCTGATGTAAACCCCCCGGATCGAGACCCTAAAACGAGATGGGCGAATACATATATAATCATCGAAGGAAGTTTAGAAGTCAAACTTCCGACAATATGGACAGATGAAAAGCAGAAATGGGAAGAGTCAGAGAAGGGAAGAGAAGAGAAGAAGAAAGAAGATCACAAAAGAGAAAAGTCTCAGAAGAAAGAAGATCCAGGCGCGCGAAAAGGTAGGAAAGTCGCGAAAACACTGTGTTTTTCCAATGATGTGTGGCTCCGGAGGGTCGAAAAGTAGGCTCGCTAAAGCGGCGGGTGCGGAGCCAGCTGGCCAGATGAGAGATGAAAAAGTGCACGCCCTTGTGGCGCGAAGGACATTTGGAAGTCAACATGTACAAAGCACGCCATGCTCGGAGCACTTTTGGAAGTTGAGATGTTGAAAAAGTGCCCGCCGTTGTGGCGCGAAGCACATTTCCAAGTCAAAATGTACAAAGCATCTCAGCCTCGGAGCACTTTTGGAAGTTGAGATGTTCAAAAAGTGTACGCTGTTGTGGCACGAAGCACATTTCGAAGTCAAAAATGTACAAAACACCACATGTTCGCGCCACTTTTGGACGTTGAAGCGTCGGGAAGTTGAGATGTCGAAAAAGTGCACGCCGTTGTGGCGCGAAGCACATTTCCAAGTCAAAATGTACAAGACACCACATGTTTGCGCCACTCTTGGACCTTGAAGCGTCGGTTTTTTTTTACGTGGGAGGCGCAAGGGATTCTCCACCATGCCAAAAGTGAGCAAAACGTGAGGGTTTTGTGGCATTTCCAAAAACGATGGCGGGCGTGGGACATTTGAAGAGGATCTGCAAAGATGGATTTCGCGTGGCAGGGGCAGTACAAGAGACATGTTGGTCAGAGATGTTGGGAGGTCAGGCCGCTGCTTTCCTGAGAGGGGTTGCATTTTGGAGCTTTTGGAGCATCAGAGCTTCAGGTTTGCGAAGGTGATTTTGATTGATTTTGCGTGACAGGTGCAGCACTTCGTATGACCTGGCATCACTTTTTCGTGGCACACGCAATACTTTAGACAGGTGGAGTGGAAAAATCGCAAAACGCATTGGTACGAGGCCGGCTCTGCACTCAACTTTCCATTTTTGAAGGACGTCTCGCAGAATTGCTTCGTCTTTGATGTTGTCAACTTCGAAAAATGAGGAGGTCTCGCAGACTTGTTTCGTTTTTGACGTTGTCAAGTTCGAAAATTAAGGAGGTCTCGCAGAATTGCTGCGTTTTTGATGTTGTCAAGTTCAAAAACTGAGGAAGTCTCGCAGAACCGCTTCGATTTCATGCTTGCAGATAGATAGATAGATAGATAGGTAGATAGATAGATAGATAGGTAGATAGATAGATAGATAGATAGACAGCTACAACTGCAACTACACGACAATTGACAGCCACAACAACAACAACAACAACAACTACTACTACTACTACTACTACTACTAGTACTAGTACTAGTACCAGTACTAGTACTAGTACTAGTACTAGCAGTACAAGTGCAAATATATTACGCTACATTACACAACACTATTTACACAACATTATACTAATTACATCTAATTACATTTGATTGCATCTAATTACATCTAATTACATCTAATTATATCTAGTTACAATTAATTACATCTAATTACATCTAATTGCATCTAATATTACATCTAATTACACTACACTACACTAATTACACTATATCATTACACCACCACCACCACCACCACTACTACTACTACCACTACTACCACTACTACCACTACTACCACTACCACTACTACCACTACTGCCACTACTACCACTACTACCACTACTACCACTACTACCACGGCTACCACGACTACCACGACTACCACGACTACCACGACTACCACGACTACCACGACTACCACGACTACCACGACTACCACGACTACCACGACTACCACGACTACCACTACTACCACTACTACCACTACTACCACTACTACCACTACTACCACTACTACCACTACTACCACTACTACCACTACTACCACTACTACCACTACTACCACTACTACCACTACTACCACTACTACCACCACTACCACTACTACCACTACTACCACTACTGCCACTACTACCACTACTACCACTACTACCACTACTACCGCCACAGCTACAACTACAATTACAGCTACACTACGTTACACTACAATACGCAGTACATTGCAGCTACAAATACAAATGCAACTACACTACATTACACAACACGACACTACACTAAATACATCTAATTACATTACACCACACTACAACTGCAACTACCACTACATTGCACTACACGACGCTGCGCAACAACTACGACTACACTACAATACACTAGACTATGCTACACTGTACCACGCTACAGTACACAACGCCACAGTACACTGCGATACACTACACTAATTGCACCACACCAAAACTACAACTGCAACTGCAACTACACTACGCTAATTACACTACAGTACAACTACATCTTACAACTACAACTCCACTACACTACAACTACACCTTCAACTGCAACTACAACTGCACTACACCACACTACATCCAGCAGCTGTGGTGATCACTGCAACCGTTGCAACCACTCCAGAAAAAGCAACTCCAACCACCTTTCGGTCCATCAGTGGATTCGCTCTGCCATCCGTGAGTCACAACAGCCAATCTCTCCTATAGGTTTCCTATTTCTGAAACTTCCGCCACCGCCTTGTGCGGTACTACTTGTATATATACATACATGTTATGCATATATTTATATATATATATATACATGTAAACGTGTAATCAGCGAACATGGGGATATTCACATAAGATCGACCAACAAAACGATGAATAACGCGGAGAGCTGGATATGTTTTGTTTGCGGGGCAGAGGCTTGAGCGAGCCTCACGTTATAACAACCATATCCTTGAGACAGCCAGTAGTTATGACCCATGTATTATGAATGTGAAGATGCAAGTTTTCCGTTCATCCAGGAGTAGGAGAGAGGACCCGGAAACCGCCGATCATTTTTTGGACTTGACCAAACTACTAGATGGCAACGTTCCGAATGTTGTCGTCATTCAATCACTGATTTCATGTGTCATTCTTGATGGGTCAAAATCACGAACCAGATGGTAATGGTGTTGTTTTATGTTTCATTTGTTGAAGTATCCTAAAACATACCTGTTCTTGTTGGATATATCCCAGAATATTGATCACTTCGTTCGGGGCTGCATTTCCTCCGACAATCAAACGTGGCAATGGAAAATCCTCAAACTAAATGGAGGTTTATAGCTGGGAAACTCATCGAACCAAATGGGGTATTCTCCCGGCTTGCCACGGTTAAGTACCTGAGGGTAGCCTTAATCTCAGGTTTCACAAGTGCTGAAAGGAGCTTCAGAAGAACATCAAGCGAATTCCCTGAAATACCAGGCGAATGGCGCCCCAATGGGGTACCATGGGAGGACAACCACTGTTGAGTCATGATGGACATGTATTGCAAAGCAATAAACATCACATTGAGATTTATGTTTCTTGTTGGATCAACGATTCTTGAACCATTCCAAAAACAATCGCTTGAGGCTTGAGTCGTCTAAGTCCATGAAGATGTAGCCGGATTTCTGAATCCAGGGGAAACTGCCTGCGCAGGCGCAGATACAGGAAATGAAGACGGGACAAGAGCAACTCCTAGAGCAAGTGAAGCAAGAGACCGATGAACTGCTTTCGCACTTGTAGCTCTGGCCACAGATTTATGATGACTTATGAAGGCTGAACCATGATGAAATTCAAAATGCCAAGGGGTTCCAAAGTTTCAAGCGAAAGGCTTTTGAGGAGCTCGGCAAAGGAACATGTCCTAAACAAGAAGCTGTTCTGTTTTGGTGGTGCGGTCGATATGGTGAGGTTGGAGGATTGACGAAAGGAAGTTGGGAAGGAATCTTCCGAGTTACGGACAAATAGAATTGTGAGACTACAATGCACTGATGAAGGGCGGTGGGAGACTCTACATCACATAACAATACACGCGCAACGCCTGGGTTTTGCCCAGGCGTTGCATCATAGAGGTTTCCCATTCCCAAACAAATGTTGATGCAACTTCACAAAATTCCAATGGGAAAAACAACAAAGGTACTAGGGAATATTAAACTCCCACCCCGTTAAACCTTAAATTCCTATGGGAAAAACAACAAAGGTACTAGGGAATATTAAACTCCCACCCCCGTTAAACTTTACATTCAATTGGGAAGATCAACAAAGGTACTAGGGAATATCAAAATCCCACCCCCGTTAAACTTTACATTCAATTGGGAAGATCAACAAAGGTACTAGGGAATATTAAACTCCCACCCCCATTAAACCTTACATTCATTGAAGATCTTTAATAAGGGTTTAATTCTCCCACCCCCGTTAAACTTCTACATTCATTGAAGATCTTCAATAAGGGTTTAATTCTGATACCAAGTGAGTACTGTTGCGAGAGAAGGTTAATCGTTGGGAATATTTTGGGATTTTTGTGGTGAAGACTCATATATTGATATATATTGATGTGATATTGTATAGGTATATATATATATATATAGATGCGGTACATTCACATAACGTATCCCCCTAAAAACTATGAATATCCCAATTGTGAGGAATTATATACTTCTATACCACTTCCTAACCGCACTCAACACTCAGCGGGTTCTGTGGTCTTCCATTGCCAAGGCACTCACGCGACACGATCCTTGCGCAGCTTCAGAACCAGGAAACCGAACGCGCTCGCCGCAGTGACTGGCTTCGCGAGGCCGTGGGCTTTATGAACCAATTGGGGCGACCCAACATGCTGACTTTAATGAAATGATGATCAACATTGATCAACCATTGAATTTTTGGTGGTACCAGAGAAGATCTGGCTAAAATTTTGATGTCAACTGGAAAAAATGATCCAAAACGAGGTTATAGCCCACAAAATTGGAGAGTCAGCCAGAAAAAGACTTACCAGCAAGCTGCGGAACTGTCTGGCAGAATTGTGTCCCAGAAAGATTGGTCCAGGTCTTGACAAATTTACATGGTTCTGCTTCTATTTGCTACGTATTTGTTTGTGTTTATATATTTTGAAACACATTGAAATACTCCAAGCAGCAAAATGATAGGCGTCCCACAGGAGTTTTCAAACACGAGTTCCCATTTTGAAATCGCCATTTTGAGACTAAATTTGCTCAGTTTCAGGAGTTTTTGCATTTTTCGCACTGCATTCCAATGATCTCCAATGTTTCATAAGGTTTCTTGTTTTGTCACATTTTGTCACCCAAATTTCCATATGAGTTTATATGAGTTTATGGTTCCATCAGTTCCATCAGTTCCATCGGTTTCTGCGGTGATCTGCGCCCTATTCCCGCCACCTGTTTCAGGAATCAGAGGAACGTTTGGCAAGCGCCTTTCAGATGACAGAGAGGCTGCAGCAGTCCCTGGATTCGGCCAACGAAGCACTGAAGACTTCGGTTCAAAGCCAACATTCCAAAGATGAACTTTACACCAATTTGCTGATCCTTGGGGTGGAGAATGGCGTGGTTTCCAAGATGTTCCAAGGAACTCTGAAAATTTGGAGCTTTCTAGCAAAAGCGGTTTTCGGAATTTCGTAATTAATTCCTCTGGTCGTTGCAGTGTGATAAACATTTGGAGGACCACAGGCAGTGAGAAATCACCAAGAACTTTGGTATGTGTTTTGTGTCCCATGGCGTGCGATTTGACGTATACAGTATCGATGTTTGTACGAATAGCATGCACCAACATGCTGGTGAGAAAGAAATGCAGAGACTTTACAGTGTTAAGATGGTTTAAGATGTTTTAAGATCAATGTTGATCGTGTGGCATACTCTGCGCCCAGGAAGGACTACCGGTCGCTGCAAGATGAGGAGCAGCGGCGGCAGCGGGCCCAGGACGAGATCCAGCAGCGGCTGATGGAAGAAGGGGCCCGAGTGAAGGCCCTTGAAGCACTGAAGCATCGAGAAGAAGAGACCATCGAACATGTGACCTGGCAATGGCTGAGATGCCGCACATGTGCAGCGGCAAGAATAGGAATATAAAGTCATAGAAGCAGCACAAATATGCAAACATTTGGATCTAATCCCCTCTCCCTATTACTAAACGTCCCCCAAATACTAAAAACAGGCGTCCATCTCCAATTTCTGAAAATTTCAGTTTGGCCAATTTGACTTTTAATTGATCCCCTTTAGAAAAAAAATTAAAAATCAAGCTACCATTTGTGGGTTTCCCCCCCTAATACTAAAACTAGTTCACCCCGGGGTGTTTACTATTAGGGTCCGTCCGAATTTTTTAGTTTTTTATATTAAGGTTTTTAATTGAGTATTAGGGGGAAGCTTCGAAATCCAATTTTTGGCAATATTTTAATTGCGTTATATAAAGAAATTTAATTGATTTTGAAATCGGAAAAATAGTTTTTATTATTATATAAGGGTTTCAATTTAATATTAGGGGGAAGCTTCGACATCCAATTCTTGGCAATATTTTCATTGCGTTATATAAAGAAATCTAATTGATTTTGAAATCAAAAAAAATAGTTTTTATTATTAAGGGTTTTAATTTAATATTAGGAGGAAGCTTCGACATCCAATTTTTGGCAATATGTTCATTGCGTTACATAAGGAAATTTTCATTGATTTTGAAATCGGAAAAAATAGTTTTTATTATTAAGGGTTTTAATTTAATATTAGGGGGAAGCTTCGACATCCAATTTTTGGCAATATTTTCATTGCATTATATAAAGAAATTTAATTGATTTTGAAATCGGAAAAATAGTTTTTATTATTAAGGGTGTTAATTTAATATTAGGGGCCAGCTTCGACATCCAATTTTTGGCAATATTTTCATTGCGTTACATAAAGAAACTTAATTGATTTTGAAATCGGAAAAATAGTTTTTATTATTAAGGGTTTTAATTTAATATTAGGGGGAAGCTTCGAAATCCAATTTTTGGCAATATTTTCACTGCATTATATATAGAAATTTGATTGATTTTGAAATCGGAAAAAATAGTTTTTATTATAAGGGTTTCATTTTATTAATAGGGTTCCCTAATAATAAACCCTAATACTAAAAACTACCTGCCGTGTTTATTATTGGGGGGGACGTTTAGTATTTGGCTATTGGGCTATTGGTGAGTTGTGAGCGATTCTGAGAATAGGATGAGAATGTGCGATGCTTTCCCTAAAGAATTTTGGATGTTAAGTGGCAAGAATGGCGGGATGTAATGAACCAGCAAGACCAGCGGACGGCAACCCGCCAAAATTGTGATCTATATTATATAATGAACTTTGGTGAATTATGATATTGAGTATATACATATATATATATATATACACATAGCATATGTGTGTATATATGATACGTGTATGTGTATATATATATATAGTAATAGCCGAAGGAAGTTTAGAAGTCAAACTTCCGACGATATGGACAGATGAAAAGCAGATGTGGGAAGAGTCAGAAAGGAGAAGAGAAGAAGAGAGAAGATCAGAGAAGAGAAAGAGTCAGAAGAAAGAAGATGCAGGTGCGCGAAAAGATAGGAAAGTCGCGAAAACACTGTGTTTTTCCAATGATTTGTGGCTCCGGAGGATCGAAAAGTAGGCTCGCTAAAGCGGCGGGTGCGGAGACATCTGATCAAATGAGAGGTGAAAAATTGCACGCCGTTGTGGCGCGAAGCACATTTCCAAGTCAAAATGTACAAAACACCTCAGCTCCGGAGCACTTTTAGAAGTTGCGATGTCGAAAAATTGCACGCCGTTGTGGCGGGAAGCAGATTTCGAAGTCAAAATGTACAAAACGCCTCATGTTCGGACCACTTTTGGAAGATGAGATGTCGAAAAAGTGCACGCCCTTGTGGCGCGAAGGACATTTCCAACTCAAAATGTGCAAACCACCACATGTAAGCGCCACTTTTGGACCTTGAAGCGTCGTTTTTTTTACGTGGGAGGCGCAAGGGATTGTGCAACTTTAGACAGGCGGAGTGCAAAAAAATCAAAACGCATTGGCACGAGGCCGTCAGCTCTGCACTCAACTTTCCATATTTGAAGGAATTCTCGCAGAATTGCTTCGTTTTGGATGTTGTCAAGTTCAAAAATTGAGGAAGTCTCGCAGAATTGCTTCGTTTTGGATGGTGTCAAGTTCCAAAATTGAGGAATGTTCGCAAGATTGCTTCGTTTTGGATGTTGTCAAGTTCAAAAATTGAGGAAGTGTCGCAAAATAGCTGCGGTTTCAAGCTTACAGATAGATAGATAGATAGATAGATAGATGGGTAGATAGATAGATAGATAGATAGATAGATAGATAGGTAGATGGATAGACAGATGGATAGATGGATAGATGGATAGATGGATAGATGGACAGATGGATAGATGGATAGATGGATAGATGGATAGATGGATAAATGGATGGATAGATAGATAGATAGACAGATAGATAGATAGATAGATAGACAGATAGATAGATAGACAGATAGATAGCTAGCTAGCTAGATAGATAGATAGATAGATAGACAGATAGATAGATAGACAGATAGATAGCTAGCTAGATAAATAGATAGATAGATTAATAGATTAATAGATTGATAGATTTAATAGATTAATAGGTTAATAGGATAATGGATTTGGTAGACAGACATACAACTGCAACTACAACAATTACTACAGCTACAACTACAAGTACAACTACAACAACTACAACAATTACTACAGCTACAACTACAAGTACAACTACAACAACAACAACTACTACTACTACTTCTACTACTACTACTACTACTACTTCTACTACTACTACTACTACTTCTACTACTACTACTACTTCTACTACTACTACTTCTACTACTTCTACTACTTCTACTGCTTCTACTGCTACTACTACTACTACTACTACTACTACTACTACTACTACCTACTACCTACTACCTACTACCTACTACCACTACTACTACTACTACTACTACTACTACTACTACCTACTACCTACTACCTACTACCTACTACCTACTACCTACTACCTACTACCTACTACCTACTACCTACTACCTACTACCTACTACCTACTACCTACTACCTACTACCTACTACCTACTACCTACTACCTACTACCTACTACCTACTACCTACTACCTACTACCTACCACCTACCACCTACCACCACCACCAAATCTAGAACTACACACAACTACACTACATTACACTGCACTTTGCTAATCTCACTGCAGTACACTTCAACTACAAATATACATGCAACTACAACTACTACACTACATCACACAACACTACACAACACTACGCGACTAATCACATTACACTACATCTACAACTGTAACTACAATTACAACTACCACTACATCAGTGGATTCGCTCTGCCATCCGTGATTCACAACAGCCAACCTCTCCTATAGGTTTTCTATTTTTGAGACTTCCGCCACCGCCTTGTGCGGTACTACTGGTATATATACATACATGCTTTACATATATATATGTATACATCCAAACGTGTAATCAACGAACATGGGGATATTAACATAACATCGACCAACAAAAACGATGAATAACGGTTGACAAACGCTTTCCCAAAAACGTGGATATTAACTCTTAATCGGCAAAATTGGGGATATTCACCAGCAAAAATAATGAACCCTGATCTGGGGATGGGTCATGGCACCTATGAGCGCCTAAGGGGCCATCGGTTGATGGGGGATGATGAAGGTCCAGCTGTATCAGCTATGAGCCATGTTGGTGTCAAAGGGCCACATCCATGGGAGAACTGGATATGTTTTGTTTGCGGGGCAGAGGCTTGAGCGAACATCACTTTATAACAACCATATCCTTGAGATAGGCAGTAATTATGACCCATGTATTATGAATGTGAAGACGCAAATTCTCCGTTCATCCAGGAGAGAGGACCCGTAAACCGTCAATCATTTTTCGGACTTGACCAAACAGCCTGCCAGACTACTAGATGGCAACGTTCCAAATGTTGTCGTCATTCAATCACTGATTTCATATGTCATTCTTGATGGGTCAAAATCACGAACCAGATGGTAATGGTGTCGTTTTATGTTTCATTTGTTGAAGTATCCTAAAACATACCTGTTCTTGTTGGATATATCCCAGAATACTGATCGCTTTGTTCGGGGCTGCATTTCCTCCGACAATCAAACGTGGCAATGGAAAATCCTCAAACTAAATGGAGGTTTATAGCTGGGAAAATCATCGAACCAAATGGGGTATTTTCCCGGCTTGCCACGGTTATGTACCTGAGGGTAGCCTTAATCTCAGGTGTCACAAGTGCTGAAAGAAGCCTCAGAAGAACATCAAGCGAATTCCCTGAAATACCAGGCGAATGGCGCCCCAATGGGGTATAATGGGAGGACCACCACTGTTGAGTCATGATGGACATGTAATGCAAAGCAATAAGCATCACATTGAGATGTACGTTTCTTGTTTGAGGCTTGAGTCGTCTAAGTCCTTGAAGATGTAGCCGGATTTCTGAATCCAGGGGAAACTGCCTCCGCAGGCGCAGATACAGGAAATGAAGACGGGACAAGAGCAACTCCTAGAGCAAGTGAAGCAAGAGACCAATGAACAGCTTTCGCACTTGTAGCTTTGGCCGCAGATTTATGATGACTTATGAAGGCTGAATCATGATGAAATCGAAAATGCCACGGGGTTCCAAAGTTTCATGCGTAAGGCTTTTGAAGCCAGAGGAGTTCGGCAAAGGAACATGTACTAAACAAGAAGCTGTTCTGTTTTGGTGGCGTGGTCGATTTGGTGAGGTTGTTGGAGGATTGACGAATCCTTGTTTGTGGCCAATGATGTGTTGATTTAGTGATGTACGGTCATGAAATGAGAGTCTTGCGCGGCTGAATCACCAAGACATCTCAGGTACGAAACGAATCGGAGCATGTCGGCAGAATGCCATGAACTTCTCACTGCATCCCGTGAAGCGGATGAAATGCACCAAGGAAATGTGCAGAGGATGCAGAAGAATTTGGATGAAATGAAGGGTCATTGTGCATCTTGGCCGGTTTGAAATATGTTGACATGTTTTCATGTCAAACCCGGATGAATGGTTATTCCTGGTTCAATATTGGTAAATGTATGTAAACGTTTGTAAATGTCTATGAGTCTGTTCTATCTGGGGATAATATACTAATGGTCCCGGCCGGCGGCCGGCAACCCCCCCCAATGGTATCCCCCCCAGGAACCATCCCCATACATAAATACATACATGCATGCATACATACATACATACATACATGCCTATACCTACCAACCTACGTAGGTACATACCTGCTAAAATAAGACTGGAAATCAAATTCAATTGGAATTAAATCTGAATCTAATTCCCCCTCTCCGGCTACCGGACTGTTGGGCACGTACTGAAGGAATTTAATTTGAATTTAATTCTTTGGCTTTGCTGTGTTCTGGTGCCTGATCCTTAATTCTTTTTCTATATTTGTTTCTGAGAGATGTCGGACCAAGAAGTTCGCCGTGGTCGGAAACGGAAGCCATGGGTGCATGTGGCGACGGAATCCTTTTTGGAGAAGGAGACGTTGCGCGAGGGTGCGCAAAGATGCCTTCGTGAAAAGAATTTTAGGCACAGCACTCTGACCGCGACTACTTTTGAAGGCGTTGGTTGATTTCTGTTTTCCGGGGGCAGGTTGGTGCACCTATGTGCGGGGGTCCGCTTTTTGAGATTTTGGCGGTAGGTGGGGTCGAATTTGCGGACCCCCGCGGGTTGAGATCCGGCAGTTTGCATTTTTGGAGGAAGTTTGGCAGAGTCGCTGTACAACGTTTATTTTTGGAGGAAGCCTTACTTCTTTCACGCCGGGGCTTTTTTTTGGCCTGTAAGCAGAAAGCTTTATTGATTCTTCGCAGCTACACCAGATTCCACGGTTCCATGACGGGAGACTGGTTATGACTGGGTTAGATTCCGCAGTGTTCACGTTCCTGACAAGTTGATCACGCAGTGGATGCTACGTTGGGGTTGGGGTGGGGTGGGGTGGGGCAGTGTTAACCTTCCAGACACGTTGATCACGCAGTGGATGCTACGTTGGGGTTGGGTGGGGTGGGGTGGGCAGGTTAGCTTTCTTGACAATGGAGCACGCAGTGGATGCTACGGTGGGGTTGGGGTGGGCGGGTGGGGCACTGTTAACCTTTCGGGCAAGTGATCACGCATGGATGCTACTTTGGGGTTTGGGGTGGGGTGGGGTGGGGCAGTGTTATAACCTTCCAGACACGTTGATCACGCAGTGGATGCTACGTTGGGGTTGGGGTGGGATGGGGCAGTGTTAACCTTCCGGACACGTTGATCACGCAGTGGATGCCACGTTGAATGCCACGGTGCTGAAACTTCATTTTTGGAGGAAGTTAGGCAAAGTAGGAAAATATTGAATATTGTTTGAATTCACCATGTAAAGGCTGCTTCTAACTCAAGCTTTGTTTTGTGGCAGGTAAGAGTTGCCTGATTGGTCGATGCAATTTGTGCAAACCATGCAGAAAGATGTGGTGCTTCAGTGCCACTGCTGACACAATGCTGTACGTGGAAGCAACAGGAGAACGTGCTGAAAGAAGGGACCCAAGCCGTATTTCCTTTTGACAATGGATGAGTATCCATTTGAATTTGAAAAAACTTGAACACAAATTCAAATGAATACTCATCCTACAATTCTGAAACTATAAACACCTGACTGTGAGCCTCATCAAAGAAAAAAACAGATTCAAGTAAATGTAAGCAGATGTAAACAGAGGTCATCAGATGTAAGCAGATGTAATCAGATGTAAGGACTTCCATGTCAGATGCTGGCCGCAGGCCTAGCCGGTTCGCTTGCAATTGGCAGAACTGTGAAGGCGTTGTGGCGTATTCCCCAATTACAACACTGAAAAAAAGACTTGAAATGCGCTTCAAGTGGAAGCTCATCCTACAACTCAGAAACTATATACACCCGAGAGACAGGTGCTAAGAAACTCAATACATAACATGCTGTCAAAACATGTTGTCTTAAACCGGTACCCACACTTTCTGATTTGGCGACCCACTTGAATTCAGTGACAGGCGTGCCTGTGTGATGTGTCCACTAGCCTGTTTCATTTGTCGGCCCATCTGTCTTCCCTAAGTAAAACTGTCTCAATGCTGATTTTGGTATCTATTTCTCGGCTTGTATTTTGAGTGCTCTGTTTTCTTTACTTGATCTATCTCTGTACATGTAAAGTCTGACTACCTGTCTGTCTGTCTGTCTGTCTGTCTGCTTGCCTGCCTGTCTGTCATTTTTGCCTCTCTCTCTGTCTGGCTGCCTGCCTGCCTGTCTGTCTCTGTCTCTGTCTGACTGTCTGTCTGTCTGCCTGTCTGTCTGTCTGTCTTCATATATCTTTGTGTGTCTGTGTCTGTCCGTGTTTCTCTTTGTCTTGGACTCTTTCTGCCAATCTGTCTGTCTTTCTGTTTCTCTGTTTGTCTGTCTGTTTGCTTGGCTGGCTGCTTGGCTCTTTGTCTTTGTGTTTGTCTTCTATCTACCGGTTTGCTTCGCTGGCTGTCTGTCCGTCTGCTTAGCTAGCCAGCTGTCAGCTGTCTGTCTCTCTGTGTTCCTGCCTCGCTGTCTGTGCTGTCAATGTGCATTAACGGGGGTCTGAAATTCCCGTTCGAGAGCCCGAGTTCCGCAAGAAAAGCGGACCCCCGCACAAAATCGTATGTTGATTTTTGTAGGCTGCACCGGATGGATCCAGTAAGAGAGACTTGCATCGGTTAGAACAATCACTTGGCTTGCTTTGCAGGCACGGGAAAATCTTCGATCTGCTTTTGGCGCTTTGGAACCCTTTGGCTGGCCAAAAAGAAGTCCGCGGCACGTTCCAGACAATGCAGTCCATGACAAGCATTAAATTTGAATTTAATTCCTGCTTGAAGGCCAAATGAAGAACAGACACATTGGAATTAAATTCAAATTGAATTCTTCTTTAAATTCGATTCCAAGCTTTTTTTGAATCCGATTTTCATGCTCATCCGTCTGCACCCAACCCACCCCACAGGGGGGGGGCGGGGAAGCAGAGGTACCTTGCATGATAGTTGGATTCCAGGGAGGTAGTACACCCAATCCTAGGAACCATCCCCATCGCATACATACATACATACATACATGCCTATACCTACCAACCTACGTAGGCACATACATACTACACCCAACCCACCCCACAGGGGGGGGCGGGGAAGCAGAGGTACCTTGCATGATAGTTGGATTCCAGGGAGGTAGCACACCCAATCCTAAGAACCATCCCCATCGCGGGGGGGGAGGGGGGGTGGTTGCAGGCCTGTACCATATATATATATATATACAGATATAGATGACTGTAGTATTATAGCCTGTATATACAGTAATTCTCCTGAAATGTCCTTCAAGGTATCCTGCGAGAATGTGGCTGACAGCATGCGCAAACATGCCGAAACCTTGACCGCGCACTTACGCCTGGCGCAGGATGAGGTCAAGGCGCGTTCGGTGATGCTGGCACACACGGAGGAGCAAGCGGCCTTCCAACGGCAACAGCATCTGTTGGAAAGGAAGGAACTGGAGGATGAATATGCCAAACAGGCATGGCAAGCAGATAAAAATGAGTTGAAAATCCAGGAGATGATGGCAGAAAGCAGCAATACTGCGGCAGAAACCGTGAGTCGAATTGCAAGGTCTCAAGAGAAAGAAGCCAAAGCGGCGGCAAGAGCTGAACAGTTGGAGGTCATTCTGCGTGAGTTACGTGCAACTTTGGCGCATTCACAGGAAGAATCCACCGAATCCTCCAAGCAGGTCTTGTCCTTGGAGAAGGCCCATTCTGATTTCCAGGAGAAGCTGGCTGAAAACCGAAAGATCACAGCTGATCTAGAAACCCAAATCCATGACCTGGAGGATCAGTTGAAACTTTGCAGCACCGAACTGCACGAGTCCGAGGCCCGACACTTGCAGCAACAGCAGCAGCAGATCTCTCAGGAAAGGTCCAGGCAACAAACGCAGGAGATGCGGATGGAACAGATGCAACGGCAGTGCCAGATGAGCCAGGTGACCAATGGGCCAAAGTTGGTGGGGGATGCTCGATGTTTTCAGGGTGGATGGTTGGGCCATATTGGATCATATTGGATCATTTACAGTAAAACAACCTCGAACGGTCTCACTGTGAATGAATATTGAGCCTTGGATAGGGTTCGGCAGACTAGTAAGATTATCATAGATTATCCAGATGGCTTCAACTTGCGCTGGATAGGACTAGGTGACTAGGCTGGAAATCCCATGCCAGGTGCAGGTGAGCGAAGCCCATGACGCCCTGCAAGCGAAGGAGAAGGAGATTCGCCACTTGGAAAAGCTTCAGGAAGAAGATCACAAGCGTCACTCCTCCTTGTCCTCCCTAAGAGATCAGCTCGACTTCAACTGCCGGGAATTGAATCATCAGATCCAGCAGTTGAATGCGGTCAACAAGGAGGAGCAAAAGAAAAGCACCGCCATAGAGCTGCGACTGGAGCAAGTGGAAGCAGAAGCACAATATGCATCCTCCGAAGCCGTACAGGCTGCGCGGCAGCAGGAGTTTGCCTTTGAAACACTGATGGCCAGGTGCGGATGGGTCATGACATGTCATGATGCTTGGGATTGTGTGTCCCAAAACAGCCCAACACTTCAGGTCAGTGCATTATTGCGTTTACTTATCCAGATATGTTTGTTCCTATCATTTTTAGAACATGTGATCTTAATACCATAAACCACGATGATAAGGGTTTATTGACCTATTATCCCCCATGTATAGATAGTTTTCCCATAAAAGACCATAAAAGCCACGTATTGAGGGCTTATTACTCAAACATTGCAGTGGAAATGCCTCATTTGTAGATGATTGTCCCATTATATAGTCATTAAGACTTCCATTTATAATGGTTTCCCCCAAAAAACATGTCAGACTCTTGTGACTTAAGGCAATACAATATTATTATGTAGCCCAACTCGACCCAACTATCAATATGTAAATTTGTAAATCCTCAGAATGGGATTTATGCATATTACACAACCAATGTGATTGCGATTGGCAAGAATCCAACTATCAATAGTCCTTAACCCAATTGTCAATGTTAAATATGAACAGCGGTACTATTAATCATCAACAATCCCAACTATCAATAAATCCAGAAAATAACATGTTATAAGATTAACTTATTACTCCCAAAGATTAAAACACCTTAACCCATCTTAACCCAATATTAACCCCGTCAGGTGCAGCGCCTCCGAACACAGCGTCCAGCAGCTGGAAGAGACCCGGAAGCAGCTGCGGGCACAGCTGGCGGCGCAGAGCAGGCTGCGGGAGAGCGAACGGTGCCTCGCCAGGAAAAAATGGAAGAGTTGGAAAAGGTTGGGAAAAGCTATGAAAAGCCATATCAATTCATTGATTAATCATTGATTCGTCAACATTAGCCCCAATATATGAATATTGTCGTGGTATGTCGTGGTATACCCCATTTTCAGACCGTCCCAGATGGGGATTTGAGCAACAGAAAATCTGGATTTAAACCAGAAACAGAAAAGGCTATGAAATCTATGCAGAAGTTATCCGTGATAATTTGGTGTGATTTGGCAGGTGCTGAATGAATCTTCATAAGAGGAGTTGTTGCTCAACATGGCTTCCGCGAAAGATAAACATGGAGTTCGCGAAAGATTCGCGAAAGAGAATTGTTTATTCGCGAAGAATGGCCGTTCCCGGACAAAGGAATTTGGATCAACCACCATGTAACCATGTAGTTTTTAGAAAAGAAACACGAGTTTATCCCACAACAATTGGATTTGACCAGCAAACATGGAGATTTGGCGATGGGTTTGTCCTAAAATATGAACGCATGACAAAAATCCGGGGTCCCCCAGTTTTGATTTTGACTGGTGAAATGGTGGGGAAAATGATGATGCTAAACTAGTGGAGTTTGGGATACCCCATCTCTGAACACGCCCATATCCATTCTGAGTATATGAACCTTGATGAGGGGTGGAGGTTGATGAGCTATTTGTTGTGTGCTATAGACTGCGGAAATACAGTACCGAGAGGTACCGAGTCTATTGGTCTATTGGCATGGTAGGGATTATATCTCTTTTTTGTTGGTCAAAACACGTTAGCATGATGTATCATGATATCATCTCCATAGGGAAGCCATGAAACCCAACAGAGACCCGGAGGGGCAACAGAGGGGATCACAGGGCTTGAGAAATAACATTAAATGTGCCCTTCAATGGGGATTTCAATGGATAACCTCGCCGATAAATATCATATCGCAATCGAATTTGCTGAACCTTTTCACGTTTTTTTTAACCCCATCAGTGGTAAGTCATGGTAAGTCCAATTTGACATGGGGAACATACTGGCCCAAACATGCCCAAACATGCCCAAACCGGAGACCAGCCTCCTTTTCTGCCAATTCCCAGGTATGCAGAACAAGTGGTCGCCGCTACCTTGGGGCCCGCAGAAGCTCCAGATTCCGATGCGGTGCGAAGAAACCTCGAAGCGAAAGGATTGGAGCTGACAGAACTGGAGTTTACCTTGCGCGAAGTGGAACTGAACTCTGATCGCCTGCAGCAGTACTTGGAACAAAGCCAATCCAACCTGGAGATGCAAACTGAAGAGAAGCTTGGCAGTCCAACAGACATCGGTTTCCCGAGTTTGGGAACGTGAACTGGTTCAGGAGGTGCTTATCAGGATGTTGTAGCAGACCACAAAAAAAGGGTCTGAAAATAGGGGCTTCCCCAATTCCAGAATGATCATCATTAATTCCCGGATATTCCCATCAGTTGGTTGCCTTGGTAGGAAGATTCGCCTGGAAGATCACTACGCAGCGAGTCGGCGGCAGTTGATGGACACCGAAGCCAAGTTGAGAGAAGTCCAGGGGCAATGCTACTTGGGCCTAGTGAAAAATGTATAAAATCTCAGTTTGGTGAAGCTGAGGTCAAAAAAACATGGGATTTACCGAAGAAATATGATGGGAACAATGGGAACACAGTGATCCAAACATGTGAAGTAAGTAGAGTATGTTTTACTGGGGATGAACATCCACAACTACCAGCTATTTTGACCCATACTGCCCATACCTAAATCTCAGGTGGACCACGAGGGATTAAACACACATCTGGATTTAAGCAACACTTATTTTGGGGGTATAATATGCATAGGAATATCATGGGGATATGATATAATGGGAAACAAATGAGACAACAAAATAGTTGGGTGAGTCTGAAAATGGTGGAATTAAGACCAATATATGGCCAATTCAATGGGAAAATGATGATGAACCATCCAATTTGGGGGGTGTCCTGTTTTCAGACAAGCGTGTTGGGCATCCTATATGCAGACCAAAGGATCGGATGCATATTTTTACTGCGACTATGGATGATCGTGATTTCTCATGGGGATTCGTCCCTATTCGATGGGACGATTTATATGTTTTCCTTGTCACATCGTGAAAATTGACCAGGATTAAAACATACATCTTTGAAGAAAAAATACCACCGGACCACCATGGTTTTTACCATGGATAGCTCAGATCTCACAGAAATGGTTACTGCCAGACCAGGGTTGTCCTCATGCTCGGCATGTTCGTGAAAATTGTGGAAGCGGGAAATCATGATAAACCATTAGATTTGGGGGTAATTTATCTTCAAACAAGCCGAGTCCTGGGTCCATGTTAGATTTAGGGTGTCTAGCCATACATGATTATAGTTATACGATATACGTTTCTTTCAAAATATAGAATTTGAATGAATTTGATATATAGATCCCTGATCCTCCGGGCGGCACAACTGGAACCATCTTGGTCCCAGTATGCTCGCTTCATGCAGGTAGCTACTGGAAGTCGCAGCACCAGAGTGAGGAGCAAAGGGCGCAGCAATGGGAGACCAAGGTGGAGGATCTGTTGCGCGACCTCCAATGCCTACAATCGGAGCTGGCCAAAGTTCAAGGTTTGCCTCCAACTGAAGCGGTGCTTCCAAGCCGCGATGCCCGTGAGATCCGGCAGCTTCAACAGGAACTGCAACTGGTTTCGGGTCAAGCGAAGGAACAAGCCCAGCAGCTGGAGCACGGCCGTTCCGTGCAGCAGAATCTGATGGCAGCACGGGCACAGCTGGATGAAGGCTACAGGGAAGCTCAGGAGCGCTTAGCGCAGGCGGAAGAAGAATTGGATGAGCTTCGGGCTCAAGGTGCCACTGGAAAGGGTTTGTGCTAGGAAAGCCGTTGGGTTCAACTCCAGGGTTCTTTTTTGTGAGGATCTGGACAAGTTGATAAGTCCTTGGGTGTCCAATAAGTCCTGTTGTTTGTCTCAACAGTTGAAGCGCAGGTAACTCTGCTCGGCGGAGCGAAGCGCGACACTACCAGGTCACTCAGATTCAGATCTTCAAGCAGAATGGGAGGGTATAACTAACCAACCAAGATGGGGATAGCAACAAAGATGGAACATTTAGCCAGCGAAGCGAAACTGGGGATTATATCAACCAAAATATCAACCAGCAACTATGATTAAATTGACCAACCAAGAGGAATATGGATGATATGGATTGATATGGACCAATGCTATGCTGAAACTATGCTGTTTCAGGAAGAGCTGTTGGCCCTTCGCACAGCCCAAGCCACCATGGAAGCCCAGTCGCAAGCTCGAGAACGGCCACTGGACCGCAGGGATCTGTAGGAAAAGTTGGTATGTAGGGAGGTCTTCAACTACCTTCCACAATGAATTCTGATCAAATTTGGGCACAAATCGCAACCTAAATCTACGTAGACTTTCACATTCATTGGACCGGTGTCCAATCCGCTTGGGCCGAAGGTCAGCGGAGGAGCGAGTGCAGAAGTTCACCATGGATCTCAGGCACTTGTCACAGAGGAACAGCAACTTGCTGGAAGAGAATCAAGATCGCAAGGCCAGAGAAAAACAATTGAAAACATTCCCGCCTGCTCCCCATGCCACTACGTGAAACCATTTGAAACCTCATAAATTCATAAACTGGTTCTGAAACCTTGTGCCAGCTTCAAGTTTCGGCGACATTAATTTACGATCTTGAATCTTAGGTACGTTGTTTGATGATGATGTTTTGCCTGCGGTTGTGCATTCACCAGATTATTTTTCGCTGAGCAAGTCAACAGAAGTCGTGAGCTAGCTTAGCGTTGGAGAAAGGTGAAGTCTGAGGTCAGCTAGCCTCTGTGTTGAGACGGTTTTGGTTCAGCCATCCGATGCTTATCGAACGAAGTTTAGAAGTCAAACTTCCGACAATATGGACAGATGGAAAAGCAGAGGTGGGAAGAGTCAGAAAGGAGAAGAGAAGAAGAGAGAAGATCAGAGACGAGAAAGAGTCAGAAGAAAGAAGATGCAGGTGCGCGAAAAGGTAGGAAAGTCTCGATTCACTGTGTTTTTCCAATGATTTGTGGCTCCGGAGGATCGAAAAGTAGGCTCGCTAAAGCGGCGGGTGCGGAGACATCTGATCAAATGAGAGGTGAAAAATTGCACGCTGTTGTGGCGCGAAGCACATTTCCAAGTCAAAATGTACAAAACACCTCAGCTTCGGAGCACACTTGGAAGTTGAGGTGACGTAAGTGCACGCCGTTGTGGCGCGAAGCACATTTCGAAATCAAAAGTGTTAAAAACTGATGGTCTCGGACCACTTTTGAGAGTTGAGATGTCGAAAAAGTGCACGCCGTTGTGGCGCGAAGCACATTTTCAAGTCAAAATGTACAAAACACACCAGCTCCGGACCACTTTTTGAAGTTGAGATGTCGAAAAAGTGCACGCTTTTGTTGCGCGAAGCACATTTCCAAGTCAAAATGTTACAAACACCACATGTTCCCGCTTTTGGACGTTCAGATGTCGTTTTGCGTGGGAGGCGCAAGGGATTGCGCACCTTGTCAAAAGTGAGCAAAACGTGAGGGTTTTGTAGCAGTTTCAACTACAACCACCACTACACTACGCTACACTCCACTACAACTACAACTACAGCTACAACTACAACTACATTTCGCTACACTACGCTACACTCACTACAACCACAACCACAACCACAACTACAACTACACCTACACTACACCTACACCTACACCACATATCACTACACTACACTGCATTGCACTACACAACACTACACTAGTTACCTTACACTACACTACTTACCTTACACTACACTACACCACACCGCACTACACTACACTACACTAGACTACACTACACTACCCTACAGTACATCACACTATACTCATTAAACAAGCACAAATGCAACTGCAACTACACTATACCAAAACTACAACTCCACTACACTACAACTATAACTAGCTGCACTACACCACACTACATCCAGCAGTTGTGGGTGAGGTGACCGACCAGGTGACCACTGCAACCACTCCAAAAAACACAACTCCAACCACCTTTCAATCCATCAGTGGATTCGCTCTGCCATCCGTGATTCACAACAACCAAGCTCTCCTATAGGTTTCCTATTCTGAAACTTCCGCCACCGCCTTGTGCGGCACTACTGGTAGAATGCCCGGAACAGATGATAACAAGGCCCAAGCGAATGAAAATTAAGTCCTTTTTTGGCTACAGCGCGGCGTGCTCCAACAGGCTGCGGCACTGAACCTTGAAGACTCAATCAAGCGCTTGAGAACAGATGTGGATCACATGTCAACTGCAACTTGGCAGATTTGCAGACGCCATCACCCCGCATACAAAAAACACCAGAAAAACTCAGACACCGAAGCACAGTTGAAGTAGACTGCATGAAGTACATGGAATGGAATGAATGAAGTATTGATTTGATATGTGGGGAGACATGCCTGGTAGATCCTGGTTAGTTGGCACAGGAATTGCTCAGTTTGCAGCATCGAAGTCCTGTTTTGACAGGCACGAAAGGAGGAGGGAGAGATGTTCATGCATCAGGAAGACGCGACAAGACACCTCGAAATTGCGCTGGAAATGCAGACTCAAAGGACGATGTAACGAAGATTGCCCTAAGATGATTATCCAGTGAAATGAACATGTTGAAAAGAGGAAAGGTAAGACGAAAGATGTTCAGAATACTCAAACATACTCAGAGCCTATGTCCAACAATTTTGAAGGAGTTTCCAATCAAACTGAAGAAGTGTTCAGTTCCATCCCCATACTGCAGCCAGAATTTGGCGTTTCGAGAGTTTGCGGTGTCAGTTTCAATGTGGCCGCCTCAACAGCAGGACTGAGGAGTTGTTTTCCGAGAACTCGCGCCAGTCTCAGTTTGTGTGCTGCAAACCATTTTTGTAGTGTGATTTGTTAAATTGATTTTGCTGCAAACTGCAAACCCATCTCAAGGCCCCATTCAAAAAGAACATGTTAATGTTCTGCCAGGAATTTGCATTCAGAAATCGAGCAGCTGGAAAGGAGATGTCGAGGCAGGCAAATCAATGATTTGCCACACCTCGCACAGTGGTGTGAGAACATGTTTCAAAAGTCAATATTTTGTTTTCTTCACTGCCTTGCTCAGGAGTTTGATATGAAAAGATGTGAAAAAATGATCAATTATGTCTCATAGTGACAACCCAAGATTGGATGCATTGCAAATCCACGGGAATGGACCAAAACCAGCCATGTGTGGCATTATGAACCATTAGTCGAACCATCAGTTTGCCATTGGAGTCGCCATTTGCGTCGCCATTTTGTGTAGGTCAAGAGGAAAAGTCCGCCCAGACTCTTCAGGGAGCACTAAGCATCGAGAAGCAGCTGCTGGCTGTGCGTGCCAAGCACGGCCAACTGCAGGACCCCGCTGGTGATCTGGATTGATCAGGCCATAGCTTCTGTAACTCGTAATACTTGTAGCTCCCAAAAACATGCTGGCCATAGGTGATGGTTGAGTCGCAATTTCTCAAGATTTTGCAAGAAATTGGGAATGTTGTTGATATATTATAAATACATATATTATAAATACATATATATATATAAATTGATGAACAAAGCACAGTAAAGCCATTTGATGAACATGATCCCGATGAGCTCATGTGGAAAGCCCAGGAAGCATACAGAGAGCAGCGCCACTTGAGAGCGAAGGAAGCAGAAGACGGACGCAGCTCGGCAAGTAAAAAGGCGTGAAATTCACAGTCAAACAGAGCATGTGAAAGGCTAAGAGCGGAACATCCTTACTTTTTGGTCAGCAATTTCAAGTTCTGATACTTTCTGTTTTTTTCCCTTTGTTTTGAGATCTCTATTTGGGATCATGATATCTCATGGTCCCCAATGACTACAGTGACTACGGTAGTCCTGAAGTTGCCACTGCCCAGGTGCAAGCACCAAGGGTATTGTTGATGCGCTGAAAGAGGTGTGGCTGGTCGTAAAGTTTGGATCACATGTGAAAGAAGGCTACAATTTCAATGGGGTAGATAATGATGTTTGCAACTTGCAACTAATTTATTGGAATTGGGGGTACAGTAAGTACAGTGTAGCCTCTTTCCACACAATCCCACGTGTCTAGGAGCTCAGTCAATTGCGCGAAGAAGCGGCTGCAGAACGAGCAGTTCGGGACGCTGGTTCTGGATTGTTTCAGTTCCATCAGAACTGGGGTATGCCTGATATATCCTGATATTTTGAGGGTGGACATGATGATAGACCAATGATTTTAGTGATTTTTGGTGGAAAAATTACCCGTGTGTACCCGACGTTTTAGGACGTCAAGTGGATGGCCTGGCAAATAGCTGATTTCATCAGAGTTGAACGATTGATGGTCAACGGTTTTTCAAGCTCCAGCCACTGGACTATGCCAATGGCAAATAAAGATGGAAAAGATGGAAGAACGTAAGGACTGCATTTGTTCTAACTATTTGTGGGTCATGCTGCAGCCGCAGCCTGCATGTTTTAGCATGAAATTGTTGGGCCAAGAAATACATCGGTCGTATCATGTCGTATCCAGATCCACGACATTCCATGATTCCAGGATATTCCATGCAGATCCATGCAGGACTAAAATCTAGCTGTGTACTTCATTTGCTAGGTCTCTTGATGTTCCACGCTGGATTTTGTGATTTCTCCTCAGATCATATATACACAATTTGTTTTGCTTTTGGTGGAATTCCATAGCTGCATACATGTTCTACTCTAATCATGTCTAATCCCATTCTCCCCCATCTTTAGTAAACCCCGCCAGAAAATATTTGGAAGATCTGTTCAATCTACGCATTTTGGGGTTCCATGTAGACCGAATATTACTGGGAGATGGGAGCATCGTTCGTAGCATCGTTCCCAGGGTTTCCCCGTCCAGTGCGCAGCGAAGACAGGAGGAAACCGACCGCATCCAAGAAGAGGTGGAGCCCAAACCTCAGGAAAAGGCAGTAAAACTGAAGGACAAGCTTGGAATATGTTGGAAGGAAGTAAAGAAAAAAAACATAGATAATCATTGTCATAGATGTAAAAAAGAAGAAACACAAACTATATACTTAATTTTAACATATATATATATATAAGCAGATGGCAAAACAGATGGCTTTATCTGGGAAAGTTCTCTCAGTTGGCTTCCAATCTCGTGGCCAGTTCTGATGTCATATTGATGAACTTGGGGATGCAACTAAAAGGATGTTGTTGGACCCAGGGAGAAAGTACGGCGATTGCACTCTGAAGAGCTACAAGGCGCGATGTTTGCGGATGTTTGCGGCTTCACTGCTTCAAAGGAAAGGTGTTGTTTATGTCTGACAACGGGGTACCCAAAATCCAGTGTTATCCCAGTTTTTAACAAACCCAAATGTATCCAAATGCCACATGGTTGTTTAATGTTGTTTATATCTCCCATCATATCCACATTAAATCCCCATTCTCTCCCCATGTGAACTTACTCCCTCCTGGTACAGCAGTCACTCATGGGGTTTGTTGCTGAACCGCACCCCACAGTTGACGCCCTCGGGGAAGGTATCCACTTTGAACACAACGTCCGTGCTCCTAGTGGGTCAGTCTGCAAATGGGGTTTAGCTATGTTAAGCTCATTGAATTGGCCATTGCATGTTGAGAAAATGATGATTAACCAGTGGATTTTTATGGGGTGCCCTATTTTCAGGCAAACATCCCGATCATCTCTTCTTCCCGAAAGTCTCAACATCAAACTCAACAAAATACTCGTATCTTCCAGATGTATTCCATGACTTTGGTCTGGGACGTGGCTTTGAACATCCCGTATACGTACATTATCAGTAGCATCCGCACCCTATCCTTCACCGGGATGGTCTGTCCATCATGCCAGTCACAACATGTTACAACCATAGCACATCCTGAATGAGATTGGACAGGGAAAAGATATTGAAAATACTGGGGGTCCATATGGGTCCATCCATTTCTTCCTTTTCAGGCTGGATGGGAAAATCCCAGCTGACCATTCCCAGAGGAAGATGGGAAAATTGAGAGGAAAACTGAGGAATTGCGCGGCTGAAAAACCTTCGTTTCCGGTCGATTTTCCGGACTATGCATTGAAATTGAATCATGGTTACCCTCTGGTGAACTAACATAGCAATGGAAAATGGCCATAGAAATAGTGGATTTTCCCATGAAAAATGGTGATTTTCCATTGCTATGTTAGTTCACCAGAGGGTACATATGGTTACAACCCTGTTGGAAAATGGTGTTGAAATATCGATAGATCCGACAGAGCCACTCCCACATCCTGGGACCATGGCCATGGCCCCTCTCTAACTGAGGCCCTTCGCAGTGCGTTGCATCTCCAACGTCGCAACTCCACCGCAGCCCTGGAAGCACAACGCTGGGCTCTACGACGGGAGCCATGGCGGGTGGTCACAGAGATGGTTGGAGATTGATATCGTTGGGATACTGTAATAGAATATGATAATATTGTTTTTATATAGCACACTCATACAGAAAATAGCAGAAATCACATAATCATATGTATATATATATATACGTGTGTATACATAAATGCATTATATTACAATATATTTCACATATATAATTTACATGTCATATTCATATGATATGCAGCTGTATACATATATATATAACAAGCATATGCGTGCACAAGTATATCCAGGATATGTAGTTATGTATGTATGATATGTGTATATTAGTGTATATATACATGTATGTACACATAAGCTGGAACCTGGTCAAAAGTCAAAAGTGTTTTTCCATGTCGTTCCAATTTGAGATGAATCACATTGGATCGAAATACAAACCTGTCGAAGATAGTGCAACAAAGGCTATCTTCTGATAATTTCTGTAGGTCAATGCAAACATCCATAGGAATTCGTGAGCATCCTGAGGAATCGATTTGGTTCAACTTGTGCGAGCAAGGTACAGGTCTTCGAAACAGGTCTTCGCTCGACTGTCCATTGAGTTTGGGTTCCAAGAGGATTCACAAAAAACATTCCCAAGATCTTGTTTGTATTTGCTTGTTAAGGATTATGATGGGTTTCTATAACTATATGTTTCTATGCAGGATAATCAGATCATATCTAACAAGGCTCTTGGTTATTTAATGACTTTCAACTACTGTCGCGCAGGAGAAGCAGCTGAGAAAGAAACGTTACGAAGCCTTGCTGCATCAAGGATTTTTTATAGATCAAAAGCGGTTATACCATGTTATACCACCTTTTTGGCCACCCAATGTCACCTATATTTGGATGAATCCTCACCATCAACTATAATCCTCACCATTGCTGTGCTCGTTCGATATATGTCTGGTGTATCCCCAAATATCCAAGAGCACTAAATACAGTCAAAGGTTATCATAGTCTAGACCTAAAGTATGTGTATATCGTGGTATATCTGTGTAAAAATCATGTACATATATATATATATGATATAAACATATACTGTATATGCAATCAGAATACACTCATTATTTGTCATGAACAGAAAATTCTCCGTCGGTACATGAATCCAGCTGATGATCGTTATTGTCCACCTGAAAAAAAACTATTTGTCATCAGAGTATATCAAAGTTGGATCATATACAACCATGTATCATCAACACAGCCATGAAATATCCAACTACTGAACCCAACTGATGATCAATTGTCCAACTGTATCGATTCTCCAACTGTTGACAAGCATGATGATCATAATTGTTTAAATACGCCACAATTATAACTATTTATGCTTATTGTCAATATTATCCAACTACTGATAGAGCTGTAATCATTTATGTTTTGTTTGTAAACCAACACACGTACACCAATAAAACCGTAAACTGTTACAACCAAACGGCCATAAATATGACTTTTGATAGCCTCATTTCATGGCCATGCAAAATGGTTGAGACGTTAACATTAAACATTCTAATTGACATAAACAAAAAAAGCATTTTATCTAACATCAACCAACATTCAACCACCATTCACCCACCATTTTCCATGGGTTTTTCCATGGTTTTTCCCATGTTTTCCACCGGGCCACGGGGGCCCAGGCGCTGCTGATGGCGGCCTCAGAGGAGCTGCGGGGGGGGCTGATGCGGCTGAAGGAAGCCACGGAGTCGGCGGCCGTGGCGGATGCCTCGGTGGAGGACCAGGACCAGCAGGCGGATGCTCCTGTGATCTTCGTAAAAAAAAGAGATAGATATATAGATCATTAACATCTTCATATATCTATATACTGTATATACTGTATATACTGTATATACTGTATATACTGTATATACTGTATATACTGTATATATGATGTATGGTTCTAATGAGGATTTCAGGCTGCTGGTGAACGATCCATATCAATTGGACATCAGTCAAAGTAAAAGTAGCTCAAAATTATATAATCCCTTCCCTCAACTTCTCTCCGATATTACATGACCCCCAGACGAATCCCGGAACTCGTAGTGGATCTGTTGATTTTTAGGGGCCGATATGGAGGTATTGAATGTGATTGGGATGCGACCACAGGTGGCTGAAGAGCTTGAGCAAGTGAAGTTGGATCAGCAGGCTGGAAAACCGCTGGGAGAAAAGCTTGGGGACGGAGAACTTCAAGGGCAGTGAAGGGGTCAGGCAAGAATTGTGGTTTAAAATGGTGAGAATTTGGAGTATCAGATGTATCAGGATTGCATCAGTCATTCAATGAATTCAATGACAATCTAAGTTTAGATCGACCTACTGGTTGGCATGGTGAACTGGGACCTCGGACGCCACTGTAAGGTGCTCTCAGACTCCAGAGCTGTTGAGCAAGAAAAGATGGCACATTTGGATGAAGTACAACTGCAACTGAAGGACGGAGGGATGGGGGATGATGGGGGATGCTGTGCCTTACCAGGTGGCAGATGGTGTTTGGATGTGTTTGGACTGTACGGATTGGCAGATGTGAAAAACTGGGATCGTTCAAAGAGCAAGCCGTAGTTTGCCCACTGGATACTTAGTGCCAAAATCCGATCCTGGGAGATGCAATCAAAATCAATCAAACAATATCAAACACAAACCAGACAATGCATTGACAATGCAACATAATGAGATATTCATTAGATTTTCATTAGATTTTCATCTATTTCGACTGTACCTGGTGTCAAGCGATTAGATTCTGACTCAGATTTCATGGATCATCGGCTTCCCAGGACGAACGAAAGGCTGCCACGCCGCCACTTGGGGATGGATGGGATCATTTAAGCGGATGTTTCCAGGTTGTTTTGAAAATGGGTACATCCTGGGTACATCCCAGATGCTCCATGTACGGCAAAAGATTTGTTGATCTAGAGTTGCCTCCAAAAATATAAGTTAATTTAGGTAGATCTACACCATCCGTGGATACCCATGGGGCATATGGGCATGGAAATACAACAAGTACTTAAAATGATTAACCCACTTAAGCACTTAAGTGGTCCTCGGAATCTTCTCCTGACCCAACCCGGCTCTTAGGAACCAGCTTCGCATTCAAGAGCTTTTGGTGGCAGAAAGACTTGCTTTAGAGGAGGTCGAGAAACAGGAGGTCAGGGCGGCCAGGAAAATGGGGACAATTGGGGCATTCTAACCACCAACGAAAGCGGGATATGGATGGTTGTGGAGTTGTGAACCTATTATTTTTTTATATTTTTTTGGGATATCAGCCAATCTGTTTGGGCTTATTTTATCTTATTATGTTTGGCAATGGAACATCACCTCTGTGAAGCTGTTTGTTTCCAGCAGAAACGGTAATTCCATGGCTTACAGGCTTACAGGAAGGTACAACAGGAGATTGTTACAGCACACCATCCAGGGACTTTTCCGCGAATTCAGATGTCGAAAAATGATTTTTGGGCCGACAGCAGGATGTTCCATGTTCAAAATCCAAACGGAGATGTTTGTCATTCTGCAACTTGTACCATGTTGCACCCCTAAAATTACAGGGCTGAAGTCCTACAAATTCAGCAAACTTCCTCTTGTGGATGCCCGTTCTCATGTTTTGTTTCGTGTAGCCTTCCATGGATGTAGACATGCGCAAGTTGGACGGGACAGACATCGTATCACCTTTATTTTTGGCTGCTCTTCCCTTCTGCAGGCAGTGGTTGCGGAGGACAAACAGCACTTCAATGAGGACTACAAGAAGCTTGAAGAGGCTAAGAAAAATGTGGGGATATGGGATGTGAGAGAAAACAGTGGGGCTATGTTCAGCCTGGTAAACTAACATAACATAGCTATGGAAAATGGCCATAGAAATAGTGGATTTTCCCATTAAAAATGGTGGATCTTTCCATAGTGTTTTGTATGTTTACCAGAGGGTATCTTAAAATCATTTAAAATGGATCTGGCCCCCGTCTTTGGGATGATCCCTATTGAAGAGATTGGCCAATGGGATTGGGGACCTTCCTTCGGAAAAACCTGGTTAAATACTCAGCAAATCCGAAGGTTCATGTAGAATCATGAATTGGACTGGGATCGAACGTGACATCACCCAAAATCCCGGAAATTTGGGATGTCAAACACATTTAGAGCCAGAAATTTCGTGGTATTGAGCCATATTCATATTCAATCACAACTTCAACACATATTGGGCCATCACACTTTCACCATAAAATAGACCATATTACTGTAAAGATTAAACATATTATATATATATAGATTATATATATATACATGATGAATCCATAAGACTTCCCCAAACGTCACAAACAATTCTTCCACTTAAGGCGCATGCTGAAGAACGGTGCAGTCGCGAGAGGGCTGAGGCATATCATCATCAGGTGGCAGCCGGAGAGCTCAGCAATTGACCAAGGCATTTCCAGCATGGTTAATGATGTGATGGTTAATTTTGGTCAATATTAATATAAATTAACCATCATTAACCATAGATCATTAACCATCATTAACCATAGATATACCTTACCATCAAATATCTATAGTTAATGATGGTTAATTTATATTAATGATTGTGAATGATGGGAAAAAAAATCATGATCAATATTATATATACAAGAATGATGGGTGTTTCCATAGTCATGGGGGTACCGATTTTTTATCGCTGGATGGTTTATTTCATGGAAAATCCCACTGAAAAAAAATGATTAAAATGGATGATTTAGGGGTACTCGCATGGATTGGAAACATTCATATGTATCCGCACTTGAAGATCAAACTGTATGGATCATCTCAAAGCGAATATCAGTGGTAGATTTAAGTGGGCCATTGTTTTGAAATATTGATCACAGGTAGGGTGTTGTTTGCAGTGTGTTTTCGATGTTTTCCCATCTCTTCCGCCATACTTGTAATGGTGAGACTCCGAAATATTGAATAAGAGTTTGTCAACAGTAATGATACCTTTAATATTCACGTCATGTCAAACGGAAGTGTAAACTGTACAGAAGTGGACTTCATTCTCGAGTATCATCATGTACCTCAAAGTTGGGAGTCCATCCCATTAAAACGGCATTGGTTGAGGTTTTGAAAACTGATTGGTGGTTTCAAACATTCTTTATTTTCCATAATATATGGGATAATTGTATTTTTCAGAGGGGTTGAAACCACCAACCAGAAAATGATTCCAACTTTGGAGGTTTCCTAAGTCATGGTACCCATGGTACCCCAAGGCTGAAACGCAGCTCTTAGCCGTCGACCTTCTCAAGCTCCAGGAGATCCGCCACGGATGGCCGACCCAAACGGAGAAAGCGAACGGGGGTGTTTTGTTCTGCTAGGGAAACCATGAGATTACCCTCTGGTAAACTAACATAACTATGGAAAATCACCATTTTTAATGGGTAAATCGGTAAATCCACTATACTATAAATGACCATTTTCAATAGCTATGTTAGTTTACCAGAGGGTATCCATTTGGTTATGGGAAACCATACGATGAAGTATACTGAAGTAACCAATGACAGTAGTGGTTTAATGGGAAGTAACCAACTATCGCATTTAAATAATGGAGAAGTAAGCAACTACCAATTATCTCATGTTTAACCAACTTTACTGCTATTTACAGTAGTGATGTGTCTACAAACAAGGATACTATTTTTTTTGCAACGTCCATGATTTTGGATACCCTTTGGTAATCAACCATGGCAATGGAAAATCCACCATTTATAGATGATGTTCCTATCCATTAAAGATATTGAAACCTCCATTTAGTTCGAGGGTTTCCCAGCCATGCCAGCCATGTGACGTTGTTCGAAGGATATCCCCTGTTTTTGGGCAACCCCGACTCATCCGAAAATCCAACGCCACAGGGTGTCTTCGAAGCAGATGGCGAGAGCGAGTCGAACTTCTCACAAGGATCCAAGGGAGTGCGCGAAGGTGGGGAAATCCAGCGGTGCATACTGGTAGTGGGTGGTAGTGGGTTGTTCGGGCTTGATTTTTGGTCATAGTTTGAAGATGTTTGAAGGGTATTTGAGATGAGCAATGCCAAGATAGACCACATCGGGAAGCCCTGGAGATCGTTGGGGGATTTGGGATCCAAACTCTGAGGTCGGCCGCTACTGGAAGTTGCTTCCAGCGAAGATGAGGAGAGTGGCGGACTTTGAGTTGTTGCTTCGGTGGATCACTTACTGTACTGTTTAGTTCTGAATGGATCTGAATGGGGTATGTCTAAACTTTGCCATGATATCTGATATATAGCTGATATCAGCTTGGGTCTTAGGCAAGTTGACGTCTTCCCAAAGCTGTAGTGGATAGCGCTGCTTCCTGAAACAAACAAAAACCATGGAGCGGGTGAAAAGGACCTCAGATGAACATCACACTTCGTCATTTTTTGCAGCTGGTGCTGGTCAACAGATATACAGTACATGCAATGCAATGCAATGCAATGTAATGTGTGATGTCATGTCATGGCATGTCATGTCATGTCACGTCATGGCATGTCATGGCATGTCATGTTATATCATAATATATCATGTGTATATATATATTATATATGTAATGATTGTAATGAACGTGCAATAATTCATGTGTGCATGCATGCATACATGTTTGTTTAAATATATGCATATTACATACGTGTATATATAATTATATATATAATTATATATATAATAAGATTGCCTAAATCCAATATTTGGATCGTTATACTGTGCCTCCTTCCTGGTGTCTTACGCAGGTATAATATTCACAAAATTATTTCTTGGTCAGGTACGAAATGTGGTACACCCCATATTTGTATTGTTTGATTTTGATATCCAATATTATGATGTGCGAGTTGCCAGATGTTTGAATGGGGGTTGTCCAAAATAGGTAATCCCAAATTCGAATCGCACGGAGTGTACCCAATTCACACACACACACCAAAATGTTCACATATTGTTGGCGGGTATCCCGTTCAATTCCCATTGTACCCCCCATTCCTGATCATGTTTGATGGCTAAATCAGCTAAAGCCATCTAAATCCATCTAAATCCATCTGAAACCATCTAAATCCATCTAAATCCATCTAAATCCATCTGAAACCATCTAAATCCATCTAAATCCATCTAAATCCACATCTAAATCCATCTAAATCCATCCAAATCCATCTAAATCCATCTAAATCCATCTAAATCCATCTAAATCCATCTAAATCCATCCAAATCCATCTAAATCCATCTAAATCCATCTAAATCCATCCAAATCCATCCAAATCCATCTAAAACCATCTAAATCCATCTAAATCCATCTAAATCCATCTAAATCCATCTAAATCCATCTAAATCCATCCAAATTCATCTAAAACCATCTAAATCCATCTAAATCCATCCAAATTCATCTAAAACCATCTAAATCCATCTAAATCCATCTAAATCCATCTAAATCCATCCAAATTCATCTAAAACCATCTAAATCCATCTAAATCCATCTAAATCCATCTAAATCCCCATATTTGATGGTAAAATCCCCAGAGATCTCCTTAGGAGGAAGGTTCTGAGCCCGGTGAGGTCGGTCTGGGATGGGATGTTTTGATTTCTGATAGCAATGATGATAGTTTTTATACAAGAGAAACCTAGTTACACACTTTGCCAAAAACGTGGTTTGGTCAGGTGCAAAAAAAGCATGATTTGCCCAGGAGGGCATATTGTACATTCCTGTACTTTACGTTTGTACAAAGAAACATCAAATTGCTGAACGCTCCCATCAAGAACAGTCCGACACTGGTCCGTTGGTGGTACATGGCTCGCAGCTCTCAGCTCAGCTCCAGGGGCCTTCAAAAAGTGCCAAATATGGCATTGAAAGAGTTTTTTCTGTCAGCAACACAGACACCAAAAGGAACTGGAGTTTGGCAGACAGCAAATAGGAAAGTTCATAAACAAAGTGCCAAATAAAGCAGTGCACAACAAGTGTGCCATTCGGGGGCCATGTGTGGACCTCAGGATGCATATGGGGATGATTCCTCTTTCCTTCGCAAGGTGTTGCAGGAGCAGTTGGGCTGTCTGGCGCGGGAGCTTCGGCATTTTGACTCAGCCAGATTTCCTCTCCATTCATTTCACAGATACAGCAACCCCAAATTGAATCAAGTCGAAAAGTTGGAAGCCTGGATTCTATTTGACAACAAAAATAGAGGAAAAGATCATCAGTATATACAGTCGTTTTCACCATTTTTCACATCTGGAAGTTGTTTTCGCGACAGACCATCCTGGAGCCTGCCAGGAGGAAACCCATATGCTGATGACCCAGCTTCGCGGGGAGATTGCTGCAGAGCTGCGACAGATGCATCGACAAGAGCTCAATAACTTCAGTTTGCAGAAACTTGGAAGAGATTGGCTGGAGCAACCAATTGGATAGGTACAACTATGCACAACTTATAAATAATTAATCCTTGGCTATTTTTGGTGGAGATACCAACCAACTAAAGCGATTTCTGTTTGCAGGATAATTAGCCAAGATTGGGCTGTTGGGCGTGCCCTTTTGGAGGCATTGTTGTTTTTCTGGATCATCGGAAGTAAAATCAATTATAAATCATCCCCCATTTGCCGTGATTTACCTAATTCCATTCAACACCATGCCCATATGAAGAAGTTTACTATTTGGTTTGCCACATGAATCTCATGCCTTTGTCCAGAAAGCCACCTGGATGCTATCAGCATCCCAGGATCAAGCAGGTCGTTCAGGAGGCACATGCGTCCGCGCAGCTTGGCTTCTTTTTCAGTTGCGGGATGATCTCAAGAATCTCAAGGGTCAATATGTTGAAACCATGGGCTTGAAACATGTTGAAACCACCAATCATCAAGTTGCGACGATTTATGTATTGCACCAAAGATTGCTGGGAAATCGCTATTGTTTGTTTTTAATTGTTTTTACCTTTCTTGGGGATCCCAACGGCTCCGCACAGCCTAGGTCTACACTCTCAGCAAATTCCAAACTCATGATCATCTCCATAATTATCCATATGAGCCTGGAGAATTTGACATGAAATCCAGTCAGTAGTTGCAACCAGTTGCAACCAGTTGTAACATGTTATGACCAGCTCCAATCCTCCGGGACAGGCTGGCAAGAAGGCGGCCAAAGAACGAGGCATGCGCTGAAGCGAGACCCAAAGCACCCGTGGCAAGTGTCAATCTTAGCGACCAAGAAAATCGAGCAACACAGGCTGCAGGATTGATATGGATGTGACTGAAAATAGGATAATTATTTATAACAATTTATAACAATTGGATAATATAGGATAAGTACATATAATTACCCCAAGATCCAGTGGTTAACCATTATTTTTGCTATGACAAACTACTGGTTTGATATGTTTTGTTCACCATTTTGGAGGTGTCAATCCTCCATGTTCAGACACACATTTTATATGTCAATCCTGCTCATCAAGACGAAGGGAACAGAAGAGCCCTGGACAAGGACAAGAGGTTTCGAATACAGGTTTTGGATGGGAAACCCTGATGGACTTGTACTTTTTCAGAGGGGTTGAAATTCCGACTAGAGGATTCTTTGATACTCTTTGTATGTTCATCTTTTTGGATTTCGTCGTTCCCAAAATCATCCAAATATATCCAAATATTACAGGATTTTCCATGACATTCAGAGAACCAAATCAGCAGGGCTTCCAGCGTAGCAGGGCTATGGGTGGTGAAACACACTTTTTCCACCCGAGCACTGATACAAAACAAGAAATAGCCGTTATGTGCGAAAGTACTTGTCCCGTGGTCATGGCAGATGCCCATTTATAATTAGGGCGGGAAAAACAAATCTTGCTTCCCTTAGGCTCACTTTTCTGCTTAGTTTCAACTTTTTTGGAATGTGTAGAATGAGAAGAGGCCTCGGACGGTGCAAGGTAAATGATGGTGGACACAACGTTTGGGTGTCATTAGGCCATCGTCGTCCGCGGGTGTCTTCGAGTCGGCTATGAACCAGCTAGTTTTTGGCATTGTTCCCGACAGAAGTGGACACAGAAGACAGCGCGGCAAGCTCAACAGTATATAAATGTATACTATGTTCATTGATCATGTGGTTGTCCGTGTGTGAGGCCCTGAAAAGGTTTTTAAGTTTTATCTTTCTAGGTGCTGGGAGAAACGCTCTATTTCTTGCCATCAGCATGTGACGATTTCTTCTTTTGAAAGATTCTTCTTCTCCCGGTGAAAGGATTCCTCCTTCCCGGCGCCGGGTTGGGAGGATTCTCTTTTTCCCGGCGCCGGGTCTCGCTCCCGGCGCCGGGTCTCCCTCCCGGCGCCGGCTCTCCTCCCGGCGCCGGCTGAAGCCTTCCTCCTTTCCCAGTGCGGGGTGGAAGCTTTCTTCTCTTGCTGGCAGAAAGACCAGCAACCGCGGCGACATACAGTATGTTTGTTGCTGAGCTCAGGGCGTCAAAGTCTTCATTCCCTTCTAACGGCGCCAGGGTGACGAGGAGCGCGCTTCGATTCAACAATGACACCCGGATACTCGAAATTCAAGGCGCAGATCAGCTTTAGCGTGGAGAGATGTATTTCGGCCATGAGATGGAGGATAATTAAGGAACAGCAACGCTGCTGACTGTTGCTAGCTTTCCGCTTCCGCGCCTACACACCCGCCCTTTAGGTTTCTACGGAGCCTCCTGCTATGTCGCCTACCCTGCCATTTTGAAAATGTATGTATGTATATCTGGTAAGAGGCATGTACGCTTTTAAATATTCCCTCACAGTCGCACCTGCACCAAGACGGGGATGAAATAAATTCCGGCCATTGCAGGCACCAGGCGCCAATTTTCAGTGCAAAATGTCATTTTTGAAAACGTACGAAATCACCTCGCACAGCCCCGATGGCTTGGCTCCACCCACTGCCCCGCTCAAAGGGCTAGCGGCGGCCTTCCTGCGAATGCCCCGTTCAAGCTCCTTACTCGTACAAGATTCAAATCTTCCTCCCAAAGCCCCGAACGAACCATTTCCACCCAAAGCCCCGATGAAACCATTGCACCCAAAGCCCCGATGAAAAATTACACGTAAAAACGGTAAAAAAAACAGCAAAAAAAAAGTGTTTTTCTCGTTTCTGGATAGGGCCCAGGTGCTTCCCAAGTCTCAGCTGAAGGGCCCGCAGCAAGGACTTGCTTGAAAATCCCAAAAGACTGGATGGCGGCATGAAGCAATCTTGTATACTGCTTCTACTACATCGGCACTAATGCAAGCCTAAAAGGCTTGAGGTCATGGGGTTTTCCTCATTCCATCCGGTTCTGCTTCTTGCATCAACGCGTCTGCCAGGCATATATGGAAGCAATGCAGAAACAGACTCTGGTCCCTGTTCTGTTCCCGTTTGAGACCTGCAAAGTTCAAGGTCCATCGTAGCAATGCTCTTTTTCAACCAGCGTTGTGCTAAGCTTTGGCACCCAAGCCGCTGCTCCTGTTTGCTCTTTGCTGTAGCCTCTGCCTTTCTAGGGCTGGCCTGTTTTAATTTCCCGCTTAGCAGGCTTAGCAAATGAAAATGGAGTCTTCTGCAAGCCGTGCTTGAAACAGCTACAGGACTGAGCATGAGGGTTGAATGAGAGGGCATTGCTGCAGCTTGCTGCTCCCAGTGGCTCGGGCGTGCCTTGACGGCAAGCTTCCCCAAGCTGAGAGCTTTCCCCATGAAGGCAAGGATTCGAACGCCCGTGGTGAGTTGCCATCTTGACGAAGGCAACTGCCGCTAATGCTCTAGGTGTTGCCTGCGTTAGCCTTCTCCGCGGCGTGCCCAGCGCGGGGTCGACTGTGAAATATGGCAAAGGGCGTTTCGCATGCTACTGGCCTGGTTCTCGTCGCAGGAATTCAAGGCAACATTGCGAAAGAAACAGGTGGCCACTGAGATCAGGTTGTACATACGGTTTCATACATGTTGATTTTCACAAGTACATGCTGGTGAAGTAGCCCCCCAAGGACAAGAAGTGCCCAAGCGAAGGCTAAGGATTTGCTAGTGCTCAATTGCATGGGTCTGCCCTGTATTGGCCATTGCTTGTCATAAAACAAACTTACATTGCAATAGCAGAGGTTGTGCTTGAACCAAACTACGTGGGGTCTTGAAATGTGTTCCGGTAGAAGATTCAGTGAATGTTTGCAAGGCTATTTAATCACAAAATTTCTGTTCAATGTAGCTAGGTGGGAAAACCTCCCCAAGCCCCGCTCCACCCAGTGCCCTGCAAATTCTTTCCTCCAAGACATGAACCATCCAGCTATAGGGGTACCCCCCTTGTACTGCTGAGGCCCCACAGCATCCTCCCTGCCAAGTCCAAGCTGTGAGGCAGGGCTCGGCACGGCGAAGATCACCACTGAGGATATTGCATAAGCAGAAAGGGGGATAGAACATGAACCAAACAAATTAAGATATTATTATTATATACATACATATATATATATACATAATTAATTAATTAATTGATATTAATTAATTCTATAATGCTTAATATATCTTATATATATATATATATGCTATATAGATAACGCAACCGGAGATATAGAGGATACAAGAATATAGTGGAGATATGGAGCTTGGGTCATGCTATTGATGGGACCATCAGTGGTCATGGGGTCGATCTGTAAGGCCTGGTGAATCGTGGATGGTGTGATCCAACTTGGTCCCGACAGGCAGCCGTTGGCAGCACCGTTAGCAAGGAGCGGCACGTCCCGAGCGCGGGCACGGAAATGATGACCAAGGGTATGACCAGCTGCTGCCCAAGCAAGAGCTTCTGGGTGGAAAGTGGGTTGGAACCCGAAGCTGATGGATGATAGATGATAGTTGGACATCACTGGTCAGTTTCTGGATCTTAATCCCCCAGCCTTTTCATGCAACTTGGGCATAGTTCAGATTTCTGACGCCATGGGGCCTCCCCAGGTATGCTCAAATTGGTGGCTCATGAGCTGAAAGCCCCGCTCAACGGGCTTGCAGGATACTCCAGGAGTGGGATGAAAAAGTGACGGAAAAACAGACACTTGACCGTACCCATTGACTCCCTATGTAGAAATATGTTTGGCATGTGTCAGTGCAAGTCGACTAGGACCTTGGCCGAGACAGACTCCAAGCATCAGAAAGAGTTCAAGCTACTTTCCAACACTGCGCAATTTGCGTTGGACAATGCCGCTCGCCATCGTGCCTGCAATGATACCTGAGTACTGTATACTATGACTTTTTCTGAGTGAATTTTCGCGAGCTCGCAACAACCTCACCGTAAATGATGGAATGATGGAATGATCATGAATCGTCTTAAAGCATAATGTATTTATTAATACGTATTTATATGTGCTCGTATTTACTTGTATTTATATACCAAATGGAATCGTTCATATTATGGAATCGTTTTCATAATTAATTTGTCAAGATGTTTGAGATGCGTGGCTCAACCACCAACCAGATCACTGCCGCCCAACTTCTCCAAGGTCACGAATTTGACGGATTTGTGGACGTACGTGACTTGTCATAGTCATCCTTATAGTTGGGCATGTCCAAGGGCAGTTCATGGTAGTTCCACAACCACCAGAACCACAGTAGTGTGGGTGCCCTTTTTTCGGAGGGGCGTGAGGGTACCCCGTTGTTGGCCAAGCGTCGAAGCAAGGCCAACTACGAGATTGGTGCTTTGACTGCATCAAGTTGAAGCGCGATTTGGGTTGCATGTGTTTGGTACCAAAATGTCGGTGAAATTGGATCTCACTTCGATCGTCAGTTCAGTTCCAAAGCCGCCTTATGTATGTCTTAGATGGTGGAACCCAAACTTTGGGTCCCCTGAAGTTCCTTTGCAATGCTTCCACAATCCAAGCAAGCTATCAGTGGGTAAGAATGACTGTGCTGATCGCAAGTTGATTCTCCTGGGTTTATCCTGTTTGCAACTGGGGAAACGTTGCTACTTAATGGGAAGAGAATCCAGGTACACACATTTGGTTGTGGTCTGGTATTTGAGTCGCTTCGCGACGAGTACCACCCGCACCCCGGCCTACTTGGCCCAACCAAAGCCGACTGGGGTCAAGCTTGGCCGTCCTTGGCCTTAAATTGAGCCGAACAGGAGCCAACTGGGGCCTAACTTGCGCCGAACTTGGGCCAGTTGGCTCCAACTTGAGCCCAACTGGGGTCCGCAACTTGAGCACGCTTGGACGCAAGTTGGGCTTAACATGCGCAACTTGGTCCTGTGTGGGGGGCATCTGGCACCGAAGTGTGTCTAAAACAGGCCCAATGTCGGGGACGTGGCCTTGCATGAACCTTCATCAAATCCAAAAATATTGGAAATAATGAAGTTTTCAGCGTGTCGCATTGAGTCCGCAAGGTTGGGCCCAGCTTGGGCCAAGTTGCGCTATCTTGGGCCCAACTGGAGCTCAAGTTGGTGAAGTTGGGCCAAAATTGATCCGGATGCACCCCAAATTGGAGCCATGTGACGCACATGGAGGCAACTTGGAACCCTTTGGCGACAGCCCAAAAAACATGGTAAATACTAGTGAAAACACGTGTTTTGAAGATTTCGTATGGCCGGCCATGTCCCGCACTTTAAATCCATGTGGACCTGAACTTGGGCCGAAGTTGCGCCCGAATGGGGCAACTTGGGGCCAAGTTGCGCCATGTGGCCGAAGTTGGAGCCAAGTGGGCCTTGTTGGCCAAAGGTGACCCCAAATGGGGCCCATGTTGTGGACATGTTGGATCGAACCGGTGAATTGGGACGATTTTGTGCCGATCTGCAACATGCGTAAATTACCACAGTCCCGCGCACTTGTTGTATTTGTTTGGCGGCCTGCCCCAGCTGAAGCTGCACCAGTGAACAGAGGATTGTTCGAATCGATCGGCTCCGCTCCTAAACTATCATGCGTCGGCACCTTCATCCTTCGGTGTGGGCGGATTTGGGATCAAGGTGGGAAGTCGTTTGAGCTTTTGGAAGTGAATGACACACATGGCTAGGTGGATTGCTGTCTGATCCAGTCAACTTGGAGGACTCAGTAGTGGGGCACAAATGATGCGTGCAAGGTCTGGCAACACAAGGTGGCGCAGTCAAAAAATATCAGAGATGAGACGGTGAGGAGGTGAGGATCTCACATTTGTAATTAATCACATATATAATGCATTGTATTGCCTAATTTTAATGACATGGGCCCCAAGCATGAATAGCTACAATAAGGCACTCAGTCTCCCATGAGAATTTCACAGCAGGAGCTCAATGCGGTGACCAGCGAGAGAATCGGAAGAAGTGTCAGCCGCAAAGGTGGCTTGGTGAGTAAACCAACTGGTTAAAAACATCAACTGGTGCAGTTTTCAACTCCCCAATCTCTCAGTTGATGTGTGTTTGGAGACCTTGGGTTGCTCCGCCTCCCAGTTTGGACATGGACATTTAAGTGGATCGGGTTTTTCCTGGGACCCCCAGGATGCACCACGTCACAGTCCTCAGGCAAACCCCTTGTGCCCACGGGGGTAGCTATCAACATGACGGTGCCTCGCAGCTGCGTGGGCGCAGTTGGGTGGCATCATTGGAATGGTCATCCGTTCCAGGACAGATAAACATCATAAAACATTGGGATGGATAAAACGACCTTATTGTGAAACAATAGTTGGGATAGTTGGGGAGGGATGCACATCCATACACCAGCTATTTTTTGTTTTTTACGAATTCCCATGCCCTGGGTTTTGACCCGCATGGAAGTGGCTATTGGCTCCACACTGGAGACCTGGAAGTTCAGACCTAGATGGGCCATGGAGTTAATTAACCAGAGTTGACTGGTTGGTAAGTGGGTTTCAAAATGTATGAAACATGTATTAACATGTTATAACCATCTATAACCCATGATAGTAAGATGTCCTAACCCATGATATACATGAAGTTCTCTTTGGGGAACTAATACAGTTGTCGCCAGCTCCACGCCTGGCCGCCATGGCCAACCAGGTTGAGGATGGCAGCGACGCGGTCAAGGGCGATTTCAATGCCTTGTCGCTGCTGGAATATCACTTGGTGTCCAACAGTGCCAAGTTCACAGAGAAGGGTCAGGTGAGGGCGCAAGCCTCCTCTAGTTGAAGCCTCTGGTGGGAAAACATGGGGACGGATCAAAACCTATGGTGAAATACCATAGTTTGGGAACTATTTGTTTGTAGGGTACCAGGGTTTTGATTCAGAAACACACATGTTTATCTTCATCGACTTTCCATACAAAGGGATGATCAAAAACGCCCATGAAAATGGGAATTCCATACTGGCCAATGTAAGGATTTCCCATAATGGTGGGATGACCATACCCCATGGCACAAATGGGTAAAGCTTGGATGGAAAAAAAAAAAGGCCCGGGATTCAGCGGATCAGCACAGTGGCTGTGCAATTCTTAAATATGGAGATGTTAAGCACAAGGATGAAGGAACCTATTTATATATATATATATAATTATAATATATATATATATATTTATTTATTTAGTTTGAAAACATGGAGATCTTGACCAAGTGACCGACACACGCGTATATTTGGCCAACAAACATGGAGATGCAAACGACAACCAGGTCTATGTTTTTGCAACTTCCAATGCTTGAGTCGCTCAAGCTACCGCAAGGTGGACGTATGCTGGGAGAAGACCGAGGTGGGCATCTGCCTCACGGTTCAAGACACTGGAATTGGCTGTTCCCCAGATGTGGTCAACCAAATCTTTGAACCCTTTGTGGTCGAGGACGGGCGCTGGGATGTGTTCGAGTCACTGCGGTTGAAAATGGGGCCGCAGAAATCATTCGATCCGCGGTTCCCCGTCAGGATTCTTCAGAGTCCAGAAAGCGAGAAGGAATTGGACTAGGTTTGGCAGTCACTCGACGTGTCAGGTCCGCTAAGAATGGCTCCAACCATCTTCAACCAACAAAGTTTGGGGATTTGACCGGCTAGATTTTTAATAAACTATAATATATAATCTATCATATACTCTATCTATATATATATAATATATATATACATATATTAATACATGTGTGTGTGCTTTTCCAGCAATGGTTTCTACTTTCCACCAAATGAAATGGATGTGTAAATGAATAGTGAATAGCTGGCCAACTGGCCAACCAATCTGTGGGTCCCTGGCTTCTGCACACAGATTCCCTAGAAGGTTGTGCGCCAGCTGGAAGGCTGTATGTAGGGCTCGCAAACTCACATTTTTGATCGCAAACTCGATGATTGCAATTGGATGGTTGTCAACTTCGATGTGTCATGTGTAGTGTGTGTAATTGTGCATGTTTACTTTGCAAAGAGATGAACAGACTGAACATGTGAAGATATGTGAAGAAATTCGATCATCTCAAAGAATTGCCCTCTGGTAATTTAACGTAGCTGATGGGAAAGATCCACCATTTTTCATGGGAAAATCCACTATTTCTATGGTCATTTTCAATCGCTACGCTGGGGGTCCCTTCCCCTTTGGGGGGCGAAATGCCTCAAGGTGGTGCGTGAAATTGCCAGATTGCACGATGCCAAGCTGTCAGTGGAGACCACCAAGGGAGCTCCTCGGAGAGAATGGCTGATTCTACATGTGACACAATATTTACGCAATAAAATCATAATATATCATAATACAATTATGATAATAATAATAATGATATATATATACATACATATAGACATATATATATAATATAATATATATATATATTATAATATATATATAATATAATATATATATATCATCTATACATGATACATATATATATATATATCAGACATGATAATCATGATCTTATATAGTAATCTTGACCATTCTTTACCGAATCTATGCGCCTTCGGTGCTCTGACCAAGGCAGGGAGCAGATTTCGGGTGATGTTTCCAGAGAGGTGCACTGCGAAAGCGGTGAAAACCCACCGCCACCCGCGGCTGCGAACCATGCCATGAAGGACGGTCACTGGCCCTGGCGCCTGGCAACTTTCCTTTGAAGCTATGGTGATGGATCAAAACTTATGGAAATACCATATTTTGGAGGAGATGAATATCCAGTTACCAGCAATATTGATCTCTTTTGGGGTTGGTTTCCGTGGGTTCAGAACCCTAGCCCACCTAGCCCTATGATCTAATTGTTTTGGTGGAAGCCTCTTTCCGTGGGGGAGATGAACATCAATAGCAATCAGCTAAACGCCCTGTCAGGAGCTGCGTCGACGCTGCAAAGATCCAGCTTGATGCACAGAAATTCCCTCGTTGCTTCATGAGAGACCTTTATGAAGCACTTGGGATCGTCCAAGAATGGGGGATTTACCCCAATTTATGGCAAGTTCAATGGAGAAAAGAATGATTTAAACCATGGCATAAATTGAGGTACCCTGTAGGTACCCTGTTTTTCTGCTGGGCAAGTGCTTGACCTTGCGAATGCAGGCTTTTGCAACATGGACCACACTTGATGATTTGTGGCGACCGTTCGATGTTCAACTCAATAGCAACACCCAAAAGATGCTTTGACGGTTCTTATGGACCAAAACGCTGCTTGCGGGTTGTTCCCTACATCACAGCAGTGATTACAATGCATGTCTGTTCCATGTCAAATGTGTGTTCCATGTTGCACGCTCTTGTCCTTGTTTGATTTCCATGTTTGGAAGTGCAATGCAGACCAGCAAAAGGTATGGCCTGAACCGTGTTTTGAGGTACATCATCAAAGGGCCTTGACAATGGGCTGTTCCTCCATCCCCAAAATAGGGTACGTACAAGGTGGTACAGCCAGTCGGTTCGATATGTTTCGATATCTATACCTATGTCATCCTGTCTCTATAATTAGCAAGTGGTTGATATGTGCCATTTGGAGTTTGGAGGAGGCTGGAACTCACAGATCCAACCCCGGTCAATTCTACCGAAGTCTTTGACTTCTTCCCAGTGTTTCAAGACCGTGGCAAACTCTTCATGATAGCCGCTATCAGATGCCTTAAGTCTCTTGAACTCGGTCATGTTGGCAGCTTCAAATTACATACCGCCACACATGGGCCATTGACGCTGCCAGGATGGTCATGTTCATGCAGACCCTTGAGGTTCGGACGGATCGTTGTGACTTTCTGTGAATTCAGGATGTTTCTAGATGTTTCTACAGCGTGTTTGGTTGGCTTCAAGGTGGTGATCAATGTTCTATATCTCAATCTTTTGGGGCCTGGAACGTTCCCTTCTTTGGATATCTCTGGATACCTGGATAATATATATATATGTACATATATATATACATATGTTTCATATGATGATAATATCTATGCTCATCCATTGTTCGATATTTTTTGTAGGAAAGACCATGAAACCAAAGGTTGCCTCGCAGCCATTTGGAGCTCAACCCTGCAACCTTGAAGGATGACCGCACTCTACAGGCAGTACCGTGTGGAGTGGAAAAATGATGGGCTCCTGGCCAGTTTCAGAGTGAAAATTTGGGAAAAATATGGAAAAAAGGATGAAAAAGGATCAACTATGGAAACATGGGATGCCTTACTTTCAGACAAACCCATGTAGTCGTGGGATTTGTGTATTTTTGGTCTTTCTGTTGGAACTGAAGTTCCAGACTCTCGACTCATAAGCCCATTATCATGGGCGAATGGAATTCTCATCGAAGGAAGTTTAGAAGTCAAACTTCCGACAATATGGACAGATGGAAAAGCAGAGGTGGGAAGAGTCAGAGAAGAGAGAGTCAGAAGAAAGAAGATGCAGGTGCGCGAAAAGGTAGAAAAGTCGCGAAACAATCTGTTTTTCCAGAGTTTTGCGGCTCCGGAGGGTCGAAAAGTAGGCTCGCTAAAGCGGCGGGTGCGGAGCCATTTGGTCAGATGAGAGATCAAAAATTGCACGCCGTTGTGGCGCGAAGCACAATTTGCAACTGAAAAAGTTAAAAGCACTTCACGTTTGGAGCATTTTGGAGCATTTTTTGAAGTTGAGCCAAAAGTGTACGCCGCTGAGGCGTGAAGCACACGTCGAAGTGAAAATGTAAAAAAAAAACGCCGGGCTCGGAGCATTTTTGGAAGTTGAGCTGTTGAAAAGCGCACGCGTTGCGGCGCGAAGCACATGTCGAAATCAAAATCTTAAAGAGACCTCAGAGTGGGAGCCCTTTTGAAAGTTGAGCTGTTGAAAAAGTGCACGCCGGTGTGGCGCGAAGCACATTTCAAAGTCAAAATGTTAAAACACGTCAGCGTCGGAGCGCTTTTGTAAGTTCAGATGTTGCAAAGGTGCACGCCGTTGTGGTGCGAAGCACATGCCGAAGTCAACATGTTAAAAACACTTCAGCATCGGACCACTTTTGGAACTTGAGATGTCGAAAAAGTGACGTCGCTGTGGCACGACGCACATGCCGAAGTCAAAATGTCAAAAGCACATCACGTTCGGACCATGTGTGGATGTTGAGATGTCCAAAAAGTGCGTGGCACGAATGGACCCATCTGCAAAAAAGTGCACGCGACTGTGATAATTTGCACATTTTGCATATCGGCCCAACATTGGCCAAATCGACCATCTGGCCCAACTTGGGCCCAAGTTGGACCCACTTGGCTCCAATTTCGGCCGATGGCGTAACTTGGCCCCAACTTGGACCGTTTGGAGCAACTTCGGCCCAAGTTGAGGCCCATATTGCTTCAAAGTGGGGACAAAGCTGGCCCAATACAAAATCCTCAAAACGCCCGTTTTCACCGGCATTTCCCACGTTTTTTGCTGTTGATGACGCTTCCTTTGACGCAATGTTCCCCATGTTGTGTCCCTGTTGGGCCCAACTTGGTGTGAAGCTGTCGCCAAAGGGTCCCAACGGATGTGACTTGGATTTCCATGTGCATCACATGGCTTCAATTTGGGGGCCCGTCTGGATCGCTTTGGGCCCAATTTCAGCCCAACATGACCAATTGGCGCCAACTTGGGGCTCAAGATACCGCCACTTTGCCCCAAGTTAGGCCAAGTTCGGACGGGCCCAAGTTGGGTCAACGTGGGCCAATTTTGCGGATTCAATGCGACACGCTGAAAACTTGCATTTTTACCATGTCCAACGTTTTTGGCTTTGATGCGGGTTCGTGCGAGGCCAAGTTCGGCGCAAGTTACGCCCAAGTTGGGCCCAAGTGGGCTTCTGTTCGGCCCAACTTAAGGCCAAGGACCGCCAAGTTTGACCCCAGTCGGCTTTTGGTCGGGCCAAGTAGGCCCGCTTCTTTCCTCTCTATCCTATTCAGTCCTATTCCCTGGGCGCGGGTAGTGATAGAGATAGAGAGAGAGAGAGAGATAAAGAGCTAGAGAGATAGATAGGTAGATAGACAGACAGATAGATAGCTAGGGAGATAGAGAAGATAGAAGATAGAGAGACAAAGAAAAAAAGAGATACAGATATGGATTGGGAAAGATTGACAGAGAGACAGATACATGGATAGAGATCTAGGTGGATAGTGAGAGAGAGAGAGATGGATAGATATAGATTATTATAGATTGATATAGATAGATTTAAACAGATATAGATAGATAGACATAGACAGACATAGGTAGCCAGAGATAGCCAGAGATAGGGAGACAGATAGATAGACAGACAGACAGACAGATAGATAGCTAGGTAGATAGATAGATAGATAGGATAGATTAGATTAGGTTAGGTTAGGTTAGATGAGATTAGGTTAGTTAGATAGATAGATAGGTAGGTGGGTAGGTAGGTAGGTAGACAGATAGGTAGATAGATAGACAGATAGACAGATAGGTAGATAGACAGATAGAGAGAGAGAGAGAGCAGAGAAAGAGTGACTCAGCCACCTTTGCCACCTTTCCGTCCATCAGTGGATTCGATCTGCTGTCCATGCATCACAGCAACTCACCTCTCCTATCCTTTCTTATCTTTGAAACTTCCGCCACTGCTTTGAGCAGCACTACTTGTAGTACACTTGGTACTTGACATGGGTGTTCACTATGATTGTGGAGGTTGGCATCCAAGATTTTGTGGTTTGGAAAGCGGCAGGCATCATTTGTTTTGCCTGTTGGCAGAGCGCGTTTCGATGGAAGCAGGTAATAAATGGTAGTAACATGTAGCAACTAGATAAGCGTTAGCACATGGTTTACAAACCGAGGGCTCCAGTGTCGTTGATGGGGCCCAGCAGCATTCTTTCTGTGGGTGCCAAATGCCCCTTGAAAAGTCTGTAAATCTACCAGTTGGGTGCATTTACAGGAAAAACAAATTCAATCATATCAGTCAAGATCCCAATTTGTTGATTTTGTTTTTCCATTTCTATTGAAATATTTGATGACTATCCTCTTGTAAACCAACAGAGATGTGGAAAACCACCTTTGGTACCCCCTTGGAAGAAATTTTCCTAGGGAAACCGTGGGTTTACCACATTTTTTGGTGTGTTTACCCTAGGGTATCTATCTCCCATTTCTTGCTGATCCCCAAAAAACGACTGTTCAGGTGTGCCGCCCTCTGGGCGCTGGCCGTTCTTGCCACAGCGGAAGAAGGTGAAGATGTGAAGGGCCCCATGATCACCAACAAGGCGCCAGGTTAGGATCTGGAGATGTTGAAACTCGTGGAGGACGATGGTAGGATGATTGGACGTGATGATTTCATGGTTGACTTCCCCCCAAATGGATTTGTAAATGGATGCAAATGGTAAATCATGGTAAATCTATGTAACTCCACTCCAGCAGTTTGGGATTGTGAGTTGGGACTGGGACTACTGAACCACCTGACCCAGTTTCCAGTTGGGTGCTATTGCGCCAGGTATATTTTGATGTCTCTATTGGAGGAAAACCTGCAGGGCGCATTGTCATGGGCCTCTATGGCAAGAAGGCCCGGTAAGGTCGGCATGAGTTTCCCAAGGGCGAAAGGGTTTGACCTGGCAGGTTCCCAAGACTGTGGAAAACTTCCGCATGGCACCTAGTTTCTTCAGAATCAGATTGTCAACTCGATGATTGCACCATCCATGAAGATATGATATAATATGATTGAATGTCAACGAAGTCGAGGATGCCTACAAATCCTGACGGGCAACCAATGGATTTGGGGGTGCACAGATGTGTAGACAGATTGTTTGAAGTCCAGCAGCCTCAGAGATTCCCTTTATAAGCATGTTACATATTCCGTTGAAGAACGCTGACAGAGGTGCGTTGTGTACGGGCGAGAAGGGTTTTGGATACAAAAGCTCCAAGTTCCACCGAGTGATCAAGGACGCTTAGACACTTGGACGCTTGGGCAGTGGAACCAGTGGAACCAATGTTGGGTCTATTTGGGGGATATCAGGCACAATTCGGAGGGTGCTTAAGTATGCTTAAGTGCGATTAATGCAAGGATGATGACAATAAACATACATAATGTTGACATCGTATTAATAACCCCCCCCCTCCCCCCCAAACATTAAGAGCATCAGAATAAAATTAAGGCCAAACATTCAACTATCGTAAAAATCACCTATGTATTCCCAAATGAATTGCCTAATTGAAAACGAATACATACGGGAACTTTCCAAAAAAACAAAAAATCACCTATGTATTCCCAAATGAATTGCCTAATTGAAAACGAATACATACAGTGAACTTTCTTGGAATTTTAGTATTCACAAATGAATTGCCTAATTGAAAACGAATACATACAGTGAACTTTCTTGGAACTTTAGTATTCACAAATGAATTGCCTAATTAAAAACGAATGCATAAAGTGAACTTTCTTGGAACTTTAGTATTCACAAATGAATTGCCTAATTGAAAACGCATACATAAAGTGAACTTTCTTGAAAGGGTTTAGTAAGGAAAGGGTTTAGTAAGGAAATCGACCATTTGAGCCTTGTTGATTTTTTTGCACTCCAGAACTTTTCAGGCAAGATTTGGAGTTTGGAGTTTACTGTTTCCAGCTCAAAGAGTCTTGAGGGCTTCAGAAAGGGTTTGAGAAAAGGTTCAACTAGGAAAGGAATTGAGAAACAAATTTAATTAACCACCAAAATTTTAGAACCCTGAAATCCAAATACTTTATTTAGGGGTGTGCAAACATACATTATTATTTTGATGTCAGGGGACTTCAAGGCTACCCCCTTTGCGCGATTGTTTTTTGGCATTTTTTGAAAGGGTTTAGTAAGGAAATCGACCATTTGAACACTTGTTGGATTTTTTTGCCAGCTCAAAGAGTCAGAACAACTTTTCCAAAAATTTTAGAACCCTGAAATCCAAATACTTTATTTAGTGTGCAAACATACATTATTATTTTGATGTCAGGGGACTTCAAGGCTACCCCCTTTGCGCGATTGTTTTTTGGCATTTTTTGAAAGGGTTTAGTAAGGAAATCGACCATTTGAACCTTGTTGATTTTTTTGCACTCCAGAACTTTTCCAAAAAAAACACCTATGTATTCCCAAATGAATTGCCTAATTGAAAACGAATACATAAGGGAACTTTCCCTCCAAAAAATAAAACCACCTATGTATTCCCAAATGAATTGCCTAATTGAAAACGAATACATAAGGGAACTTCCCCCCCCCCCAAAAAAAAAACACCTATGTATTCCCAAATGAATTGCCTAATTGTTAACGAATACTAAAGGGAAAAAACGGAAAAAAACGGGAAAAAAAAGTGGGCGTACTTTATTACGGAGGGGGATTTATTATTGTGAACCGGGAGTTGGCGTACTTTATTGCGGGGGGAGTTATTAACGCCATGTGAACATTACATACAGTTCCTGGAGCTAATGTTCTCGCAGCTAATTAGGCTCTCAGCAACCACTAGTTCTTTGTGCCGCATCCAGAAGTCATGGCGCTGACAACTCCAATGACCGAACTCTTTAAGATCAAGCATCCCGTCATGTTGGCGGGCATGGTTTCTTGGCAGCATGCAGAAACTACACAGACCAAGAAAGGGAAGACATCGATGTGGCTGTGGTTCATGTCCAAATCCAAATTCCACATATTCATTTTCACTAGTATATGCATACAACATGATTATTGTTATGATTATCAGTGCATTATTAGTGTATTAAAGTGTATTACTATGTTCATGATTATTGTGGTTTTAATTATTGTTATGATTGTTATGTTCTTATTGTTATTATATTGTTATTGTTTATTGTTGTATCAGTGTTTCAATTAGTATGCAGTTTGATATAGATATGTGAATGATATGTGTCTAGATATGTGTGTGTGGCCGAAAATGAGTGAGTCAACATGTCCCAAAAAGACCAGTCTCAGACTAAGTGCAACCTTCCGCAGCTATGAGAGGATCCTCTTCTAGTATCGTCTCTTGACTCATCCGACACATAACCAGAAAACAGAATATGAAATATAAATACATACCCCTACATCCTCCCCACAATCTAAGGCATCGTATTGACAAATCATAGTGTATATATATATAATTATATAATCATATATATATATATATGCGTTCATATATACATATGTACATATACATACATATTTGCACAATAATATATATATACATACGTACATGTTTACATCTACGTATAGTGACATGTATGTATGTACAGCGGTGTCTCCCATTTTTCGGTGCTGTTCCTCCCGCTTTGAACTCTCAGGCTGGCGCCGCTGGACCTGAGCTTGCTGCGGCCGTGTCCAACGCTGGAGGCTTGGGAAACATTGGCAGCTTGGCCAAAATTTCCATGATCTCAATGAAAAATAGAGGTTTTAGTGGGAATATATAGGAAAACCATTGGAAAACCCTTGAACGATTGAGAGGTTTTGTATGGGAATCAATGAGAAAATATGGGAAAAAAACATCATCTATAACTGGTTAAAGCTGGGAATCTCAATGATTTGGATGTTTTAATCAGAAGATGTGGAAACAAAAACGTCATCTATAATTGGAGGTTTATAGCTGTTGTAGCTGGGAGAATAATATGTAAATGTGGAAAATACCATTGCCATGTTTGATTACCAGAGGGTATATGTGGGTATATAGTAGCCCCAAACAAGATAGAAACGTGATTGACCACTATTCGACAGGGATCGTTTCTTTTCTATCTTTTTAGGGGTTGCGAGAATGTGCATCCCAGTCACTGACTTGTTAAGAGTCCATTCTTTTAACCCCCAGTTCATTAATCTGGCGGGTACCATTTTTACAGGCGCCCAAAAAAAGTTTGGACCGGTTGTGTTTGTTTCTGTGTTTGTTAATCGTGGCTTTGACAATCTCACTGGTGAAACCTGGAGGCAGATGAGTCGTCGAAATTGGGGCGCAGGGATGGCATGTTTTGCCAAAGATGACCAAATGGATCGAATTGATCCAAATATCTACTTTTTTGCTCTTAGATTGTCTGAATATAGCTATGGATACTATAGCCTGCAGATATATACATATATAATTTCTAATACATATATTGTATACTTTCAGATATTGAGAATTTTACATCCATGTATTGTTTTTCAAATGTCTAGCTTCGGAGATCTTCGGACGCCCCGTTTCGCTTGGCCGTTCTTTGAAAAGGTGGTGTTGGCTTCACCCCGGCGGCCTTGCGAAAGACCATTGGATTGCTGAAGAAGGTGCCGGGAAACCGCGGTCAGATATCCCACAACATGATATCAACATGGGATATATGGTTAACAATCGATTTTTTATCATGATGTAAACATGATATGATGGTACAACATGGTTAAGCAATATTCGTATATGTTTATGATTGTTTATGCATAAATGATACAATTGTAATTATCATTATCCAAATAAGCGGGTATTATTGGACATTATCATATGGTATATTAGTTTGGTATATTTTAAATATTGCTTTGATGATTGGATTGTAAACCAATATATGGATTATTACCTGCATTGGGGGTAGTTTGATATATTGATTTGACCTATGTTTTCATGCTATATGATTGTTGTATGATGGGATCTCAATGGGATATGAATGATATATGTTTATACAATTTTATACATAGACACGCACAAAACTCCGACAATGGGGGGAGACCAGTTTTTGTTTGTTGGCAGTGTTGGAGGGTCCAAGACTTAAGTTCCTGGTGTCTTGTCAGGTTCATGAGTAGAGATGCTGAAGCTGTTCGCATCAGAGAGGGAGAGAGCCAGCAAATTTCATTGCGCATTTGATACTCCAAACGCATTTGTGAACTAAACAAGGCACAGCATTGGAGCTATAGCAGCTATAGGAAGACAACTGTCTGGATCCATCCCTGGGTCTATAAGACATTCCCAAAAAAAACAGGGTGCTTATTCCCATTGGACAAACAATACTATATATACTATGGATCTCCACGGATATACCCATGATATCCCCTCCAACGTATTCCATCATGTCATGAAAATGTCCCCTCCAACTTTTTTGGGTCGCCCTTTTGTCAGGACTTGGTGGACAAAAACGCACCTTTTGGAGTGGACTTGCTACTCCCTCAGGCACAGAGATGGAAGCCTTTCCATGTTTTTCCAAGGGAGCCAAAAAAAAAAGTGGAACCTCTCGTGGAAAAACATTCTGTTTCATGGATTTCAAAGGAAAAGATACGCATTTGGGTGGGTTTTTATATGATTTTCGCTTGAAGAAATCACATTTTTCTGCAACGATTTTGCTTCGATTCCACTTGAGATCTGTGATCGCAGGTGGGTGGAGGAGCCCGAAAGACCAACAAGGACTACACCGCTGGAGCCCTGCCAGAGTTGGTGGACATCATCATTGAAGAGAAGGCCAGCCTTCGTTCGATGAGATGAGAAACTGCCAAGAACTGAGTTTCGGAGATATTTTTTGTTGGTCAAATGTTGATTTGAACCATTTGAACCGTAAACATGTATTGGATTGGATGTATGTAATTCATAAACAAAGTGGAATTTAGTCCGGGAATAATGGTACATCTATATATATATATTATACATAATATATATATATATATTGAATTATTGAAAGGGAGATCAATGGGGATATGTTATTGGAGATATCACTGACAATATGACTTGAGTTTGTCCAAAGATGGGGGAGGGACCCAAATTGATACTATAAACTCAAACTTCATGGCAACCTCAATGGGCTAAATTATGATAAACCCATTGAATAGACGGATTAATCTTCATCTTCCAACTAAAAAGGCCACTTCGGAAGAATGCGTGGTCAGAAGTATGCCTTTTCGGCAATGAATGGTCCAATTCCAGTGACATATAATTGGCCAAGCAGCTTGGTGGGTTCTGGCGTATGAATGTCAGGATGATCCCTGATGATCCCTGATGGCGAGTTTCAGGGGGTGGAACCACTACTCTAAGTGGTTGTTTAAGAATGTACTGTGGGTTAAGAGCCAAGAGCATCCTTCAGAAAGCAGGAGCAGCAACCATCCCAACATGTCGTTCAGTCCGTATCAGTATGTTTTTCTGGATCTGAAATGCTGGGTAGCTTTCGGTAAAATGATCCCACATCCGCATGGGGTCTGCCGGGCTTTCTACGCTTGGATTCAGGCTGCCCTGTTCATTTGCGCGGTGGGTGTCCCACCCAAGTGGGCCGTGGACAAGTTTCACAGTGCCGGCATTCCAGTGACTTGGACATAGAAAGACAGGAGTGCTGGTTGTAGATCTTTGAAGATCCTATTTGGGTCAACCTTTGATAGGTAATGTTGGATACCGATTAGTGTCATGGGCCTCTATTGTGAGTTTTTTTTCAAGAATTATTGGGTATTTGCACATGGTGGGGTGGGCCTCTATTGTGAGATTTTCTTTCTCAGATCCAATTTCTTCAGGAGGAGCTTTATCCACCTTTATACACCTTTCTGTGGGTAAAGCTGGTCCATTTACTTTAGAAAACCATATCCATGTGAAAGCCTTGAAAATGCAAGGTTCCCCAAATAATTAGATGCTTTATTAAAAGCTCTTATTAAAAAAAACAGCACCCAGGCACTTTTTCAAGGGGGTACCCCATGAATGGCCCAGATCCTCAATAGTGTAATTGTTTGGATGGTACCCTATTGTGCACATTTAAGTTTGGGGGATGATGTTTTTCGATTTAAAAGGAAAAGCAATTGAAAGTAGATTCGAATGAATTGAAAGTAAATTGTTTTCAATTGAAATCCTTTCTTATCAAGAGATGTCTTTGAGGTTTAAAAAGAAAAGCTATCGAACGTAGATTGTTTCAATTGAAATCCTGTCTTATCAATAGATGTCTTTGAGGTTTAAAAAGAAAAGCAATCGAACGTAGATTGTTTCAATTGAAATCCTTACTTAAGTTGATAATCCTGAGTTCCCCAGACCTGGTCCCCAAGAAAATGCCAAGTTAATGAGTAGACCAAAATTGTTTTAGGGGGTAGGGAGCCCTACACTAATCAGTATCCAACATTGCACAAGATCTAAGCTTGGCCATGCTATGAAAATCCCCACTTGTCCAGGCAAGCTCATGGCTTTGGTTGCTCCATTCCATCATTGAAAATCTGGCACTGACCTGACCAGCAACCCTGTTGAGTTTGTGTTGCAGTTCCGAACAGTCTTCCTTCAAAGCCACCTATGTCGTTGACTCATTGAACTCCCCTGAATCACCAGTGGTAGGCGCGGTTTATGGATTGGTCTACAGGATCCATCTCATGGTATGTGTGAATTTTGTCTGGACCAGGACCCAAAATCTTCCCCAACTCCGAGGTCATGAACATGATCGGAGCAGTGAAGCACGTGGGCAAAGCACTGGAAGCTGGTGTGGATCTCATCTGCGCCCAGGGTGGTGAAGGAGGTGGCCACACAGGCGAGGGCGCGGGATGGAACTGCTGAGTGAAAATCTCTGTGTTCGATTCTTTTCTTGCCTGGAATATACGATTGGAAATTGCTGCATCTTTCAGAATAGTTCATTGAAAATCGAAAATGACTCTGCAGAAATTTTGTTGTCCAAATGTTGTCCAAATTCCTCCAATCATTTGAAACCTCCAATTATATATATATATGTCATTTTATATCCATTGGCGATTTCCCGGCCGCCATGTTACCGGAAAGGCCCATGGCCCAACCATCGCCCAGGTGACACTGCCACGGCCATTCTGCTGCCCAAGGTAGCGGACGCGGTGCGCGGAAAGATGTCACCTTTGACAGGCAGACCTGTGCAGGTTGTGGGGAGCCTCGGAGATGCGGAGATGGAGTCATGGATTCACCGGAAATCGCGCGTGAATTGGGAGGTTGACATGGGAAATCATTGGCAGGTTGAATAGAGAATTGGTTGGATGATGTTGATGAGCCATGAAAATACGAAATGGGAGGTTGGTGTATTGTCGAAATCCCCGCATGAACAGAATATAGGACTTATCCAATCTGGGAAGGGATGTTGACCATCAATTGGATGGGATCTTAGCGGACAACACCCCAAAATGGGATAGTTGAAGACCAAAGATATAAAATGAATTAAAATGATATAAATACATATAAATGCCTTTCTTATATCAACATCAATCAACATCCCAATTTTTGCTGCTTACTTCAAGTTACTTCAGATTTCTCAGAAAAACTGCTGTTAGGGTTCTGCTTCGACGGTCCACAGCTAGGTGGGCGCCGGAGGCATTTTTGATGGCCGCGGACTTGCAGCTTGCTTGGCCATGGGCTGCAGTGGCGTGTGGGTTGGAACACGTCGGGGAAGCCCAGCGGTGACGCTGTGGGGCAGACGATGTTGGTTGGATGGCTGGAAAAAAATGAGAAATAATGATAGATAGCATACAATTGTATATATAAGCGGAATACCCATGAATACCCTACTAATCTAAGTGGTAACTTCAGGCTTCATGCCAGATGATACTTGCGGATGTGCTGATGTCGCATTGCTATCGGCCACGCTGCGCTGTCCACAGCTTCAGGTTTTATTGCCTCCGATGAAGCAGGAGCTGGTCCTTTGCACAAGCAGAAGATCTTGAGCGGTGACTACAGCGAAACCGTCCGAACGACCATCTACACCGGTCGGCCCATGCGAAACTTGACGCAAAACCGCAAAACACTGAAGATAAACTATTATTGGTATGGAAACTGACATACAAATTACATACCATATATAACATCAATGGATTCATTGATGGATCTCATCCCTTCCAAAAGAATAAGCACAGCGACTTTTTCAGAAATTGTGGTGGTCTTGGACGGGTTGGATGGGTCGGATGGGTTTCATGCCGGGTGCCGAGGAGTTTTCAAGACGCCCTATATCCAGGACTGGGAACAGAACCGGATGAAGGAGATGCTGCAGCTGCAGGACTGCGACAGGATGATTGGTATGGGGGGTCACACCAAGGGAGGTGCTGACGTGTTGATGATAGTTTCTATAGTTCAGATTTACATTGTATTATTGTTACAGTACCAGTTGTAACACCAGCTGTAGTGAATGTTCGAGTTTGTTGTGCCAGTTAAGAATTTAGGATTGATATAATTGTTCTGATTAGAGTTGTAGTCCCAGAGAAAATCTTGTCCACCATTTGTATGTGATCGTCAGTTGGGGTTGTTTGGCCAAGGAAAGCAAGCTGGAAGCACCAGTTCACAGATGCTGTAGTGGTAAAGCTGGCTAAATACTTGTTTGATCCAAAATAGTGTGTTCAAAAATGGGGATAGGTTTGCACCTCAGACTGACCAGTCCGTGTGCAGTCCCCCATATATATACTGCATATATAATTTTATATATCTATACATATATATATACATATCTATATACATATATATATATATATACATATATATATGTGTATATAGATATACATATATATATACACACATCTAGATAGATAGATAGATAGTTAGAGATATAAATATAGATATACATAGATATAAATATAGATATATAAGGACATAGATATTCCCCAAACAATGTGTCCACACTGAGGTGTTCTTACGGTAGGTGTAAAAGGCCCCGGGTTAGATCAGGGTGCTCCATTTGGTTTGCGGCTTTTTCACTGTAAATTCTCGCATAAAAGTGCCCTTGCGAGATGTCCATGTGCATTTTGACTGCGCAAGCTCGCACAAAGCAGTTGTTCCGCTTTGCTCCGCGGTCCCCTCTGGTGACTTTTTGCGTGTTAGATTGCTCTTGTTGTGGTGCGGTGCGAATTTTGATATCGCTCGCGCAACAGTCTCGGCACTTTGTGCATGTCGGATCGCTCTCGTTGCGGCCCGGTGCGAATTTTGACATGGCTTGCTCAACCTTCTCGTGACTTTGGGCGTGTTGGATCGCTCTGGTTGTGGCGCGGTGCTGCTTTTAGCTGTTTCTCTTAATTATATAGATCTCTTAGATTCTGGTAAAGAGATCTTTTGAGTTCTCTGGAAGGTCCTGCTATGACAATCTTGCAAGATTTCATGGTGCAGAGTCTTAGAGGTCCGTAATATACAGGAATATCTTCACCATGGTCTTGCACAGGTCCTTGTGAGAAGATCTTGCGGAGATCCTTTTCAAATTCTCCTCAAGATGTCCTTGCATTTAGATCTCGAGGATGTTCTGCATTGATGCTTGCATGTAAGTTCTCCCAGGATGCTCATAGCCGTTTGGGGTCTCTTGCCAATGTACTTATACGATCTTATACATATATTGATATTATATTCCATAGATACCCTCTGGTAAACTAACATAACTATGGAAAATCACCATTTCTCATGGGAAAAATCACTATAAATGGTGATTTTCCATAGTTATGTTAAATTACCAGAGGGTATCCACGGCCTCATTCACCGCATGTCCAGCTCCGTTGGGCTTCACCGCGGCATGGCCAGACGTCGCAGGAGTCCGGCGTCCCCGCCTGGGTGGTGGACGTGGATGGCCTCGAGGGTGGCTTCAGCGTGGGGATCCTGCAGCAGGATCCTGCAGCAGGCAGAAGTCTTGACCCAGGAGGAGACGGAACTGAAGCGAACTGCCTGGGGATAGAGGGTTTAACCATCATATAATAGGGATTTAACATGATTTAACCATAATAATCATGTATAATAATGTATAATAGGGATTTAACATGATTTAACCATCATATGTAAGCTATTAAACCAGATATTATGAAGCATCATGGCCAACTGGTTGGGGATTTAGAGTAGAGGAATTAAAGGAGGATTTCATGGATTTAATGGATTTATAGAGGATAACTCCTTATCAATAATCGGGATTTAGCCAAGAGGAGACGGAATTGGGGATGGGTAAAAACCTATGGAAATACCATATGAATGGGGGAATAACCATCCATAGGGCAGTTATTTTTAAGAGGGGTTTTGACTCATAACCAACTGATGCGAACTGCCAGGGGTAAGGATAGAAATGACAGAAAACGATGTAGAGATTGAACCTCTTGGCAATCTGACATAGTTAATTATATAATGAGCTATGGACCATGATGATTTTGAAAGTGGTGAGATCATGAAGCCGGAGGAGAAAATTTGAGGGTTGAAATCCTAAAAAACGATGATATGAAATGATGATGGATGTGGTACTTGAAATCTACAAGTTTTGCAGAATATCGCACTTGGGAAAAAAATGAAAAAATGAAGGTGACAGGTGCAAGCTGGTGTCCCATAGCTAAATTTGTTTATGAGTTGACTAGGGTTTACGCTAAGTACAGCATTTGTTGGATGCACCACCTTGTGTAATTAGACTGTGAGCTGTTGAACTGATCCTTGCAGGAGAAGAAGAAGGGAGTGCAGTTCCTTCGCGGATTGGGGCCACCAAAACCCATTCGTTTCCACACTTACGGTGGATCATGTGTGAGGGGGACTTTCAAAATTTGGAACCTCCTGTAATCAAGCAAACACCTGTATTTGTGATGATGTTTCAAGATCGTCATTATATAGTTGCAACGGCCAAGAACAAGCAGCCACATGTTTTTTTTGACTGAGTGTTTGTTTGGGTTGGTGGACTATAGAGCCAGCTTCTTAAATGTCAGGACCCTTGACAATTCTGACTGTGTGGTCCCCAAGGCTTTCCCGAAAGGAAACCCGAGAACGAGGAGTATTCCTCTCTGGGCAATGCGCTGGCGCCATCACTGTACCTTGGGCACTTGGAAAATACCTTTCAACTTGAGAATAGCATCACTTTGAATTTACCTTGTTTAGATCCTTTTGGATCCTTTCGGCGCTTTGGGGGTGAAGAACTGAAACCCAGGGGATTGCAACTGCCCTGAGGATATCAAGCCTGCTGGGCAAATTGTTGAGGAGATGGTGCAGGGGGCAGTCGAACAACTCCAAACAGTTCCTTGGGCAATTTTTTTTCCAAGCGAGGGATTTTTATCCATGATCTTCAATGCTCGTTGATTATTGTCTATTTCTAGTTCTAGTGTTTGTTTTAAGCCCAGGATGAAGTGTTGAACCAGTTTGAATTCGACATCTTTTTGATTTGTGGTCCCAAAATCTTGAGCTCTTCGATTCATGTCTGATTCATGTCCCCATACAGGATTAGCACTTTCCAACAGCAAATGTCCCACTGCCGCTTTGCGCACTCAGGCGAGCAATTTCCTCGTGGCCAAGCTGTAAAGTCATGCTGGCATAGTTCTGTCAAATTTGGGACTTTGAATTCCCATACCCACCGAGCTCATGGGCTTCCTCTGAGCGCACCTTTATTCAGCTTCGACTTTTTGCTGTGGCTGAGCTTCGCTTCCGTCCGCTGTGGGTTGATTCCGGGACCCACAGATTTTGTTGATTTTGTGCAGTAAACCATCCAATCAAATCATGTCAAATCACCATATGTGTCTATTTGTGCCGGTAAAACCATCCCATTTTATCCAGCAGTTTTCATGTTCGTCAAACCATCCATTGTTTGGGGGATTGCTTACTGAGTTCACCCAGGGCTTTGAAGACGCCGGAGGCGAGGTTCGTCACATGGCAGGAGGCCAGTGACAGACACGGACAGCGAGGCCGAAAAAAATGGTCCACTTGGTCGGGCAAACTAATGCAGTGAAGGGAGACCCAACCAGAAATGAAGGACCAGTTTGACCTCAAAAAATTACGATATCACCAGGAACCATGGAAATCTGACCTGCAACAAAGGATGAATACTTGGGTAAAGATCAGACCTACCTAGATATGACGTTTGTGCAGGATATTAATATCTAAGATTATCTAAGGCTAGCTGCGAAATCAGAAAACATTTGTCGCACGGGGTCTGGAGTGTTAAGAACCATTGCATGCTATTTATGGAGCTAGTTTCAGCTGAGATGTTCCCCGCTTTCAGGAAGTTTGCGGACACCCCAAATATATCAAATGTACCATCTCAATCCATACGTAGCATTGTCTCCATCCTGCTGGGGCCCCTCCAGGGCTTTAGTACATATATGCAGCAGATAGATTCTAAACATTGTTGGATAGTGTTGATTAAGATAGTATACTGGAAATACTTAGAAGTTGTGGTGTCCTTAAACATCCCGGCGGAAGGGAAACCGCGCGAGCGTTTTGATTGGTTGCTTCCAGGAGAGTCACAATCACCTGTAATTTACAATATAAAATGGTCTTCCGATCAGTTTGGAAAACTGAATTTGGGTTTAAAAAAAAGTGGATGCAAAATCTATTGATTTTTAACAAATCCAGGTAAACATCATGTGCATCAGACGTGGATGCGCAGATTTTTTTTCACACTCTTCGTCGGCTCAGCGATCACAGAGATCTCAGCAGCGTAGCAACATGTCACATAGTAAAAGATCCCAGAGATCTCAGCAGCGTAGCAACATGTAACGTAGTAAACGATCCCAGAGATCTCAGCAGCGTAGCAACATGTCACGTAATAAACGAGCCCAAGGATCTCAGCAGCGTAGCAACCTGTAACGTAGTAAAAGATCCCAGAGATCTCAGCAGCGTAGCAACCTGTAACGTAGTAAGAAAGTCCCAAGGATCTCAGCAGCGTAGCAACATGTAACGTAGGAAACTAACTCAGAGATCTCAGCAGCGTAGCAACCTGTAACGTAGGAAACTATCTCAGAGATACCAGCAGCGTAGCAACCTGTAACGTAGTAAAAGATCCGCAGAGATCTCAGCAGCGTAGCAACCTGTAACGTAGTAAGAAAGTCCCAAGGATCTCAGCAGCGTAGCAACATGTAACGTAGGAAACTATCTCAGAGATACCAGCAGCGTAGCAACATGTAACGTAGTAAAAGATCCGCAGAGATCTCAGCAGCGTAGCAACCTGTAACGTAGTAAGAAAGTCCCAAGGATCTCAGCAGCGTAGCAACATGTAACGTAGGAAACTATCTCAGAGATACCAGCAGCGTAGCAACATGTAACGTAGTAAAAGATCCCAGAGATCTTAGCAACATCGCAATATATCCTGTACATTCCTGTACGAAGTACAAGGAACGTTAACATGCCCCCCCACCCCACCCCACCCCAACCCCAAGACAAAGAGCAATACTCAAAAAAGAAGCAAAACGCACGTACGGTTTTCCTGCCGTAGGCTTAAACATGATACCCAAAAAACCAGTGGTATATCATTGATTACCATGGTATACCCCAATTTCAGAGAAATCCACTGATCTGCGGCAGGATTTCATGATCCAAGGGGGTGACTTCACCAAGGGTGACGGCACCGGTGGCAAGTCCATATATGGCCTCCTGGCAACTCCAGACCGGTAGAAAATGGGGATGCAAATGGCTGGGGGGTTCCCAATGGCTGGTGGATCCCCAATGGTTATGGATGGTTTATTTCATGGGAAATCCTAAAAAAAGATCTCGATGGATGATTTAGGGGTACCTCCAATTTTAGGAAACATCCATATTTGGTTCTCAATCATATCTCCGTTCCAACCTGTGATGAATATGCTTGATCTATTTTTGGGGGGGGGCTGTGGGCTGAAACCAGCAACCAGCAACCAGCGACCAGTATATTTCACAGCCTCTTCAGAAGCCTAAGACTTCAGCCTTGCCTCATGTTGCTCACTAGAATCCTCCAAACTCAAAACTAAGAAGATTTCCGCAGCATTCAAAAGAAGATGTTCTGAAATTGAAAGAGGATCGCTAGCAGAGACGGTCTGTGCTTCAGCCTAAATTTTCTACTGTTTGAATTTTTGAATCTACTATTCTTTGTTTTCTTCTTAAAGCCAAGGGATCCCAACACAAAGCACCCCATCCGCGGGCTCGGTGGGCTGAGGGGAGAAGTTTGCCGATGAGAACTTCAAGCTGAAGCATAAACGTGGAGGTCTTCTCTCCATGGCCAATGCTGGCAAGGTGCAGGGACTCAGAGATTTCGAAGATTTGCAGGGTTGAAGATGGTTGAAGTATCCACTTCTTACGTGTTTGTTTGGGGGTAACCAGGGTACCCAACTCTTGCGAGAAAGAACCACAGTTTAAGTGAAGAGCCTGTGGGACGAAGAGAGTGGCTGTGGTGCCTCAATTGTGACCCATTACCCACAGCATCCCACAGCCAAGATGATGGAAGCACGTGTCATGTCACATCATGTCATGCTCTCACGAGATCCCATGAGTCCTTCCAAAAACCTCGCTGCAATAGGACACTAATGGAAGCCAGTTCTTCATTACCACGGTCACCACACCTCATCTTGATGGCTGCGGGCTGAGTTGTTGGTCCTCTTTGATCAATTTCGTGAGGGCAGGAGCCAAATTCATGCAAAAAATGGGGGAGGGGTTCAATATGGTTCAGCCAACATAGGGTATGTTGAATTCTGTGGCAGATTGCATCATGCCTGAATTCCTCTGAGGTCGGCATGTGGTTTTTGGTACAGTTCTGGAGGGCATGAAGTTTGTGCGACAGATTGAAGCACAGAACGGAACACCGCCAAAGGAGGACCGATGGACCGATCTGCCATGGCTCTCACCGTGCCACGTTCTTGGCATCTCGCCGTTCTGGGCGGCCAGGAATGCAAGATCGAAGATTCTGGGGAGATTCCTTTGGAGAAGCCCTACAAGGACGGTTGGTAGGGGTAGTGCGAGCAGGGTTGCAATGTGTTGTCATGCCACGCCAGGACGCAACATATCGGGGGAAGCTGGATGAGGAGCTTTAGACATCTTTAGACTCAAGTTTCAGCAGCTAAGTGGGCTATGCTTGAAGCTTCCTAAGCTTGCAGAGCTTTACGTGGCCACATGGGGCTGTCTCTTTCTGTCCCCTTGTGAGGTCACAAAAAAGCCACAATAATCCATTCATGGTGAACATATATGTGAAAAATTGTGAAAATTAGATAATATCATCATAATATATGATAATATCATATAGTTTAGTGATTTTCGTAGCAGTTTCAATCATCCATCAGAATCTATCACTCCTTGGTGACAGAGCCATGTTGCTTGCGACTTGCAGAGACCGCGTCGTTCTCGAAACGCACCGAAGAAAAGCCGCGCCAGACTGCTGCCAGGTGTGAGCCGTTGGCAGAGGCCATGTCCTGCAAAGAATGGATATGAATGGATGATGTGCTGATAAAAAAGGGTTCCACCTTTGGAACCGAAGACTTCGGTGAAGTGGATGAACCACTTCTGGAACCACTTCGTGGTTAAGTGTTTGAAAATGGTTTAAAGCTCTCCCTGTCCCCAGAATTATACCCGACAAACATGGATACTGCAAGGATCATCGCCCCAACCTGTGCTACAAGCAGGAGTTGAAGTCCGTGCAAGGCTCAAGACAAAGGTGTCTTCAAAGATCGTTCACCCGGTGTAATCTCCATAAACATCCACCAATTTGACCTGTTTGGATCTGGGAAACCAATAGTTTCAGGAATTCCGAACATTTGTGTCTGAGAATGGCCGTCCCCACGACTGGTCGACAAATCCATCTCAGCTTAGGCCTAAAAGTCGTGTGGCCGGACAGTGAGGGACCGGCTCAGCCGTGCATAAGTCACTGGCTCAGTGGTCTCCGGTACCAGTAGCCGTCAGTTGGACCATGACTGACGCTTAGCTAATGAGACAAGGAGCTATGCCTTGTGGTCACCACCACTGAGAAGCTAATTTTGGCCCCAGACTGGTCGTTTTTTGACTTCAAGTATCGGATGTTCAGGGTGTTTAGGTACTTGTAGGTTACAGTATGCTTTTGACTGGGGGATGGCGGTTTGCAAGCACAGGGACCCACAGTTGTGCAGCAACTTCAGGATGATGCATGCTGCCTGCAGCATCAAGCTTTCACATGTTTCATAACCAAAACAGTTTCAGAATTATTCAGAAATCGCAGTTTCAGAATTTGCATGATTCATTCCAACTGGGTCTTGAGATCCACTGGACTCACTGTCAGAAAGAAATCAAGATACCCAAGACAAAGTCAGACAAAGACAGAAAACACAGCAACTCACTGACATTCACTGACACTGAATGGGGAAGTTCTTTTCCTCAGCTTAGCCAACGTCCAATTTCTGCAGAGGCCGGGGGTTGACCTGTGAGTTTCGGCCCTCAAGGTGAGACACCAAGGTCATAGACATCAGCAACTCGTTCCATGTCTTTTTTAGGGTTCGAAGTTATGTAATTATGAGATATGTCATGATATATCATGATATGTCATATCTGCATATGTCTATATACAATTTAGCAAGTTTCAAGAGCAATGCAAACAGAGTTTTCTAGGGATTCAGCATGCGAGGGCGCAGTACAGAGTTTGAAAGGATACAGTAGAGTGGGTACGGTACAGAGGGTACGGTGGGTACGGTACAGAGGGGTACGGTGGGTACCATGGGTACGCTACGAGTGGTACGGTGGGTACTGTACCGTACGGGGGTGCGGTTGTACATACCCACTGTACCTACCGAACCGTAACTCCATGTGTTCATATTTATATTATGTGTGCATATTATGGCATATTATTTCAACAAATTTACTTGATTTCTACGCTGATTTGGGTTTTAGACTACCAAGGGACTTGTGGATCGGTATACCTAATCACCCACCAAGTCTACCTTAATGGCTTGGCCTTGTTGTGCAATGTATGATGTGCAATTAGCTATGGATGTGTATAATAAACAAATACATATTATATATATACATACATATGTATGTGAGTAGAGATACGCTGTTGATGTAAGGTATGTATAGATATTGACAGATAGATGCATATAGTTTTTCAAAAAGTATATACACTTGCACATCGAGATTTGATGATTGGCATTGTTATGTTCAGTGGTTAGCCCATCAGAACTTGTCCTCCCAGTATCCAGTACTTGGCTGATGAGATTGGTTCTGCTACCTAGTTACAGTATGAGTATTAGACATTATTAGACTATATTATCTGGTTGGTGGTTTGGAACAGGAATTTTATGACTTTCCATATATTGGGAATTTCATACTCCCAACTGACTTTCACTCCATCATTTCTCAGAGGGGTTGGTATACCACCAAGCAATTATGTAATTTGATCAAATAATCCCTTGTTTGGAGGTCATATCTCCGTTGCTACCAGCATCTACCAGTAGCTGCCAGGAATGGCTTCCTGGCTCCGCGGCTGTGCTTCGGCCCTACGGCGCCTTCCAAGAAGGGGCATCGAGGAGCGCGGTGGAGCGGCGATGTTTTTAGCAAGCCCAGAAGCCTCCATTGTCGCTTGGTGTATAATGTGGATATATGGGGATATAAACATGAATTATAGGGGCTCCAACAATCAAAGACATGGGGATATACTTTCAGTTGATCAATGGTTGTTGCTTGATAAATAGTTCGGGGCTTATCAACCTACTCCTTTAATACCTTGAGGGTATCATAATCCATGAACTGGGATTCTGGGCAAATCACCTTGATGAAGAGTTTATTACCCATGAATGGTTTGCCCATTATTCCCTATAGGCCCCATGATTATAATCATTACTACCCTTGACAGCTCTATGATACAATGCCAGGTTTCATTGCTGTTGGGCTTACCACGTTGGCTAAAATGGCTTTGATGGTTTGGCTGAAAATGGGGTACCCCAAAATTTCATTTTGAATCATTGGTGAATGGCCTATGTAAGGGAATATCCCAGCAAAATATGGCCTTATATGGTGCAGTACCTCCATTTTGGGATCCTGTAATTCCCATTGAATTGGTGAATCATCATTCCTAATGGTGCCCTCACTCGTGTTTTTTCTATGCTGTGCTGCAGGAATTTTGGCAGGGTGGAGTACGAGATCCCAAGTTGACCTCTGCTCAGAAGCAGGTGGCCTTGCGTGGGCCGCCCAGGGATGGATAAACTGGACTCCAAATGAAAGAAATGAACTGGTGATGGTAGATTAGCCTCAGTTCTATAAGATCAATGGTAACATAGGGTCAATCCATTGTCATATGGTCATATGGTTTTTTAAAAAAAATACAATATATAATAGTATATATATATAATATATATATATAATGTTTGGATTCCCCTCATCTTTGATGACCATACCACAACCACATCGCCATGGACCCTAACAACGGTCCAGGACTTTGCCAAATCAGGGGATCCATGGCCTGCGGTGCTGCTTCGGCAGAAGTCCTTCGAGGATTTCATGGTGATTTCAGGGTGACTTTTTGATGTGGAAATATGGACATTTCAGAAGTGATTGAAATCGATTTTTTTTATGGTGATGTCATATGAGATGGTGAGGTGAGGTGAGATGGTGAGGTATATGATATACTGATATACCAAAAGACAATGCTGTTTGGGAATATGATCATAAACCGTGGCATTTGAGGGTACCATAGGAAAAACCATGAAAAATCCAGTTGGAATCCATGAAATCGGAGAGATTCTGGCTTTGCACAAATATCAAAAGATCTTAGAGGTTGTTTGAGATCCAGAGATGATGTGTTGAGACGTCTCTGAGTGAGGGTCGGGTTGCTCAACGCTGTTTGATGCTTGATGCTCGAGATGTTGCCAGGACATGCACAAGCTGTGGTACGTGCTCTTGAAGGTCCTTAGCTTGGGCAAAAAATATGTGGAACATCATCGAACCCAAATTTAGCACCTTCTCCAGGCGTAGACTTGTTTCTTGGATGAACCCATTTTTGAGGTTCCATGTTTGTATGTCCAAAATGAATCAAAATGATAGAACCAAAATTATTGAACCGAAGGGATCAGTGGAACTATTCAGGAGAAGAACTTTCTGCTTGCAGAGCAGCATGAGGCTCGCTGCTGTGCTGGACCCCTGCTGCTTTAGTTTCGAACGGCCGCTTCAGCGGCAGTCAGACTGCCAAGGATAGCAGGATAGTGGTATCAAGGAAACTGGATATTACATGTCTATCATTGTCTATCAAAATAGAACGATACAGAGATAGAGACAAATTAAGTATACATATGTTGTACATGCCTGTCTATATATATATAGTTTGTTGTACACATGTTTATATATAGTTTGTTGCGGGGAGCTGATATTCTATGGATGGAACCGTGAGCTTTTGGCGTCTGAACGGCACTTGATTCATTGATTGATACCAAGGTCGAAGCATGGCAACTCAGTATCGATAGCTAGAAGTTAGAAGTGAATTGATGTAGCAAAGGATGCGATTACATTTGAAATTTACTGCAACTTACAACTGCTTACTCTTCTAGACCCCCAGACCTGCCGATCTTTGTTCATGGTTCAGGCAAGGCAGCAACGGATCCGGTGGAAACACCATGGTCGCCTCAAAAAGGTGAAGTGCTGCCCGTGGTCAGATAACTGGCAAGACTTGGGTATGGCTCACACTACTGGATGGGCAAAATTGGTCATTTTGAGTATCTCCAATTTCTGTGGTAGATATGGGTGCACAGGTTTCAGTCACGCAACTACCCATTTGGATGCAAGGCAAATCATTGGCCCTCCAAATCACGGCTCCTACGTGATGCATGGCTAGATTTTCACCTGTAGATGTAGAGAAACCGGATCTATTCAGGCGTGCCCATAGTTCAAACTGCAACTATGCCAGAATGAAACAAGGTCTCATGAAGGTGTTACCCAAAAAACATAGTGTGTGTTTTTGCTGATGATCTCATAGTTGATGTCCAAAATCTAGTTGTGTTAGAAGTCCTAGATAAACTGGTCAAGCCCCAGTTTTGGTAATCCCTATGTTTTTTTGCCTTTCGCGGCAGCCTGGACACCGCAGCCTTGACAGGTCAAGCTGTCAATGAAGCGCATTCTCACTGTGCTGACTCGCCGGGAGATTCACCAGCAGGCAGACCAGCCAGGAGAATGAAGGGATCTGAAGCGAGTGGTGCAGTATACTGCAACTATATGGGTATGGGTCAATACCTATAGGTACATTTTTAGTGGGATGAACATCCATTTACCAGCTATTTTGGGGTTCACCAGGGGTACCAGGGTTTTGACCCATCCCCATATAATGAAAATATGATCCCACAAACGAGGCTTTCCACAAGAAGGACAGAATGTTGCGAACGTCATTGTATCCTAAGCCATTGCCGCACGTTTGGAGCAACCGAAAGGAGTTTTTAATGAACAACCCAAGAGTAATACAAGTGGAGGACCTACCTAAACCATCTCAAAAACCATTACAATTTTGGAGCAAGAAACCATAGGAAACCTCCATTTCTGGCGCCTCATTTTATCACGTTCCTGGAAATGTATAAGATCAAAGTACGGATTTGTGTATGGTTAGGTTTGAATTTCTTGCAACATGTCACGAAACAATCTCTAAGATTTATTTGGACACATCAGTACTCAGTGCATAAATTCTCAATTTTACTCTAAAGTAAGAAAGAAGTTGTCTGAACTTGTTTTTTTGAGCCTTCCCTCCCGCCCAAGGGGGTCAAACCATGAAGTCCAGCACCGAATACTGTGACAGTCTCTCACTGTAGATTGACCAGTCTCCCCAGGGGGAGGGGGATCGAAAAAAATAAAACCATATAAAACCATATAAAACCTTGTTTAAGCCTTGTTTCTCGTTTTTTGGGGGGACACCCCCCTTCAGATCTCCGAAAACTAGCTCCGGTACACCTGGAGAATTACCGCGTAGTATGAGCAATACCACTCAGTTTTTTTTCAAAAGAAAGCGCCATCAGAAAAAAATGTAACCTTAACAATTTTGCAGACTCATTATTCTTAAACCAATACTAACTATAACCCATCTCATCTTGGACGAGATCTTCCTATCCACTAAGTTAAAAACAATGAAAACACTATGTCTTAGGGCCATGTTGTGCCACTACAAAGGCCAGTGCATGATATTCAAGAGTGGCACAAAAAACTGGATGAAGAGTAGAACTTAGAACATTTATTCATATACATGTATATCTATGTATATCATTGTAGATCCATATTTGGGAAAACCTCATTTATTTCAAAGAATGTGATATATTTGTGATGCCCAGAAAGCTCGATATTGATTTGGATGAGTCATCTTGAAAAACCATCTGCAGTCATCCCAGGGGAGCAAGCAGATCATATACCTTTCATTATTTGCTTGGCCAATATACTCTCATTGAGGTCTTTGGGCAGTCCAACTCCCCATGTGGGTCAGTTTAAGCTCGATTTCATATTGGGCCAACAATAGTGCTACAAGTTTTCAAAACTACAAACATAAGATGGCAACGTATGACATGGTGCAATGACTACTTCCGTTGCATATTTGCATGGTAATTCATGATTGCTAGGGTCACCCTTGCTACAGTGTCTTAATCTGATAATATTGTTCAAAAAAATGGGAAAATAAAACAGTAAATTATCGGTGGGAAGAAGGTGCTAGCATGAGTTTTTGCTCTCGTCCCGTTTCTCTTTTATGGTAGGTCTGCACTTTGCCATGGCTGTATGTAGGCTTATATATCCTGATCCTTGAAGATATTTTCTGCTTTGATTGCGCTGGCCACAGGCTAACTCCATTTAGGCTCACCAAATTGCTTGATCAGCACATTCACTCACAGACTTTGATTGCATCATTTTCTTTCCACATTCTTTCCATATTAGCGGGAAAACATTTGCATAGCATAGCATGCAGAAAGCATGATACAACGCACCACTCTGCGAATATAGCTTGGACTTGGACCTAATGATCCAAAGAGATGAACAGAATCTGCAGAAGCAGAAGGCGCGCAATAGTGCAAAAACCTACTGTAGCTGTTCTGATGGAAATTCCTTCCGCACTTTGAAGAAAAACAGACTGCTGACCATGAAGTGCCCCTATTGTTGATGTGGAGATGAATTGGAATGGATCCCCAAATCACTAGCCGCTGTTTAGCATGCTACAAAACCATGTAAAGCGATATAGCGAACTACCTAAAACGATAATTTTTGCTCATGAGCGCCTTTGTGACCCTTAGTTTTGGTCCCTGCTCATGTGCAGTTTCCAAAACATCATGATGTATCATGTATATGCATGCTCTGCTTGTGCAGCTTATATGCGGCACTAGTTGCTAAGTTTCCTGCTTGCTTGCATTGTTGGCGTTCCAGAGAAACATGTACCAGTACGTGGCAATGGCAAGTCCAGTTAGACTCCACCGACAAAAACAAATGTATACAACAGTGAGTGCCCTAGGTTCTTGCATGAGACTCTAAGTTTCTGGAATGGCTATGCATGCGATGGGTTGAAGGTGATATTGCTACGTGCATGGAAAAAATGATTTTGCCATGTTGCTCTAAGATTGGGTATAAGTGGTCTAAAATATTCCATTTGCACTATTATAACAGGTTGGAAAAATTGGTTTGCCATAACATATGGGAGAAGAGTGACTTGCACCATGCCTTTCCATGATCACTATTATAGCTTGTGATGGAGTTGCACTGGATTACAAAACTTGGTAGAGCCAATATGTGCTCACACTTTTGTTATTCATTTTTTGGGGTGGTTCTTGTGATTCATGCTAACCATGTTGGTTCACACTGTTTTTTTATGTTTTTTTGGGGATACATGTTGAGTTCTGTAAGGTTTTAACCTCTGATATAACCTGTGCAACTGCAACTACCTGCCTCTTCCATGATATTGCAAGGCTGTACTTTAGTTTTTGCTTCTAGAATCCACCAAATCCAAGCACTATAATAGAATGGGCTAGCGCCCGGGTGCCGCCGACCCCCCCTATTGGGGGGGTCCTGTAGAGAGAGGGAGAGAGATAGATGGATGGATGGATGGATGGATGTATGGATGTATGGATGGATAGATAGGTAGAGAGATAGAGAGAGAGAGAGATAGACAGATAGATAGATAGACAGTTGGATAGACAGATAGGTAGATGGAGAGATAGATGGATAGATAGCTGGATGGATAGATAGATAGATGGATAGATAGATAGATAGATAGAGAGATAGAGAGATAGAGAGGGATAGATAGATAGATAGATAGATAGATAGAGAGGGAGAGATAGATAGAGAGGGAGAGATAGATAGAGAGGGAGAGATAGATAGAGAGGGAGAGATAGATAGAGAGGGAGAGATAGATAGAGAGGGAGAGATAGATAGAGAGGGAGAGATAGATAGATAGATAGATAGATAGATAGATAGATAGATAGATAGATAGATAGATAGATAGATAGGTAGGTAGGTAGGTAGGTAGGTAGGTAGGTAGGTAGGTAGGTAGGTAGGTAGGTAGGTAGGTAGGTAGGTAGGTAGATAGATAGATAGATAGATAGGTAGATAGATAGATAGATAGAAGGGTCCGGGGGTTTGAGGCCGGGAAGTAGGCAACAGTAGCTACAAACCATAGGAGCATATGCGGCAACCAATTTTATGTGAAGGAAGGCCGTGTCAGCACAGTGGCAAAAGCTTACGTGTACATATGCCCATTTTGCAATGGGGAAACGTCAAGTAACACCAAAACGGGGCAAATAGACCATAGGAGCATATGCGGCAACCAATTTTATGTGAAGGAGGGCCGTGTCCGGTGTGTCAAACTGTTGTGTGGTCATGCCGTTCGTTTGGGCAGATTCACGTCAACCATGACACGCCTGCTGGGAAACCATGCAAGAAAACAAAATGGTTCGTGCCACAACAGAAGCCCCATAAGAGACGGTGAATCACAGGCTCTTGTAGCCCATGCACCCCCTGAAAAACAGATGGCAGGGGCATGTAGCTGTAACAGTTGTTGCCTTGCAGGGCTGCGGAAGGGTTTGGAGGGTTTGAGGCCGGGCAAGCGGCAGTCTTGAACCCCCGGAAAAACAGATGGCAGGGGCATGTAGCTGTAAGAGTTGTTGCCTTGGAGGCCTGCGGAGGGTTTGGAGGGTTTGAGGCCGGGCAAACGGCAGTCTTGAACCCCCTGAAAAACAGATGGCGGGGGCATGTAGCTGTAAGAGTTGTTGCCTTGGAGGCCTGCGGAAGGGTTTGGAGGGTTTGAGGCCGGGCAAACAGCAGTCTTGAACCCCCTGAAAAACAGATGGCAGGGGCATGTAGCTGTAAGAGTTGTTGCCTTGGAGGCCTGCGGGAGGGTTGGAAGCGTTTGGGGGGTTTGAGGCCGGGCAAACGGCAGTCTTGAACCCCCTGAAAAACAGATGGCAGGGGCATGTAGTAGCTGTAAGAGTTGTTGCCTTGGAGGCCTGCGGAAGGGTTGGAACCGTTTGGAGGGTTTGAGGCCGGGCAAACGGCAGTCTTGAACCCCCTGAAAAACAGATGGCAGGGGATGTAGCTGTAAGAGTTGTTGCCTTGGAGGCCTGCGGCAGGGTTGGAAGCGTTTGGGGGGTTTGAGGGCGGGCAAACGGCAGTCTTGAACCCCCTGAAAAACAGATGGCAGGGGCATGTAGCTGTAAGAGTTGTTGCCTTGGAGGCCTGCGGAGGGTTTGGAGGGCTTGAGGCCGGGCAAACGGCAGTCTTGAACCACCTGAAAAACAGATGGCAGGGGCATGTAGCTGTAAGAGTTGTTGCCTTGGAGGCCTGCGGAAGCGTCGGAAGCGTCTGGGGGGTTTGAGGCCGGGCAAACGGCAGTCTTGAACCCCCTGAAAAACAGATGGCAGGGGCATGTAGCTGTAAGAGTTGTTGCCTTGGAGGCCTGTGGAAGCGTTTGGAGGGTTTGAGGCCGGGCAAACGGCAGTCTTGAACCTCCTGAAAAACAGATGGCAGGGGCATGTAGCTGTGAAGAGTTGTTGCCTTGGAGGCCTGCGGAAGCGTTTGGGGGGTTTGACGCCGGGCAAACGGCAGTCTTGAACCCCTTAAAAAACAGATGGCAGGGGCATGTAGCTGTAAGAGTTGTTGCCTTGGAGGCCTGGCGGAAGGGTTGGGGAAGCGTTTGGGGGGTTAGAGCGGGCGAAACGGCCAGTCTTGAACCCCTTGAAAAACAATGGCAGGGGGCATGTAGCTGTAAGAGTTGTTGCCTTGGGGCCTCGGAAGCGTCGGAAGGGTTTGGGGGGTTTGAGGCCGGGCAAACGGCAGTCTTGAACCCCCTGAAAAACAGATGGCAGGGGCATGTAGCTGTAAGAGTTGTTGCCTTGGAGGCCTGCGGAAGCGTTTTGGAAGGTTTGAGGCCTTGAACCTCCTGAAAAACAGATGGCAGGGGCATGTATATATAGCTGTAAGAGTTGTTGCCTTGGAGGCCTGCGGAAGGGTTGGAAGCGTTTGGGGGGTTAGAGGCCGGGCAAACGGCAGTCTTGAACCCCCTGAAAAACAGATGGCAGGGGCATGTAGCTGTAAGAGTTGTTGCCTTGGAGGCCTGCGGAAGCGTTTGGAGGGTTTGAGGCCAGGCAAACGGCAGTCTTGAACCCCTTGAAAAATAGATGGCAGGGGCATGTAGCTGTAAGAGTTGTTGCCTTGGAGGCCTGCGGGAGGGTTGGAAGCGTTTGGAGGGTTTGAGGCCGGGCAAACGGCAGTCTTGAACCTCCTGAAAAACAGATGGCAGGGTCATGTAGCTGTAAGAGTTGTTGCCTTGGAGGCCTGCGGAAGGGTTGGAAGCGTTTGGGGGGTTAGAGGCCGGGCAAACGGCAGTCTTGAACCCCTTGAAAAACAGATGGCAGGGGCATGTAGCTGTAAGAGTTGTTGCCTTGGAGGCCTGCGGAAGCGTTTGGAGGGTTTGAGGCCGGGCAAACAGCAGTCTTGAACCTCCTGAAAAACAGATGGCAGGGGCATGTATATATAGCTGTAAGAGTTGTTGCCTTGGAGGCCTGCGGAAGGGTTGGAAGCGTTTGGGGGGTTAGAGGCCGGGCAAACGGCAGTCTTGAACCCCCTGAAAAACAGATGGCAGGGGCATGTAGCTGTAAGAGTTGTTGCCTTGGAGGCCTGCGGAAGCGTTTGGAGGGTTTGAGGCCAGGCAAACGGCAGTCTTGAACCCCTTGAAAAATAGATGGCAGGGGCATGTAGCTGTAAGAGTTGTTGCCTTGGAGGCCTGCGGGAGGGTTGGAAGCGTTTGGGGGGTTTGAGGCCGGGCAAACGGCAGTCTTGAACCCCCTGAAAAACAGATGGCAGGGGCATGTAGCTGTAAGAGTTGTTGCCTTGGAGGCCTGCGGAAGGGTTGGAAGCGTTTGGGGGGTTTGAGGGCGGGCAAACGGCAGTCTTGAACCCCCTGAAAAACAGATGGCAGGGGCATGTAGCTGTAAGAGTTGTTGCCTTGGAGGCCTGCGGAAGCGTTTGGAGGGTTTGAGGCCAGGCAAACGGCAGTCTTGAACCTCCTGAGAAACAGATGGCAGGGGCATGTAGCTGTGAAAAGTTGTTGCCTTGGAGGCCTGCGGAAGGGTTGGAAGCGTTTGGGGGGTTAGAGGCCGGGCAAACGGCAGTCTTGAACCGCCTGAAAAACAGATGGCAGGGGCATGTAGCTGTAAGAGTTGTTGCCTTGGAGGCCTGCGGAAGCGTTTGGAGGGTTTGAGGCCAGGCAAACGGCAGTCTTGAACCCCTTGAAAAATAGATGGCAGGGGCATGTGGCTGTGGGCGTTGTTGCCTTGGAGGCCTGCGGGAGGGTTGGAAGCGTTTGGGGGGTTTGAGGCCGGGCAAACGGCAGTCTTGAACCCCCTGAAAAACAGATGGCAGGGGCATGTAGCTGTAAGAGTTGTTGCCTTGGATGCCTGCGGAAGCGTTTGGGGGGTTTGAGGCCGGGCAAACGGCAGTCTTGAACCCCTTGAAAAATAGATGGCAAGGGGCATGTAGCTGTAAGAGTTGTTGCCTTGGAGGCCTGCGGCAGCGTTGGAAGCGTTTGGGGGGTTTGAGGGCGGGCAAACGGCAGTCTTGAACCCCCTGAAAAACAGATGGCAGGGGCATGTAGCTGTAAGAGTTGTTGCCTTGGAGGCCTGCGGGAGGGTTGGAAGCGTTTGGGGGAGGGCGGGCAAACGGCAGTCTTGAACCCCCTGAAAAACAGATGGCAGGGGCATGTAGCTGTAAGAGTTGTTGCCTTGGAGGCCTGCGGAGGGTTTGGAGGGCTTGAGGCCGGGCAAACGGCAGTCTTGAACCACCTGAAAAACAGATGGCAGGGGCATGTAGCTGTAAGAGTTGTTGCCTTGGAGGCCTGCGGAAGCGTCGGAAGCGTCTGGGGGGTTTGAGGCCGGGCAAACGGCAGTCTTGAACCCCCTGAAAAAAAAAGAAAAAAACAAAAAAATAAAAACACCACAGCACAACCACCACCCACACACATCCCCAAAGCCAACAACAACACACCACCACTCACCCCGGCCCACCCTCCACCCTGCCCCCCCCGCCCAAGAAACCACCCCAAGCCCACCCCCCCCCCTCCACCCCGCCCCCTGAAAAACAGATGGCAGGGGCATGTAGCTGTAAGAGTTGTTGCCTTGGAGGCCTGTGGAAGCGTTTGGAGGGTTTGAGGCCGGGCAAACGGCAGTCTTGAACCTCCTGAAAAACAGATGGCAGGGGCATGTAGCTGTGAAGAGTTGTTGCCTTGGAGGCCTGCGGAAGCGTTTGGGGGGTTTGACGCCGGGCAAACGGCAGTCTTGAACCCCTTAAAAAACAGATGGCAGGGGCATGTAGCTGTAAGAGTTGTTGCCTTGGAGGCCTGCGGAAGCGTCGGAAGCGTTTGGGGGGTTTGAGGCCGGGCAAACGGCAGTCTTGAACCCCCTGAAAAACAGATGGCAGGGGCATGTAGCTGTAAGAGTTGTTGCCTTGGAGGCCTGCGGAAGCGTTTGGAGGGTTTGAGGCCGGGCAAACGGCAGTCTTGAACCCCCTGAAAAACAGATGGCAGGGGCATGTAGCTGTAAGAGTTGTTGCCTTGGAGGCCTGCGGAAGCGTTTGGAGGGTTTGAGGGCGGGCAAACGGCAGTCTTGAACCCCCTGAAAAACAGATGGCAGGGGCATGTAGCTGTAAGAGTTGTTGCCTTGGAGGCCTGCGGAAGCGTTTGGAGGGTTTGAGGCCGGGCAAACGATGGCAGGGGCATGTAGCTGTAAGGCAGTCTTGAACCCCCTGAAAAGCAGATGGCAGGGGCATGTAGCTATAAGAGTTGTTGCCTTGGAGGCCTGCGGAGAGTTTGGAGGGTTTGAGGCCGGGCAAACGGCAGGGGCATGTAGATGGCTGGGGCATGTAGCTGACAGAGGTGTTGCCTTGATGGCGTGTGCCTTTGCTTGCGACCCGAGAGCCAAGTTCCACACCTCCGGTGGTCCCAGGCGCCGCCCCTGCCTTGGCAAAGGCCGGGGTCGGCGGATACAATGGCATGAACACATTTATATATATATGATGATGTCAAAATAGGCGCTGGTTTCACACAGATGCGCTTTTAACAACTGTGTGTATATAGCCGTTTGTTTTTTTGGCCATTGTTTTATTATTACTTTGTTTTTGTAGCATTGGATTTTGCTGTAGATTTCATGTGGTTCTGGAAAATTTAAACGGCACAGTAGAGGTGAAAATAGGGCCCAGATCCTTGCTTCTACATTGTTGTTTTGCAAAAACAAATTTGAAATAGACCCATGGCAAATAGCAAATCCAATATGTATTTTCATCCGACTGGGAAAATGGGGCCCGGCGTCCCATTCTCCATTTCGCTCCAGCATGTTCCCGAAACATTGAGGACTCTCAAAACATTCCATGATTATACTAAGAAAAACATCGAAAAACATTACCATGGACTATGACTATTATGTTATGGTGCATGCACCAAGGGCTAAAATCATGGGGATTCTTTCGGTGTTTCTGGGCACCCGCCAGGTCCTTCGAGCCCAGGAAATGCTGGTGCAGCAAACCCGCCGGGAGGAACTGGAGACCCAGCGCTTTCAACTTGAGGAGTCCATGAAAGTCCTCAGCCACAAGGTCGCGACTCAGTCGGATCGGTGGTTGCGGTGTATCCAAACATGAAAAGGTCAAGTCAGATCTAGTAATTCTATGTAATTCTAACATTATGCACAGACCCCGTGGTTTGCCCAGACTGCAAGATTGAGGATTCCCTGTCGTCGAACATGAGAAGAGAAATTGCAGAAAATACTGCGTATACGCAGTGTTTTCTGCTTTCGGATTCAGAGTTTTCAGGGTTTTAGGGTTTAGGGTTCGTCGTCTGGTAAATACCAAAACACTTGCCCTGCGCAGGTTTTTGAGCATGTCGAAGTCAAAGGATAATATTTGAACTCCATTCTAGCCTTGCGGGCAAAATATAGGGTCTTGCCGTAAGATTATATCAAAATGTCATCCCTCAAAAGTCACTTACGATTCTGTTGTAGCCCATTAGGCTATGTGCCTCCATTACCTCCCAACAAAAAGTTCAGTACATTCAATACTCAGAAGAACTTAGAAGTTATAGACCCGATCAGGACATTTAAATACATTTAAATACATTTAACTTAAAGCACAATTAGTAAAATTTGTGTTGATAAGTATTGGTATGTGTTGACTGTGTTGATATGTTTTGATGCTGTTTGACTTGGAAAAGGCACCAAGTTGTGATTCCCTTCGCCAAATTGCTCGCCACAGATCCGCCGGGCTGAGCCACGAGACTCCATTGCAACGGCAGCTTGGAAGGCATGGACCACATGTCGATGTTTTTGGGACTTGTTTGGAGGTTCAAAGGCTTGTTGGCACCAAAAAATAATCGGATTTTCGGATGTTCATGGATTTTTCGGAAATCTCGAAATCCAGAATCTCACAGCGTTTGGAACCCTCGATGTCGTCGGATTGGAAGATGGATTGATGGTGTTAATATGTGTTAATTTTATTTAATTTTGAGCTCAGCATCCTGAATGAATACAAATCCGATTTATCGATCTGAACAGTGAAAACCTCCAGTTTCAATACCTTTAGAAAGCTGTTGCCTCGCGCCTGCCAGGCAACTCTGCAAAAGTACGAGGCAAGTGACCCTTTGCCATCAGAAGCGTCGTGTTGTTTGAGATAATTTGAGATAAGTTTGTACAGATGTAAATCATTGTGAACGTTGTAAATCCATGTACGCTATCCAAACTGCCCAATTGTTTTCTGCCTTCTCCAGGTATTTATTTTGAAGTAATAGATGCAATTTGGGTCAATTTTCGAGACTCAAAAGGGTGGGCAGAACCACTATATGGCCATTTGCCAAAAATTGTTGACAGAAATTTTAAGTACCAGTGGTTGATAATACTACTCAACACAATGTCCAACTTTAACAGAGTCATAGTCATCATAGTCGGCTTGTAGACACCCTTGGAAAGCCAATAAAAATAAAAAACAATGGTGCATAGGCTGAAAAGTACGAATCATAATCCATGTATAGTAGATAAAGATGATAAAGCCAAGAATAATAATCTATATAATCCCTGTAAAGTAGATAAGTCCTTATAAATAGAACAGAAAATTATTATGGAAATCCCTGGTGCATAGGCTGATCACCAGCAGTTGCTGCGGGAACTGGTGCCGCTGCGGCGAGATACCATGCAGTGTGGGTCACAGCCTGGGAGGATTGTCAATTTACGGGAAAACCAACTGGGAGTTTAACATGGTTTAACCTGGTCTGAAATGGTTTAACCTGGTTTGAAATGGTTTAAGATGGTTTAACATGGTTTAACCATGAAAATCATAAAAAAAATATGGGGAGTTGCTCACAATTCATTGGAATATGATAGAAATGCATAGAAATTCACTGGGAATATGATGGGATATACTGCCGACTGGATGGATAGTCTCGTACAATTTAATCTTTTGCTAAGGGGAACATATGCGAACCTGATAAAAAAATAATGTTGTCCCTCTATTTTTTTGAACAGTATCCTAGGATTATATATCTAAGATGGCGCATGCATCGAGAAACTGGATGCTTGAGCGAACCAGAACGAGTTTGGTCTGAACATACAGTTGTTGGATGACGTTGGCGTGCCACAACCTGTCCTTCCATGCAGTTTGTGCTTTGTGTGGAGGGAGAAGTGACTCCTCATATGCCGAGGTTGCTTTCTGCAGACTGGAGGCCTTTTGTGAAACTGCCAAAAATCCTGCCCCTTAAAAGACTTCAGCAGAAAGAAACCCACTGAAAAACACGAAATAGCAAGGGTGCTCTTTTTTGATTAGATACTAATGTCATGTCATTGTCACCAGTTTCTGCCTGTTTCAGTCGGCGTCCGTCCCCAGCCTGTGCCAGGTATGCCCAGAAGTACTCAGATCTCCCCGGAGCCATCAATTGGAAGAGACAATGGGTCCGAGCACTGGAAGATCGCCAGTGGAAACCTGTGAGACTGCCCGCCTAGGCCGAGAAGGGCCCAGAGTTGGCCAGTGGTTTTCTATGTCCAAAGGAGATCAAATTCAATGATTGGTGAAGAAAAATGATCTAGTTCAACTGTCACATGATGCATTTTTTGGGACATACACAACTAGAGCAGTTAGGAAGCCGCAGTGTTTGTGAGACAGCCTTTGCCAAAGAAGCGTTTCGTTGCTGCAACAGGTTCCTGTTGCTTTGACGGAAGCAGTGGCTGAGAAAGAACAAGAAATACTGCAAGTCCGGCGTCCTTTGTGTGTTGCTTAAATCTTGGGACATCCTGCGTCATTATCTTGGCAAGCACCGAGTCATTAGCATGTCATCAACATGTCATCAACAAACGTAATCAACAAACGTCATCAACGTTGCTGAGGCTTTTTAGGGCTCAACAGTTGTAATTAAGGCCCAACGACAACTTGGGGAAATCTTTGATGAAACGAAGTTGCTGCCAAAACAGATCTCAAGTTTTTTTTCGCTTCTTTCAAGATGTGGCAAGCACCCATCACCCAGCCAGGCGCAACAGCGTGTGCAAACACATTTGCACTTGCAACAGCCCGTATAGTCTTCAAGCAATTGATTTGCTTCCAACTTCTTGAGAGCCACATGAATGGACGCAGCAGCAATGGCGGCCCGGCCCTCGGGCTGCTGTGGACGGTTAACACATTCAGCCGCAAACGGAGGAACATACGAAGTATGTGATGGTAGGTAGCTAAGGCTTGCAATATGTCCTGCATTTTTGTTGCTGATGGTTGGAGTCAGTGAAGTCTCAATCAGTGTGACATGTTGTGCTGTCGCTTGCTTTGCCTTTTTCTAAATCATATGCATGCATCCATGGATCGGATTTTCTACTGTCCATTTGTCCATTTGCCTTTCTCAAAAAAAGCGCCAAGATTGTCACCTTTGACAATGGATAAGAGTTCTGCCATTTGTGCTGGGGAGAAACAATCCCGTGTCTCCTTTCTGGTCTCTCTTGCTTGGGAAGATGTTTTCCAACGTGTCCCGATGTAGGAGAATATATAACACAGGAGTCCCTTAAAAACTGTTGCAGAATGTTATAGATCCCGGTCACAATTTCCATGTTCCAATTGGTCCATCGGTTTATTTGAGCCCCCCAAACAGATATCCCGATTACAGGCGATCCATACCCCTGATCCATACCCAAAAATGACACGTTGTACTTACGGATATACCAGGCATTACCAGGCCACTATCGGTGTACCTTCGCAATAGGTCAGGATCAGACATCTCCTGACCAGCGGATCACCGCGGATCCATCCCCGTTGAGCCGTACATAGCCAGACTATGTATAACCCATGACGGATCCATGTATGGTATATATGCATTATATATGCTAACATTTGGGGTATATTGATGGGATCCATGTTACCATATATGGCATACATGGATCCTATGGGTAAGATTGTATTCATTTACAGATGATGTCTCATGATGTCTCCATGAAACTGTTTTAAAACCGCCATGTTTGATGAACCGCCAGGCAAGTCATATTTGTACTGTAATGAGTAAATACACAAATAGTGGCAATGATGTGAGAAACTGTGAGAAGAATGATAAGATACTGCTAGGGGCTTATGAATAAATTATGTTCGCCCATGTAGGCAGCAACGACCTGCAGCAGCGTATTGCTGCAATTGCTGCAGAGTCCAAAGCACGATCCGAGGCGCATCGATGTGTGCTGTGATGGAATTTGATTTGACCAGAATAGATGGTTTAACAATGTTTAACATGGTTTGAGATTGTTTATCATGGATATCATGGTTTCAGATGCTTGAAGCAATGGGAATAGGTATGTGATTTAACCCATTCAAACCAATTCAAATAGATGCTTTACCCGATGGGAATTGGGATTTGATTAGTACAAATGGCAACACAGATTTGAGCAAAACCACGTGTCCTCCTGGGATTGTTGGGCGGTCGACACGGAACACATTTCCAGGCTGGGGAAGCTATTCTGGGGAACACCTTCGGAACCTCCAAGGTGCGTCTTTGAACACACAGAGGAAGAATTTTGCAATCCTTGGCATTTTATGTAAATTGGTTGGCTTAAGGCACCTATAGGCACCTTAAAGCCCGGGGAAAAGCCTATTTGAAAGATGCTTTCACTTGCAGATCACTCAAATGCATTCAGATGCCAGATGCCATCATGGGAACCATTGCTGCCGTTTTCTGAGCCCCAGCACCATCAGAAGCATCAGGATCGGTCGTCACGGCAATGGCAGGCACCGTTTGGGCAGGACAAGTCTGCATTGAATATGAAAGTCAGCAGCGTTAGATGATGGTTTCTATATATATATATATATATATTTATTGCACTTTACCAGGTCTGTTTGATCTTAATTTAAGCAGGGGCAGCTAGCAAAATCCAAAAGTGTATATGGCTTAAATCCCAGTGCTTATTCGTTAAATCACAATCTTTGTGGTTCACATCCTAAATTCTGCCGCTTCAATTAAAACCACATCTTTACGGGATGAATCCGAATGTGTTGTTGGTTTATTCGATTGAGTCCCCTGTTTTTGTTGGTGAACTTCCCTGTGTGGCTGTCGTTTACCAAGTCCTGTCGAAGGTTGAGATGACCGAAGAGGCTCAAGATCTGCAACGCGGCATGGAATTGGCGGATGAAGCCTTAGAGGAACAGGCAGCGCTGGATGTTATTGGTGGTTCAGTTCGGTTGTCAATGCTGGGATAAAGCCCTGAAATCCAATGGCTGATTTGCACGTTCCCTGCCATGTGTTGCCATTGTTGGGGGGGGCATATTCACGCCCAAGCACGGGAATTCTGCACGGCCATAGGCCAGCGATTATGGCTCGGGGGCTGAAAGATCAAGAGCCTCGTGGCAGTGCCAAGCTCAAGCTGGCTGAGATTGGACAAATTGTAGCAACCTCTGGATGGTTTCGACTGGGGAAATCATCCCTTTTTGGGTGAGGAAAACTGGACGCTGAATTCATAGACCTGACATGATTATATGAATTTGCCCTTAAAATCCGGAACATCCAATTGTTGGGATTTATCGCACTGTTAGATCCAATTTTAGGGGTATTCAATTTACGGCCCATAGAACTGCCTTGAGTAATTCAAAACCAGCTGGGGCTGAGAACTTAGGGGTTACCAATTTTATTCTATTTGGAACATTTTGAAACATCTATGGAAGTCAAAGCATCACAACTTCTCCAGGAGAAATGTTAGTTTCCAGCGATCAGCTGGTTCACTTCCATTGTGATCGTAGATTCACTTCAATTGTGATCGTAGATTCAGACTGGACATTCTATTCTGGCATTCCATCTGGCATCTATTCTGACATCTATTCTGCCATTCTAACTGACATTCTATTCTGGCATTCTATCTGGCATTTATTCTGACATTCTCTCTGGCATGGGCAGTGCCCACTGAGCAGATCTGGAGCTCGCCGTTGAGGTCCGGCAGTGCCCACTGAGATCTGGAGCTCGCAGTTGAGGGCGTAGCCCGAGGCTGCCGGAGGAGAAGGAGGAGGCGGAAGCAACTCTGATAAAATCTAGAGACCCTCACCTCGCAGGCGAGACTTTGGGGAAGTAAGATCTAAGAGATACTAAGAGCTTCAGAGCTCAGTTCCAAGTAGCTGCAGATCGACACGGCAATGCTTCAGTGCAAATAGCCACAACTTGGGCATTGAGCATTGTCACTGACCGGGAGGATGCCGAAAGTCCTTCGTCTAGAAGACATATGTCCCCATTCCTGACGGTGAGATCATATCTGTATATTACAATATATTACATATATCATCATATATCATATTATGTGGATATACGAAATATTGTTGTCATTACATCATATTTTGATATATTTTGTATATCATACCTACACATGTATTGTGATTGCCCTCCCTGATGTCGGCCCCATTTCATTCCCAGCCTGGCGCAAGGTCTTCTGACGAAGATTCCGAAGAAGACGTTGCTCTTTCCGACGACTCAAACCCGTCGCCGTCCCAAGCTGCCATAGGATTTCTGGGGGTTCAGGCTTCAGTTCGTCCCTAGTCCTACCCGAAAAACATCCCAAGACGCCAAAAGATGTGGTGATGAAGGAGCACCCCCTTGAACAACCAACAGGGCGAAAACATCCCCCCCAAGGTCACCAGGGACCAAGGAGATGGCTGAGACTTTGGAGCAGCTCATCCTAACAGCAGGCAGAAGGGCAGCACTGTCGTTGAGAAGCATAGCCAGTTTGTTGTGTTCTTTTGCACCAGACACTGGATCAAACCTGCGAAAATTGTGGTTTTAGTTTGGTATTCAATCAATTTCATCTTGCAAAATATCCAACTCTACAGAGATCGTGGTTTGGGTTTCCAGCAGACATTGGCCAACATCACAACTGCCAATTCTGTCCTGTTGCTGCCAATACTTCCGTTCCTAGTCAGGGTTGTTAACTCAGCAACTTGGGGGAACTCGATCCAACAATTCAGAGATTTGTTGCTGTTGCACGCCTGTTCTGTTCCGATTAGCCCCATGCTGTCACCAGATGTCACCAGATGTCACCAGATGTCACCAGACTTGGCCGTGGCCAGCTCCAGACCAGGCTTTGCGCAAAGCCACAAGCAGGAGATGGAAAAGCTGCTGATGAAAGTCCGAACGGCCAAGTTTTGGATCCAAGTCGTGGGACCCTCAAGAGGTGGGAAAATTGTCGGAGAAAACCAAAATATGACTTGAAAATTATAGGAAAAAAAATGGTTCAACATGTTTAACTATGCTGCAACTCTAGGGAGGATGATTTCGGGGATGAAATATAGACCATCCAGCCGTCCCCGCGGGTTTGGAGCATCCACCAAGGTGAAGCAAGTTGGCCGGGCAGCACGGCGAGAGCTGGTGAACGGCCGTGCTGTGGCCGCGCCGGCATTTGCGACATCAACGATGTGCGCCAGCCGTTGGGCCGTTGGGTGTGGCTCGTGCCACCAGTTTGTCACCTTATAGGCGTTATAGGGCCCAGAAAGGAACTCCGATACGTTCGCTGGCCTACATGTTTACGGCCACATGTTTGAGCTCAAATCCAGTCAATACAAGTTCGTTGGAATGATGATTAAATATACATATATCTGGAGTTGACAGAGTCAGCGAAGGAGGCTCAGAGCAGGAAAGAGCAGGACAATGCTGAGACACATATGAGGATTGTGTAAAAAAAAATGTAGGTGTGTGATGTCAATGAATGGGTTGAAATTCCAGACCCTCTGGCCATTGATTTCTGCAATGCTGTTGCATTGCCAAACATCCGATTTTTGCTGACCTGACCCAGAGCCCTTTGTGTTTGAACAGCGCACATGTGCAGTATTGGAGCATTTACCCCCAAACAAAGCAATGGATTGATCCTAAAGATGACGACGATGACGAACCGTCCATGTGTGTGTGCATTGGTACCTCAATTCTGTTTCATGGCCAAACGCGGTCTTTCATTTCGATTACCCAACTGATTGTAGCTGGTTGTCATTGCATTCATTCAATGATGAGCCCTGCTCCCAGGTGTGTAAAACTCACTGGGTTTAAAACCACCCTTACTTGATGAATCAACCTAATGATTGGGACATTCCATGGTATTCCTAATCCCATTTAGAACTGGTTGAAGAACCCAGCGCTTTGGCACCTTTGATTTTTGAAGCCAGAGTTCTCATGATCATCTGGGTTTTCTGAAGATGGGCTTACCCCAATTCCAATTGATTATCATATATTATCATCATGTTCCCAGTATTTTCCCATTGGATTATCGTTCTTGTGCATTGTGCATCCCCCATTTTCAGGCTGCGATTGCTGCATGGGCGCTTGACGCTCTACGAAGCCTTAACGGTGAGACGCTCATGGGCCCAAAGTCGCAACAAGCAGAGGTGGGATTGAATGAAATCAAAACCTTTTGAGTCTCACCAATTGGCCAATTTGTTTGATCACTATGATATATATATATATAATTATATATATATATATTGGCCATTCAATTTTTGGGGTGTACTCCAGTTTTGACATGTACAGGCAACACTGCCAAGAAGATGGAGGTTTTCAACATTCGAGTGACATGCGACTTTGAGGCTTTGGGACCCACCTGGAGTTTAGCTGCCCAGTCGTTGAAATGCGCTGCCCAACGACAGCTAAACGAAATTTGCAGCAGCCCTAGCGTGCACAATATCATTCCTCGCGAAAACCAACGTACCACTTCCACATGACATTGATAACCACGGTGACCCAGCTACACTCCCTGGTTGTAGCGAAATGCCATTGCTGAGGTTCAGCCAAGAGTGAGGACTGTCAATTCGCCAGTGCATCCGTGCTGCTTCGCAGTGGAGCAAATCTGCTGTCAACCGACGGCAGGCACCCAATGAAAATGCCCCTCCCAACAAGGGACCCCAAAATGAAGGATGGGATCCAATGCTAAATCATGGCTTCTGGGGGATATCAGGGGGAAGGGAATATTGTATTTGGTGCAGGTCTCACGCAAAATGGATCAAAATGGGCATTCTGCCACTTGGTTCAGTTCTCGGCTGCGCCAGGGGCAGAATACCTGCACACCTAGCTGCCAGCACTGGCACCCAAACCTCCTTGCAGCTATTGGTGCGGCTGCTGCAGTTTGACTCTCAGAGAGACCCTTGAAAGTGGATCGACATGGTTCAAAGGATGTTTACTCCCATTGGTACCCCATCTGCCGATATCCTGAGGCTGGCACCAGCAACTCTTCTCATGGAGGATGATGAAGGGGCCACTCCTTTGGATCTGCTGGCTGGGACAGCACCCTTTGAGGCAGGATCCCCAGATGGATCCAGGGAATCCGGGTCTTGGAAATTACTTGAGCGCTAAATGAGTGCTTCAGGATGTTGATCCGTGCTTCAAACAACATCACAGAACATCATAATTAATCAAACAAATATCATATATCATCATATATCTATGTAATTCTATATATATATATACACAAAGATGTCACCCGAAAATGGGATGATCATCCCAGTTTTGCCCACATTTTCTCGGATCCCTGGTGTTTCACATCCGGCCGCTGTGGTTCCAGCAAGCCCCACAACGTCAGGCAGCTGCAGGCGAGGCGCTAGTCCTCACGAAGCCGGAGGACTCGGGGCCTGCCCCGTGCCTCGGCGACCGTGGAACGTTGATGGATTACTATAACAGATTATTGTTACCCTCTGGTAATTTAACATAGCTATTGAAAATCACCATTTTTAATGGGAAAATCCACTATTAATGATTATTGACAAATAGATTAGATATGGATATATGAATAATAGATTATAGTCTAATCTAGACTGTTAGATTATTGACTAATAGATTAGATTCATGATTAGATTATAGTCTAATCTAATAACATCTAATAACAATCAATAATTATAAGAGATTATGATGGTTATTAGATGAATTAGATTATTGACCCATGATTATTAGCAATAATCTATTAAAATATGTTACTGAGTTTTTACTATTGTCTATGTTATCTATTAGAATAAGAACCAACTGGAAGCGTTTTTCTATGGACCAATAGGGAATAATCAGGCCATAGGCAACAGTTTTGTGGTGACCAACAATGTCTGCAAGTGTGTTTCACATGTTTGGTCCAATAGACAATCATAGTTAGTTTATGTTAGTTTATTATAATAATTATGATTGATTATGATAGTTTATAGTCACTATAATTTACCCAAAAAAGTCAAACATAGTTACAGTAGTTTATCATAAGAATTATTGACGATTGGGTAAATTATAGTGACCTCACCGTGACCGAAGCCAGGAATCATGGTGAGCTTTGCGGGAATCATCCCCAAACGGCAGATTATTACGGTTAGTGAAATATTGCTATCCAGATTTGATGGATTATGAAAATATATGATCAATGGTCCAATAGAAAATACTACTTAGATGAGTGGCTATAAAGACCATAACTGTTAACAATGATAATACAAGAAAAATCCCAGATATTATTTGTAATAGATGATGATTATTGCTAATCCAATAGATAATGCAAAAGATAGTCAACAATACAGTAATCATAAGTTTAATCCATCTATGGCTTTGGTTTATTGAAAATCCGATGGATTGAGAATAACCATTTCATGGGTAAAGTAACCATAGATGGATTAGATATATGTTGATCCATTTAGACCTTGTTTGGTACATAATATATATATATATAGATACATACATACATACATTCATACATTCATACATTCATACATTACATACATTACATACATTACATACATTACATACATTACATACATTACATACATTACATACATTACATACATATATATATATATATGGTCCCGGCCGGCGGCCGGCAACCCCCTCATGGTATCACCCCCATCCCCCTCCCCCATACTGGTGGCCTGGCCATATACGACCATCCGTCAAGATATCATATGCCATCCTTACCTGCTACCCTCGTGCCACTTATACACTACCCACATGATACTCCATACAGGGTTCACTGCCTATATTTCCAGACAATCTATTTATAACCTGTTGCTGCCCATACAGTACCTTCATAGTGGCCATGTACTCGCTACGATCTCATATGCTATACATACGTGCTAGCAACGTACTACCTATAGACTATCTATACCCCTACCCATCCCACAGGGGGGGCGGGGTGTGTAAACTATATTTTACATAGTGACATAGAGCCTCCTACATACAGCCTACATACAGAACCATGACCATGACGTGGGGGGTTGGGGAGGGGGTGCTGGCCTGGACCATACATGTACGATACAGTAATATATACGACATTTAATGATGAATGTGTGTGTGCCTGCGCGTCAAACAATGCATTATATACCCATATTGGGGAATGATCATCAACCCATTGAAGGGTCCCGATATTGTGAAATATTCTGGGATGGATGACCCAGTGCACAGATGATATGTCTGGATATGTCGTGAATATATAAGATTTATATGCATGTATGTACGGTATGTGCATTAATTATGGTTTGTCGTGTCCGGTACTTAGGCGATAAACAGCAGGGTGTAACACATACCACTGCTGGCTCATATGTCAAGGTTCCACTGTTTCATGGATGTTTCAAGCTTGGGGTTCCCCACCTTTTTTTGGTGTGATGTTAGTCTGTATGCCGTAGTTCCAGGTTTAATGGTATCAACATGCATCAACATGCATCAACATGCATCAACTATAACCTCCTTCAGCTCAGGAGGTTCTAAGTTTTAAGTTGGTCGATGTTCTATGATGTTCTATCCGTTAGACTTTTGACGTGTGTTTCGGGGTCCAACAACGGTTTACACGTTTTCTGTCACTAAGAAAACAACAGAAACTTCAGCTGCTCCATCGACTCAGGTTGTTGTTCCAGCTTTCAGAGGCCGTTTGGGTTCCCCAGACCGCCCACTGCAGAGGACTTCTCCATATGGGGGATCCCCTTTATCGCTGGATGGTTTATGAATAGAAAATCCCAATCTAAAATGGATGGTTTAGGGCTACCCAATGCTACCCCATTTTAGGAAAACTCCACATGAAGCTTAACAACAGAGCTGAAGTGTGAAGAATTCTGCTAGGGATTGCCTGGAACATCCTTCACACTTTCCGCTGAAACCTTGGACACCTGGCTTTGGCCCGAGGCATTGACATGTGCAGCTGCCCTTCCACAACAAACCGCTCGTTTGTTGCAGCAGTCTCCCGAGGTAGCGCCGGCATGGTAGGTGAATGGGTTAATTTTTGACCTTTAAATGGATGCAAATGGACAATGTATAATTCTGGCTAACATTAATGAATTTTATTTGTTTGATGATATATTCAGTTTTTGCAATCCAAGCTTAAGCAACTGCATCGGAGAAACAAAAATTGGGCGATGTGGCCAGGTGGAGCCGACCTTCTGCACCATGCCATGTATTACACGCTTATATGGTTTGCATATAGTTGCTGTGTATATAATTATAATATTTATACGGATATATATATATATATTGTTTTCATGTCTTACATCCGCAGGTGCCGCAGGGAACTTTCGTGTCAAGTGTGCGAAGGAAAAGTGCCCGAGCGTTGCCTCCTGGGGGAGGCCGAGCTACCAAATTGGTAGCGGAGCTACCGAGCTCCGGCCTCCCCCGGGGGGGAGACCAGAATCGCAGGTGCCATGGCGGCCAATAGCCCTGGTGAATCTGGATTCACCAGGATGTTTTCTGGAGACAATGAGGACAGTGAAGAGTACCGAAGATTCAAGGTGTGGTGTACAAATAAGATGATGACCATGGAGAAGCTACCAGCAAAGGCACGTGGTGCCTATGTGTACACGCTGTTGGGTGGTAAAGCACTGGAATGCATAGAACATCTGTCCATGGAAGACTATCACATAGAGCAAGGGGACGAAGTCATCTGGAAGCTGTTGGATCAACGTTTTCCTGTCAAAGGAAAAACTGACGAGCTGGGTGAGCTTCTGACTGAGGTATTCCAGCTGCGCTTCAAGGAGAACGAGTCCCTGAAAGCGTGGGTTGCCCGCGCATCTGAGTTGTTTGACCGACTGGCCAGGAAAACCAAGGTGGAGTTTCCAACTGAAGCACGTGGATGGATCATTCTGCACAAGGCTGGGCTGACAGATGCTGAGAAGGCCATTGCCTTAGCTAGGGCAAGTGGCTCCTTGAAAAGAGATGATATCAGCGTGGCCATGAGGTCATGTTTTCCAGAAAAGGTTCTGAGCGCCAAAAAGTATGCCGCCAACCTAGTGGAAGATGGTTCTGTCGATCTAGAACTGGATGAAACTGAGCCCAACTCTGCTGATGAATTCACTGACATTGAGATGTTTCTGACCGAGCACCAGCGGGATCTACAACCGCTGGATGGTGAAGCTTTTGATGAAAAGGACGTAGCCGAGGTTCTTGCTGTGACTTGGAAAGAGAAGCGTCAGGAGCTAGCCAAACTCCAACGGGCCCGAAACTTCCGGTAGGTGAAAGAGACCAAGAGAGCCTTTCGGGTCGAGATTGAGGAAATGAAGAAAAAGACTCGTTGTCACCGGTGCGGCAAGCTGGGACACTGGTCTCGTGAGTGCCGACAGCCGCGTAGTGACAAAGGTGCAGCATCTTCAACTACCAAGACTTCCGCGCCGAGTGCCTCTACAGGTGCTGCCTTGGTTCAAGAGCAGTCATTTGACTTTGTGGCTGCGGTGGAACATGAGTCAATGCTGGAACGTTTGCGCCTTTTGGTGTCGCCAACTGAGCGGCCAACAACCACAGGACCTGCTGGCCACGAGATCCTTTTGGTCTCAAGCCCTGGTTTTGGGGTACTAGATTCTGGCTGTGGGAAAACGATCATTGGTGATCAAACACTGCAACAATTCAAAGATCTGCTGTTGGCATGTGGTTTGACAGTGCCAGCCTATGAAACCGAGATCAATCATTTTCGATATGGAAATGGTCACTCTGAAATTTCTGAAAAGACGGTGAAGATTCCAGTCCGTTTGGGCGGACGCTATGGAGCCATCAAGGCTGCGATTGTCAAAGGCAAAGCTCCTCTGCTGATTTCACGTGCTGCCCTGCAGACATTGCAGGCCTCTCTGGATTTCAAGAGCAACACTCTGACGCTGTTTGATGACAAGGTCAGAATTCCGCTGCAGGTGAATGAAGCAGGACAGTATGTGGTGCGACTTCTTCCCGATGAAGCTGAAGCACCTGTCCCTGAAGAACCAGCCGGTGTTTCTGCCGAGGTTGATACTTCGACAGACCCAGATGCCACGTCAGGCCCGAACAGTGATGTCACCAAGTCAAATCCGAAGGATGTAGCATGTAGGGTTTGGTGTAGAGAAGACTCTGGATGTCAACATGCTCCTTTTACAACCAGTCTAGGACCCCGAAAGAATTTTGTTCATCGACGCATAGTGAAATGTGCCAAGACCCACAAAGTGATCCTAGACCAACATGGTGTTGCTTCTTGGTCCACCAGTAGGTTGAAAACACCTTTGCCTTCTCACTGTGATCACATAATTACTGAGTTGTGGCATGTGGATCCCAAATGCAGCGACAGGTCCTTAGACACTGAGCCACCGGAATCCGAAATCCAGGTAGCTGCCGCTGACACCAGTCAGCCTGCCAAGTTGACAGGACACCGGCTCAGACAATTGAGGTCACAGGTGATTCAAGGTTGTTCCGCAGTTCAGCGTGATCAGTTCCAAAGCAAGAGGCTGGTTGTGGAAGTGTTTTCGCCTCCGAGATTTGCCACAGTAGCTGAAGATCATGGATTTAAGGCTAAGTCGGTAGATATCAAGCTAGGAACTGACCTGTTGATTGCCAAGAATCGCGCCCAGCTCAAGCAAGAACTCAGAGACAATCCACCGGAACTTCTCACCTTGTCACCCCCATGTACTCATGAAGGTGGTTGGTTCAATTTGAATAGCACCAAGATGGAGAGATTTGAATACTTGAAGCTTAAGGCCCAAAGTAGGATCCTCATTCGTTTTTGTGCTGAGCTGTTCCAACAACAGGTGTCACTAGGCGGGCGTGCAGTGTGGGAACACCCCACCGGATCCAAGATCTGGCACTATCCAGAGGTGGAGAAGCTGTGCCGTCGATATCATGTGGTCAAACTTCACATGTGCCAGTACGGTTTGCAACTTCCGGATAGCCATAACTTCATTAGGAAAAGCACCAAGCTTCTTGTTAGCCATGAAGATATCAAAAGCCTCGAGCGTCTTTGCAATGCATCCGAAGATCATCACCAACATGATGTTGTGGCCGGCAGCCACCCGGGCGTTGGCAGTGTCAGTGTTTTTGCAGGTCAGTACACTCGTGAATTTGTGACGGCAGTTTTGCAGACCGTGCCCTCCTTTCAAGGAAGTGTAGACTTGACCAAGAATGAAGTTCTGGAGGTGGTAGAAGATCAACTGAGTGCTCACAACTGCGAGGTGCTTGCTGCATCCAAAATTGAATTGAAGAAAACTGGTAGTGAGTTGAAAACGGTCATTGACAAGTTGCACCGTAACCTTGGCCATCCTCCAAATCATGACCTGGTACGCATTTTGCGTCATGCCTTGGCCTCGGATGAAGCAATTCAGCTCGCCAAAGAGCACAAGTGCAGTTTCTGTGAGAGCCGGGTCAAGCCTCGAGTTCCAATTCCGTCACAAACACATCGAGCGTCACAGTTCAATCAACAGATTGGTTTGGATGTTAAACACCTAGTAGGATGGAAGCCAAATCAGAAGATTCGAGCTCTCAACATTGTTGATCAGGCCAGCTGCTTCCAACGAGTCATTCCGTTCTTTGAGACAGAAACAGCCACCTTACTGAGACAACTGTTAGACCAACATTGGATTTCGTGGACCGGCCCTCCAGAGGAAATAGTCCTCGATGCTGCCCAGACCAATTTAGCTGATCCCATGTTCGTTCCAGCCGAGACCGAAGGCACGCAGATGCGTGTCATCCCAGCTGATGCACATTGGCAGCTTGGCCGAACTGAAAATCATGGTGGTTGGTTTGATCGAGTTTTGTCCAAGGTCATTGATGAACATTCCCCCAAGAATAAAGAAGAGTGGCTTCAATGTGTTAAACATGCACATGTAAAGAACGAGATGATTCAGTCATATGGGCATACACCACACCAATTTGTGTTTGGTAGGAACCCACGAGTGCCATCTGATTTGCTGGATGAACCTTTGCATGTTGTGTCAGCCACCGCCTCCTTGCATGACAGTGCAGCAGAACGTGCCCAGGCGATTCGAAACACTGCCCGGAAAGCCGTCCTAGATTTGCAGGACAACAAGGCTCTTAGGAGTGCGCTGTTGGCGCGACCCAGAATCAGTGTCCCTTTTGCACCAGGTGATCTTGTTGCGTACTGGAGATCTCAAAAATGGATTCAAGGCGAACTGCACAATCAGGGACGCTGGTATGGTACTGCAATAGTTTTAGGACACATCGGCAAGAATCTGCTGATCGCTCATCGCAAACAAGTGCTGCGATGTGCCCCAGAGCAAGTCCGACCGGCGACATCAGAAGAGCGAGCATTAATTGCCACTCCGCAGGTGGAACTCTTGGGCATCAAAGACATGATCGAGGGAGGGACATTTAAGAGTCAACAGTTCATCGATTTGGTAAGTCAGTCATATCCTACTGTAGCCCCACCTAGATCATTTGAGCGAGATCTTCCCTCCAACACTGCAGGTTCCAATCAAGCACAATCCGACGTTGCCATGGATGAAACTAATCCTCCAGAGCATCCCCCGATCAGTGAAGTGCCCATGGAAGCCACCGAAGCTCCAGCTTTGCCAACCGAAGTTCCTGTTCCGATCACAGAAAGTCCGGCAGCGGATCCTTCTCCCAATGGGCCAGGTGGAGGTGAAACCTCTTCCTATGGCCCTATTCGCCGCAGGGTGCAAGGAAAAGATGGTCCTGAAGCGTTGTACAGACCCCCAGCACTCAGAATGGAAGATTTCATAGATGTGATTCGTGAAACTGTTCCACAAATGATTGAGCAAGTGCATCAAGGTATCAAACGTGATCACACTGAAGTGAGTCCCAGCGACACAGCGCCGTCTTCTCCGAGCGAGCCGGCAACTCACAGAGCCCGCACCAGTGAGGTGTTGTCTGTACAGCACCTTAGCATGGATAGTTGGTCGACTGAGGGTCTGGACATCGAAGCCCTGATAGCCGAATATCTCAAGAAGAAGATGGCCAAAGAACTCCCTCATAGTAACAATCCACCTGAGGTACAGAGGTTGGTCGACGAAGGCAAAAGAACCGAATGGAGAACTATGCTAAGCAAGCCTGACAATGTCAAGTTGCATTTTGGTCGAAAGGCCCAACAGATCCGTGAACAATATAGCCATAGATTCATCGGTAGTCGTTTTGTGCTCACTAGGAAACCCTTGGAAGAAGGAGCTGTCATAGATCCTCAGAATCCCGCGACCTATACAGTCAAGGGTCGATGGTGCTTGCAAGGACATCTTGATCCGGATCTTCATCTGAAGGCACAAGAGGGTAAGTTGAAAAGTCCTACCTTGAGCCAATTGGGTCGCATGACATTGATGCAAGTGTTGTCTTCCAATAATTGGTCTTTGCAGTTAGGTGATATCCGTGGTGCCTTCCTTGAAGCTGGACCATTAGAATCCCGCTTCCGTCCTTTGTTTGCACATCAACCCCCAGGGGGAATTCCGGGATTGCCGGAAGAAGCGGTGATTGAGATCTGTGGAAACATTTATGGACAGAACGATGCGCCAGCGTCTTGGCATCGTACCTTTGACGAATCCCTCAAAGTCTTGCAGTGGAAGCCCAGTTGTTTTGATCCATGTTTGTATCAACTTCGAGATGAACATAACTGCTTGGTTGGCCTTTTAGGCATTCATGTGGATGACTGCGCCTTGGGGGGTCATGGCCCCGTGTTCGAAGCATCCGTGGCCAAGCTCAAAGAGCGTTTTCCTTTTCGCAAGTGGCGTGTTCGTCATGGTGAATTTTGCGGTGCCATGTACTCACAACAAGATGATGGGTCCATCCACATGTCCATGAAAACCTCCGTAGATAAGATCAAGCCTGCCACCATCCCTAAGGGTAAGAGCACGGAAGCACTGCTAGAAGCTCACCAGGTAAAGGTCCTGAGGGCAATCAACGGCAGTTTGAATTGGGTGACCTCACAGGCCAGGCCAGATCTTGCCGCACAGACCAGTTTCAGTCAACAATCATTTCCTAATCCCAAAATCAAACACTTGAAGAATGTCAATACCATTGTTCGCAGAGCCAAACAACATGCTGATTTAGATATCACTTTCAAACCAATCCCTCTTCAAGATCTAGCTGTGTGTTGCCATTCAGACGCCGCCTTCGCAAATGTGGGAAACCATACCCAAGCTGGCTTCATGATTGCATTTACTCACAAGAATCTTAACCAAGGTGAGATGTCAGCCTGGAACCCTGCAGCCTGGCGAAGTTATCGCCTCACTCGTGCTGTAAGCTCAACGTTGGCCGCCGAAAGTCAGGCCATGGCCACAGCTTCAGGGACGGTTGAGTGGATGTGTTTATTGCTTCATGAAATCATGCATGGCCCTTTTGATGTTCGAGAATCAAAACAGGTGTTACAACAGCATTGTCCAATTTTGGTGACTGACTGCAAGTCTTTGTATGACCATTTGCAATCTCCGTCAAGTCCGACTGCTGTGGAAGATCGACGCACCAGCATTGACATCACGATTATAAAAGAGAGCGTCCGAGTACTCAATGCTGCAGTTCGATGGGTCCCTACGGACCGCATGATTGCAGATTCTTTAACCAAAGATGCAGGAGATCCCATAGATCTCTTAAGGGCCTGCATTAGAAATTCCAGCTATCAAATTTCCCCCGAAAAAGATGTCTTGGAATACCAAGCCGCTGAGAAACAACGCCGTTTGCAGTTGCACCAGACCAAACGTGAAGACCAAACAACTGCAGACCCAGTTCCCGATGACATGTAGTGTACAGTTTATTCGTCACTGCACTTCTAGGGGTCATAGAAGTAGGCGTAATCTGGTAGGGTGCATTACGTTGTGTCAGTGAATGCCAGAACCGATGCGTTCTGACTCAACCTTGCAGCATGGTCCCGCGGTAGAGCCCTTTTGTGTGATTTTGTTAGTATTTTTCGACCATCCTTGCCATGTCCAAGTTGTCTTCGACTGAGCTGAGTACATTGAAGAGTTTGCTCCAGAGAGCCAATCAGCATGGAAACATTCAACAGTATGCGGCCGAGGTGAACAGTGTGTACCGTGCCATTGAACTGGAAGAATCTCTGAGCGATGATCAGAGTGATTTTCAATGTGTGACACCCACCTCCATGACCGATGCCAGCAAGCGCCGCCTTACGGAAGTCAGCTCCCCGTGCCATCACATGTCACAAGTGCCAGTGACACCGTCGCGCAGCTCAGAGGATTCCTTCCCTCCGGGAATCACGAGCTTGGAGATGTGGGGCAGTACTGTCGTGGAGTTTGGCAAGTTCAAGGATCGCCAGATGAGCTATGCTGAGATGATGAATGAAGCTAAGTCCGATTCCAGCGTCAAGTCCTATCTGGATTGGGTGCGCCATCATACTTCGTCCTCCTCTCAGCCTCCCTTGAAAGATTTGCATGCATATGTGAAGGTCATGGACCGCAAGTTGGGCAACTCCAACCTGATGTTTCCTGGATCCAATACTACTCGCAAGTTGAAGGCCACCGCATAGAAGACGTGCATGGATGTTGCCAAGAGTGGAACTCTGGCTATAGGAACACCGGAGTTATCTACTTCGAATTTTTGATATTATAACCGGTGTTTTCATGTCTTACATCCGCAGGTGCCGCAGGGAAATTTCGTGTCAAGTGTGCGAAGGAAAAGTGCCCGAGCGTTGCCTCCTGGGGGAGGCCGAGCTACCAAATATATATATGCGTGTATATATATATATAGATATACACATGTCAGCTGCGAATATATATATATATAATATTCAATATTACATCTATTGTACACAGATACACATATATAAATCCACACGGGTCCACACGTGTATAACCACAGAGTGGGGCATTTCCCTTTTCTACAATCGAAGCCGGCCCAGGCGGCCAAGGCTTGGCGCAGTTTGGCGAGTAGTTGAGCCCAGTGGGACTTTCATTGGGGTATAACCAGCAAGAATGTGACAATAATGGGTATACTATACAGGTGATGTGTATATGTATGTATATGATATAATTTTTATACTAGTATTTATATATATATATAATCAAGTTTGATATGATACTTGGGTGTGCCTGAAAATGTGACCCGTAAAATTGCCATTTGTACAATGCGAAAAGTATGTTGCACCTGTAGATGTATGGGTTCCCTATTTTCATACATACCCAAATGCAGCGGTTTCATAGACAAAATCATGTGGTGAAACTTGGCATCAACTTCACCCACGTCTCAGGCAGTTTCAGTCAGCAATGGGTGGGTGGTCAGTCGCGAGTCCTTGGTTTATATGTTATATTGTTATTGTTTATATTGTTTCATGCAGTCATTGTGATGGCTTAATCACCATGCCGCCATTGGTAAATCATGGTAAATCCACGCCGTGTTTCCAAGCTTTCTGGGTCGAGAATCTTGGTTGAGGTGCTGGCGGTGGCAGGGCTTCACTGCTTCTCGCACCTGACAACATGGATGAAAGCTTAGAGGATCTCACCTACCAGGCATGGATGCTTGGGTTGGTTGAAGAAGAAACAGCGGGATGGCTGAAAACCCCTGTAATTTTGAGGTGAACATCAAAATAGCTGCAATAGCTGGTAGATGTTCGTCTCCCCAAAGGTGGGTATAGGTTTAGAAGAAAGGTCTAGACCCATAGGCATATTGGGAGGGTATGAGGGGAAGATTTTTTTCTTCACCAACACATATATATGGGTAAATCAACCAGAGGTGATGGTTGGTTGATGGGTAGGAATGAGTGACGTGTAGGCTAAATATGGATAAATATGGATGATTGTAGCACCTCATAGCAATCCCAAGTTGGCAATGATTTGCAATATGCAAAGCTTTCAGTCTTATGTGACAATCTCAGCTATATGGTCAAATTCAGAAGCCAACCAATATTCAATGTGGTAAACCCAATAATGAACCAATTTTGGAGAGTTTAGACCAAGCATTTCAGGCGAAATTGGGGTCAATGGCTTCAAACACTGTTGCTTTTGGAGGCCGAAGAACGAGAGGGGCAAGCTGCAGCCCGACTACGACAGGCACTCGAATTTTTCCCGAATGTGTAGCAAGGGTTCCGTTTCACTCTGGGGGTCTGGGGGTTGAGGGTGTGTTCGCTCGACGTTGCGTTTCTGTTCGCAACCGTCCGCAACCGTTCGCAACCGTCCGCAACCGTTCGTGCAGGAGGGGTAAATTTTGGGAGGTTTCCAACATTTCGTTGCTTCGTTTCGCGTGGTAGGCGTGGCACTTTGTGACATTCAGACGTGTTCTGTAACGTGTCGAAAGTCGTTTTGTGTGGCAGGCGCAATACTTTTGCGACGTTTTCAGAAGATGCGTTGCAGTTTTCGTGGCAGGCGCAGCACTTTGGACGTGTCCAGCGTCATTTTGCGTGGCAGGCGCAGCACTTTAGACGTGTGGTGTTGCGTGTTTTTTGCGAATCGCATTGGCAGGGCTGCGTCAAGTGGCGACAAGGTGCAAATTCCGTGGCAGGCGTGGCAGTTTGTGAGATGTGCTGAAAATTTACGGAAGCCTCGCACGAAACATCGACTTTGAGGTAGCAAATTTAGATGCTCCTAAGAAAACTCGTTGAAAACGTCGATTCTGAGGCTGCAAAGTGTCAAAATTGGAGGAAGTCTCGCACGAAATGCTCATTTTGGTGCTCCCACGCGTCTAGTCTCGAGTCTCTGGTTTTCCTGTGGCTTCGCCGTCTCTATGGGGGAAGCCGCAAAGCCTCTCCTTTTCGAAGGTTTCCAAGCAGGTTGTCATGTCGTTTTGCATGGCAGGCGTGGCACTTTGTGACATTCCAACCTGTTTGATAACGTGTCGAAATTGTCAAAATTGGAGGAAGTCTTGTACGAAATGCTAGTTTTTCTGCATCCACGTGTCTCGTCTCGAGTCGCTGGTTTTCCTGTAGCTTCGCCGTGTCTATGGGGGAAGCCACAAAACCTCTCTTCCTCGAAGGTTTCCAAGCAGGTTGTCATGTCGTTTTGCGTGGCAGGCGTGGCGCTTTGTGACATTCCAACCTGTTTGATAACGTGTCGCAATTATTCGAAATTGTCAAAATTGGAGGAAGTCTTGTACGAAATGCTCGTTTTTCTGCATCCACGTGTCTCGGCTCGAGTCTCTGGTTTTCCTGTGGCGTCGCCGTGTCTATGTGGGAAGCTGCAAAACCTCTCTTTTTCGAAGGTTTCGAAGCAGGTTGTCATGTCGTTTTGCGTGGCAGGCGTGGTACTTTGTGAGTTTCCAACCTGTTTGATAACGTGTCGAGAATGTCAAAATTGGAGGAAGTCTCGCACGAAATCTTCGTTTTTCTGCACCCATGTGTCTCGTCTCGAGTCTCTGGTTTTCCTGTGGCGTCGCCGTGTCTATGGGGGAAGCTCCGCACTCCACACTCTACACTTTACACTGCACACTCCACAATTTACACTTTAGACTCCACACTCCTCACTCGAGACTTTACACTCCACACTCCACACTTTACACTCCACACTCCTCACTCTACACTTTACACTCCACACTCTACACTCCACACTTGACATTTTACACTCCAGACTCCAGACTTTACACTTTACACTCCTCACTCCACACTTTACACTCCACACTCCTCACTTTACACTCCACACTCCTCACTTTACACTCCACACTCCAGACTTCTCACTTTACACTCCGCACTCCACACTCTACACTTTCCACTCCACACTCCACACTGCACACTTTACACTCCACATTCCACACTCCACAATTTACACTTTAGACTCCTGACTGCACACTCCACTCTCTACACTTTACACACTCCACACTCCTTACTCCACACTTTACACTTTACACTCCTCACTCGACACTTTACACTCCACACTCCACACTTTACACTCCACACTCCACACTCTACACTTTACACTCTACACTTTACACTCTACACTCCACACACTACATTTTACACTCCACACTTTACACTTTACACTCCTCACTCCACACTTTACACTCCACACTCCGCACTCTACACTTTACACACACGACACTCCTCACTCCGCACTCCACACTCCTCACTTTACACTCCACACTCCACACTCCACACTCCACACTCCACACCACACTCTACACTTTACACTCCGCACTCCACACTTTACACTCCACACTCCACACTTTACACTTTACACTCCTCACTCCACACTTTACACTCCGCACTCCTCACTTTACACTCCACACTTCACACTCCACACTCCACGCTCCACGCTCTACACTTTCCACTCCACACTCCACACTCCACACTTTACACTTTACACTCCTCACTCCACACTCCACACTCTACACTTTACACTCTACACTCCACACTCTACACTTTACACTCTACACTTTGCACTCTACACTCCACAATCTACACTTTACACACTCCACACTCCTTACTCCACACTTTACACTCCACACTCCACACTCTACACACCACACTCTACACTTTCCACTGCACACTCCAAACTCTACACGACTCCACACTTTACACTTTACACTCCTCACTCCACACTCCACACTTCTCACTTTACACTCCACACTCCACACTTATCTACACTTTACACTCTACACTCTAGACACTACACTCCACACCCCACACTCTACAATTTACAATCTCCAAACTCCTCACTCCACACTTTACACTCCACACTCCACACTCCACACTCCACACTCTACACTCCACACTCCACACTTTACACTTTACACTCCTCACTCCACACTTTACACTCCGCACTCCTCACTTTACACTCCACACTTCACACTCCACACTCCACGCTCCACGCTCTACACTCTACACTCTACACTCTACACTCCACACTTGACATTTTACACTCCAGACTTTACACTTTACACTCCTCACTCCACACTTTACACTCCACACTCCTCACTTTACACTCCACACTCCTCACTTTACACTCCACACTCCACACTTCTCACTTTACACTCCGCACTCCACACTCTACACTTTCCACTCCACACGCTACACTCCACACTCCACACTGCAGACTGGTAACAGGGGAAATATGTACAAGACTGTCCAAACAAACTATTGCAGAAAAGTGTGCTGCGTGATTGCAAATCCATTTGTTTGGACATCTGTACCAATAACATAATACGTGTGAGCATTCGGGTTCGTGGGCTGCATCTTGGTTTTCCGCGTGCCATTCTGGGTTTGGTTCAAGAAACAAATAAACTAGAACAATTTCCCATATTTCTGCCTGGTTGAACATCTCAAGACAATCCATTCTCTCCATTTTCCGGATATTTCTTGGGTTTTCCATGGTTGAGCAATTGGATGCATCGCCGTGTGCTCTTACAAGCGACCTGCTCTTAGCGACCTAGTATTCTGGCTCACACCATGTCTGGTGTGCTGGATGTTCTGGTCACCTGAGGGTCTCGTTTTCCCATTGGCGAATCCACAATCTGAGAATTCTGCTGGATAGTTTTTGACTTTTTGGGATCCTCTCAAATCCAGGGGCTGCTTGATACATCATGATACATCTTGATACCCCCCAAGTCGGAAGTTTCAGCTTGGAGGCACCTTGGAACCCCCTTCCAACCTGACGCAGGGCTTGCAACGGATCACAGTGCTCCAGAGCCTTGCGGGCATCTCCGAAGAGAAGGTGGAGGCATTAGAGCCTCAGGACTGAACAAACCCCCACTCCGCAAATTGTGTGACAGAAGGGGTCCACTAAATCGTGATAATGCGTTATGATATAGAGATGGTGCCCAAAACTTGTTTTGAGCGAAAGCACTGGATAATTTGTTGGTTTTTGTGTGCTTTTGGTCGTTGAATTTTAGATATTCAAGAGCTTTTGGCCAGTTGTTTGGTCATGACCAATCTAATTCCATCCAGTTTTCGGAACCCATATAGACTTGTGCTGCCGACGTGGGCATGGCCATCATCTCGTGCCTCAAAGTCCCAACTGGACTTGGCTTTGTCAGCGTGCATTTCGGCTCCCTTCAGCAGTTTTCGCCGTCCAGCTTCGCCATCCAGCCACCTGCATTTGCTGAGACGATCTTGTTCTGTCAATTTTCCCCTTGATCCATCAAAAACGGTACCTTTTTCCCCACTATCAGGTGAGGATCTAAATTTTATGTCAGTTTGCTCCTCCGCTCCGCCAATCCACCCCTCCGCTGTCCTCCACGCCTCCCCTGCGGCTCTGCGCCGCACCACTGGGGCTCGCCAGACCCACAGAATATCTGTCAGAAAGAGTGTCAGAATAAAGCTCTCAGACAAGATTGCCAACAGCCTGGAGCAAATGTCAGACAGAACTCCTGATAAAATGTCAGAGAAAAGACCAGATGCAATGTTATGCTAGAGTATATGCCAGATAGAAGGTCCGAGTTTATGTCAGATAGAATGTCAGAAATTTTGCCAGAGAAAAAGTCAGACAACACGTCAGACAAATGTCAGACTAGATGTTGGATTTGTTTGCTTTCTAAGGAGCACGCAAGGCTCCCGGCCAGTGTCGCTAGAGTAGATGTCATAATATACGTCAGATATCGTCAGATCGAATGTCAAAAAACAAATCTCACAAAGAATGTCGGATAAAATGTCAGAAAATGGTCACAATATCAGAAATTATTTCAGAAGGATTCAGAAAGAATGTCAGAATACATGTCAGATCAACTGTCAGATGAAACGCCGGAAAGCAGATCTTGGTGGGGATCACTCGATGTAAAGCAGACTTGATGTGTTCTTCATCTTTTGTTTTCAACGATGCTACATATGTTTAAGTGTTTAATCATGTTTCGTCCCCTTGGTAGCGCAGTACTCGTACCTCCCAGGTGCCATGAAGTTTTTCTCCATCCTGTCCCTCTTGGGCAGCGTGGCGGCTACGCCGGTGCCGCACGAGCTGCTGCTGCAGGTGCAGGAGCTCCAAGCCGAGCTTTCGACCCAGCGGCAGGTGATTCAGGAGCTGCAGGAAGAGCGCAGGTTGCAGGCTGCGGAGAGTGAAACTCGGCAGATGCAGGATGCTTTCGAAGTTGAAGATTCGTTTGAAATCTTTTGAATGTGTTTGAAGGCATTATCATATGGAATTTTAGATATGTGTACTTTTCAACGTGGTTGTTACAGTTACATATTGCATGTTTTACTGATCAACGGAAGTTTGTTATTGCACAGTATAGTTTAATTAGCCATTGTGGGAATAGACATGGACCTTCCATCATCATTGGTGGCTTCAAGAATATGTTGAGATAGGAGTACCCTATCGCAATCTAATCTGGCCGGCCGGAACATTGGCATTTGTGGAAATTTCATGGAGTTTCCCATTGCCAGGTTCTTTATTGGGTTACGTGGTTCAAATCCTTTCTGAAATGGGATAGATTGAGACTCAACAAGCAATTCTGTGGATAACCCCGATGGATAAGATTGGTAGTTTGCCGGATCAAGCCAGGAAAGCATTGATGACAAGATCACCAAGTTGCAGGAGGCTGATTTGGGACTGGGTGGAGCTCTGGATTCCGCTTGGCTTGTCCTTTGTGGAGCTTTGGTGATGTTCATGCATGCGGGCTTCGCCATGTTGGAGACGGGATGCTGCCGTGCCAAGAACGCCTCCAACGTTTTGATGAAGAACTTGGTGAATGTGTGCTGTGGAACATTGGGCTGGTGGAGCATTGGCTGGGCTCTGGCTTATGGCGAACAGAATGGCAATGGTTTCATTGGAACCGACGGGTTCTTTGGCTTTGGCTTTTACACAAGGGACAAGGCCAGCGGAGTGATCACACCCGTGGAATGCACCTCTGATGGCTGCCAGTCGACCATGTTGAGTTGGTTCTTTCAATGGGCCTTTTGCACGGCCGGTGCCACCATTGTGAGCGGGGCAGTGGCTGAGCGTGTCAAGAGCCCCACCTATGCCGCCTTCGCGTTCTTGATGACAAGCTTCATCTATCCTATGGTTGTGGCATCAACCTGGGGTGGCGGCTGGCTTGCCTCCCTCTTCGGCGTGGGGTACATGGATTTTGCAGGATCAGGCCAGATCTTCAAAGAGCTTTCACGATGCAAGTCGTTTTTGTTGTTTTTGTCACTTCACCTTGATAATTATTACATATGCGATTGCATGTTTTCATTGTGTGCGTAGATATATGTGCCATTTTGTGCCTTTATACACACGCAAGTACAAGATTCTGTCAGGTTTCACATGGATATGGACCATGGGATCAAAATCTAAGACCCAGATGCACGCAGATGCTTTCATTTTGGGAACTGAACATTGGACCTTGTTCAAGTGGGGTGAACCATATATGTGTTTACATATGTATATATATATAATTATATATATATAATTATATAAATATGTGTACATATATACAAATATAAACATACATTTAAGATTCTGTAAGTAAGTACAATTAATGCGAAAGGGATGTAGGCCACAGTGCAGTTGAATTTAACCATGTAGAGTGCATGTATACAGCTCGCCTCTACTCGCGAATACTTTGGCTCAAGACCGCCTACTACTAGAAGGAAAATAAGTGTGGTAGCTGCAGCACAGGAGAGCTCTACACCAACCCCTGGCGGACTAGCGGAATACCCTGAACAGGCTATATATGTACCTCCGTGGTACTCTATACCTCCGTCAGAGAAGGAGCCTGCGTGCTGTTGGCTGACCCAACGAGCAAACGACTGAGTCTTCAATTATCAGTCCGCTCTACATCGTAAAGATGCAAGGCAGCAGTGGTGACACGGCTTTTACCTTCGAAGGAGGCACGCATTCCTCTCTCGGGATCGCTGACAGTGGAGCGAAATCGGGATTGTCGCAATGATATGCCAAGTAGGAGGAGAGCATCAGCGAGTATCCCGAGATCATCAAGAGGGGCATCACGAAGCGGATCTCATCATGGAAGCCATCGCTCCTCTGATGACGAGGAACAGGTCGACCCTCGGCAGAAACAGAAGGACGACGAAGAGAGGGAAAAGCTCAGCAAAATTCCCACAAGGACTTTCAACTTGGACCCATAGTCAAAGAAAATGCCAACTGCTGGTTTGGTCAATGGTTATTGGGACAAGATCCCTGCACAGATATTCGACAACGGGATCATGGCGAACATCTTTGTCTTGTTTGACCACTACTACAACAAGTGTGTTGTCAAAACTGCCCACAAATATTGCGATGATATGATCAGCACCGAGTGGGGAAGGCTTGACCGCGACAGCCTTTGTCCTTATACCGGTGAGGACGAAAGAGGAAACTTTGAGCATCCAGATCAACAATCCCTCAAGGAGTACTTCGATGAGAAAGCCAGTCAAAGGAGCAGCATTATCATATGGAATTTTAGATATGTGTGCTTTTCAACGTGGTTGTTACAGTTACATATTGCATGTTTTACTGATCAACGGAAGTTTGTTATTGCACAGTATAGTTTAATTAGCCATTGTGGGAATAGACATGGACCTTCCATCATCATTGGTGGCTTCAAGAATCGATTCTGAATTTTTTGTTTCCAAACGTAAAAAGTCAAGTTCTCTACCTTCTCGTGTTGCTTCCAATGAAATAGATTCTCTGGTGTGCGCAAATCCCTCTTCCAAACTACCAAAGACAGAAGGTAGTTTGGCGAGCGCCAAACGCAAACGGAAATCCATTGGCGCCAAGACACAAGCATCCATATCATGTGCTGCCTCCAGCCGAGGGCATTCTTTTGTGCAACAGCTGCCTGCCAGCCCAATCGGTGGGGACTCTCAAACCCCGAGCCAGGAATGTGCCAGCATGAAAAACCGTGCCACGGTGTCTGTAGACTGGAAGTGCCCCATTTGCCAGCTTGTCTTGAAATTTTCCACTACCTTGGCCAGACGACGTTTCCAGCATTTGAAGCATTGGCATCCGGAACGAATGCATGATTATGTTCGTACAAACCGGTGGCAACCAAGACACGCCGGAGAAACTCCCTCTTGGAAATGTCCTCATTGTAATGTTGCTCTGTATGGTGATAAGAAGAGCAATTGGCAACTGCGCCTTGAACACTGGCGTAGTGTCCATCCTTCCAAGCCAAAAGCTGATTTTTTGCTTGCGAAAGGTCGCCCTGCTGGTACTTCTATGAGAACTCCTACCATCGCAAAAAGGAATGCCCTTGTGTCAAAAAATTTACAGCTTCTCAAAGGCAATTGCAATGGCCATCAGCCGGTTGAGGTTGCTTGGCCTTTCGCCCCAAAAAGCCAGGGCCTGGTCAAGAAGTTCATTTGCAAAGCGTGCCTTCGAACTGCGCATCTTCCAAAATTGCTTAAGCACAAGTGTACTAAGAAGAAGCTGAAAGACAAAAGGAGACTGACTTTGCTCTACAAACTGCGCCGCATGATTGCCAGCACCACGTCGGAACCTGCAAAGGCCAATTTGCAAGTCATAGCGTCGCTCTACGCAAGTTGCAATGACACCAGCCATAGATCCAAAACATGTGAAACAGTCATCTATAAGCAACGGTCATGCGGGTAGCGCATGGCCATCCACTGTAAATTGTTGGAGAGGTGGTTCAACATCACATCTCTGGAGAGGGGGAGCAATTAGTACAACCGATGCTAAAATTAGTATTGCCACCATGAATGTGCAAACTCTCAACCACAAAGTTGCTGATGTTTTTGACTTCTTCCGTAATAACCACTTGGATATTTTAGTACTACAGGAAACTGGTTTGACCACCGAAGCCTTCAGCGCCATTGATAGAATGGCCAGAAAGAAAAATCTTCGTTTTCATGCAGTCGCACCTAGATTTCAAAGCAATGGCAGGCCTTTTGAAGGTATGGCAATTCTCTCTGGTTGGCCATGCCGTCCCATTCGCTTGCAATGCTACAAAGATCCAGAAATTGCCTTGCGAGTGCAAGCCATTCAAGTGCATAAGGAACGTTCGCGACCCTTTGTGTTGGTCAATTTGCATTTGCAGAGTGGCGACAAGAGGATTGCCACTCTACGTGACCTGCAGGTCTACAATTCGCAAAACGAAGTCCCACGGGACGGGTGAGATCACGTGACGAGAGTGCACACACGGAAGAATACCGTGGTATTCTTTAACGGCAGTGTGGCTTTCATTAAACACCATCAATCGACCATGTTGAGTTGCACGATGGTCTTCTACCTCCTCGTGGTTCGTGCGTTGAGTGGACCATGGTTCCAATGGTCCCGGACGAAGCGGAGACGGAAATGCTTGAACATTTTTTCTTCGCTGTGTGGAGCTGCTTGCTGTCTTTTTGGGTGCACAGCTTTCGTGTCCACAATTTTGGGCTTAGGATTCATGTTCATGTTGAACAGATTTGAAAACAAAACCAGAAAACGCAGTTGGAAAATCCGTATGCACCGACGAATGAAACCATGGAAACTTAGATGGTACGCTAGCAGAGGCTCTTTTCCCTTGCGGAACTTGAGACCCTACTCTGCTGTTGACGGAGACTGCCTGTTCGTGAGTTTTTCTCAGGGACTTGCAAGTGTTGGAATCCAAGTAGGACCACGTAAACTCAGAAAAGTTGCGTGGCAAATGCTGCGAAGAGACAACTGTGCTGCGGCTGCATGGGACGGCTTCCTTCCATGTTCAGGCCTTTCTTCGCGTGATTGGAGTGAGTATCTTGGTGAAATCCGTACATCAGGAAGCTGGGCATCTTTGCTGGAAGCAAAAGTGATGGCAGAAGCTTTCCAGGTGAACGTTTGCATCACCAACGGTTATGTGACCAAGAGTTTTTGCCAGGAACCAACAAGCAACAAACACTTTCATTTGAAATTTTGCAAGCAACATTACATTTTTGTGCCTCAACAACGCACTAGTGACAGAGACTTTCTCACAAGCAAGCTGAGACAGTGGTGCAAGCTTTTTTCCTTTGTCCCATTTTCGCGCAAACAAGTTTTTGAAAGTTGGAGAGGTGGGTCGGCTAAAGCCACCGCTCGCAAACGTGACACGCGTGAAGCCATGCGAGCCTTGAAGAACATCAAGCTTCCTGGTCAATTTGCGTTTCTCTCGCCTTTGATCCCCATGCTTGTCGATTTGCTTGCCTTGCATCCTTCCAAGCTGACAGTGAAGCCGAAAAAGAAAAAGAAAACCAAAGCAAAGCCTATACCACATGCTAAGCCAGATGCTGTGCAAAAAGACGCTACTGCTGAAGTCCGGCCACCCTGCTGGTATCACCAAAAAGGTTGCTGCAAGTTTGGTGATTCCTGCTGGTACTCACATTCACATGTGCCTCCACAGCAGAGCCAGCCTGCAAAGGCCAGAGAAGAAGTTGAGTCCAAGACATCACCTTCCAAATCCTCAGCCTTCTTGCCCTGGGATTTGCGCAAAGATGATTGGAACGGTGAAATTCATAGCCTTGCCTCATTTAGCAACAGGTTGGATCAGCTTTCTACTACCTCAAATCTGCATGCGGTGGTGAAAGTCGATAGTGACAAGGAACTTGACACCATCAAGGAACTTCTTGCGCAAAGTGACTATGACCAAGCTGACCTTCAAGTTGTGGCAGCCCAACCTTGCCAAAACCCGGTGATGGCTGCAGCCAATGGACATGATATCGTGTTCGCGCCTGTACGAAGTAGAGGAACCTTGAAGCCTCGTGCGTTGATACTGCATCAAATGACCAACACTTGCAGTGTCACTTTGGTTTCTCAGAAGATTCGTCAGGCAAGTGCTACACCAGAAGCTCCTAAGACGGTTGTCTTGCGGATAGCTGCTGAGGAAAGGTTTTGTTCTCCTGCTGAATGGAAAATTCGGAAAAACGCGCCAGCACAAATGGCTCAGAAATGGGCGCAGAGACAGGTTGGCTTGAACAAGTGCAAACGAATCCATGATGCTTGGGGCTTCACTGAACGTTTTTACAAGAGCTCAGTAGTCATGGGGTTGATGCGGGTAGATAAAGACCTCGCACTCGACTTGACTGCAAAAAGTGGCATTGAAGGTTGGTTCTGTGAGCCATTGAATTGGCAGGACGCCGATGTGCCTAACCCAGCCATTCGTTGGATGTCCAAAGCCGACGATGAGAGTGAAATCAATTATTTGCAACGTGTTGTTGCTGAAAAGGCTGCATTTGGTATCACACGTGGTGAAAAGCAACTTGGAGCCCGCACTAAGCGTGATACTAGTGTTGCTCATGCAAGAACCTGGACTGTGCAAGGTGCCCCTGACAGCTGGACTCAAGAAACCTTGGAGAACATCTTGCAAAAAGAGCTCCCCATGCAAAATGTCACTTGCATTTCTCGCAGAAAAGAACGTAAAGGTCGATGCAGTTGGACAATCAGAGCCACAACCTTGCCTGATCAAGACTATTTCGACCTTCAGTTTAAAGACTTTCACCTGATTGCTTTCGTCATAACCACTAGAGCAAGACCCAACTTTTCTGCTCGCACTCTTCCTCAAAGGAGGACCATGCAATTTAGCGATGGGCAAGGTGACCTTGACATGCAAAGCAGCCCTCCAGCTGATCCAGTCGCGCCTACGCAGTTGGAATCGTCTCAGGAAGAACAGTCTGGCGAGAAACAAGATCAAGACATGAAGGAGCCCGCTCAAAAACATGCAGCCTCGCCCCACAAGGAGCAGCAACCTCCCAAGCGTTCCCGCGCTTCTGAACTCACAGTTCACCAGAACCCTCCGGCCCACATGAATCTCATTACCAATACGGGAGGAGGGGATTGCTTGTTTCTCACTTGTGCCCAGGGAATCAATGAAGTCACCAAGCGGGAAAAACCTGTGACTCACCGTATGTTGAGAGCGTCCATTTGCAAAACGTTTGAGTCCAAGCCTTCCCAATACAAACCTTTTTGGGATGAAAAGTGTCCCTCATACAATGAGGAGCCTTGCAATTCGTGGGAAGAGTACATTTCCAAACTCAAGAAAGTGGGTGCTTGGGGCGGTCACCTTGAAATGCATGCCATTGCTGCATTGTACAATGTTCAGATTAATGTCCTCACCCCAGGAGGAGTATGTAACACGGTCAATGAAAAATCTGACACAGCCATATATCTATGGCTCAAAGGCAAGCATTATGAACTTCTTCAAGGAGCCCACCCAACGGCTTGGATCCAGGATTTGCGAGCTGCTGCCTACACAGGGGGCAGAGGAGGAGGAGGTAAAAGCATGTCCTCAAAAGTTCACACGTCTGAAGCTGATTCGCAAATTTTTGGCGGTAGGAAATCTGGCAAAGATTCTGTTGTCCAATCCAGTGAAATTGATTCCGAAGTTGTTTCTCGTAACAGGCAATCCAAAAATAAACGCAAAACTTGTAACCTGGATACTGCCTCACCATCCTCGATGCCATCAAGTCCGACGCCTGCGGAGTCACATGATTCCAGTCAGGAGCATGATGTCGATAAAAGTGATGCGGCAGAGCAGACCACATGGCAGTGCCCTATTTGTTCTTTCAAAATTTGCCATTGGTCAGCCAGAGCAAGAGCAACTCAGAAACGCCAACATTTGCTCAATTGGCATCCTCTTGAAGCAAGCAAATTTCTTCGTGCAAACCGCTGGGCGCCTCAATCGGCCAATGAAGAACCTTCATGGTGTTGTCCCTGTTGCCCTGCCAAGCTCTATGGTAAACAGAAAAGCGATTGGGACTTACGCATCAGCCATTGGAAAAAAGCACATCCTAAGGAACCCCGGAAAAAAATCCTTGATGTTGTGGGGCAACCCAAAGGTACCCCCATGAAAATTGCTTCCTTCGCTAAGCGAAATGCCTTGGTGGCCAAGAACATTCAAATTTTAAAAGGTGACTGTAACGGGCACAAACCCACTGAGATTGTTTGGCCCTTTTCAAATCAGCGCGAAGGTGTGGTGAAGAAATTTGCATGTACTATTTGTCTTAAGACTGCTCACCTTTCCAAGCTGATCAAATCCAAGTGTCCCAAAAAATTGACTGGCCGCCGCACTCGATGTAGACTTGTCGCAAAACTGCAAGAAATGATTTCCAAAGAAAATAATAATGCAAAGAAGCAAGATTTGTAGGAATTTGGTTGACTTGTATTCCTCCACAAGCCCAACCATCGATGAGACTGGCCATTGCAAACTCATTTTTCCCAAAATTCTCAGTTTGCCTACTTTGGAGTTGTGCAAAAAGTGTGGAAAGTATGTTGTCGGAGACCCATTGCCAGCGCGTTTTCCTCGCGCCTGTGTTGCTAGCAGCCAGACTGGTGCCCTCCAACAACTTTTGAACCAACACCAAGCCATTGCTCGTAAAACGCGCAATCCTGCATCACAATCGTCGTTGGTGGCTCGCATCGAGGCAATCAGAAAGACTTTGAACGTGCCAGCCTCTGGGTAACCTCTGGAGAGGTGGCGCAACCAGCTCTCCCAATACCACAATCAGAATTGCAAGCATGAATATTCAGAATCTCAACAACAAAGTTGCTGATGTTTTTGATTTCTATAAAAATAATCGCATAGATCTCTTAGTACTGCAAGAAACCAGTTTGACAACCGAAGCTTTTAGCGCCATTGACAAAATGGCTCGCAAGAAACACCTCCGCTTTTTTGCAATTGCGCCTAGAATCAGAACAGATGGTAGGCCATTTGAAGGCTTGGCAGTTCTAACTTCATGGCCATGTCGGCCTCTTCGACTCAAATTTTATGAAGACCCGCTTCTCGCTGCAAGAGTGCAAGCTCTACATGTTCATAAGGATCGCTCACGTCCCTTCATACTAACCAACTTGCATGTGCAAAGCGGTGACAAGAAAATTGCTGCTTATCAATGTGAACAGTTGTTTTCTGAACTTGAAACCATGCATGATTCGGTAATGATGATTGGTGATTGGAATTTAACCCCGGACGAGCAACCAATCGCACAGATTCTGGCAACCAAAGCACATCTTGGGGGTGGAGGCTGTTTACCCACCCGCTCTAGCGGTAAGTGTGTAGATTATGCTCTGGGGCTTAATGGGTTGCAGTTTGAATATAATCACCAGTGTAAGGGTTTGGCTGATCATGACTGTGTCTTTTATAGCACACCGGTCTGCAAGTTGCAAGATCGGTTCCGTCATGTGCCCAGAGCTCCGCTTGTAAATACGCACCAAACCGATACACAGTGGAAAGATTTTTGGGACCGCAGTCCCAGGCATGATGCCTTTTTGCAACACCTTGCGGATAATGATCTTGACAGTGCGTGGACTTGCTTGTCTCAGGCTTTTGAAAATTCCTTGCTGCAGCATTGTGACGAGCACACTAGTCGCAATAGTCCATATGTCCACAGAGGCACTGTGTTGCCCCCTCGCAGAATAACCCCTTTTTCTAGCAAAAGTTGTTTACCTCAGATCACCGCTGAACGAAGACTACGTAGGTTTATTCGCCGTTTAAAAGAATGGAAAGTCAACCCCAGACATGAACTCGGCAAAAAACTTTCCCGGGATGAAAAATGGGTGGTTAATAGATGGCCAGAACTCACTGAACCTGCAATTGCTTGGAATGAGATTGCTCTTGAATCCAAGGTCAAACAGTATGAGCGTGAACGCAGTGCTGCTCAAAAAGCAACTAGTCTGCAAGAAATTGTCATGTCAGACACTAGGACTTTTGCCTGGTTGAAACGCCCAAATGCTACCGAAATAAACCGTAGCCCTACTGATGAGCTACCGCTGGATGCGGCCCTTCAAACTGAGCATTTGCAAAAACAATGGAACAAACTTTGGCTGCAGGAACCTTTGTGCAATTTTGACACAGTGGCGCCGCTTGTGCCATCCCATTCAGAAGTTGCACTCCGCCCCCCTAAAGCCTCGACTCTATGGAAACTTGCGCAAACTGCCAAGGGTAAAGCTGCTGGCCCTGATGGCTGGCACGGCTCTGACTTTGCGAAACTTTCTCCTGACGCTTTTGTGCCATTTACAATACTTTGGGAAAAATGTTTAGAAATTGGTGCAATTCCTCAAGCTTGGGCGCACGCTCGCACGGTTTTCATTGACAAACCCGCTGGGGATGGCAAACGTCCTTTAAGCATCGCCGCCATTTGCTGGCGACTAGTGGCGTCAGCAGCAGTGACTGATTTGAAAGCTTGGATCCAAAGCTGGGCTGATGAGAGCCTTTGTGGTGGATTGCCAGAACGCAGAGCAGATGAATTGCACATTCGCTTGTTTCAAGTTTTCCATAACCTTGGTAACCACTCAAACTCTACTGTGCAAGGGTTGAAACAAGACCTGCAAAAGTGTTTCGATAATTGCTGTCATATCCAAGCAATTGACATCCTTCTCCGCTTTGGTTTGCCTAGCTCTTTGGCAAAGGTAATCAGATGTTTTTATCAGTTGCATCATCGTTGGATTGAAACTGCTGGGAGCGTCGCCCGGACGCCCACTAGACCAACACGAAGCATTCTGCAAGGCTGCCCATTCAGTGTCATGCTGCTTTCTGGTATCATGACGGTATGGGCGCGACAAATGAAATTGCAAGTGCCCAGAATTCAATTGGGCATATTCATTGATGACCGCACGATCTGGACTGAGGCCTCCACTGACACTTTGAGGAAAGCAGTTCAGACATCACAGCAACTTGACGCTTTGTTTGGTTTTAAGAACAATGTTGATAAAGAATCCTTTTTCAGTAATAAGCCATGGGTCAGACAACGGCTCAAAGCACTTGGTAAGGTAGCTCCTGCTTTCACTCTTCTTGGAGTTCACTACTGTTCTGGAATACATGTGCCATGCGCCCAGCGCATCACTGAACGCATTTTGTTGTTGCTTTCCAGGATCGAGTTTTTGATCAAATCCCGGGAAAGGAGACGATATTTTATCACTTCCCTTGTAATTCCCGTCATGGTATGGTCCAGTTTCTGGACACAACCTTCTAAAAAGACATTGACCAAATGGACTTCTGCCATTGAGAGATGTGGGCTTGGACATATCGCTCCGGGTAGGAGCCCCACCCTGGTTTGGGCCCTCATTGGCTTGAAACTGCACCCTTACTTCCAATCCTTTATTCAGGGATTGCGCAATCTTCGATGGCAAAAGTTGCACATGAACAACAACACTGATGCAGTGTACACCACACGCAGTTTGAACAGCATTCTTAGGAAATTAGCTTGGAACGTCGATAATAAAAGCAATTTGATCACCGACCAAGGGACCCTTAGTTTTGAAACTGATTCATTTAAGTCAATATGCGGTTTTGCTCAACAAGCTTGGTTCCGGGAAATGTGGAAAGTTGACAAACGAGTCAGCCAATTGGAACGTGAGCAGTGGCCTGACCTCCAGGTCTTAAATCGCGCCAGTGCAAATCTTGATAAAATCAATTGGCAACGTGAAGCAGTGCTTACGGGTGCTGGAGTGGATGGTCGTATGCTGTCAAAATTTCACAAAAAAGAAGTTTTCTGTTTTTGTGGTGAAAGCAACCCTAATCGTAGACATCTCACATGGCATTGTGAAAGTTTTGCAGCGCACAGAGTCCAGTTTTTCACTGCCCAAGATGTGCCTGCTAGACAAACGGCTGCTGAGGGATTGCTTGTCCTTTCTCGTCCATGCGAGATGCAATTTGCCCCGAATGATCTTTTGAAGCAAGGACTCTCGACTTCGTCTTTTCAAACGCAATGGATTTATATAATTTCTATTGTCACTAGTGCTTTTCAGAATCCTCAAGGTAACATGTCCATCTTAGCCTCTGACGGTGGATCTTCTCGCTGTGCTCGTTGCACACGAGGTGCGTGGGCAATTGCCAATTGTCACCAGGCAACAGGTGGTACACTACAGGGTTTCGATCAAAGCTCTTACGCTGCCGAAATCAACGCTGTGCTAATTCTCCTTTTGGCAATTGAACAGTGTTTGCACCTTTTTGCTCATGACATCATAATCTTGATTGACAACCAGGATGTTGCCAAAAAATTTGAATTTTTAGTGCACAATCCGACAAAATGGGCCCTCCATGTCCTGGGAATACCCGTGGATATGGAATGAAATCTGTTTTCATCTTCGCAACTTGCCTTCTTCTTGTATGCACGTGGTTTGGATACCTAGCCATAACAAGCAACCTGACTGGCAAGCACCATTGGGCTTGTCATCTTCTACTTGCAGAGGTGCGAATCAACTAGCCGATCAGGCTGCTTCAGAAATCTTGATTCATCATGCTGACATTTGTTTGTGTGAAAGACAACACGAAAATTTACGTGCGCAGTGGATGCACAATGCACTAAACTTGCAACAAGAAGCTATCATAGCTATCACTCGTAACTTCGAACGCATGAATGCTGTTGACCAGCCCATACCCGACCAAGGTGTGGGATGATGAGTCGACGGATCTGCTGCCAATACGAAACGTGATTGGGAGCGGTTACACACGAGCCTGGCTATTTGCTTGGTACGGCAGTGTCGCTTCATACAATGTTGATTTCGACCATGTTGAGTTCGACAAACTGTGAGATCGACTCCGAAATATTCCTTGACAAACACAGAAAAAATTCGGTTCATCCTTCTCGGGTGGCTTCCCATGAAATTGATCCTGCTTTGCAAATCGAGCCCGTTTTCACAAAACGGACAACAAGCCAACCAAGTGCCGTTTCTTGCAGTATTTCCGAAGCTTGTGATGCTGATGCTAGCTGTGATGAACCGGAGCCACCGGTTGTTCAGAAAAAGGTTCTCGCAGACTCTTGGCAGTGCCCTATCTGCAGCTTTAAGATTCGAAACGTGTCTATCAGAAAGCGAACTGATCAAAAGAGAAAACATTTGCTTAATTGGCACCCTTTGGAAGCTGCAAATTGGTTGCGAACAAACAGATGGACTCCACAGAATAAGCAGGACAAGCCAACCTGGTCTTGCCCTCTGTGTTCAGCTAAGTTATATGGCAAATGTAAGAGCGACTGGAGCTTGAGAATCGCTCACTGGAAACATGACCACCCCACAGAGCCTCGGGAAAAATTTTTGGACAACATTGGCCGCCCAAAGGGCACTTCAATGCGTGTTGCTTCGTTTGCCAAAAGGAACGCATTGGTGTCTAAAAATGTTCAGATATTGAAAGGGAACTGTAATGGTCACACGCCTACTGAAGTGGTGTGGCCTTTTGCAACTGTGCAGCAGGGCAAGGCAAAGAAATTTGTTTGTGTCAAGTGTTTGCGCACAGCACACCTCTCTAAACTGGTACGCAAAAAGTGCGCTGGCAAGCCGACCAGCTGTCGCACACGATGCAGAACCATGACAAAACTTCAAGACCTTCTCACCACTGAAACTAATGCTGAGAAGCAAAACAACATCGCTTTCCTTCTCGATTTGTATAAATCAGCCGAAGCGAATAATGTGGCAACTAAACACTGCAAGGTTTTGTTCCCGGCTTTTCGAGTTTTGCCAACCTTGGAATTATGCAAGCGATGCGGCAAATACATCACTGGAGATCCGCTACCGCTTCGGTTTCCTCGTACTTGCAAACGACCCGCTGAGCAATCTGACCTTGAGACACTTCTCAAAAGACATCAGACGGTTGCTCACAGGACCAAGACTGCCTCAGCACAGGCACGCATCACAGAGCGCATCGAAGCAATTACAGATGCCCTTCAGTCTCCAAACTTGGGGTAACCTTTGGAGAGGGGGAGCAACCAGTAACAATAATCATGAAATCAAAATCGCCACTATGAATGTGCAAACACTCAACAACAAAGTTGCTACTGTTTTCGATTTTTTCGACAAGAAAGAGCTCGATATCTTGGTGTTGCAAGAAACTGGTTTGTCTAATGAAGCTTTTAATGCAATTGACAAAATGGCCAGACGAAAGAAGTTTCGTTTCCATGCTATTGCTCCAAGAATTCAAAGCAATGGCAAACCTTTCGAGGGGCTCGCTGTACTATCGTCATGGCCGTGCCGGCCCATCCGCCTACAGTGCTATCAGGACCCAACAATTGCCTTAAGGGTGCAAGCTCTTCATGTGCAAAAGCAAAAATCTCGTCCATTTGTTTTGGTCAACCTTCACCTCCAAAGCGGTGACAAACAAATAGCCATGTATCAATGTAACCAACTTTTGCAAGAGTTGAAATCTGTCAAAGACTCTGTCCTTATGATTGGTGATTGGAACTTGATTCCTGAACAAACTCCTATCGCTCAATGCCTTGCAGCAAACATTGGCCATCTTGGTGGAGGTGGCATACTGCCTACTCGATCTTCCGGTAGATGTATTGATTTTGCAGTTGGTCTCAACGGTATGCAGTTTCAATACCATGCGCAGAGCAAAGGTGTCGCTGACCATGACTGTGTCGTGTACACAGCACCTGTGTGCAAACCTGCAGACCGATATTGTCAGGTGCCCAGAATTTCTTTAAACAATGAAAAGCAAAATGACGAACAGTGGAATGCTTTTTGGTGTCAAAATTCATCCTATTCCAATTTTGTTCGGCAACTCGACTCTGATGACCTTGATGGTGCTTGGAATACATTGTCGTTGGCTTTCGAAACTTCTCTTTTGACATTAGAAAATGGCCGGCCAGTGAACAGTAATAATAACATTGTGTCTCGAGGCATTGTCCTTCCGCCTCGTTTAGTAAGCCCCTTTTCAAGTAAAAGTAAATTACCTGAACTTACTGCTGAACGGCGGTTGCAGAGGTACATCCGTCGTCTCAAAGAATGGAAAGTAAATCCATGCCCCCAACTATATAAAAAGATCTCGCAAGATCGGACGTGGGTGACCCAGAGATGGCCTGAATTGACAGAACCTGCGGTGACTTGGAATGAGTCTGCCCTGGAAAGCATCGCGCAGCAATATGTGCAGGAAAGACAAGCTGCTGACAAAGCTTCCCGCCTGCGGGAAATTGCACTGTCTGATTCTCGAACTTTCGCTTGGTTGAAACGACCTACCTGTACTGAACCCAATAGTAGCATGCAAGATGAGTTGCCTATTGATCCGGCCCTGCAAGTTGTGCATTTGCAGAAAATGTGGAACAAACTTTGGTTGCAGAAACCTCTCAACAACCACGATGACTTAGCAGATTTTTTGCCAAGTACACATGAAATTGATTTTCTCGCCCCCAAAGCTTGTACTTTGTGGAAGCTGGCGCAAGCGGCTAGTGGAAAAGCCGCAGGTCCAGATGGGTGGCGAGGATCGGATTTTGCTAAACTTGCGCCTGCTGCATTCGAGCCTCTTTCTCTGCTTTGGAAAAAGTGTTTGCAGCTTGGCAAAATTCCAGAAACATGGGCACATGCTCGCACTATTTTTATTGACAAGCCAAGCGGGGATGGCAAACGTCCACTGAGCATTGCCGCCATTTGTTGGCGTTTGTTAGCTTCTGCAGCTGTTGCTAATTTGAAACCTTGGATCCAAAATTGGGCAGATGACAGCTTGTGTGGTGGTTTGCCTGGACATAGAGCTGATGAATTGCATGTTCGACTTTTTCGTGCTTTCCACAGCTTGGGCAATCCGCAGAATAAAACTGTTCAAGGTTTAAAACAAGACCTGAAGAAATGTTTTGATAACTGTTGTCACCATCAAGCACTTCACATTCTTGTCAAATTTGGAATGCCTACCACTTTGGCACGCGTAATCCGTTGCTTTTATCAAATGCACACTAGATGGATTGAATCCAGTGGCTGTGTTGCGCGTAACCCTACCCGACCAACCCGCAGTATACTCCAGGGATGCCCTTTTAGCGTCATGATGCTTTCAGGTATAATGACTGTGTGGTGTCAACAAATGAAACTTAAAGTCCCCAGGATCCAACTTGGTGTTTTTGTGGACGATCGCACAATTTGGACTGAGGACAACACTGCAACTTTGAAACTTGCAGTTCACACATCCCAGCAGTTGGACGCAATTTTTGGTTTTAAAAACAACGTTGAGAAAGAATCTTTCTTCAGCAACAAGCCTTGGGTGCGCCAGCGACTCAAATCATTAGGAAAGGTTGCGCCTGCTTTCACTTTACTTGGAATCCATTACTGCATTAACATGCGGGCTTCCTGCGTTGAAAGTAAGCGAATCACTGAGCGAGTCCTTTTGATTCTGTCCAGAATAGGTTTTCTAATTAGATCCAGAGATCGCAGACGGCATTTGGTTGCTTCACTTGTCATTCCTGCAATTGTCTGGGCTAGTTTCTGGATGCAACCTTCCAAAAAGATGTTGCAAAAATGGACAGCTGCAATTGAAAGATGTATCCTTGGACACATTGCGCCTGGCAGGAGCCCAACGCTGGTCTGGGCACTTCTTGGACTGCGTGTACACCCTGCCTTTCAATCCTTGCTTCAGGGGTTGCGTAATTTGAGATGGCAGCATCTTCATTTTTGTCAACATACCAAGGATCTTTATGTTACACCTGTCTCCCAGAGACTTCTTGATCGTATTGGTTGGAATGTCTCCGTTTCTGGTAATGTGCACACACCGCACGGTACACTGAACTTTGAGTGTGACTCTTTGAAGTCCATCACAGCATTGGCTGAGCAAGATTGGTTAAAATCCTTGTGGGCAAGTGATAAACGAGTAGCTCCAGCAGAAAGAAGTCAATGGCCGGACCTTCAAATCCAGAAACGTGCAGGCAAAACACTTGATCAGCTCAACTGGCAACATGAATCTGTGATTACCGGCGCCGGTGTTGATGGTCGCATGCTTTCGAAATTCAAACATACTGATGTGACTTGCCTTTGTAACATCAACAACCCTACTCGCCGACACCTGACATGGCAGTGTGAAACCTTTTCTGCTAAAAGATTTACCTTTTTTTCTGGGCGAAATTTGCCGAGTGCCAATACGGCTGCTGAAGGATTGCTGGTTCTCTCCAGAAGTGTCAGTTGGTATTTTGAACCTGGTTGCTTGTTGCAGAATGGACTACAGCTCTTTGGGCCTCATGCGCAAGAAAAATTATTAAGGATTGTTGAAAGTGCTTTTCAGCAACCTCACAGTAACCTTAGCATTTTGGCTACTGATGGTGGTTCTTTCCAATGCAATTTAGGTACCAGAGGCTCCTGGGGTATTGCAAATTGTAACCACGCAATCGGTGGGAAGCTCCAAGGGCTTGACCAAAGCTCTTACGCAGCTGAAATCACCGCTGTGTTGATTTTGCTTTTTGCTATTGAGCAAAAAATTCACAAGTTGTCGCATGATGTCGCAATACTGATTGATAACCAAGATGTGGCCAGAAAATTTGCTCTTCTTTTGTGCAATCCGCACAAGGATCCTCCTGTCTCCTGGGAATATTTTGCAATTTGGAAATCGATTGCTTTGCTCATTCGTAATTTGCCTTTTACTTGTTTTTCCTCGGTTTGGGTCCCGAGCCATGACAAGCAGCCTGATTGGAAACCTAGTTTGGATTTACCGCCTTCCTTTTGTAGACATGTAAATGCACTTGCAGATGCTGCGGCGGCTGATGCTTTGAATGAGCATGCTGTATGCTGCTTACTTGAAAGGAAACTTGAAACTGACCGTCATCAGTGGATGCAACATGCAGTAAATTTTCAACTTGATGCTTTGATTGCTTTGCATCGAAATTATGACCGCATGGCTGCCATGAACCCACCGCCGCCGACCCAAGGTGTGGGATGATGGACCAGTTCATTGCCGTAACTGTCTTCGGAGCGGTTACACACGAGCTTGGCTAATTGCCGAGTACGGCAGTGTCGCTTCACATAATGTTAGCATCGACCATGTTGAGTTGGTTCTTTCAATGGGCCTTTTGCACGGCCGGTGCCACCATTGTGAGCGGGGCAGTGGCTGAGCGTGTCAAGAGCCCCACCTATGCCGCCTTCGCGTTCTTGATGACAAGCTTCATCTATCCTATGGTTGTGGCATCAACCTGGGGTGGCGGCTGGCTTGCCTCTCTCTTCGGCGTGGGGTACTCGGCCTGGGGTGGCAGAGTGTTGTTGCTACTGCTGAGCGCATAGCTACTTTGCCTATCGCCATTGCTCAGAGGGGCGATCTTGCCAAAGCTATGTTGACCACGAAACAAGTTTGGTCGCAGTTCATCACTGGTAGGCGCACGGAAGAAGTCCACAAAAACTGGGCTCAAACTTTTCGCAGGGCCTGTTTGCATCACCCGGGTGGACGAAGCAGCCGCTCCTTGGAAAAAGTGCTCCGGTGGGGGCATTTGTCCGACTTAGATCTGACGGGCTGCCAAAGGTTTCTGTCCACCCTCCACAGTTGGTGGGTTCGAGTTGGAAGTTGCCGGTTTGCCCAAGTTGACTTACCCCAATTGCCTGGCCTCAGCGTGGTTTCGGACACTTTAGGTAAGTGGGGTTGGGTTTGTAATGGTTGGGGAGCTTGGGGGCACCCCCAAGGTTGGAGCCTCAATGTAAAGGATTGTCCGAGCAATTTCATGCGTGGATTGCACCATTTGCGGGAAGCTTGGCGAAGACGTGAGTTTGAGTTGTGGCTTGGCTCAAGTCGTCGAGATGCTCAGTTTGCTGTTGCTGCACAAATCAGGTTTTATAATCAACTGTACAAAAAACTGGTTAATGTCCTCTTTGGGCGGCGATGCTGTGGCTGTTGCTGTGGGTGATATGTCCACCCCCGCCACTGCCTCTAGAGTGCCACAAGAGTGTCCGTACTGCATGGGCGCCATGGTTCCCTCGGTTGACCATATCCTTTGGTTCTGTTCTTGGGAACCGTTTGTTAAAGCTAGAGTTCTTCAGCGACCTCTTTCGGATTTTGTTGCCCGTATGGGTTGGGATTTAACTACCCCCAGGGATGAATCCTTTGCATTACTCACTCAGATGGGTGAGATCAGAGCACTTGAATCTGCCGCACGCCGCCGAGCCAGGAGGCTCTAATAAGGCTTGCAGCAGCGGCTGTGCATCTTAACCTGTGCTAGCTGGGTGTACTTCAAAGCTCTTTGAATTTGCAGCACGCCGCCGAGCCGGGTGGTTCTCAGGCTTGCTGCAGCGCAGCCAGTGCTAGCTGGGTGTACTTCAAAGCTCTATGGGCACATGGATTTTGCAGGATCAGGCCAGATCTTCAAAGAGCTTTCACGATGCAAGTCGTTTTTGTTGTTTTTGTCACTTCACCTTGATAATTATTACATATGCGATTGCATGTTTTCATTGTGTGCGTAGATATATGTGCCATTTTGTGCCTTTATACACAGTACTCCTTGAGGAGCAGCGCTCTTCGGTGGTTGGCCGTGGGATTGCATGCACACTGCAATTCAAACCATGATGAAGATTGAGAAGGTGATGCAATTCTTGGTCGAAGCCGGGTACACCCCGAACGCATTCCTCAAGCCAATTGGCAAGAGCAGAGGAAAAGGCCGAGATGAGGAGCCACATAAGCCAATTCTTCTCGAGGGCATTGAAGGGAGCTTTTCCGGAGATGGAATAGGCTTTCATGATTGCCTTGAGCTTCCAGCCCTCGGGATTATTTTTGCCTTTAGGGAGAGGATGCGGGCCGAGGAATGGCTCATCACCGCACAACAATGCGGAGTGGTTCTTCCTGACACCATCCAGAATCAGATTGCCTACTCCATCACTCGAGCGGGGCAGGAGGCAACGCGTGGCAAGCCCATCGTCTCAACGCCATGCTGCCCAACATGAGCGAAGAACGTCGCCAGGTAGTATTTGAATTCACAGCTCATCGAGCTGGTGCAGACGATGCACGAAGAGATTTTCACCTTCACCTTGGTCGTGAAGCAGGTAAAGCCGAAGCCAAGGGCAGCCAGCCCAAAGCCAGTGGCGCAACATCTTCATCTTCGGCCTAACACCACCTACTACCGAGACACAAAAGGTCAAGAAGCAAAAGCGATGATTGTCTGAACTTCTTCCACTGAGAGGACTCTGAGCGTGGCTAATTACAGTCTCATAGCTACGTGCAGTCCATAACCGAATCTTAAATCATTTTGTTTTCTTTACATGAGCTGACCAATCTACCGTCGGCAAGGCTGCGTGCAGCCCAGGTCGTGCAGCCCTAGTGTACATTATAGCAAATTTCAATGCCACGAAGCTGGCGCAGAAAGGAGAAGAGGGGGTCCTTCCTCTCGGGAGAGCCTGAGTATCCGGGCCGATTCTTTTTCAATGCATTTTTCGATTGATCCCTTACTCTGTGCCTACCATCCAAAATCTGGCAGGCATGGGGGTGCGAAAGGGATGTAGGCCACAGTGCACTTGTATATCAACAACCATGTACAGTGCATGTATACAGCTCGCTCGATTCGCCAATACTGTGGCAGGAAAATAAGTGTGGTAGCTACAGCACAGCAGTGCAGCAGAGCTCTACACTAACCCCTAGCGGAACACCCGGAACGAGGGCAAAATTGTTCACAATCAAGTACCAGACGATGCCGGATCGCATGAGCATGGAACAAAATCTAAGACCGATGTTGTTATTTGGAGAATTATACATCGGACCATGTTTTACTGCGTCAGCCTGGGCTGAGCAGGATAATTATGGTTTGAGTTGTTCCATAGATAGGGGAATATATTGTCCCAGCACAAGAAAGTCTGTTGGTCTCTGATACTAGCCCTGCAAAACAATCATACCATCTGGATTGTTCAAACGAGGGATGCTGGCTTAACCTTCCTATCGCACTAGGTGTTGTGCACCTTACTGGCGGCATTAGCGGACTCGTTGGTACCACCATTCTGGGAGCACGAACGGGACGTTTCAGCAACCCAGAGGACTTGTGGGTCCAAATTGGTCAACAACTACTACATACACATACCACATATATATATATTATATATATATAACTATGTTTAACTATTTATATATATATATATAGATATAGATTTATAAATAAATGAGGCTTTCCCTATGTTGTTTCATTTTATGTTTGACGTCTTGTTTTACCAGACGTCAAATCTTTCTACTCATATGTATTCTACATCTGTATATTTATTGGACGTCGTTCCTATATATATAACTACACACTTACATTGTGTATACATGCACATAATTGGGTGCGTATTTATATATATATACACATGTGCATTTACAGTTTTTCACATTTACACATTTATGTGTATATATATATATGTGTGTGTGTTTGCGGCTGCTCAGCTCTTCAGAGTTCTTCCTAGCTCCTCTCTGCTAAACACAATAGGAGCAGCGCAGGCACATCAAAAGCAACCTTGGCGCAGCCATTCCAATGCCGCTGGCAGGCATTGAGCTGCAAAACAGCATAGAACTACGTGCGCGGCAGCGACACCAAGCGCAGCCACTCCAACACCATTTGCAAGGAGGCATACAAAGTAAATGTGCCTGTTTTGACTCAATGTGGACAATGTCTTGAGATCAGCTCTGGTGAAGATAAGCCCACTCTTTGTTTGTGGTTCAAAGATAAACACTACGAATGGCTGACCGGAGGATGCCGGAGGTGATCCTGGTTCTTGGGTCCAGGACCTGACTGGTCACTCAAACTCCTCAGTCTCAATGTTTCCAGTTTCTGCCAGCACCAGAGCGAAGTGCTCCTTGAGGCCTCGAAACTTCAGGCTGAGGGTAATTTGGTTTCAAGAATTCAATGTTACCCGGCACGGACTTCCCGGTTTGTCCGGCAACTCGCGCAAGTTCGGATGGCACCTTCATGGGTATCACGGAAATTTCTCGGAATTTCCTTTGATTCCATATGTATCGTTTTTGTTTTTGTATTTTCATAATTCTGTTTATGTATGAGACAGGCTCTTTTTGGCATATGCATGCGCTGGTGGTTTCAAATTGTTTGTCCTCCACCCTACACCGGATGATCATGGATGAGGGAAATCATTGAAAATGCGACTTACAGCACTCCATATTGGTTGATTGCTACTGGTATTCCTTCCACTCCAAGGCTATGTTTATCTTTACATGCGTGTATGTGTCTAAACCGCGTAAATTTTGGTGCATGGCAAGTTGGGCGATAGATTTTTGCCATTTTGATTTTCATCTTAGTTCTTTTCATTTCATCTCAGCTCTTCGCATTTCATCCCAGCCCATCTCAGTTTCTTGAATGTCCGTCTGTACCAGGGGAATTTCTTAAAATTTCCTTTTTTAGTATATGCCTCGTTTTAATATTTTTTGCATGTGTATGTGTATGTCCAAAACGGTCAAATTTTGGTAGGTTGGCGATAGGTTGTGCCATTTTGATGAAAGACATGCGATCTAGCTAGAATTTGGCCAAGATGGCCTCCCCATATACTGGAAATGAACGAAAGGATTGCAAGCGATTGCAACTCCCGTGAAAACAGGATTATGATTTCCGCCTTCAATTGTCCCATCATGTCCCATCTTTCTTGTTTCTTGGCCAACCGTTTTGCGATGAACATGTTGAATTTCGCAGGAGTTTGAGTGCCACAACCTGCCATTGGTTGTGCTGGGTACCTTTGCTCTCTGGTTTCCTGGACGTGCGCTTTGTTGGTGGATTTGTTTAGTTGCCCCAGAATGCAAATCTATTCGGCTATTTGTTGATGGCCTGGTAGCCCCGAATGAGCACAAATTATTGCTTTGTTGAAGTTGTACTACACCATCCCACTTCTGGTTGATTTCCCCCATCTTTGGATGTTTTTCTTTCGCGGTATGGCTGCGAATTCCTGTTTCTGTTGCCACGTTTCTCTTATTTTCGTGGTCAAGATCCCTCCGGTGTTCTCCTTGAGGTTCGGCTGGTACGGCTTCAACCCGGGCTCCACGTTGACCATGAAGTCCGGCAGCGACGGCGCCTTGGCGGCACAGGTGGCCATGAACACCACGCTGGCGGCGGCCACGGGAGGCATCACCGTGTTCCTGCTGCGAGACTGGGCTGCGGTGAGACACGTTGAGACAAGAAATTGGTACACTGAGTGAGCCATCAGACATGATAACAAAATGCTGGTTTTACATGGTTTTACGATGCAAAATTACGATTTACGAGGGAAAATTGGATTTCAATGCGTGAAAATTGTGATTTATGCATCTTAATGGGATATTTTTAAGACATCACAGTTTTCATCATAGCTCTGATGTTTGTCGTTATTGTTGTCATCGTTATCGTGTTTAAAAAATGACTTGGTGGATGGTTTTATTACTATATCTAACCTAACCCAGAATGAGGATAAGGATGATGAAGATGGATGGATGGATGGATGGATGGATGGATGGATGGACGGATGAATCACCCCATCGATAGATAGACTGGATGGATAGATCAGGTAGATTAGAAAGATTAAATAGATTGGATGGATGGATATCAGCACACGAGGATACGTCATCACACACAAGTACGACGTTGGTGCCCTGTGCAACGGCATCCTGGCCGGCCTGGTCTCCATCACGGCCGGTTGCGGCAACATGGAGAGCGGAAGCGCTGTTGCCACCGGCTTGATTGGAGGAGGGGGTGGTCCAATTGGTTGGGGAAAACCCATGAAATCCTCATTCCATACATTCCATGTAATCATTCCATACTATTGGCCCCTGCAAAACACCCTGGCTAATGTTCCTTACATGTGGATAGGCCCTCCACAGCTGAAAGGGTATATCGCCCATGGACCAACCTGGAGGTTTTGTGTATCAGGCAGCATCCATGCTGCTGCAAAAGCTCCGCATCGATGACCCTGTGGACGCCAGTCCGGTCCACGGCTTCTGTGGAGCCTGGGGGTTGATCGCAGCAGGCTTGTTCGACTGGGGTAGGGGCATCGACCACTACCACGGCTGGAGCGGATTCGGCTGCATGGAGAAGGATGATGGTGGCTGCCAGACCGGCATTGGCGGCACTGCCATTGGGGTCCAGTTCATCATGATCTTGGCGATCGTGGCATGGGCAGGCACCTTGTCAGGGATCGGTTTCTTCCTGCTGAAGGTCACTGGAGCGCTGCGCTACGGCACTCATGTGGAAGAGGTGGGCATTGATTCGCATCACCATTCTCCGCCAAAGGCCTATGCTTTGGGGCCTAATTCTCTCTCCCCATCAAAGATCTATTCCACCATGACTTCGGAATCCGAGCCTTCAACAGTCTGAGCAGCACAACATTGCTCAGAGTCAACAGGCAGCTGTTTCCTACATATATCAGCCGCCTGTTTGACTGAGGGAAGATAGGGAAGTGGAGCTTCTCATGCACGGAGTGCCCGCAGCGCGTGAAATCGCACTGTAAGAAAGCACTGTGTTTATTTATCCTGTGGCAGCAGGAAAGAATTCGAGCCAGTTACCTGGCAGTTCAATGTCTTGACATGTCTTGGCTTCCTTTGACGATCTCTTCATCGTGTTTTGTCACTGAGAAGCAAGCAAGATCTGTGGCCGTGTCGCAAGCATGCGGCCCATCTTAACGCATTCCATGAAATAATTATCATGGAAACATCGCGAATTTTCGGATCCAAGGGCTCCATCGGAGCCAGGCCCTTCCGAACTATCCAACATCTCAGGGATAGCATTGCGAGAAAAGAACCACCAGCTCTTGACGCCAGTCGTGCCAATGGCCCAAGTTTGCCCAGTTACTGTGGCTGACTCAACATCTCATATCTTGCTTATACCATGTGTCTCATGTTAATTACATAATATCTACATATTATCACATACCTACCCTTGATTGCTGTTTGTGTGCGTGTGTGTCCGTACCATTTTGCATGTGACGTGGACCAACCCCATTGCCATCTCTGTGAGCAGAGTGGGCTCCCTTCAGCAGTTTTCACCATCCAGCTTTGCGATCCAGCCGCCTGCATGCGCTGTGACTTTTTTCTGACAAATTTTCCAGTGGTTCATCCACCAAAAATCGGGAATAAATTTGATTAGTGGATGTTAATGTTTTTTCCCCGTGTGCCAGGTGAGGGCCTCCTCCTCCTCCTTCTTAATGGGCACTGCCGGACCTTTCAACTCCGATCTCCGGATCTCAGTTGGCACAGCGGGACCTCAACTGCGAGCGCCGGAATTAAGTGGGCACTGACGGAACTCAACCACGAGCTCCAGAGCTCCAGATCCGGACCTCAACCGCGAGCTCCAGATCTCAGTGCGCACTGCCGGACTTCAACCGTGAGCTCCAGATCGGAGGGACTGCAGGACGAGCTAGAGACTTCAGTGGGCACTGCCGGACCTCAACCGCGAGCGCTAGATCTCAACGATCACTGCCGGGCCTCAACTGCGAGCTCCAGATCTCAGTTGGCGCTGCCGGACCTCAACGATCTCAGTGGGCACTGCCGGACCTCGACTGCGAGCTCCAGATCTCAGTGGGCCCTTCCGGATCTCAACCGCGAGCTCCAGATCTCAGTGGCACTGCGGGACCTCAACCGCGAGCTCCAGATCTCAGTGGGCACTGCCGGACATTCAACTGCAAGCTCCAGATATCTCAGTTGCCGCACTTCAACCGCGAGCGCCAGATCTCAGCATGCTAGATAGAATGCCAAAATCGGATTTCAGATAGAATGCAAGATAGAATGCCAGAATAGGATTTCAGATAGAGTGCCAGATAGAATGCCAGAAAAAGATCTCAGATAGAGTGCCAGATAGAATGCCAGAATAGGTCAGATAGAATGCCAGAATAGAAGGTCAGAATAGATGCCAGATAGAATGCTAGGATAGAATGTCATAGGAAGCCAGAATGCCAGAATAGACACCACGAAGAATGCCAGAGTTGCGAGATAGAATGCGAGAAAGAATGTCAGCATATTTGCCAGAATGGCAGAAATTTTATCAGAATAGATGCCAGGTAGAATGTCAGATAGAAGCAGATAGAATGTCAGAAATTAATAGAAAATATATGAAAATATTGTTTTTTTTAATATGTATTAATTATATATATACCCTGTATATAATTCATGTTTTTATGTCAGAAACTATGTCAGAATAATGTGTCACGGTGGTGACCCCTCGAAGAAAGTATTTCATGTTTTGTTACTATTTATGTGTTACCACGATTTGTTTGCTCACCAACTTCTTCGCACAGCCCAGGCGCCATGAAGCTTTTCTCCATCGTGTCCCTCTTGGGCAGCGTGGCGGCTACGCCGGTGCCGCACGAGCTGCTGCTGCAGGTGCAGGAGCTCCAAGCCGAGCTTTCGACCCAGCGGCAGGTGATTCAGGAGCTGCAGGAAGAGCGCAGGTTGCAGGCTGCGGAGAGTGAAACTCGGCAGATGCAGGATGCTTTCGAAGTTGAAGATTCGTTTGAAATCTTTTGAATGTGTTTGAAGACATTATCATTTGGAATCTCAGATATGTGTACTTTTTAACAGGGTTGTTACAGTTACATATGGCATGTTTTACTGATCAACGGAAGCTTGTTATTGCACAGTATATAGTTTAATTAGCCATTGTGATATTGTGGGAATAGACATGGACCTTCCATCATCATTGGTGGCTTCAAGTGCTGAGATAGGAGTACCCTCTCGCAATCTAATCTGGCCGGCCGGAACGTTGGCATTTGTGGAAATTTCATGGAGTTTTTTTGGCAGGTTTCTTTACGGCTTTACGAGATTATGTGGTTTAAATCCTCTCTGAAATAGGATAGATTGAGACTCAAACTGAGCAATTCTGTGGATAGACCAGAGGTATATTGATATTGATAGGTTGCCGGCTCAACCACCAGGAAAGCATTGATGACAAGATCACCAAGTTGCAGGAGGCTGATTTGGGACTGGGTGGAGCTCTGGATTCCGCTTGGCTTGTCCTTTGTGGAGCTTTGGTGATGTTCATGCATGCGGGCTTCGCCATGTTGGAGACGGGATGCTGCCGTGCCAAGAACGCCTCCAACGTTTTGATGAAGAACTTGGTGAATGTGTGCTGTGGAACATTGGGCTGGTGGAGCATTGGCTGGGCTCTGGCTTATGGCGAGCAGAATGGCAATGGCTTCATTGGAACCGACGGTTTCTTTGGCTTTGGCTTTTACACAAGGGACAAGGCCAGCGGAGTGATCACACCCGTGGAATGCACCTCTGATGGCTGCCAGTCGACCATGTTGAGTTGGTTCTTTCAATGGGCCTTTTGCACGGCCGGTGCTACCATTGTGAGCGGGGCAGTGGCTGAGCGTGTCAAGAGCCCCACCTATGCCGCCTTCGCGTTCTTGATGACAAGCTTCATCTATCCTATGGTTGTGGCATCAACCTGGGGTGGCGGCTGGCTTGCCTCCCTCTTCGGCGTGGGGTACATGGATTTTGCAGGATCAGGCCTGATCTTCATAGAGCTTTCACGATGCAAGTCGTTTTTATCACTTCATGTTTTTTCATGGGTATGTAAATACATGTGTGTATATATATATTAGATTTTGTGAGCACAATTAAGTACCAAGGATGCCGGGGATCGCATAAGCATGGATCAAAATCTAAGACCGATGTTGTCATTTGAGAGTTTTACATTGGACCACGTTTTATTGCGTCAAACTAGGCTAAGCAGGCTAAATATGGCTTGAATTTGCTCCATAGATAGGGGAATACTGTCCCCAGAATAAAGAAAATTTGTTGGTCTCTGATACTAGCCCTGCAAAACAATCATACCATCTGGATAGTTCAAACGAGCGATGCTGGCTTAACCTTCCTATCGCACCAGGTGTCGTGCACCTTACTGGCGGCATCAGCGGACTCGTTGGCACCACCATTCTGGGAGCACGAACGGGACGTTTCAGCAACCCAGAGGACTTGTGGGTCCAAACTGGTCAACAACCTCCGCATATTTGCATCTCATCTATTTATATATACTCTTCTTTAAATAAATAGAGACAATAATAGAGAAATGAATAAATAAATAGCACTTTCCTTGTTTGTTTCATTTTATGTTTGACGTCTTGTTTTACCAGGCGTTAAATCGTTCTATCCATATATGTTTTACACGTGTATATTTGTTGGGCGTCATATTTGTATATATATATATACATACACACTTACGCTACGCATAGCATATATGCATATAATTATGCCTATCTATACACGTGTGCATTTACATGTCTTTTACGCAATTACATATATAGAGATATATAATCTATGTGCGTGTGCGACTGCTCAGCTCTTCTCAGCTCCTCCCTGCTAAACACAATAGGAGCAGCGCAGGCACATCAAAAGCAACCTTGGCGCAGCCATTCCAATGCCGTTAGCAGGCATTGAGTTGCAAAACAGCATAGAACTACGTGCGCGGCAGCGACACCGAGCGCAGCCACCCCAACACGATTTTGCAAGGAGGCATACAAAGTAAATGTGCCTGTTTTGACTCAATGTGGACAATGTCTTGAGATCAGCTTTGGTGAAGATAAGCCCACTCTTTATTTGTGGTTCAAAGGTATCAGTAAACACTACGAATGAGTGTACTATGAGTGTATTCAAACCACAGAAATCCTTCAAATGCCAAAGCATCTGCACTTCCGAAGCGGAGCTTGAAATTGTGATGTGAAACTAGCCTGGATCCTCAATCACTGGGAAAAAGCGTGAGAAGCAGTCCATTTTTCAAGTTCAGCAAAAAGAAATACTTCTAGGGATGGCGGCAGGGCCCCAAGCACAAGCAAAGCTGACATGGCAATATCTCAAACTTGTGGACCAGATATCTGATGATTTCACAAGCAGAGATGAAAACGCACGGCCGGCTCCAAAGCGAAGATGTGATCGCACAACGTGCCAATGTCTGATTCGTCTGTTGAAAACTAGCAACAAGACTCCGAGGATTCTGGCCAATCAAAAGCGCCAACATTGGATGAGTTGGCGCCCCGTGGAAGCGAGACCCACATGGTGTTGTCGGTCCTGCCCAGCCAAGCTGTATGGTAAGTCTAAAAGCAATTCGAACTTACGCATCGCTCATTGGAAACGAAAGCATCCCAAAGAGCCTCGGAAAAATTCTCGACACGGTTGAAAGACACAAAGGCATTCCTGCCAAGCAAAATGCTTTGGCTTCCAAGAACTTGCCAATATTCAAAGGAGATTGCAATGGCCATAGGCCAACTGAAATCATTTGGCCTTGCGCAACAGCTAAAGAAGGCGTAATCAAAAAAAACGTTTGTACTGCTATGTCTCCGCACAGCGCATTTGCCCAAGCTGGTCAAAAAGAAGTGCCCGCAAAAAGCAACCAGTCGACCCACTTGTCAGAGAACTGCTGAAAGACTGCGAATGATGATGTCCAAGGAGACCGATTCGGAAAAGAACGGCGATATTTCAAATCTCTTGGAGTTGTATTCCTCGAATGTTAACCAGCACAGATGAACGGCGCAATATTTTTCAAAAATTATCCCGGCAAGAGACCTCAGACAGTGTGGGGGTGTGGGAGGATAATGGTTGATACTGTTGATGTTGTTGTTGTTGTTGATGATGATGATGATGGTGATGACGATGACACTGGCGATGATGATAATGATGGTGGTGATGATGATGATGATAATGATGGTGATGAGGATGGTAATGTTGCGGACGAAGCTGTTGAGGATGATGTTGAGGATGATGAGGTGCAGGATGATGAGGTGCAGGATGATGAGGTTGAGGATGATGAGGTGGAGGATGATGAAGTGGAGGATGGTGAGGTGCGGGATGATGAGGTGCAGGATGATGAGGTGGAGGATGGTGAGGTTGAGGATGATGAGGTTGAGGACGATAAGGTGGAGGATGATGAGGTGCAGGATGATGAGGTGCAGGATGAAGAAGTGGAGGATGATAAGGTGGAGAATGATGACGATGATGATGATGATGATGATGATGAAAAGGATGATAATATTATGGAAGATGAGGTGGAGGATGATGTTGTTGCGGAAGAGGAGGTGGAGGTTGATGATGTTGAGGATGATGAGTTCAAGGGGGAGGAAGATGGTGATGTTGAGGAGGAGGACCGATCCCAAGACCAGAACCCACACTTTGCGCGAGCCTGCGCAATCGAAATGCACATGGACGTTGCAGAAGAGCCACATTGCGTGAGAATTTACAGAAAAGTGCCAGGGCCCAGAACCGCTCAGCTCTTCTGAGCTCGTCTAAGCTCTTCTCACGTCTTCTGAGTTTATCTCATCTCATCTCAGCTTTACACAGTTTTTCCCGGCCCTTTTCAATTCTTCTCAGTTCATCTTAGTTCTTTTCATGTCATCTCAGCTCTTCGCAGTTCATCCCAGCCCATCTCAGTTTCTTGAATGTCCGTCTGTACCAGGGGAATTTCTTAAAACTTTCCTTTATAGTATATGCCTTATTTTTACTGTAATATTCTTTGCATGTGTATGCGTATGTCCAAAACCAGTCAAATGTTGGTAGGTTGGGCGATAGATTTTGCCATTTTGATGAAAGACATGCGATCTAGCTAGAATATAGCCAAGATGGGCCCCCATATACTGGAAATGAACGAAAGGATTGCAAGCGACCAGAGGGATGATTGCAACTCCCGTGAAAAGAGGATTATGATTTCCGCCTTCGATTGTCCCATCATGTCCCATCTTTCTTGTTTCTTGGCCAACCGTTTTGCGATGAACATGTTGAATTTCGCAGGAGTTTGAGTGCCACAACCTGCCATTGGTTGTGCTGGGTACCTTTGCTCTCTGGTTTCCTGGACGTGCGCTTTGTTGGTGGTTTTGTTTAGTTGCCCCAGAATGCATATCTATTCGGTTATTTGTTGATGGCCTGGTAGGCCCTTGTTGAAGTTGAACTATACCATCCCCACTTTGGGTTGATTTTCTCCATTTTTGGATGCTTTTCTTTTTGAACTTTGGCTATGTTTCCCTTTTTTGTCGTTCCCCCTGAGGTTTGGCTGGTACGGCTTCAACCCGGGTTCCACGTTGACCATGAAGTCGGGCAGCGACGGCGCCTTGGCGGCACAAGTGGCCATGAACACCACGCTGGCGGCGGCGACGGGAGGCATCACCGTGTTCCTGCTGCGAGACTGGGCTGCGGTGAGACATGTTGAGACAAGAAATTGGTACACTGAGTGAGCCATCAGACATGATAACAAAATGCTGGTTTTACATGGTTTTACGATGCAAAATTACGATTTACGAGGGAAAATTGGATTTGAATGTGTAGAAATAGCGATTAATGGATCTCAACGGGATGTATTTAAAGACATCATTAATGTTCATCAGATTTTTTGTTTCTCATTAATGTTGCCATTGTTATGGTCCAAAAAATGGACTTGGGGGATGTTTTTCCATTCTATCTAACCCAGGAAGAGGATGAGGATGATGAAGATGGATGGATGGACGGATGAATCACCCCATCGATAGATAGACTGGATGGATAGATCAGGTAGATTAGAAAGATTAAATAGATTGGATGGATGGATATCAGCACACGAGGATACGTCATCACACACAAGTACGACGTTGGTGCCCTGTGCAACGGCATCCTGGCCGGCCTGGTCTCCATCACGGCCGGTTGCGGCAACATGGAGAGCGGAAGCGCTGTTGCCACCGGCTTGATTGGAGGAGGGGGTGGTCCAATTGGTTGGGGAAAACCCATGAAAACCTCATTCCATCCGGCTAATGTTCCTTACATTTGAATAGGCCCTCCACAGCTGAAAGGGTATCGCCCCTGGAGGTATTGTGTATCAGGCAGCATCCATGCTGCTGCAAAAACTCCGCATCGATGACCCTGTGGACGCCAGTCCGGTCCACGGCTTCTGTGGAGCCTGGGGGTTGATCGCAGCAGGCTTGTTCGACTGGGGTAGGGGCATCGACCACTACCACGGCTGGAGCGGATTCGGCTGCATGGAGAAGGATGATGGTGGCTGCCAGACCGGCATTGGTGGCACTGCCATTGGGGTCCAGTTCATCATGGTCTTGGCGATCGTGGCATGGGCAGGCACCTTGTCAGGGATCGGTTTCTTCCTGCTGAAGGTCACTGGAGCGCTGCGCTACGGCACTCATGTGGAAGAGGTGGGCATTGATTCGCATCACCATTCTCCGCCAAAGGCCTATGCTTTGGGGCCTAATTCTCTCTCCCCATCAAAGATCTATTCCACCATGACCTCGGAATCCGAGCCTTCAACAGTCTAAGCAGCACAACATTGCTCAGAGTCAACAGGCAGCTGTTTCCCACATATATCCACCGCCTGTTTGACTGAGGGAAGATAGGGAAGTGGAGCTTCTCATGCACGGAGTGCCCGCAGCGCGTGAAATCGCACTGTAAGAAAGCACTGTGTTTATTTATCCTGTGGCAGCAGGAAAGAATTCGAGCCAGTTACCTGGCAGTTCAATGTCTTGACATGTCTTGGCTTCCTTTGACGATCTCTTCATCGTGTTTTGTCACTGAGAAGCAAGCAAGATCTGTGGCCGTGTCGCAAGCATGCGGCCCATCTTAACGCATTCCATGAAATAATTATCATGGAAACATCGCGAATTTTCGGATCCAAGGGCTCCATCGGAGCCAGGCCCTTCCGAACTATCCAACATCTCAGGGATAGCATTGCGAGAAAAGAACCACCAGCTCTTGACGCCAGTCGTGCCAATGGCCCAAGTTTGCCCAGTTACTGTGGCTGACTCAACATCTCATATCTTGCTTATACCATGTGTCTCATGTTAATTACATGATATCTACATATTATCACACACCTACCCTTGATTGCTGTTTGTGTGTGTGTGTCCGTACCATTTTGCATGTGACGTGGACCAACCCCATTGCCATCTCTGTGAGCAGAGTGGGCTCCCTTCAGCAGTTTTCACCATCCAGCTTTCCGATCCAGCCGCCTGCATGCGCTGTGACGTTTTTTTCTGACAAATTTTCCAGTGGTTCATCCACCAAAAATCGGGAATAAATTTGATTAATGGATGTTAATGTTTTCCCCATGTGCCAGGTGAGGGCCTCCTCCTCCTCCTTATTAATGGGCACTGCCGGACCTTTCAACTCCGAGCTCCCGATCTCAGTTGGCACGGCCGGACCTCAACTGCGAGCGCCGGATCTAATTGGGCATGGGCCCTGCCGGACCTCAACCGCGAGGGCTAGACCTCAACGACCACTGCCGGGCCTCAACTGCAAGCTCCAGATCTTAGTTGGCGCTGCCGGACCTCAACGATCTCAGTGGGCACTGCCGGGCCTCGACTGCGAGCTCCAGATCTCAGTGGGCCCTGCCGAATCTCAACTGCGAGCTCCGGATCTCAGTTGGCACGCTGGACCTCAACTGCAAGCGCCGGATCTAGGTGGGCACTGACGGAACCGCGAGCTCCATATCTCAGTGGGCATTGCATCGGACCTCAACCGCGACCAGATCTCAGCGCGCACTGCCGGACTTCAACTGTGAGCTCCAGATCGGAGGGACTGCCGGACGAGCTAGAGACTTCAGTTTGCCCTGCAAGCTCCAGATATCTCAGTTGCCGCACTTCAACCGCGAGCGCCAGATCTCAGCGTGCTAGATAGAATGCCAAAATCGGATTTCAGATAGAGTGCAAGACAGAATGCCAGAGTAGGATTTCAGATAGAGTGCCAGATAGAATGCCAGAATAGGATCTCAGATAGAGTGCCAGGTAGAATGCCAGAATAGAAGGTAAGAACGGATGCCAGATAGAATGACATAATATAAGGTCAGAATAGACGCCAGATAGAATGCTTGGATAGAATGTCAGATAGGAAGCCAGAATGCCAGAATAGACACCACCAAGAATGCCAGAGTTGCGAGATAGAATGCGAGAAAGAATGTCAGCATATTTGCCAGAATGGCAGAAAATTTATCAGAATAGATGCCAGATAGAATGCCAGAAAGAATGTCAGGCAGAAGCAGAAAGAATGTCAGAAATTATTTGAAATTATTGTTTTTTTCATATATATATATTTACACGCTGTATATAACTCCATGTTTTTATGTCAGAAACTATGTCCGAATAATGTGTCACGGTGGTGACCCCTCGAAGAAAGTATTTCATGTTTTGTTACTATTTATGTGTTACCACGATTTGTTTGCTCACCAACTTCTTCGCACAGCCCAGGCGCCATGAAGCTTTTCTCCATCGTGTCCCTCTTGGGCAGCGTGGCGGCTACGCCGGTGCCGCACGAGCTGCTGCTGCAGGTGCAGGAGCTCCAAGCCGAGCTTTCGACCCAGCGGCAAGTGATTCAGGAGCTGCAGGAAGAGCGCAGGTTGCAGGCTGCGGAGAGTGAAACTCGGCAGATGCAGGATGCTTTCGAAGTTGAAGATTCGTTTGAAATCTTTTGAATGTGTTTGAAGGCATTATCAATATGGAATTTTAGATATGTGTGCTTTTTAACAGGGTTGTTACAGTTGCATATGGCATGTTTTACTGATCAACGGAAGCTTGTTATTGCACAGTATAGTTTAATTAGCCATTGTGGGAATAGACATGGACCTTCCATCATCATTGGTGGCTTCAAGTGCTGAGATGGAAATTTCATGGAGTTTGTTTTTGCCACGTTTGTTTACGGCTTTACGAGATTATGTGGCTTAAATCCTCTCTGAAATAGGATAGATTGAGACTCAAACTGAGCAATTCTGTGGATAGACCAGAGGGATATTGATATTGATAGGTTGCCGGCTCAACCACCAGGAAAGCATTGATGACAAGATCAAGTTGCAGGAGGCTGATTTGGGACTGGGTGGAGCTCTGGATTCCGCTTGGCTTGTCCTTTGTGGAGCTTTGGTGATGTTCATGCATGCGGGCTTCGCCATGTTGGAGACGGGATGCTGCCGTGCCAAGAACGCCTCCAACGTTTTGATGAAGAACTTGGTGAATGTGTGCTGTGGAACATTGGGCTGGTGGAGCATTGGCTGGGCTCTGGCTTATGGCGAACAGAATGGCAATGGTTTCATTGGAACCGACGGGTTCTTTGGCTTTGGCTTTTACACAAGGGACAAGGCCAGCGGAGTGATCACACCCGTGGAATGCACCTCTGATGGCTGCCAGTCGACCATGTTGAGTTGGTTCTTTCAATGGGCCTTTTGCACGGCCGGTGCCACCATTGTGAGCGGGGCAGTGGCTGAGCGCGTCAAGAGCCCCACCTATGCCGCCTTCGCGTTCTTGATGACAAGCTTCATCTATCCTATGGTTGTGGCATCAACCTGGGGTGGCGGCTGGCTTGCCTCCCTCTTCGGCGTGGGGTACATGGACTTTGCAGGGTCAGGCCTGATCTTCATAGAGCTTTCACGATGCAAGTCGCTTTTGTCACTTCATGTTTTTTCATGGGTATGTAAATACATGTGTGTATATTTATATAATATATATATATATATTCGAAGGAAGTTTGGAAGTCAAACTTCCGACAATATGGAGAGATGAAAAAGCAGTCAGCAGGGAGAAGAGTCAGAAGAGAAAAGATCAGAAGAAAGAAGATGCAGGTGCGCGAAAAGGTAGGAAAGTCGCGAAACACTGTGTTTTTTCGTGGTTTTGTGGCTCCGGAGGGTTGAAAAATAGGTAAAGCCAAAGCGGCGGGTGCGGAGACATCCGGGGAGATGAGAGATGAAAAGTTGCACGCCGTTGTGGCGCGAAGCACATTTGGAAGTAAAATGTGTTAAAAACTGAGGGGTTCGGACCACTTTTGGAAGTTGAGATGTTGAAAAAGTGCACGCCGTTGTGGCGCGAAGCACATTTCCAAGTCAAAATGTACAAAACACACCAGCTCCGGACCACTTTTGGAAGTTGCGATGTTGAAACAGTGCACGCCGTTGTGGTGCGAAGCACATGTCGAAGTCAAAATGTACTCCGGACCACTTTTGGAAGTTGAGATGTTGAAAAAGTGCATGCCGTTGTGGCGCGAAGCACATTTCGAAGTCAAAATGTACAAAACACCACATGTTCGCGCCACTTTTGGAGGTTCAGATCTCGAAAAAGTGCACGCTGTTGCGGCGCGAAACACATTTCGAAGTCAAAATGTACAAAACACTAGGGGTTCGGACCACTTTTGGAGGTTCAGATGTCGCTTCGCTTCGCTTCGGGTGATTACACTACACTATACACTCCACTACACTACAGTACATTACACTACACTACACTCCACAACACTGCTACACACCGCTACACTAAATTACACTACACTACATTACACTACACTAGAAAGATCGATAGATAGATAGATACGTAGAAAATAGATAGGTAGGTAGGTAGATAGTCACAGAAAGAGAGAGAAAGAGTGAGAGAGATCAAGCACCTTTCAGTCCATCAGTGGCTTCGCTCTGCCATCCCGGATTCACAACAACCAAGCTCTCCTATAGGTTTCCTATTTTTGAAACTTCCGCCACCGCCTTGTGCGGTACTACTGGTAGATTTTGTGAGTACAATTAAGTACCAAGGATGCCAGGGATCGCATGAGCATGGATCAAAATCTAAGACCGATGTTGTCATTTTGAGAGTTTTACATTGGACCATGTTTTACTGCGTCAAACTAGGCTAAGCAGGCTAATTATGGTTTGAGTTTGCTCCATAGATAGGGGAATACTGTCCCCAGAATAAAGAAAAATTGTTGGTCTCTGATACTAGCCCTGGAAAACAATCATACCATCTAGATAGTTCAAACGAGGGATGCTGGCTTAACCTTCCTATCGCACCAGGTGTCGTGCACCTTACTGGCGGCATCAGCGGACTCGTTGGCACCACCATTCTGGGAGCACGAACGGGACGTTTCAGCAACCCAGAGGACTTGTGGGTCCAAACTGGTCAACAACCTCCGCATATATGCATCTCATCTATTTATATTTACTTTTCTATAAATAATTGAAGACAATAATAAAGAAATAAATGAATAAAAAATGATAGCACTTTCCTTGTTTGTTTCATTTTATGTTTGACGTCTTGTTTTACCAGGCGTTAAATCGTTCTATCCATATATGTTTTACACGTGTATATTTGTTGGGCGTCATATTTGTATATATATATATACATACACACTTACGCTACGCATAGCATATATGCATATAATTGTGACTATCTATACACATGTGCATTTACATGTCTTTTACGCAATTACATATATAGTTATAGAAATATATAATCTATGTGCGTGTGCGAATGCTCAGGTTTCTCAGCTCCTCCCTGCTAAACACAATAGCAGCAGCGCAGGCACATCAAACGCCACCTTGGCGCAGCCACTCCAACACGATTTTGCAAGGAGGCACACAAAGTAAATGTGCCTGTTTCGACTCAATTTGGACAAGATAAGCCCACTCTTTATTTGTGGTTCAAAGGTAAACACTACGAATGAGTGTATTATGAGTGTATTCAAACCACAGAAATCCTCCAAATGCCAAAGAGTCTGCACTTCCGAAGCGGACCTTGAAATTGTGATGTGAAACTGGCCTGGGTCCTCAATCACTGGGAAAAAGCGCGAGAAGCAGTCCATTTTTCAAGTTCAGCAAAAAGAAATACTGCTAGGGATGGCGGCAGGGCTCCAAGCACAAGCAAGGCTGACATGGCAATATCTCAAACTTTTGGACCAGATATTTGATGATTTCACAAGCAGTGATGAAAGCGCACAGCCGGCTCCAAAGCGAAGATGTGATCGCACAACGTGCCAATGTCTGATTCGTCTGTTGAAAATTAGCAACAAGACTCCGAGGATTCTGGCCAATCAAAAGCGCCAACATTGGATGAGTTGGCGCCCCGTGGAAGCGAGACCCACATGGTGTTGTCGGTCCTGCCCAGCCAAGTTATATGGAAAGTCTAAAAGCAATTCGAACTTACACATCGCTCATTGGAAACGAAAGCATCCCAAAGAGCTTCGAAAAAATTCTCGACACGGTCGAAAGACACAAAGGCATTCCTGCCAAGCAAAATGCTTTGGCATGCTGTGGCTGCCAAGAACTTGCAAATGCTCAAAGGAGATTGCAATGGCCATAGGCCAAATGAAATCATTTGGCCTTGCACGACAGCTAAAGAAGGCGTAATCAAAAGAAAATCCGTCTGTACTGCTATGTCTCCGCACAGCGCATTTGCCCAAGCTGGTCAAAAAGAAGTGCCCGCAAAAAGCAACCAGCCGACCCACTTGTCAGAGAACTGTTGGAAGTCTGCAAATGATGATGTCCAAGGAGACCGATTCGGAAAAGAACGGCGATATTTCAACTCTCTTAGAGTTGTTTTCCTCTAATGTTAACCAGCACAGATGAACGGCGCAATATTTTTCAACAATTATCCCGGCAAGAGACCCCAAACAGTGTGGGGTGTGGGAGGATAATGTTTGATACTGTTGATGTTGTTGATGATGATGATGATGATGATGATATTGATGATGATGATGGCAATGGCGATGGCGATGGCGATGGCGATGATGATGATGATGATGATGATGAGGATGATGATGATGATGATGATGCTGATGATGATGATGATGGTGATGGTGATGGTGATGAGGATGGTAATGTTGCGGACGAAGCTGTTGAGAATGATGTTGAGGATGATGAGGTGCAGGATGATGAGGTGCAGGATGATGAGGTTGAGGATGATGAGGTTGAGGATGATGAGGTGGAGGATGATGAGGTGCAGGATGATGAGGTGCGGGATGATGAGGTGCAGGATGCTGAGGTTGAGGACGATGAGGTGGAGGACGATGAGGTGCAGGATGATGAAGTGGAGGATGATAAGGGGGAGGATGAGGATGATGATGGTGATGATGATGATGGTGGTGGTGATGATGATGATGATGGTGAGGAGGAAGATGATGACGATGATGTTAAGGTGAATGATGAAAAGGATGATAATGTTATGGAAGATGAGGTGGAGGATGATGATGTTGCGGAAGAGGAGGTGGGGGTTGATGATGTTGAGGATGATGAGGTCAAGGGAGAGGAAGATGATGATGTTGAGGAGGAGGACCGATCCCAAGACCGGGACCCACACTTTGCGCGAGCCTGCACAATCGAAATGCACATGGACGCTGCAGAAGAGCCACATTGCGTGAGAAGTTACAGAAAAGTGCCAGGGCCCAGAACCGCTCAGCTCTTCTGAGCTCGTCTAAGCTCGTCTCACGTCTTCTGAGTTTATCTCATCTCATCTCAGCTTTACACAGTTTTTCTCGGCCCTTTTCAATTCTTCTCAGTTCATCTTAGTTCTTTTCATTTCATCTCAGCTCTTCGCATTTCATCCCAGCCCATCTCAGTTTCTTGAATGTCCGTCTGTACGAGGGGAATTTCTTAAAACTTCCTTTTGTAGTATATGCCTTATTTTTACTGTAATATTCTTTGCATGTGTATGTGTATGTCCAAAACGGTCAAATTTTGGTAGGTTCGGCGATAGATTTTGCCATTTTGATGAAAGACATGCGATCTAGCTAGAATATAGCCAAGATGGGCCCCCATATACTGGAAATGAACGAAAGGATTGCAAGCGACCAAAGGGATGATTGCAACTCCCGTGAAAAGAGGATTATGATTTCCGCCTTCAATTGTCCCATCATGTCCCATCTTTCTTGTTTCTTGGCCAACCGTTTTGCGATGAACATGTTGAATTTCGCAGGAGTTTGAGTGCCACAACCTGCCATTGGTTGTGCTGGGTACCTTTGCTCTCTGGTTTCCTGGACGTGCGCTTTGTTGGTGGTTTTGTTTAGTTGCCCCAGAATGCATATCTATTCGGTTATTTGTTGATGGCCTGGTAGGCCCTTGTTGAAGTTGAACTATACCATCCCCACTTTGGGTTGATTTTCTCCATTTTTGGATGCTTTTCTTTTTGAACTTTGGCTATGTTTCCCTTTTTTGTCGTTCTCCTTGAGGTTCGGCTGGTACGGCTTCAACCCGGGTTCCACGTTGACCATGAAGTCCGGCAGCGACGGCGCCTTGGCGGCACAGGTGGCCATGAACACCACGCTGGCGGCGGCCACGGGAGGCATCACCGTGTTCCTGCTGCGAGACTGGGCTGCGGTGAGACATGTTGAGACAAGAAATTGGTACACTGAGTGAGCCATCAGACATGATAACAAAATGCTGGTTTTACATGGTTTTACGATGCAAAATTACGATTTACGAGGGAAAATTGGATTTCAATGTGTAGAAATAGTGATTAATGAATCTTGATGGGATGTATTTAAAGACATCATAATGTTCATCACCCTTTTGTTTCTCATTAATGTTGCCGTTGTTATGGTCTAAAAAATTGACTTGGGGTATGTTTTTTCCATTCTATCTAACCCAGGAAGAGGATGAGGATGATGAAGATGGATGGATGGACGGATGGACGGATGAATCGCCCCATTGATAGATAGATTGGATAGATAGACTGGGTAGATTAGAACGATTAAATAGATTGGATGGATGGATATCAGCAAACGAGGATATGTCATCACGCACAAGTACGACGTTGGTGCCCTGTGTGACGGCATCCTGGCCGGCCTGGTCTCCATCACGGCCGGCTGCGGCAACATGGAGAGCGGAAGTGCCGTTGCCACCGGCTTGATTGGAGGAGGGGTGGTCCAATTGGTTGGGGAAAACCCATGAAAACCTCATTCCATACATTCAGTGTATTCCATATCCAGTATCATATACATTGGTTAATCATCGTGCTCGTTATGTTCATGTTTTTCCGTCAGGGCCATGTTGGCTACATTCGCCCCCCTGCAAAACACCCTGGCTAATGTTGCATTTGGATAGGCCCTCCCCAGCTGAAAGGGTATCGGCCATGGACCAACCTGGAGGTGTTGTGTATCAGGCAGCATCCATGCTGCTGCAAAAACTCCGCATCGATGACCCTGTGGACGCCAGTCCGGTCCACGGCTTCTGTGGAGCCTGGGGGTTGATCGCAGCAGGCTTGTTCGACTGGGGTAGGGGCATCGACCACTACCACGGCTGGAGCGGATTCGGCTGCATGGAGAAGGATGATGGTGGCTGCCAGACCGGCATTGGTGGCACTGCCATTGGGGTCCAGTTCATCATGGTCTTGGCGATCGTGGCATGGGCCGGCACCTTGTCAGGGATCGGTTTCTTCCTGCTGAAGGTCACTGGAGCGCTGCGCTACGGCACTCATGTGGAAGAGGTGGGCATTGATTCGCATCACCATTCTCCGCCAAAGGCCTATGCTTTGGGGCCTAATTCTCTCTCCCCATCAAAGGTCTATGACACCATGACCTCGGAATCCGAGCGTTCAACAGTCTAAGCAGCACAACATTGCTCAGAGTCAACAGGCAGCTGTTTCCCACATATATCCGCCGCCTGTTTGACTGAGGGAAGATAGGGAAGTGGAGCTTCTCATGCACGGAGTGCCCGCAGCGCGTGAAATCGCACTGTAAGAAAGCACTGTGTTTATTTATCCTGTGGCAACAGGAAAGAATTCGAGCCAGTTACCTGGCAGCCCAATGTCTTGACATGTCTTGGCTTCCTTTGACGATCTCTTCATCGTGTTTTGTCACTGAGAAGCAAGCAAGTTTGTGGCCGTGTCGCAAGCATGCGGCCCATCTTGACGCATTCCATGAAATAATTATCATGGAAACACTCGCGAATTTTCGGATCCAAGGGCTCCATCGGAGCCAGGCCCTACCGAACTATCCAACATCTCAGCGATAGCATTGCGAGAAAAGAATCACCAGCTCTTGACGCCAGTCATGCCAATGGCCCAAGTTTGCCCAGTTAACTTTGGCTGACCCCACATCTCATATCTTGCTTATACCATGTGTCACTTGTTATATCATATTATCTACATATTATATCTACATATTATAACATACCTGCCCTTGATTGCTGTATGCGTGTGTGTGCCCGTACCATTTTGCATGTGACGTGGACCAACCCCATTGCCATCTCTGTGAGCAGAGTGGGCTCCCTTCAGCAGTTTTCACCATCCAGCTTTGCGATCCAGCCGCCTGCATGCGCTGTGACTTTTTTTCTGACAAATTTTCCAATGGTTCATCCACCAAAAACCGGGATTTGATTAATGGATGTTAATGTTTTTTCCCCACGTGCCAGGTGAGGGTCTCCTCCTCCTTCTTAGTGGGCACTGCCTGACCTCTGAACTCCGACCTCCGGACCTCAACTGCGAGCGCCAGATCTAAGTGGGCACTGCCCGACCTCAACCGCAAGCTCCAGATCTCAGTGCGCACTGCCGGACTTCAACCGTGAGCTCCAGATCAGGGACTGCCGGACCTCAACAGTGGGCATTACTGCCGGATTTCAACCGCGAGCTCCAGATCTCAGCGGGAGACCTCAGTGCGCACTGCCGGACTCCGACCGCGAGCTCCAGATCTCAGTGTGCATTGCCGGGTCTCGACTGCAAGCTCCAGATCTCAGTGTGCATTGCCGGGCCTCAACCGCGAGCTCCAGATCTCAGTGGGCACTGCATGCCGGACCTCAACCGCGAGCTCCAGATCTCAGTGCGCACTGCCGGACTTCAACGGTGAGCTCCGGATCCCAGACCTCAACAGCCGGCATTGCTGCCGGATTTCATCCGCGAGCTCCAGATCTCAGCGGGAGATCTCAGTGGGCATTGCCGGACTTCAACCGCGAGCTTCAGATCTCAGTAGGCACTGCATGCCGGACTTCAACCGCGAGCTCCAGATCTCAGTGGGCATTGCCGGACTTCAACCGCAAGCGCCAGATCTCAGTGTGCTAGATAGAATGCAAGAATAGAATTTCAGATAGGATGCCAGATAGACTGCCAGAATAGAATGTCAGAATAGATGCCAGTAGAATAGAATTGTGAAAGTCAAGATTGAGCATTGATTGGAATCCACCTGAGAACTCTGGACATGTGTCTGTCCGCGGCTGCCTGGTTCAAACAGGCCTAAGCCATTACTTGCTACGTTTGCAGGTGAAAAGGTGTGCGTCTGAAGCCATCTTGCGAAGTTGGCCTTCAACAGTGGCACCGGAGCCTGAGCAACGATCTGTGCCTGCGCTTGCTTCGCTACTGCATTGCCTCGCTTGGATCTCGCTGCTGGCCGAGTCCTATCCCTTTGAGTTTGTGTAGGGTGATCGCTTTATCCTGCTGGCAACGGACTTTGAGGGTAAGACTGTGGTCCTCCTGAACTTCCACTTTCATTTTCTGGCTAAGTCATTTTTGAGGTGGTGAGTTTGGAATTTGTTGGCTGGTAACTAGGCCAGCCCTTTTGCAAAGGTGCTGAACGGGCACCACTTTGGACTTTGTTCACTGGCAGCTAGGCCAGACCCTTCTGCGAAGGTGCTGAACGAGCCCAACAAGCTTTTGAGTTTTTCCCTGTTTGGGAGCCTTTTGCGTTTTAGGCCATTTTGGCCATGGCTGAGGATGAGAAAGGAACATCGAGCTGGTACAAGGTGCCGACTTGGAATGGGAACCCTCAAGAGTGGAGGAGTTTCAAACGTGAGATGGGCTGGTGGATTGCAAGTTTAGATCCTGAAGCATGCCGAAAGTTCAACGTGGCTGCAAGGTGGACTCTACGTCAGGTTGGAGTTGTTCGAGCCAGATGTGAAGAATTTGATCCTGACGACCTTGCAGGAGCCGCCGAAGTTGTTTCCACCGACCCTCAGACTGGTGAGAAACGAGTCCTTAAGGAAGCCGATCCGTTTGCTGGAATCAAAAAGCTGCTCAAGGCTTTGGAAGCGAGTATGGGCAGAACGGAACTAGACAGAAAGGGAGAACTGAGGAAACAGTTTTATCAGGAGATCCGTAGAAACCCTGGAGAACGCATATAATCAAATAAAATATAAGTAAACTGCCCATCCACACATAACAATCACAAACCCTCCCAGGTTCGCAAACAAGATAAATTACGAAGAAACCCTGGAGAACGCATATCATCATTCTGCACCAGGTACAGAACCTTGACGGCCGAAATGAAACGTGAAGGTATAAACCTACCTTCAGGGGAGCTTGGTTGGTTTTTGAGAGATAGGCTTGGACTTGACGCCATCAGGTCCCAACTTCTTGAAACAGCACTTGCAGGCCGTGATGGTTACGATGATGTAGGAGCTGAAGCCTTGCGTTTATTTAGGGATATCCACACTTCTGATCCCTTGAACAAGAAGCAGTTTGATAGACCCCCTTTGTTGCAGCGCTTTTTGTCCCAGTCCCAAGCTTCCTCATCTTCCTCTACCCGGCAGTCTGCAGCTCCTTCAAGCCATAGCTCTGGTCGCACCGTGAGGTCTGCAGTTTCCTCATGGAATTCTCAGAGACAGAATCATCAGAGGCGTCCTTTTGGTGGTCTACCCCGGCAAGCCTTAGTTGCTGAGGGACAATGTGATGATGATGAAGAAGCCGCTGATGATGATGAGCTGATTCCGGATGGAGAAGATGCCGAAGTTTCTGGTTCTTTAGCTGAGGTGCTTCAAGCCGAAGCAGAAGCGCTTGCTGTGGACATCCAAGAGCTTGAGGAAGATGGTTCGCTGGATCCTCAACTTTTGGAGGAAATAGAAGCTGGTGTTGAACAAGCTGCTGAAAGCCTTCTGACGATGAGGGAGGCAAAGACAAAGATCAACGAGATAAAGCGTGACCGTGGCTTTGGAAAGTCTGGTGGAAAAGGAAAGCCCACTGGCAACCAGATCACCGCAAAGAAAGGCAAGACAGTTTGTTGGGATTGCGGAGAAACGGGACATTGGGCAGGTGACCAACAATGTTTGAAACCTGGGCAAGGGCTTGCGAAACCGAAGGCCTCTGCAAAGAAGCCGCCTGCCAAGCATGTGAAAGTTGTGGAGTCCCTGAACACAGAACATGTTGAAGCTGGTCCGGGAGAAGCACATGAAATTTTAGTTTGCCAACAAGACCTCAGGAAGAAATCCTTGGAGGCTGCCTTGCATCATGAAGTTGCAGCGGCAATCGTGCCCTCGCTGGCGAATGACAAAATGATGGTTGGTGCTTTGGATTCAGCTTGCAACAGAACGTGTTCAGGAAATGTTTGGTTGCAGCACTATTCAGCAGCTTTGAAACATGCTCCAAAATGTCTTCGTGATCTTCATGCGACTGTGCAGGAAGACGAGCTCTTCCGCTTTGGAAATGGTGGAACCCAAAGGAGCCAGGTTCGTCACAGGCTTCCAATGGTGGTTGGTGACTATTTGGTTTTGACATGGGTTTCAGTTGTTGAAGTTCCAAGTTTAGGGTTGCTTTTGGGAAGAGACTTTTTGGATAGCATTGGGGCGGTGATCAGTTTTTCGAAGCGTCAAATGCGAGCCGACCATTTGGATGGCAAGATCATCAACCTGAAACAGCTTACTGCAGGACATTTTGCACCGCAGCTCATTCCCCGTCGAATCAGAAATTAAGATTAATATAGAGCACAAGAGGCATGCAACCGGGGGCTCCCCCTAACCCCCTCACCCTCCCCCCCTCTCCTTTTCCTTCACCCCAGACTCTCCCTCCGCCTTCCTGTGTACGTACCCACTAGGCTAACACCCCAGCCCCACGCCTACTCTTAAAACCCTTACCCATTTTTTGTAAAACAACACAACAAACAAAACAAACAAAAAAAAAAACAAAAAACATACAATCCGTTCGGTGGCATCATCAACCTGAAACAGCTTACTGCAGGACATTTTGCACCGCAGCTCATTCCTCAAGAGTGGCCGCAGCCTCTGCAGAAACGTTGGAGAAGGCTTGGAAAATGTGGTATTTTGGAATTGCAGTTGACTGCACAAGAGTGGTTGCAGCGCAAACTAGCTGCTGTATCTGTTTCAGCATTGTCATCAAAGGTTTCAAGTCATGAGCATTTGATCACTGAACAAGGAGTTCAAGCGGCAGATGTCAAATTTTCAGGTTTACCTATTTTTGCAACTGCGGCTCAAAACATTTCCAGCAGCAACTCGCTTGCGAATGGGCAGCGATCTTTGGATTCTGCTGTGGTGAGTGCTACAACGACTCCTTCTTTGCCTACCCCGTCACCTTTGGATGGACCCGGCAAACTATCCAACATGGGCCGGAAGGTGGCGAAGATTCGTGCTGCGAGCGCGATGCCGCGCAGAATGGCATCTGCGTGGGCTGCTTTTGTCGCTATTGCAGTTGCCGCAAATTCGATTTGCCCCACTTCCATATCCACGTGTGAGCGATGCCCTTGGATGGGAAAATCAGGTGGAAGAGATGATGGCCAACAAATCACTGGCAAGGAAGCATGGTGTCAAAGCCATGAGGGGCAAGGTGCTGAGCAGTGCAAATTTGCAACACTGCGTCAGTCTTCGGAATCGCATGGGCCTGGAGCTTGCTTTCCTGGAAGATCCTCTTCTACAAGGCATCTTGGCCGCCAAAACCACAAAGGGCATGGCAGCTCGAATCCGAGCTCAAGCTTTGGAGGATTTGAAACAAGAGGCCAAGAAGAACAAAGCCGAAGGCAAACAACAAGAAGCTGTTCGCCAGCTGATCGGGCCGCGTGGTGGACTTCCAGTGCTGAAAGCAGATTTGGTGAAGCTGGCTTGCCTGGTCAACGTCGAAGTAGGCCAGGACGACACAGTGGAGAAGTTGCGAGCCAAGGTGAAGCCATTGGTCGACGCCATTGCTCTGAAGCCAGCACCAAAGTCAGCTCCAGCAAAGGCAAAAGCCTTGCCAAGCAGTGCACCTGCAGACCATTCCGCCGAAGTCCTCACCGTCGGGACCCTCGAGCAGTCAGGAGCCTGTGGCAAAGATGGACATGGCCGAAGTTCATCAGTTGATGCAAGAACAAGAAGCTCGTTTTCAGGGCATGATGACTCAAGCCATGCAGTATTTCATCGGCATGCAGGGTGGAACTGGCAACATGACCGAAGTGCACCAGTTCGTGAACCTTCTGATGCAACAAGATAACTGCAACGAGGCGAACAAGCCGATGCTCCGATGGTACCACAGATGCCCACGGAGGAGGAACTTTGGGAGATCAACGGCCTCCATCAGAGGGAGTTGGAGGAGGAAAATTTCATCGCCATTCATGGAAGCCTGCCAGGGGACGATTTGGATTTGGTGAGACCCAACATGAACGATCCTTGAATGACTCAGCTTTGGACTCTCCACCTGAACGATGGACTTCGAATCAGGTGAGGCTGAAGTCAACCGGTCTTGGATTTACCCCTTTGGATTTTCAGGGTGACCGGAAGTCCCAGGCTGCTGGTGATGGACTTTCCCCTTGGACTTTGAATGGGGACCAGCTGAAGGCAGGTCAAGCGCAGTTGGTTGCGCAAGCTTGGACAAGACATGAAAGGGAACGCAAACTTGTTTCCCAATCTGCCTCTGAAATCAATGAAGTTTTCCATGATGAGTGGGAGCGTGAGATGCAGAAGAACCTCAATGAAACGTTTGCCATGAGTTTGACTTTGGAACCTGCTGCAACAGATGATGCGCCTCTTTTGACCGAAGTCTTCACAACCGTGCAGCAGGTGATCAAACAAGCTCAACGACGTGGACATCTCACCGGCACACCCATGAGTTTGGAAACGGGATGGAATTTTCTCAATGTTTTGGATCGAAAAGCTGCTTTGAAACAGATTGAGAAAGAGAAGCCTTTTTTGGTTGTCCTCGCCTTTCCTTGTGGCCCCTGGAGTGCCTTGATGCGTCTCAACCCTAGCAAGAACTTGGAGCATCTTGGAGCAGCTGAGGGCAGAAGGCCGTGTGCTGATCCAATTTGCGCTTGATGTGGCGCGTTTACAAGCCAAAAATGGGCGACATTTTCTTTTGGAAAATCCTGGAACTTCTGAAGCATGGAATTTGGACATGTTGATACGTTTCCTGGAGGAGATCGACAGCCACACAGCAATTTTTGATCAATGTCGTTTTGGTTTACGAGGGCAATCTGGACTTTTGCACCGAAAGACCACCCGCATTGAAACAAGCTCTCCATGTGTTGCCAAGCGTTTGGATGGAAAACGTTGCCTCAAAGACCACGACCATGAGATGATCATTGGTGGCAAGCACATCACTGGACCTGCCGGTCACTATCCAGCGCAATTGGCCAAAGAGATTGTGCTGGGCATTGAGGAAGAGTTTGATGTTTTGAGGCGAAGCAATGATGTTTTGGCAGTTGATGATGTTGATGAAAATGGAGAAGAACCTGAACTTCTTCCAGATGCAGTGAATGTTTCCGATAGTTCAGATGATGAACAGGTCACTGCAGCTGGGGTTCCAAAAGTTTCTGCAGCTGTCAGGCAAGCGGTGAGCCGTCTTCACACCAATACGGGGCACAGATCCAACCGCCGTCTAGCAAGGGCGCTGGTGATTGCTGGTGCTCCAGCAGAAGTTGTACAGGCCGCCAAAACCTTGAAGTGTTCCATATGTGCTGAGCGTAAGAAACCCAAAGCTCAGCGTCCTGCGAGTTTGCCGGCACCCAAAGATGTTGGAGACCAAGTGCATGTGGATTTGTTTGAACTGTTTGATATTCATGACAATCGGTTCTATGTGGCTCACGCCATTGACTTCGTGAGTCGTTTCCAGATGGCCCAGGTCTTGCCGGACAAATCCAGTGACTCAGTAGTGGAATTTCTCTCTACGCGTTGGCTGCCAATTTTTGGGCCTCCAAGGGTAATGATTGCAGATCAAGGCAAAGAGTTCACGTCATGGACTTTCGAAGAACTCTGTGCCCGACATGGAATTTTGCTTTGGCATTGCGCTGTTCAAGCCCCATGGCAGAATGGTGTTTGTGAACGTGTGGTGGAGTGCTAAAAGCTTTAGCTACTGCAGTCATTCGAGCGCATTCTCTTTTGGGCTCCGAGGAGGTGGACAAATCCGTGCAAGAAGCGGTGATGGCCTACAACAGCGATGTTTCTGGCGATAGCGGTGTGAGTCCCGCGCAAGCTGCAATTGGCAAACAGCCCCGCTATGAGGGCGACGTCTTGGGCAATTTTGCCCATAGGGTTGTGAGCCACGGCATTTTGGAAGAGCGACCTGGACTGGCGCGCCAAGTCGCTATGCGAGAAACTGCAAAGCTGGCGATGGTTCGTTTACACTTTTCCAAAGGCATTCAACGTGCCGAAGTTGCCCGAAGCAGAGGGCCTACTTTTGAGCAAGAGCTGACCCCTGGGATGATTGTTTATTACTTCCGCCACACCAAGTACAACAACAAGACCAGTCAATCCAAACGAAAACTCAGTCTGAAAAGATGGCATGGACCTGGCTTGCTTGTTGCTATGGAAGGAGATCTGAATGGTTTCATCAGTCATCGAGGTCAACTCACCAAGGTGGCCCGTGAACATATACGCCCAGCCTCAACAATGGAGCAGATAGCATCTGAAGTTTGGGGCGATGCTGTGAAGGAAGTGGTTGAAGCTGCAATTCATGACATGACCTTGCGTGGTATGGATGATAAAATTGCAGATGGTGCGCGAACTCCTGGAGGAAGACCTCAAGCTGAAGCGCCAAGCACACCTGCTTCAGCGCCGATCCAACCTGCTGTTTTGGAACCTGCGGTTGTTGCTCAGCCGCTGACTCCTCAGGAGATAGCCAATGCCTTGCAGCCTGCCAGCCAAAGTCAAGCTGACTTGTCACGTAGGACTAGTTTGCTGAGCATGCCAGTTCAGCGTGGAACACCTGCGCCTGGCACCCCCATTGGTGATTTGGTGCGTGGTGGTTCTATGTCTTCAAGGATGGCTGAAGCCGTTGGAAGACTTGCAGAAGCTGACCCAGAGGATGTTGGACCCGAAGCTTCCCGAAAGAGACCTCCAGACGTTCAGGTTGAAGAGTTACAGGCCAATCAACCTGCATTTGAAACAAGGGTTAGAGCTGGCCCTGTTGCACCTGAAGCGGCGGCGCCCTATGACGCCTTGTTGACATCAGTGTTGAACTAAGGTGAACATCCCCTGAAGCTTCTTCAAGAACAAGCTGAACGTGAGAGACAGTCTCCTTTAGAGCATGTGGTTCATGACAATGGCACTTGGCATGGAATTTGGCCACTGCCTTCAAGATCTGAGTGGAATGCCCGGCGTCACCATGCACTCTTGTGGCCACGAGGTAGTCATGAAGTTGATGCTGTGCAAACTGCGAGAAAGGAGTACAAGTGGAAGGACATTCCAAAAGCTGACCGTCCTGCTTTCCATGCTGCAGCCAAAGCCGGATGGCAAGTTTGGGTAGACAATGGAGCAGTGGAAGTTCTTTCCAAAGCTCAAGCTGATGAAGTTCGTGCGCGTTTGAAGTCAACAGGCAAACAGTCATGCGTGCTGACCCCAAGGTTTGTTTACACAGACAAGCATGCCCCTTCCGCTGAAGGCGAATGCACGATTGGTCGTTCCGGGCTTCCGGGACATCACAGCGTATCTGGTTCGAAGAGATGCTCCAACTGGCAGTAGGACCTCCCAGCATTTTCTTCTCATGTACACGGCCAGCAAGCGTTGGTTGCTTTACAGTGCAGCTGTCAAGAGTGCTTTCTTGAAAGGTGAAAATTTTGGTCCTGACGAACGAGAGCTGTATGTGAGCCAGATTCGAGTATCCTCTCCTGATGAGCCTCTTCTTCCTCTTGGTGAAGGTGGACTTGCAAGAGCCAAAAAGGGTATATTTGGTTTGGCAGACTCGCCTCGCAGGTGGTACTTGCGATTGAACAAGTCCGTGACCAAGTTGGGATGGGTGAGATCAGAGCTGGATGCAGCACTTTGGTTTCTTTGGAGTGATGATGGAACGTTAGATGGAATGCTGATTTCACATGTAGATGATTTGCTGATGGGTGGAAATGCACGAGCCCATGAATCACTTTTGCAACTTGGACGAGAGTTGGGTTTTGGATCGTTGGAAACCGGTTCTTTCAACTACTGTTGGCAAACGAATCCAGCAATCCGCTGACTTCTCAATCAAAGTGAACATGGTGGAGTACCACGAAAACCTGAAGCAGATTCCCATGACTGGTGAGCGAAAGAAGCAGCTCGATCAACCTCTGACCCCAGCTGAGCACCGTCAGCTTCGAGGACTGCTTGGGAGCTTGCAATGGTTGGTTTCCCAATTGAGGTTTGATCAAGGTTTTTCGTTGTCAACACTCCAGTCTGAAAAGCCTGTTGTTGCTACGATGTTGAAAGCAAACAGTTTGGTTAAGAAGGTAAAAGCAAGTTCTAAGTTTTCCCTGAACTTCAAGCCCATGGACCTGGACAAGTGTGGCCTGGTCACAGTTTCTGATGCGGCATTGGGCAACGTTTCTCCAGATGGCAGCATTGGGGAAGATGCTCTTTCTCGGGTGCATAGCCAAGCGGCTTACGCCATCTTGATTGCGGATGAGAACGTGCTGGCGGGCAAAGAGGGCAACTTTTGCTTGATTGACTCGCGGAGTCATAGGCTGGCAAGGGTGTGTCGCTCTACGTTTGCAGCAGAGCTCATGTCGGCGGAGGAAGCGTTGGACTCAGGGGAATTTTGTAGAGGTATGTTTGCTGAGACGCGTGGCTACAGCGTCGACAGGCGCAATGTGGAGGCCAGCAACAATGTGATCCCAATGATCCTGGTTGTGGACGCAAAGGATGTGTACGACAAAAGCACGAGTGACACGCCAAGCTATGGAAGCCAGAAGAGCCTTGCGTTTACGATTTCCTGGATTAGATCTCAGCTGCGCCGACCCAATGTGGAAATCAAATGGACGGCAACCCAGAACATGCTCATTGACTGCGGCACGAAGGAAATGGATGGTGAATATCTGGGAAATGTCTTAGAGACCGGTAGATGGTGTTTCAAGTACAGCCAGAATTATACACGGCAGGGAGCGAAACCTTTGAAGTCTGTAAAGAATGCATGCGCTCCTGTGCCATCAAGCTTAATCGGTCAACCGCTGGAAAGCGATGACCCAATGTTTGGACATTTGCTCATTTTGAGCGAGCAGCCAGGATGGCACACATTTGATGATTTTGGTGTGCACGTCGCCAAAGATGCAAAGTCTTATAGATCCCCAAAGCCTCGTTTTGACCCTGTACAGTTTCCTAGGAGATCTTCGTACGGACGATTCACTGATGGAGAAGGTCGAGCCTTTTGGAGGAAGTTGGAAGACCGAGTAGAACTAGCCAGTTTGAAGAGTTTCCAGGCTTTGCTAGGCGACCGTGCAGATATCCTTATATCATGCTTCTTGGGCGATTCCAATCAACAAAATAATAGAACCAGCTGTGAAAGTCAAGATTGAGCATTGATTGGAATCCACCTGAGAACTCTGGACATGTGTCTGTCCGCGGCTGCCTGGTTCAAACAGGCCTAAGCCATTACTTGCTACGTTTGCAGGTGAAAAGGTGTGCGTCTGAAGCCATCTTGCGAAGTTGGCCTTCAACAAGAATGTCAGCTAGGATGCCAGAATAGACGCCACAAAGAATGCCAGAATTGCGCGATAGAATGCGAAAAAGAATGTCAGCATATGTGCTAGAAAATATGTCCGAATAGATGCCAGACAAAATGCCGGAAAGAAGTTCAGATAGAATGTCAGAATATATATGTATATATCCCATATATAATTCCATGTTTTTATGTCAGAAACTATGTCCGAATAATGTGTCACGGTGGTGACCCCTCGAAGAAAGTATTTCATGTTTTGTTACTATTTATGTGTTACCACGATTTGTTTGCTCACCAACTTCTTCGCACAGCCCAGGCGCCATGAAGCTTTTCTCCATTGTGTCCCTCTTGGGCAGCGTGGCGGCTACGCCAATGCCGCACGAGCTGCTGCTGCAGGTGCAGGAGCTCCAAGCCGAGCTTTCGACCCAGCGGCAGGTGATTCAGGAGCTGCAGGAAGAGCGCAGGTTGCAGGCTGCGGAGAGTGAAACTCGGCAGATGCAGGATGCTTTCGAAGTTGAAGATTCGTTTGAAATCTTTTGAATGTGTTCGAAGGCATTATCAATATGGAATTTTAGATATGTGTGCTTTTTAACAGGGTTGTTACAGTTACATATGGCATGTTTTACTGATCAACGGAAGCTTGTTATTGCACAGTATAGTTTAATTAGCCATTGTGGGAATAGACATGGACCTTCCATCATCATTGGTGGCTTCAAGACTATGTTGAGATAGGAGTACCCTCTCGCAATCTAATCTGGCCGGCCGGAACATTGGCATTTGTGGAAATTTCATGGAGTTTCCCATTGCCATGTTCTTTATGGGATTACGTGGTTCAAATCCTTTCTGAAATGGGATAGATTGAGACTCAACAAGCAATTCTGTGGATAACCCCGATGGATAATATTGGTAGTTTGCGCGGATCAAGCACCAGGAAAGCATTGATGACAAGATCACCAAGTTGCAGGAGGCTGATTTGGGACTGGGTGGAGCCCTGGATTCCGCTTGGCTTGTCCTTTGTGGAGCTTTGGTGATGTTCATGCATGCGGGCTTCGCCATGTTGGAGACGGGATGCTGCCGTGCCAAGAACGCCTCCAACGTTTTGATGAAGAACTTGGTGAATGTGTGCTGTGGAACCTTGGGCTGGTGGAGCATTGGCTGGGCTCTGGCTTATGGCGAACAGAATGGCAATGGTTTCATTGGAACCGACGGGTTCTTTGGCTTTGGCTTTTACACAAGGGACAAGGCCAGCGGAGTGATCACACCCGTGGAATGCACCTCTGATGGCTGCCAGTCGACCATGTTGAGTTGGTTCTTTCAATGGGCCTTTTGCACGGCCGGTGCCACCATTGTGAGCGGGGCAGTGGCTGAGCGCGTCAAGAGCCCCACCTATGCCGCCTTCGCGTTCTTGATGACAAGCTTCATCTATCCTATGGTTGTGGCATCAACCTGGGGTGGCGGCTGGCTTGCCTCCCTCTTCGGCGTGGGGTACATGGACTTTGCAGGGTCAGGCCTGATCTTCATAGAGCTTTCACGATGCAAGTCGTTTTTGTCACTTCATGTTTTTTCATGGGTATGTAAATACATGTGTGTATATTTATATAATATATATATATATATTCGAAGGAAGTTTGGAAGTCAAACTTCCGACAATATGGAGAGATGAAAAAGCAGTCAGCAGGGAGAAGAGTCAGAAGAGAAAAGATCAGAAGAAAGAAGATGCAGGTGCGCGAAAAGGTAGGAAAGTCGCGAAACACTGTGTTTTTTCGTGGTTTTGTGGCTCCGGAGGGTTGAAAAATAGGCTCGTTGATTGGATTTTGGTCCAGGACGAAGGGAAGAGAGGCAATTTTGTGGGAAGTTTGGTCCTTTAGTGCCTTGGTAGGTAGAAAGCGCTCGAACAATAGACGCACCAGATTATTCAGACTTCATAGAAGATTGAAACCTTGGAAGATCCGATGGAACAAGCTCAGTGTCCCGCCTAGACAGCTGGAAGCCATCCATCACATCGATGGTGACTGTGCTTTTGTGGCCTTTTCTCAAGGTCTCCGAGCACTAGGAATACGTGTTGGTAATCGTAGATTACGAAAAATGGCTTGGCAAAGACTGGCGCGTTTGCCCCTGTCCCACGGGAACTGGGATGGTCTAATGCCAACCAAGGAACGGACTCTAGGCACTTGGCATGAGTACCTAGATGCGATCAAGCGACCTGGGGCTTGGGCCTCGGATTTGGAACTTGAAGTCTTAGCTTTCAAGTCAATGTGACGCTGAAGCAATATAATCAGATGCAGCAGATTTTTGTCCCGAAGGCTAGGGGACACATGTGCTTGAATCTGAAACATGGCCACTACACTTGTGTGCATCCGTCCTCTCCACAGCCCTTGTCCTTTTGCACTTCTGCTTGGGGATTTTTGCGGGCTTTTTTCGCACTACCTGCGCCCTGGAGAGGAGGATCAGCTAGAGCCACCAGGCGAAAGCAGCAGCAACGGAACAGTGCAAACTTGCTTCGTACTTTGCAACTTCCAAGTCACTTGAGCTTCCTCTCTCCGTTGCTACCCATGCTCGCTGACTTGCTTTCCCAGTACAAGCCAGCTAAAGCACGAAAACTGCGAAAGAAAAAGCTAAGCCAAGTCAACAAGGCACAGACTAGTAACCCGAAAACGAGTCCGACACATGAAGCAAAACCACACGCACATGATTCAGCCAAACCTTGTTGGTATCACTTCAATGGTGGTTGCAGGTTTGGTGAAGCGTGTTACTTTTCGCATGACCATCGGCACCATTTTTCAAAGAAAGACAGTGCTGCCAGCAATCAGCGCCCAAGCGACCAAGCAACCCCCATACCTTGGGATTTGCGACCTGGTGACTGGGATGGAGAAATTTTGTCCATTGCTGGCTTCAGAAATCAGCTAGACTGCATGAAAGAGAATCAGGCTTTGAAAGCAATTGTAAAAGTCGATAGTAAGGATGATTTGCAAGACTTACAAGAGATGTTGCCAAGCTCTTTGAGCGACCAGATCCAGATCCTTGCTGTCCAACCGTGCTTCAATCCGCAACAAGCAGCTGCAGATTTGCATGAGATAGTTTATGCACCTGTCCGAATGAGAGCCATCACCAAACCCAGAGCTCTCATTTTGCACCGGGTCACGAGCAAAAGCGACCTTGGTTTGAAAGCTGACAAGACCAAAGTTCTCAATACTTTGCCTTCGACTCCTGAAACTATTGTTATGCGCATAGCAGTCGGAAAGCGGTTTGTCACAGAGGAGTTTTGGCGCAAAGTCAAAGAGAAGCCCGGCCGTGCAGCTCGCTTTTGGGCAGAACAAAGGTTGGGAACAGAGAACGCGAAGAAGGTGCATGATTCATGGAATTTCACAGAAAAGTGCTTCAAGTCGCCGGTACTGCTTGGACTTCTCAGAGTGGATAAGTCAGTCGCTGGTACGCTGGCCAGCCAAAGCGGAGTGGAACAATTCTTTTGCGAACCTCTCAACTGGCAACAAGCTGGGCAGGAACAAAACCCTGCCATCCATTGGTATCCTCAAGCTGATGATGAAAGTGCAAGTGACTACCTCGCAAGAGCTTTGGCGCAGAAACCAGCTTTTGGAGTCACACGCGGAGAAAAGCAACTTGGTCTTCGCACGCAACGTGATTTACAACAATCCTTCAGCAAGACTTGGATCGTTCAGGGAGTTCCTGCCTCTTGGAGCCAAGAGAATCTTGAACACACTTTGCAACATGACCTCAAGCTTGATGGCATCCATTGCATTAGCAAACGAGCTGAACGTAATCGTAAAACCACTTGGATCATCCGTGCCAACAGTGCTTCACAACAGGATTTTTTCCAGCTCAAGCACGATGATTTTGTTATTACTGCTTATGTGAACACTCATCGCTTGGGCGCCTCACGTGCTGGAAAGCCAATTGCTAATCCAAGAGCAGTCATTTTCTCTCACATTGATAGACTTGACAGCAAGGATTTTCCTCCTTTGGCACCAACGCAAATTAACGCATCACAGAAAGAAAAAAGTGATGCTATGGTAACTGAAAGTGAACGTTCCAAGGCTGAAAAACATGCGGCCAGCCCGCATAAGGAACAACAGCCTGCAAAGAAAGCTGCGTGGAGTCACAAACCACCTCCACACATGACGGTTGTGCAAAACAAAGGAGGAGGTGATTGTCTCTTTTTGGCAGCTGCTGAAGGCATCAATAGAATTACCAAACGAGACAAACCCCTTACCCACAGAATGCTAAGAGCCTCTGTGTGCAAGCATTTGACCGACAAAAGCCGTTCCTATGAACTTTTTGGGATGGAAAAGATCCATCGCTTGAAGAGGAAAATTGTGAATCTTGGGCTGCCTACATTGAAAAGCTTCGCAAAGTGGGCAGCTGGGGAGGACATCTCGAAGTTCACGCAATTGCTCAACTGTATAACTTGCAAATACATGTTCTCACAGCCGGCGGCCTGTGTGCTACTGCTTTGGAACAGGGAGAACCGGGCATTCACTTGTGGCATAAGGATAAGCATTATGAGCTGTTGGTCGGTGCCCACCCTAGTGCATGGATTTCTGAAGCCAAAGCGTTGGGCTACACTGGTGGCAGGAGCGGTGGCAAGTCCAGCCCATCCACCGTGCAATCTCATGAAATCGATTCTGAAATATTTGTTTCCAAACGTAAAAAGTCAAGTTCTCTACCTTCTCGTGTTGCTTCCAATGAAATAGATTCTCTGGTGTGCGCAAATCCCTCTTCCAAACTACCAAAGACAGAAGGTAGTTTGGCGAGCGCCAAACGCAAACGGAAATCCATTGGCGTCAAGACACAAGCATCCATATCATGTGCTGCCTCCAGCCGAGGGCATTCTTTTGTGCAACAGCTGCCTGCCAGCCCAATCGGTGGGGATTCTCAAACCCCGAGCCAGGAATGTGACACCGACGCCGGTGCCAGCATGAAAAACCGTGCCACGGTGTCTGTAGACTGGAAGTGCCCCATTTGCCAGCTTGTCTTGAAATTTTCCACTACCTTGGCCAGACGACGTTTCCAGCATTTGAAGCATTGGCATCCGGAACGAATGCATGATTATGTTCGTACAAACCGGTGGCAACCAAGACACGCAGGAGAAACTCCCTCTTGGAAATGTCCTCATTGTAATGTTGCTCTGTATGGTGATAAGAAGAGCAATTGGCAACTGCGCCTTGAACACTGGCGTAGCGTCCATCCTTCCAAGCCAAAAGCTGATTTTTTGCTTGCGAAAGGTCGCCCTGCTGGTACTTCTATGAGAACTCCTACCATCGCAAAAAGGAATGCCCTTGTGTCAAAAAATTTACAGCTTCTCAAAGGCAATTGCAATGGCCATCAGCCGGTTGAGGTTGCTTGGCCTTTCGCCCCAAAAAGCCAGGGCCTGGTCAAGAAGTTCATTTGCAAAGCGTGCCTTCGAACGGCGCATCTTCCAAAATTGCTTAAGCACAAGTGTACTAAGAAGAAGCTGAAAGACAAAAGGAGACTGACTTTGCTCTACAAACTGCGCCGCATGATTGCCAGAACCACGTCGGAACCTGCAAAGGCCAATTTGCAAGTCATAGCGTCGCTCTACGTGAGTTGCAATGACACCAGCCATAGATCCAAAACATGTGAAACAGTCATCTATAAGCAACGGTCATGTGGGTAGCGCATGGCCATCCAGTGTAAATTGTTGGAGAGGTGGTTCAACATCACATCTCTGGAGAGGGGGAGCAATTAGTACAACCGATGCTAAAATTAGTATTGCCACCATGAATGTGACACGGCTTTTACCTTCGAAGGAGGCACGCATTCCTCTCCGGGGATCGCTGACAGCGGAGCGAAATCGGGATTGTCGCAATGATATGCCAAGTAGGAGGAGAGCATCAGCGAGTATCCCGAGATCATCAAGAGGGGCATCACGAAGTGGATCTCATCATGGAAGCCATCGCTCCTCTGATGACGAGGAACAGGTCGACCCTCAGCGGAAACAGAAGGACGAGGAAGAGAGGGAAAAGCTCAGCAAAAATCCCACATGGGCATAGTCAAAGAAAATGCCAACTGCTGGTTTGGTCAATCGTTATTGGGACAAGATCCCTGCACAGATATTCGACAACGGGATCATGGCGAACATCTTTGTCTTGTTTGACCACGAGTGGGGAAGGCTTGACCGCGACAGCCTTTGTCCTTCTACCGGTGAGGACGAAAGAGGAAACTTTGAGCATCCAGATCAACAATCCCTCAAGGAGTACTTCCATGAGAAAGCCAAGGTCACCAAATACAGTCAAGGAGCAGCGCTCTTCGGTGGTTGGCCGTGGGATTGCATGCACACTGCAATTAACCATGATGAAGATTGAGAAGGTGATGCAATTCTTGGTCGAAGCCGGGTACACCCCGAACGCATTCCTCAAGCCAATTGGCAAGAGCAGAGGAAAAGGCCGAGATGAGGAGCCACATAAGCCAATTCTTCTCGAGGGCATTGAAGGGAGCTTTTCCGGAGATGGAGAACTATCACCTCTTCCGTTCTTCAACAATAGGCTTTCATGATTGCCTTGAGCTTCCAGCCCTCGGGATTATTTTTGCCTTCAGGGAGAGGATGCCGGCCGAGGAATGGCTCATCACCGCACAACAATGCGGAGTGGTTCTTCCTGACACCATCCAGGATCAGATTGCCTACTCCATCACTCGAGCGGGGCAGGAGGCAACGCGTGGCAAGCCCATCGTTTCAACGCCATGCTGCCCAACATGAGCGAAGAACGTCGCCAGGTAGCATTTGAATTCACAGCTCATCGAGCTGGTGCAGACGATGCACGAAGAGATTTTCACCTTCACCTTGGTCGTGAAGCAGGTAAAGCCGAAGCCAAGGGCCGAGACACAAAAGGTCAAGAAGCAAAAGCGATGATTGTCTGAACTTCTTCCACTGAGAGGACTCTGAGCGTGGCTAATTACAGTCTCACAGCTACGTGCAGTCCATAACCGAATCTTAAATCATTTTGTTTTCTTTACATGAGCTGACCAATCTACCGTCGGCAAGGCTGCGTGCAGCCCAGGTCGTGCAGCCCTAGTGTACAGTATAGCAAATTTCAATGCCACGAAGCTGGCGCGGAAAGGAGAAGAGGGGGTCCTTCCTCTTGGGCGAGCCTGAGTATCCGGGCCGATTCTTTTTCAATGCATTTTTCGATTGATCCCTTACTCTGTGCCTACCATCCAAAATCTGGCAGGCATGGGGGTGCGAAAGGGATGAAGGCCACAGTGCACTTGTATATCAACAACCATGTACAGTGCATGTATACAGCTCGCTCGATTCGCCAATACTCTGGCAGGAAAATAAGTGTGGTAGCTACAGCACAGCAGAACTCTACACTAACCCCTAGCGGAACACCCGGAACGAGGGCAAAATTGTTCACAATTAAGTACCAGACGATGCCGGATCGCATGAGCATGGAACAAAATCTAAGACCGATGTTTTTATTTGGGGACTTATACATCGGACCACGTTTTACTGCGTCAGCCTGGGCTGAGCAGGGTAATTATGGTTCGAGTTGTTCCATAGATAGGGGAATATATTGTCCCAGCACAAGAAAGTCTGTTGGTCTCTCATACTAGCCCTGCAAAACAATCATACCATCTGGATTGTTCAAACGAGGGATGCTGGCTTAACCTTCCTATCGCACCAGGTGTTGTGCACCTTACTGGCGGCATCAGCGGACTCGTTGGTACCACCATTCTGGGAGCACGAACGGGACGTTTCAGCAACCCAGAGGACTTGTGGGTCCAAATTGGTCAACAACTACTACATACACATACCACATATATATATATTATATATATATATAACTATGTTTAATTATATAATATTATATATAGAAATAGATTTATAAATAAATGAGGTTTTCCCTATGTTGTTTCATTTTATGTTTGACGTCTTGTTTTACCAGACGTCAAGTCTTTCTACTCATATGTATTCTACATATGTATATTTATTGGACGTCATTCCTATATATAACTACACACTTACATTGTGTATACATGCACATAATTGGGTGTGTATATTTAAATAAATATATATATATACACATGTGCATTTACATTTTTCACATTTACACATTTATGTGTGTATATATATATATATGTATGTGTGTGTGTGCTTGCGGCTGCTCAGCTCTTCAGAGTTCTTCCTAGCTCCTGTCTGCTAAACACAATAGGAGCAGCGCAGGCACATCAAAAGCAACCTTGGCGCAGCCATTCCAATGCCGTTAGCAGGCATTGAGCTGCAAAACAGCATAGAACTACGTGCGCGGCAGCGACACCGAGCGCAGCCACTCCAACACCATTTGCAAGGAGGCATACAAAGTAAATGTGCCTGTTTTGACTCAATGTGGACAATGTCTTGAGATCAGCTCTGGTGAAGATAAGCCCACTCTTTGTTTGTGGTTCAAAGATAAACACTACGAATGGCTGACCGGAGGATGCCGGAGGTGATCCTGGTTCTTGGGTCCAGGACCTGACCGGTCACTCAAACTCCTCAGTCTCAATGTTTCCAGTTTCTGCCAGCACCAGATCGAAGTGCTCCTTGAGGCCTCGAAACTTCAGGCTGAGGGTAATTTGGTTTCAAGAACTCAATGTTACCCGGCACGGACTTCCCGGTTTGTCCGGCAACTCGCGCAAGTTCGGATGGCACCTTCATGGGTATCACGGAAATTTCTCGGAATTTCCTTTGATTGCATATGTATCGTTTTTGTTTTTGTATTTTCATAATTCTGTTTATGTATGAGACAGGCTCTTTTTGGCATATGCATGCGCTGGTGGTTTCAAATTGTTTGTCCTCCACCCTACACCGGATGATCATGGATGAGGGAAATCATTGAAAATGTGATTTACAGCACTCCATATTGATTGCTACTGGTATTCCTTCCACTCCAAGGCTATGTTTATCTTTACATGCGTGTATGTGTCTAAACCGGGTAAATTTTGGTGCATGGTAAGTTGGCCGATAGATTTTTGCCATTTTGATTTTCATCTTAGTTCTTTTCATTTCATCTCAGCTCTTCGCATTTCATCCCAGCCCATCTCTGTTTCTTGAATGTCCGTCTGTACCAGGGGAAATTCTTAAAATTTCCTTTTTTAGTATATGCCTCATTTTTAATATTCTTTGCATGTGTATGTGTATGTCCAAAACGGTCAAATTTTGGTAGGTTGGGCGATAGGTTGTGCCATTTTGATGAAAGACATGCGATCTAGCTAGAATTTGGCCAAGATGGCCTCCCCATATACTGGAAATTAACGAAAGGATTGCAAGCAATTGCAACTCCCGTGAAAAGAGGATTCTGATTTCCGCCTTCAATTGTCCCATCATGTCCCATCTTTCTTGTTTTTTGGCCAGCTGTTTTGCGATGAACATGTTGAATTTCGCAGGAGTTTGAGTGCCACAACCTGCCATTGGTTGTGCTGGGTACCTTTGCTCTCTGGTTTCCTGGACGTGCGCTTTGTTGGTGGTTTTGTTTAGTTGCCCCAGAATGCAAATCTATTCGGTTATTTGTTGATGGCCTGGTAGGCCCTTGCTGAAGTTGAACTATACCATCCCCACTTTTGGTTGATGCTTTTCTTTTTGAACTTTGGCTATGTTTCCCTTTTTTGTCATTCTCCTTGAGGTTCGGCTGGTACGGCTTCAACCCGGGTTCCACGTTGACCATGAAGTCCGGCAGCGACGGCGCCTTGGCGGCACAGGTGGCCATGAACACCACGCTGGCGGCGGCGACGGGAGGCATCACCGTGTTCCTGCTGCGAGACTGGGCTGCGGTGAGACATGTTGAGACAAGAAATTGGTACACTGAGTGAGCCATCAGACATGATAACAAAATGCTGGTTTTACATGGTTTTACGATGCAAAATTACGATTTACGAGGGAAAATTGGATTTCAATGTGTAGAAATAGTGATTAATGAATCTTGATGGGATGTATTTAAAGACATCATAATGTTCATCATTTTTTGTTTCTCATTAATGTTGCCGGTCTAAAAAATTGACTTGGGGTATGTTTTTTCCATTCTATCTAACCCAGGAAGAGGATGATGAAGATGGATGGATGGATGGATGGATCGATGGATGGACGGATGGATGGATGGATGGATGGACGGATGAATCACCCCATCGATAGATAGACTGGATGGATAGATCAGGTAGATTAGAAAGATTAAATAGATTGGATGGATGGATATCAGCACACGAGGATACGTCATCACACACAAGTACGACGTTGGTGCCCTGTGCAACGGCATCCTGGCCGGCCTGGTCTCCATCACGGCCGGTTGCGGCAACATGGAGAGCGGAAGCGCCGTTGCCACCGGCTTGATTGGAGGAGGGGTGGTCCAATTGGTTGGGGAAAACCCATGAAATCCTCATTCCATACATTTCATGTAATCATTCCATACATTGGCCCCTGCAAAACACCCTGGCTAATGTTGCATTTGGATAGGCCCTCCCCAGCTGAAAGGGTATCCGCTATGGACCAACCTGGAGGTTTTGTGTATCAGGCAGCATCCATGCTGCTGCAAAAGCTCCGCATCGATGACCCTGTGGACGCCAGTCCGGTCCACGGCTTCTGTGGAGCCTGGGGGTTGATCGCAGCAGGCCTGTTCGACTGGGGTAGGAGCATCGACCACTACCATGGCTGGAGCGGATTCGGCTGCATGGAGAAGGATGATGGTGGCTGCCAGACCGGCATTGGCGGCACTGCCATTGGGGTCCAGTTCATCATGATCTTGGCGATCGTGGCATGGGCAGGCACCTTGTCAGGGATCGGTTTCTTCCTGCTGAAGGTCACTGGAGCGCTGCGCTACGGCACTCATGTGGAAGAGGTGGGCATTGATTCGCATCACCATTCTCCGCCAAAGGCCTATGCTTTGGGGCCTAATTCTCTCTCCCCATCAAAGATCTATTCCACCATGACCTCGGAATCCGAGCCTTCAACAGTCTAAGCAGCACAACATTGCTCAGAGTCAACAGGCAGCTGTTTCCCACATATATCCACCGCCTGTTTGACTGAGGGAAGATAGGGAAGTGGAGCTTCTCATGCACGGAGTGCCCGCAGCGCGTGAAATCGCACTGTAAGAAAGCACTGTGTTTATTTATCCTGTGGCAACAGGAAAGAATTCGAGCCAGTTACCTGGCAGTTCATTGTCTTGACATGCCTTGACTTCCTTTGACGATCTCTTCATCGTGTTTTGTCACTGAGAAGCAAGCAAGATTTGTGGCTGTGTCGCAAGCATGCAGCCCATCTTGAACTATCTTAACATATACCATGAAAAATCCATGAAATATCATGGAAAGATCGCAATTTTGGCGGTTTCTTCCATGGGGCCCTACCGGACCATCCAACAGCTCAGCACTGCTCAGCGAGAAAAGAACCACCAGCTCTTAATGCCGATGCCAATGGTCCAATCTTAAGCGATTTTACTGCTGATTTCCTTCTTCATATTGCGTTTTTGTTATGTGATAGCATGCTAAGTTAATCTAAGTTATATGTATCCCATAATTTGCCTGTATGTTTTCACCTATGTTTGTTTGCTGTCTTCCCTATACTTCCTTGTTTTTTCTGGTCAAATCCCAAGTTTCCAAGGAAAAGTCCCTATTTTCCATGGTCAAACCCCTATTTTCCACGGTCAAATTCCCATGTTCCTTCATGAAATCTCCAACACCCCCGAAATCTGTTGCGAGATGTTGGCGTGTTGCTTCAGGAGCTACGTTTGCGCTTGGCGCATTTGGAGCAGGCGGACAAATGATCTGCGATGTGCAAAGATGCGAAGAGAAGCTCCAGTGATTTGGAAATGGTTCTGTCTGAAAATAGTATGCCCCAGTTTTGATGGTGTTTATCATTGTTTTTCCCGCAAGCTTGCCATTTTATGGTCATGAACCAAAGTTGACAAATTCAGATAGTAGAGATGTTTGGGGTTCCAAGAATAATGTACCATGCAACTGCAGTTTGCAATGAAAGGGGACCTGACCAACAATAGGTATCAATAGCTGGATGGTGGTTTCAAAGGATTCTCTGCATTGTTACACCATGATTTGAAGAAATGGGTTTGATCCCACACTGAG